CAGCTGTTCTCAGCCACATGGATTCGTTCTCGGCTGCAATCCAAATTCCTCACCCGTTTACTGACCGCGACTGGGATATTTTGAAACCTCGTTTACTGTCACAGCGGGATGTTGCGGAACGTCGAGAACTCGAAAGGGTAAAGCAAGACCAGATTTTTCAGGCCAAGTCCGAGGAGCGTCGGCAGCAAGATGCTCAATTCAAAGAGGCTAAAGAGCAGCTAGACAGAGAATGGGATGAGGCTCAGAAGCCTATACGAGACCGTATGGCATTATATGCTGATGAAATAATCCGTGAAGGATGGCGTGGCGGGGATGCGGTTACCAAAGAAAAAAGTGCGAAATTTGCAGCTGATGTTTTGATTTATGTCAAGGACAAGTTCTACAGAGACTTGGCGCAAGAGGATGCCAAAGCTCGCAACGCCGGAAAACCCATTCCGGAGGATCCGCCCGGAGCTCCGCCGACCCGAAAACTCATACTCGAAAACATGAAGTTCATTTTTGATACCAAGATAAAACCACTGACAGAACAATTTCAGAAAGAACTATTCTTGTGCAATGGAAACGGCTGCGAAGCAAATACTAAGTTTTACGGTTTCGAGGGTGTGATCCAGCATTATGCTGCCAAACACACTAATGTTCTCAGTTTGGGCAGCGTCGTTGTTCATTGGCGCGCTGAATGGCCCGAACATTCCCCCTTCCATCCCAATCCCACTGCCGCTAAAGCTCTGTTCTTTGCAATGCCCCGCCCAATCGTGGGGCATAACCTTGGTTACCCCAACCAGCCGCATGGCCCCATGTATATGTCTGGTCCAGATCAGGGACACCACCATCTACCTGACGGAGGGCCAGGCTACCCGCAGCCTTCGCCTGGACCTTACAATCGCACCCCATTTGGAACTCCATATGCTTATGGATCCGGTCCATACAGACCACCATCCCCTCCTCCTCCTCCATTTTATCCTAACCAGTCTGCAAATTTTGCGTATTCAGCACCCCAACCTGGCTATCCCCCTAGCGGAGCTTACGATCCATATGGCCCACCTCAGGCTCCGAATCCAGTTTACGGCTCACCCTATCCAGGGCAGGCTTATCCGCCACCGTACCCGCCACCGCCTGATTCAAGAGCAGCTCAACCGTACCAGCCACCCCCATACCCACCTCCAGCTGCTGGACAACCGCCTTTTGGTGCTCCATATCCTGCTAACTCCCATCCAACGAGAAGAAGCGGAACCCAGGGGCACAATTCAAACCCCAACAGTCAAGCCTTTGGCATTTACCAGACCCAACTCGATGATATAGCTAAGAATGCTCGCAGCATCTGGAATGGAACATCTGGTATCAAAGATTTGCCACACAATGTCCGCGCTCATGTCCTTATCCACCATGTTGTTTCTCGGTTCGTGGAAAAGTTTGGCAACGAACCTCCATTGACCCTTTTCGCCGACGGGTTAAGCAGTCATGCCCAAATGAAACCAATAAAAAATCTCAGCGGATTGGTATGCAAAGCTTGCAATGACGCTGAGATTTCTGGAAGACACCATCGCCACGATGTGGGTCGTACCGACCGCAAGATATATACTCTTCCAGCTTTAGTTAGTCATTTCCAATCCATGCATCTTGACCGTCCGAAGTCAATTGCTCCACATCCTGGCCCAGAGCCGCGGCGGCTAGAATGGCAATACGACATGCTACTCGTTCCTGACAACCAAACCGTTTCAGAATTGGTCGATGCTCCTGGTATGGACGACACCAAAATGCAGCTGGTGTCGGCCGCTTTCCCTTGGGTGTTCCCACATGTTACATCGACGAGCCATACACCAGCTTCAAACGTGAGTGGTAAGAGACGGCCTGAACCGCGCGACTCCAAACAACCTAATCGCGCATACACCACAAATGCTCGGCCCAAATTTGCGGAACAGAATACAACTGGTACCAATCCGAATTTGCCTAACCCAAATCATGGTCTAGAGGTTGCGGTAGATGACTTCCCTAGATTTGTGGAATCCCCTGTTACCGACAATAATAAACCCGCGGATCCGCCGAAGGACGACGAATATGACCCCCATAAGCCTGCTTTCGTTGAACCAATAAGAGATCAGCATGGTCGAGTGGACACTCGCAGACCAAGGCAAAATCAACCATCCACGATTTCTTCCAAGGAGAGGCCCCACAATCCGCGAGCTCAAGATCAGACCCATGGGAACAGGTACCCTCCTGGAACAAAATTTCAGCGAGGTCAGCCTAGTGACGTGGATCGTGCGAAAAGCAATCCTTATGCCGATCGGCATCAACACAATATATCTAAGCCCTCGTCAAAGCCATCCTCTCAATATAGAGATCGCCCGCCCAAATCTATCCATGCCAATTCCTCTGTAACTGCCGAGTCATCCAACGAATTCCACAAAAATAGAACGCCTGTGAAGAGCGTTTCAGAGGATGGCGAAGTGGAGGAAGCAGGCCATCCACAAGAGCATTGCCTTGCGGCAGGGATCTCGTTACACGAAGAAATGACAGATGCGGAACGATTCTTGAGCAGCTTCGTTCCTGGCCAAGAAAACGAAGAATACAAGAAGGTGCCGTCTCGGGGTTCTGAACGTAGGCCAGATGAAGCCCCTCGAAGCAAGTGGCTTGAGGGAACGGAACTTAATGACCGCCGTTGGCGCATTGATGGAGGCTCTGGAGGGACAGCTGAAAGCAGTGTTTCAGGAACTCCTACTCGTAGCAAACAACACAGTTGGAATAGGGCCACAAGCCCTACAATTGAAGGCTTTCGTGAATATGAACCCAAGCGTGAACACTATGCTTCATCTAGGCACGGCGAGGAGCGGTCTCCGGAGCCTACCGACGTTCGTCATGGAAGGAAAGGCATAAGTTTCTCAGAATCAAGGCACCAGTCTGATTACCATGCGAGACGACCTCACAGCAGGTTCGACAGATATGAAGCGCAAAGACAAGGTTCTCACCGCCCACGTTCCCGTTCACCAATTGCCCGTGATTCACTTCCCGTTGAATCTACGTACTACCGTGATCGTAGCCCTGTACCACCCAGAACTCGGCAACGCCCCGTCTATGCTGGCCACGCTTCGGATCCATACTATGACAGAGCCGCAGCAGACCAAAACGTGGCGTACGCTCGTCTGCACCCTCGTGGAACTTATCAGTATGTAGAAGAACAGCGATATGTGGAACCACCCTACGACGGTGCTGTAGAATATATTCCTGTTAGGGTTGGTGGGCGTGAGCACCAAAACAACGGTGCATATTACATAGAACGGTCCGTACAGCGAGAAGTACCGAAGGAATATGTCGACTACGAAGTGGACTACCCGCGACAACCTGGGTTAGTGGAATCCCACAACCAGTATTACCCCGGGGAGTCTGCCTCTTCAAACACAGTGCCTCGCCATCCCCGATATCGTTAACAAGATGACTGTTTTGTTGAGTCTTTCGGATATACTCTTTTTAATTAGCATGTTCATGATGCTATATTCGTGTTGACTTCAGATGAGGATCGGTTCTGCTGAGGCTAACATAACAATCACCGCGTGTTTTCTAACACACCCATCAACGGATTTTTTCTTCTTATTTTTTCTTATCTTTTTCTCTCTTTCTCTGCCAGTAAAATTACTGCAGTGCTCAATCAATTCAAGAAAAATAATTTTCCTTTCATACAGCAAGGAGGAATTCTTTCGTCTCCATTGTTACTTTTCTTTAATTTTGCTTCTACTCTGGCTTTTGCTTTTTCGTTGTTACTTTATTACTTTTATTTTCCCTGATTATCCGTCCTCATACTCTTCCACTACCCTCTCTGGAAGATTATCATCTTGTTTGGAAACTTCCGGTCTGAACCGTTTGAGCTTTTAGGCTTTGTGATCGGGTATCTCCTGATTCTGCTTAGGTATTTCTAAGTTATTTGGGGTAAAGTTTTCCTGTCACGCCTGTGTCTTCTTCCTCGCCGCCTTATTCGTGAAATATTTATCTGCGGAAATCCCAAGATTTCTTTTATTTCATTTTTACCCCCTCCCTTTCAGGTTTTTTCAATTCGCAAAACAAAAGCGGGCATTTTCATTCCAGTTCACCAAGCCATGTTGAAGTACGAACTGGACGTCAAACTGGGGCCAAAACCCCATATTCTGGGAAATATATATAAATATATATATATATATATTTCCGGCCTGTTTTGTTTCACGAGTTTCTGTATGCATATCCTGTAACAAAAAGGGGGAAAGCGGCCTCTTATTTTGTTACATTGGATGAGCCCATGTCGTCCTGCGTCTTTATTAGCTCTGTATACACCTTATGTTCAGCCCTTTCATGTACTGTACCTGTTGTCATACTGTTTAATCTTCGAATCTCTTGTAATATTAGATTGTGCTACTATGCATGCTTGAATTTTAATTGTTTTATACATTATCTTGTGAAGTAAATAAATATTAAGAGCAAATTTTGTGGAAACGTCAATCGCTATGACCTCTTTAGACACGTTTCATGGGGAAGTAGTTCAACACACCTCCACTCCTGTATAAATTTCCAAAGATTTGACATCCATACCTCAACTACCAATGATAAATTTATAAAGTGGTAATTCACAATCCCCTACTATATGTATATATTTCAAGGCATTTGCTTTTCTGGAAAGTCACATCATATGATGTGTAAAGATTGAAAGATTTTCTCGCACAAATCTCTATGAGTTGTGTTTATATTCCTACTAACTGCCACTTTCTACGGAGAAGACCTGATTTCTGTAATCTATGAACAGAAGAAGTACTTAATGATGCAGACAATAACTCAGAAACATACTGATAAGTTTAAATTTTAAACTGACATATCATATGATATTGTAATATGGTGCATGTTAATATGTTACCAGTATTCAACAGCTCCCCCAACATTCTGGCTCTGAAGATGCATATGCAAGGAGCTGGGTCTGGAGCTGTGGAAACTCCCTGCCCTGTTATTTAGTTGCTGCGTAACTTACACCGCACCTTTCGTCAGCGGGACATCTTGTCCTCGCCATGAAGCCACTTTCACCCTCCCTTTTCCTTTAAATTCTTGGTGTCTCCGATTCTGCTACTTAAGCTTGTAGGTTTTGCTCTTAGTTCTCTTCTTAGCATTGTTGCATTGCTGTCTTGGCGTTCGGTCGTGCTTCTCCACCGCGACTCATTCGCTAGGTGAGCTTCCTTCCTTACCTCAACGTCCACGGTCTGGCATTCCAACGCTGACATTGTTGTTTTAGATCCAACCCATTTCTTGAGTTTATGTCTCAACAACGGAGACCACAGTCTGCGCTTTCTGATTATCCTGAGCCCCCAGCACGCGATCGTGCCGAACTCCCTGCCCGTCACCCGAATGGCGGCGGATCTAATACCAAAGACGGTACCCAAAGAAGCCTTGATTCCAATGAAGAATTCAATTTACCGGAGAACCATCACATAGACGAAGAGATGGATGGGGTGCGTGATGACAGTTCATTGTCTGGCAATGTGGCACAAACTATGCTTCCCCGCGACTGGCAGCGGAGGACAGCCACGTATGACTATGCGTACGAAAAGTCCCTGAGCCATGCGGAGTCGAAACTATTCTACCAGCGACATCAACTCGGGTCCAAATATGCGGATGGCGAATTTCCCCAGAGCGCGGCTGTGTCTTACCCATCAACGACCGTGCCTAACATGCCGGCTGGGGAAGGTGAATTTTCAAGTAGGCCAGCAAGTATAGCATCGCGTATGAGTAGCCAAGGGAATGTGCCATTGGCACAAGGTCAGCACCCTGTCCCGGATACGCGCTCTGGGTACAGTCCTGTTATAAGACCCCAACCTCCTTCACCTCTTCAGCGCAAAACCTCCGGTGGTTTTGCGACTCTGGACCGATCTGCTCGAAATTTTAGCCCGCAAGCCTCGACATCCAATGAACCCAAGTCACAACTGCCTTCTCTTGAAGGGACTTTTGGGACTGGCGTTGGTGCTTCTGAAGGATCCGGCGGGTTTGTGACCAATGACGATGCAATCACAACTGAACTGCGCATTATTTGCCAGAGGATCCAACTCCTTCTGGATATGAGGCGGAGGTATATTCGACTCTCATTGCAGAGAATGTCAGATAATCCACGAGATGAGCCGGGCTGGACTATATACCCTCCTCCACCTGAGCCGGCATGGGATGACGACATGTATCCTCCCGGGACCGGAAGCATGTCGAATAGTATGGTGATAAGTGGAGCCCAGCGAACTGGAATTAATTCCTCAAGTGACGCTGTTCCCCCGTCTCCTGCCCGAAGGAAGCGAAAACTTGGCCAGGATATTGGTGAGGATTTTTACTTGGAGGATCTGTTGCCAGTTCCTGGAGCGTCTCCAATGACATTTGAACTTGACGCAAACAGTGTCTATCAGGTTTACGAGAATGAAGAAGCTTGCAAGCTGAAACAGCCTATAGTTCATGTCCCGTCCCTACGAGAATTTTACATGGATTTGGATACGATCACTGAGGTGTCCACTGACGGCCCTAGTAAGAGCTTTGCTTTCAAGCGACTAAGCTACCTGGAAGGCAAATTCCAGCTTCATGTGCTCCTCAACGAGTACCAAGAGATGGCAGATAGCAAAAAGGTACCCCATAGGGACTTTTACAATGTTAGGAAAGTCGATACTCACGTCCACCACTCCGCTTGCATGAACCAGAAACATCTTCTGCGATTTATCAAGAGCAAGATCAAAAAGTCTCCCGATGAGGTCGTCATGTTTAGAGATGGCAAGCACTTGACATTGAAGGAGGTGTTCGAAAGTATCAACCTCACGGCTTACGACCTCAGCATTGATACTCTCGACATGCACGTAAGTTTATTTCCTCCCATTCTACATGCGTAAAGATCAATTCTCATCGCAGTTCCACAAGATAGGCTCATAAAGATTCGTTCCACCGATTTGACAAATTCAACCTAAAATACAACCCTGTCGGAGAGTCGCGCCTTCGAGAAATTTTCCTCAAAACCGACAACTTCATTAAGGGACGATATCTCGCGGAGATCACTAAAGAAGTAATCTCAGATCTGGAATCCAGCAAATACCAGATGGCTGAGTGGCGTATATCCATTTATGGCAGATCCCTAGATGAATGGGACAAACTAGCCGTTTGGGTAGTTGACAACAAGCTATTTTCTCCAAATATCCGCTGGCTGATTCAAGTCCCTCGGCTGTATGATGTCTACAAGTCTACTGGCATGATGGAAAACTTCGAGGAAGTTATCAGAAATGTTTACCAGCCCTTGTTCGAGGTCACGAAGGATCCATCAACTCATCCAAAGCTTCATATCTTTTTACAACGCGTGGTTGGTTTCGATAGCGTTGATGATGAAAGCAAACCGGAGCGTCGATTGTACCGCAAATTCCCAATTCCAAAACAGTGGAATACCAATCAGAACCCACCTTACAGCTACTGGATCTATTTTATGTTCGCCAACATGGTGTCACTGAACACTTGGCGAAAAAATCGGGGCTTCAACACTTTTGTTTTGCGACCTCACTGTGGCGAAGCCGGCGATCCGGATCATCTAGCTGCCGCAGTGCTCTGCTGCTATGGTATAAGCCATGGTATCCTACTGCGCAAAGTGCCGTTACTTCAGTACCTGTTTTATCTGGATCAAATTGGTATTGCGATGTCGCCTTTGAGTAACAATGCTTTGTTCCTGACTTACGATAAGAATCCATGCGCGAGCTTTTTCAGGCGGGGCTTGAACATTTCATTGTCGACTGATGATCCTCTGCAGTTTGCTTTCACCAAGGAGCCGCTGATTGAGGAATATGCTGTTGCCGCACAGATATACAAATTTAGCGCTGTGGATATGTGTGAATTGGCAAAGCATTCCGTTGACCAATGCGGATTCGAACTCTCGCTCAAGCATCGATGGTTAGGGCCGACATGCCACCGACCTGGGGTTGAAGGTAACAATATGGCGAAGAGTAATGTGCCGGATATTCGCGAGCAATTCAGGCATGAAACATTGCTGGGAGAGTTGTCATTGTAATTTCTTTTCTCCTTTCCTTTAACATCTCCTGTTTATTTTTGATGGAAACTTGGTCACTGAGAATGCGTTTTGCACTAGAATCGAAAGATATGCCTCGCTCTCATCTACTCCAGCAATACGGCCATCATCGCAATCACAGGCTTCCTTAGCAAACCCTGTATCAACGCTAGGTAAACCTAATGTCCCCGGTCCCCATCTCACAAAGTCTTTGCAGACAATCACTAAATGGACATCGTGATAGGCCAAATACTCGATTCCTCTCTCCCACGCCCAGCAATGTCCGTTCATCAATCAAATCCCTCGGCCCCCAATTTCCCAACAACCGCCGCTCGATTCCCAACCTCTCACTCCAGCACAGACCTTTACTCCCAATACCAGCACGCACAAACACAATCGCAAGTACAACCTGGAGCTACAACAGCATCCGGAAGGCTGGAAACGAAGCCAAACCCTTCCTCCCTTTTCAATACCCAGGTTGTGAGCCAGACGCCTGGCCAAATCCCCTTCTCATTCGCACCAACACAAGCACAAGACCCCGCCGCTGCTTTCCCCACGAACTCTTTAACCTCTGTCGGCACTTTACCTGAACACGGGATATTCCCGGGGATTGTGCACGCACATTTACGCCGCGGCACGGATCTGGGAAGCGGAGAGGCCGCCGGTGCCAACGCTGACGGAGATAGCCAGCAAAAGCCACAACATGAACAACAGCAAGAGCAAGTGAAAGATAATAAAAAGCATGAGTTTGATGATAATGGTGATGATAGCGACGATGATGAGGACGGTGATGAAGATGGAGAGGCGGAGAGAGGGAAGGAATGGACCTGGGGAGAGGATGGGGTCGCGGAGGAGGAGAGATATTATCACGATCTCCACCACGACGATGACGATGGCGTGCTTCCTTGGGTATGAATAAATAGATCGTGGGGTATTATTTTGGTATGGTTTTTGACATAATTATTTTTTATGTTGATTTGGTATAGTTCCATGTAAATTGAATCGAGGTTTGACGATTGGTGAATGGGTGAGACGGAGTTTTTCCATTACTTTCATTTTCTACTTTTGGGGTTTCCATTATCCTTTTTTCATCCCTTTCATTTACTTATTTTTTATTTTCCCCTCCTGGGTTCTTCTTGATCCCTCATCGCCCTCCCACCCTCGTCCTCCAGTGACCCATTTCCGTTCTTGGAAAAGGGAAATAAATTCAAAGCATCCCCCCCTTTTCTTCTAATCTTCTAATCCTGTCCGATTTTTACCACTCGTCTACATAGGAGTAAAAAGGTAGGAACGAAGGGTGTTGAATGATAGAAATTAATTATTTCATGAATCTTTACTACTACTCTTTACTCCATATGCCAATTTTATTTTTGTTTATTTGGTTTATTTTACTTTGAATACATAGTTAACTTATTTGAGACGGAACAAGCCATTCATGCGAATGAAAGCACAAGAAGATGAAATGAAAAATGAGGTTTCCCCCCCCCCCCCCCCTCCCCCCCAATCACTGATGTAGACAATCAGCAAATGGAATCCTCTCTTGAACGCAGGAACAAAAAACAGCAAGCATAAATTTATACATAAGGAAGATGAGTATCATGAAAAGCGGTTTTGCAATGTGTATATATATATATATATATATATATATATCCAACATTACCGGAATGTAAATTTCTACAAATTTAGGTATATAAGAGAAAACCGAAAAATAAAAAATCCCCCCCCCTCCGACCAACTTGCTCTATTTGAAATTATATGGTGTATCGCGCCCTGTGGAGAGACCTAACCTACCTTCCACGAAAAAAAATAATATTCAAGAGGGCTGCGGTGAGAGAGAAATGTAAAGGGAATAAACTAAACAGAACACGAAATATATACCCCCAAGAATCGAACATGCCAATCGCATAGATGTGTATGATTGAAAAAGAAAGAAAGAAAGAAAGAAAGAAAGAAAGAAAGAAGAACAAAGGATTAAAGGAATTAAAATCCACGTAGAAGTAGGAGATGGCTAACGAAAATGGAGACAACAACGCAATTCTTCCCTTGTCAATATATGAGGAAAAGAAAAAGGGTAGATAGGGCGGAAACAATACAAAGAGACAATGGAATAACCAAATCCCCTTATAGCATTATGGGATTTGAGAAAAGGACAGTAATATCAAACAGGCCGATTATGAATAAATATATCCCAGCCAGCCAGCCTATCCGTAGAAAAAGGACGGGAAAAATATAAATAAAAAAGAAAAATAAAAACAGAAAAACCCCAAAAGTCCTGGGCAGACCGGCCCGTTAATAGGATCATCAAAAACGCCAAAGGAGCAAAAAAGGGCAAATAAAGAAACTGTCTAACTTCGTCATCCAGACAATGGTCATCATCGTACGTAAAATCATGGTAAAACAAACAAAAATTCGATGACACTCACAACAAGGCAAAATGGTACTCAAATAGCCCAGCTGCCCCTCCGCGCTCGAGCTCCCCATGCATCCATCCCAGATCCATCGTCAGGCAACTGACACCCTTCTGCCTTAGCCATCCTCGGCTGCTGCCTCGCCCACTCATGAATATACAGCTTCAGTGCTGTCCAGCGCAAGCATGTGCCGGATGACACCACATTCTCACCCGCACCAAGGCCTTCGGGGACACCCACGTACCCTTTGGCGTTAGCGCGCTTGTCGTCTTTCCGTAGCTCCTCGATCGGGATGTGCGAGATCTTGCTGAGTTCCTCATCATAGTAGCGGGCGAGGCAGGGGTAGCCGAGAGAGAGGTAGTTGTAGATCTGGGTTACGAAGGCGTCATTGAATTCGCGTTTGATGTCTTGTTCGAGGAGGAGGAGTTCATCGACGTTGTCGAGGTCAGGGTTGGAGTCAGGTGGGGTTGTAGGGAGATGGGAGGGACTATCGAGGGTGCGTGGGGGAGCAGATCTTGTGGCGGTGGTGGTCATGGTGATGCTGGTGAGGCTTTGGAAGGAGCCATTTTCATCGGTGGCAGCGGGGGTGATTATCCCAAGTCTGGGTATGACCGAGGATGCTTGTTTTGGCTCATCGGTTCGGCGACATAGACCCATCCACAAGCCGCCGTTTTCGAAATCGTCATTTTGGGGGTTTGGGCTCCAGAGTCCTTCACATCTTATGGGATCTATGCAATTGTCGGCATGGTGATGAGCCGGGGGATTGTCGACTTCGCATCTGGTGGCTTGGGGTGATAGGCTTTGGGGAAAGTTGATATCTCCTCCAAGCATTGGCGGGCTGGTGTATTCGCTGACTTGGTTCAATCCCATGCGGGCCTGGTGAGAAGCTTGGTGTACTTTCAAGACATCGTTTTCAGCCGCCTGTCTAGCGGCTATTGCAGCAGCTGAGAATCGGGACTGGCCTGCGTCAAACACCTTTTGGCGGGCTCTCATTTCAGATTCCTCCTTGTGTCTTCTCATTTCGTCCAGTTCCCAACAAAGGTCAATGGTTGACTCACGCCGGAATTTCAAAAAATTCATTTTCAAGTCACGCAGTGATATACCTATACTGTCGCCGCCGTCATCTGATATGTCCTCTTCTTCTCGATCAATAGCAAAATGAGAAACAGTTTGATGGACTTGTTCGTTAGGGAAAGCGGCAAGGGCTTGATCCCTCAGCAGCTTTTGTGCCGAACGTGAAGCCAGAGACAGAAAATAGCCAGAGTACCTCTCATCACAGCTTTCGCGCAATAGGCGTTCCTCCGGGTATAGTCTATTGCTGCTGATATTGGAGAGAGTCGAAGGAGAGGTTGGAGGCGACGGAACTGGGGACCTCTCGGAATCCTCACTGCTATTCGATGGTATAGTTGAAAGTGCCGGGACTTGGAATGACCGCCCCTTTTCCTCTTGACGACGGAGAATATTTGCATATGAGTATCGGGACTCCGTGCTTTCTGGCGCGGATAGCTTCTGCTGTGAAGCTGAGGATGGTGATGATAGCCTATGCTCTGGATATTCTGCAGTGCCTCGTACAAGACATTTCTGACGGACAGAACGTGTTGCAGTTTCAATCAGCTGCGGGGATATTTTTTTGGACACGTCCGGTCCTGAAGAGGGCACCCCCAAGCGTAATGGGAGATTCTGATGAAGACGCATGTGACCCCCAGATGAAAAGCCCGTTTTGCCATTGCCAGCGATATTGTTGGGAGGGGAATCTGGATCAATTTCTTGTATTTTTTTTCGGCGGCGTTCTGACGTAGTTTCAACCAACTGTGGAGCTTTCCGACCTGCGGGCCCAGAGATCGGTTTACGGGATGACCGTGAGGTGGTCTCGATAGGTTCTGGAACAAACTTCCGTTTCGGAGAATCATCTTCCAAACCTTTGGCACTTTGTATCTGGTGTTTCCTATCCTTGGAACTGCTTGTAGGACTCTCAATCCGTTGCGGCAGGGAAGCTCTCGTCGTGCTTTCTGCAGACTCCCGTGACTGCGGAAGATGTCGGGGAGATGTAAGTTGGGAGGAGGCGGGTTCAGCGTGGTCGTTTGGTGAGGGTTGTTCTGGCAGGTTAGGTACAATAGTCCTTTGATCATTCGCTTCGGGGAATCGATCATTTGTTGCTGATATTCTGGAAAGGTCGTACTTGGAGGCGAATGGGTTGGAAGATCGGGAGGAAATCTCGATGGGTTGGGGCAGTACTCCCCGTCCCGAAGGAGCGGGAGGGAGGTTCTCCGCCATGGATACGGAAAAGCCAAGCAGAAGCCTTGTTGAATAGGGCTTTAAACGAACTGGATTCTCCGTATAATAATGTCCTCGTCATACAGAGGGTATAGAGTTCCAGGGGAAGAAGAAGCCTTATGAGAAAGAAGTAAAAGTCGGAGAGATAACTGACAAGAGCCTCGACGGCAGTCTGTCAGTCATCGACAGGGGGCCTCGAGGCCCAAACCCACGCAAGCTGGATATGGTGTGTGATAGCTGTTGAGGAGGTTGTTGCGGTGAAACAATTGTTGGGAGCTGTGCTGGGTGAGGGGGGGGGAGAGAGGTTTCGTATCTGTCGTTGCCAGACAAAATAGATTGCCTGATTATAGAATCGAATACAGAAGACACACTGGAAAGAAGTAGGCAAGTTGTAGAGAGCGAGCAAATCGGCAGAGGATGCGTGATGAAGCTGTTGTTGGCATCAAACCATTGGGGTAAGGATGTTGCTGGGATGACTTGGCCGGGTTCGTCGGGCCAGCTGTGGAGCCCCGTGTACTGGTACTTGGCCAGCAGCCAGCGAAGGCGATCGGACGCGTGGGCGCGGGACAAAACCGATGTCTCGGTACTCGTATTTACATTTCAAAAATAGAGTGTGCAGTTCACATGCCCGATTCATATGATTATCAATTGTGGTTTATGCATGCTTCTCATCTTAGATGGTTCTTTTTCCAGCAACATACCCTGCTTTCGCGAGCTCGGAGCTTAGTAACGTTACTAATGGGGCAGCTGCGCCGATAGCTGGCAAACCCCACAGTGGGTTGATAGGCGATAAGGCGCTGTTGGGTGAAACCAGCTTGTCGGCCGCGATACTGGGATATGTCGTAGATGCCTAGGGCCAATAAAGAAATCCCACACTGGAGAATCCACGGGCTGTTTGGCTGGATACGACTCCTTTTTCTTTCTCGCTTTTTATTTATCGCAGTGGATTCAAAGAGATTGCTGAACTATAGGTGAAAAGTTGATCACTCATTAGCACTCCATAGTTCCAGCAACATTGAATAAACTTTTCGCAAACCAGGAGACTGCATTTAAGCTCAAGATAGTACTAGTCTAAAACCTCTTATATCAGCCCTGCTGTTCACGATTGCGATCCAAGTTCTATCATGCTATGCTACGCCTCTCCTGTCCTTGCCTGCTCTTTCCAACTGCAAGCAGCCTGTCACTCAGCAGGTCTGCAACTGTAGCTACGAGCCCGATCACCCCAGTCTTGGTGGCGCAGATCCGGATACCCAGGGTGGTGGACCTGAAGCTCATCTCCATGACACTCCGGTTGCCTAGCGTAAAACAAAAGGAAAAGAAAAAGACGATTAGAGAAAAGAATTATTAGTGAACACCCGGTGGTAGAAAGGAAAAGCTTACGAGTACAGCGTGCATCGGCTTCCCTGGTCGGAACTAGCCGATTTGACTCCTTTACCGTGGGGGAACTGATCGAATATGGTAACTATGCGTTGAAATTATGGATTTTAGTAACATAAACGCTGATTCTGCTGTATTCCGTGATTTGGCTTAATCGCTCGATATCGAAAGCTTACCGCACTGTCCGAAGGGAGTTGCGTAGTGGACGCAATGTCCCACAAAACCTGCACGGTCGCAGAGATAAAGGCCTGCGTTTGAGGGATGATATGAGATAACACCCTCTTCGGTAGTTTTGACTCCGTTGTTGAATTTGACTTGGATGCTTTGCTCCAGTGGTGCTGCCGAAACAGAAAGGGTGAGGGAGAGCAGGAAAGCCAGGCTGATTTTGGATTTCATGTTCGACTGGGGGCTAGAAAACCAGTGCTGCTTGCTGATTGTAGATTCGGTATTTCGGGAATGGCATTCAAGAAGTTGACGAGCCGATGTAGAGCTTGATGCAAATAACTGGATTTTGTCCTTTTTGAGAAGTCTCGATTTCTTTGAGGAGGAAGTTAAACGACTCTCGTTGCGGTGTTTCCCTCAGCTCTGGATTTCGAGAACTTCGTGGCGTTTATGCAGCAGCGTTGTCACGAAGCATTCGATTGGCTGGCTAGATTTTAAAGCCACCTTCATGGGCTCTGCCTGCTTTACTTTTCAACCCATAGCTGTTCTACGGGTTCGTGGATTTCCCCGTAAACTGGAGAGAACAAAAAGGAAGAAGACTGAAAACATGTGCTTTTGATGGAGCCTAGAGGAGACTCGTAGTTGTAACCATACAGATTACATGTGCCTTGACATGTATGCCCCGTGGGGTGGTGAGGCGACGAAGGGGCGTGGTTCCAGTCTGGCCCCTGGGAATTCCATCAGGCATCTCTGGAATGAGAGCACCCAGGGCCAGTGTGCGCCCGCGATTGTCCCAATGGAAAATGAAGAGACTTGAAGATTTTGAGCAGTAATTAGCTATATTCTCAACAAAGATCAGTCATGGAGATATTGCTTGTTTAGCTAGCTTCAGCACTCATCGAATAAGTCTATCCTCTTCAGTCTGAATTAATTTAGTGGAGTTTGAGTGTAAATTCACCCTTGAAGGCTGTCCCTTTAGTTGATGATATAGAGTAGTATGTGGAACATTGTAGTCATGCAGTCTCATGAATTGAAGAGATTTTATCACGAGCTCAAGTCTTCTCTCTCTCTCTCTCTCTCTCTCTCCCTCTATAGAGTTTGAAGCCTTTCTATTGCGAATTGGTGGCATAATTGTGCGTTGAAGTGGAAGGGTGGTTAAATTGAACCTGCTACGATTTTGCTCAACGAGGTTTACCACTCAACGAGACGCGTCAAACCACGCGTTTTTTGACCAAATGCTTCAACTTCCAACACTTTGAAATGCCCAACGAGCACTGAATCAAGCTTGCAATTGAAGAATTAAGAGTTCAAAAGGTTAAGAGATATACTGAAACTGCCAAAAACATCCATTATCTCTAGAAACGTTGCGCCGGTGTTATAACGATTCGCAAGGTCTCAAGAGACGAAGTCACCTCTTGACATAAGAAGAAGCTCACAATCAGCAAGAAGAATAGCTTCTAACTTATATAGAGAAGCTTGTAGCTCGCGGATTCGCTCCTACGTCGTAGATTATTCGAAATCTCATTGCAGAGATCATCAAAGAGTCTATAGGAATTCACTGAGAGAGGCGTTTTCCTGAGCGTCATAAGGCCAGCTCGTTGAGTGGTAAGTCACGGAACGTTGGTTATGGCTGTTGCGTGATTACGTAACCTATACATGACCTAATTCAGAATCTGGATACCCACACACACACACTCTCTCTCTCTGTGTGATCCAGGTTCTTCGGGAAATATACCTTTTTCTTATCTCTCTGGTATAATACTGTTTTTACAAGCTATATCAGCAATTCTTCTTACATTTATGACGAAATGAGTCAGGCTACTCCAGTGCGGATAATCCTTCGATATCGCGAACAACCATTTCAAAAATCTTCAGCAATCATCAACACTTTCTTTACATGGCAAGATATTCAACCTCTAGAAGACTACTATACACATATATGTAGTAATCCTCCTTCTTCTTGATTATATCTTGTTCTTGATCTCTACTGCAAAACACATCCAAATGTTGATCTTAACAAGTTGAAGTCTTTCAAGTCTTAGGAATTGATTCATTGTGCGTTACCTCTTCTATGACCTAACTAAGCTAACTATATTTAGTACATTTAAGGATCTTGGAGAGTTAGCTTGCAAGCAGGTTTACCAGCAATCTGCTTCTCTGAATTGGGGGCAAGACAATCAATCTAATCAGAGGAATTAGTCAGTGTTGTTCCAGCACAGAGAGGACAGGAGCCCATTATATTTGTGTCTTGCGCATTGAGAATCAACAGAAGATCTCTCAGAAACCCAGTGGCAGGTTGGCATAGATCATTTACATCACTTCTTGCGAGTGTACAAAAGATAATGTGATCTTGATTCATGTGTTTGGGAATATGCGTACAAGCTGCGTATGTCTTGCATCCCCATTCACACATTGCGTCGTGAGAGTGAAGGAATTTGGTTAAAATTGAATATCGCAGAGAGGACCTTCACACGATGGTCTTGAAAGGAAAGGAGGCTTGAAGAGGAGACAATCTGTATTTATAGAATCAATGGTCTGTTCTACAGCTCTAAACACAATTCGAAAAGGTAACTTACTTCATTCTAGCTTATAGTATTTGCGGGCTTTTAAGGGGCAGTGCGATCGACGGAATAAATAATAGGCTCAGCACCTAGAACATGAAGGCTTCTGCGGGTCTGTTTGATCGAATTTGTGATGGTATGATACTGCTTCTTCGATGAGGGAGCAACGGAAGTGGATAATGCCCGTACGGGTAAGACTTGCGTAGATTGGAATCTTGTGTTTCGGATATATCAGCAGGCAAATGTCTATTCTTGTCTGTTCAGAGTACCTCCTTCTAGGCTGTTAAGAGATCTGTGAGTCACAAGTCACATGAAAAAATTTCTAGCAAGGGACGTGCGGCCGCAGTCAATTTACCGAGATTACAACAATCACACTGCTGCTTTATCTCAGCGAGCTCAGACCCTCTATTGGCTCGGTTGCAGCAGCATGACACTAAACTACTTTAGTTACAAGTCATGTGCTCAGAGCAATCCTCGCCAGAGGGTCTGAGAAGTAACGGTTCATGCTCCTGTGGAGATTCTTGAGATTTTCATAGATTCTTCAAATTTCTCAACTTTGACTTTCAATTACACAACAATCATATATCTTTGAGATTTGTAAACCACCTTAGGTTATAGCTAAAGAGAAGAAGAATATAAATATATAATTTTTATATTAAGAAAATCAATATTTAATATAGATGTATCTTGTTGAAAATGGTCACTTTATTTCTTGTTGAAATCAAGTAAATAGCAAATCCTTCCCGTGTTCAAAAAAAAATGAGTCAACTTTGAGGTGATACTTCATATCTAAGAAATGGGAATATGAAAATAAAAATTGATACCATCGCGAGAACATTGATTTCCCTAGGTCCTAAGGTGGTACAGAGATGCTGAATAGATGGAGTTGGTTTGCTTTCCTCACCCATACACAAGGTATAGAGCAAATCGTTCCCGTGTTGCTAACAAACTGGAACCGTTTTTTCTCAGACGCTTCACAGGATAATTGCACATCATGTGATAATGACTATTTTGGGTTAGTTGATTACTTATTTTAGATTAGTTTCTTTAAAAAGTGACTAATCATCAAATCAGTGTTAAAACAGCAATTATCCTGTGAAGCGTCTGAGCTTGCTGAGATAACTGCTGCTAGTCAAAATTCGTGATCGACTGATTGAAGGACGGCGGTGGGAGCTCGGACAAAGACAACAGGGATATATCCCTACTGGGCGTTCCTCCTGACGAAGTCCAGGGAAGAGGGAGGAGAACTCCCTGGAGAACCACTGCGGCTGCTGGTGCTGAGGTTCTCATAATAACCCATGATTGTCGAGTAGCTCTTACGGGCTCTTTGAACGTCTTGGTCACTCATTTTTGGTTTTTCTTGGGCATAACTCTGAGGCTTTCTTTTGTTGATTAGCGAAATGTAATCAATGGATCAGACACTATGCGCTATGTATCCAAGCCTTCCACAAGTTGATGCGTTGTCCTGGGCCGCCATGCCACCTAGGGCGATACTGTTGGCAAGACCCTAATGGAAAGAAAAGCACTATAAGCTTGAGACACATAACCTAAAAGAGCTTGTTAGGTATGTGGGCAACAAAGGTATCCTCGAGGCCCACAATGACGTCCCCGATGTGATCCGTGAACAGCTCTACAGAGAGGAGCACCGAAGACTTGAAAAACGGCAGTCGAGCGGCAGCAATCCCCTTGCATCCAATCCACCCTATCCTATTAATACTGTATTAATCTCTTGCCTACTCAGTCTCCTCAAACTTCCATGGACACTTTAAGAAATGTTACTTGCATCGGTCCGACAGATGATGCCTTTGAGCAAGCAGGCAATCCAGATGAAAATGCAGAATCCGGCGATTTGACAAAGGCGCTTACTTTCCACACTCTCACGGGGTTTATACCAATTTCCTAACAGACGGTAGCCAACGCAACACCAGCCATCCCCTCAGATACGAATACTCACTGCCTCGATTGCCCCAAAATCCTTGGCCCTCGAGATGATGCCGTGAAGGCATATAGGAAGAGGCAGGAACTGAATGTCACCAGTGAGACGTACAACGTGGAGATTCGAAAAGCGTGTGATGTAACGCTAGAAAATTGCCTTGATCTTAAGTAGATTTTCAATGACCAACACCCAACTTTCTTTGTTGAGAATGGCGTAAAAATAGGCATTGCTCGCCGTTTTGGTCAACGACATCGCTGCATGGGCCGAACTGTAGGAGGAACTCTTGCAGAACTAGGTGAATTGAGGACTACTCTAGCTTGCTGCTTGGGATTCCTTTGTTAATAAACAGATATAACCGAAATCACAAGATTTTAGATTAAAATAACAGCATTAATCATGAGCCCCGTCCTTTATTCTTAGTTTGTCCATCTTCAATCCATCCAGAATATCATCACTCTCGGGCAAAGATAGGATGTCTCCAACCTCAATTTTCATGTCCACCGTCCTGAAACCCTGATCTAATGCTTCTCTTATTGCACTCCGCCATATATCAGCATAAGAATCTTTCCAATCCTCAATAAAAGCTTCTGCTTGAGCACGCGTCCTAAAATGCTGGTGACATGCTCCCGAAAACTCGTTGACTTCTTCCTTGGCGCCAGGTTTTCCACTGGACTTTGTGAGTAATTCTTCAGAAAGACCCTGAATGGCAGATACATACTAATAGCAAGTATAGATACCAGGGCTTTTACCATTAGCAACGGCATAAAATGCTAGCTTGTTCGGTAATGGAGCTGTTTCGCCTGCTCCCTCCTTGAGAATCTCCTTGGGCTCCGTCACCCCACGGATTTTCATAAATTCCCGCGCCTCCTCAATGGTAACGCAACCTCGAAAATCTGCGTTACACCCAGTCACTCGTGGATGCGCATCGCCCCTCAACCAACTGTTAGTCTATCACTAGTTACTACACTGAGATTGAACATACCAGGATGAAAATATGGTAGGTTGGTTGACACGCCCCTTGTAAACAGGATAATACTCATTATGCTTGTTCTTGTTCTTTCTCTTCCGCTGCCGAGATACCATACTGTAAACCTGCCAGCAAATCTAGACTCCAGAAGACAAATAAATTTGCAAATTAATTGACTGAGGGCAGTTGAGAGTTTGAGAATGATGTTCAAGTCAAAGTAAATAAAAGATAATGTCAAAGATAATGTCAAGTACTGTAAGCTGAGGTGCTCAAACAGCGACATGAGGCTCTGGCTATCTGATCTACCAATCTCTGGCCGCCACGATTGCACAAAACCCGGGTTATCTTGACAGCTCCTCAAATTCTGCACCACCAGGTTGTGGCATAGTCACAGAGCGAAGCGTAATACCAAGTGAATTCGGATGCGCCATAAATGATGCGTCGAATCACCAGTGTGGAAGTAATCTCTTAGCTGGTTTAATACCAGCTTCATGAGGAACAAAGAGTAAGTGACCGATGTTTTAATTGTGGAAAGCATAGTCATATTGCCAAAAATTGCGGGAAAAAGTGGAAGAAGACGCTGGTATGTCTAGGAACTTGGTGGTGGCAAAAGGGAGAATTCTCCCAGGTTACAGTTGAATGTGGTTTTAAAAAAAGGGGGTCTGAAAAATAAACCATTCTCAGCTCTTCACTTCCTCACTAAAATCTACACACACTAAACATATTTTACACATCCTCAGTATATATTATTAATCAGTTGTCATAGTTACTTCAATGTTCAGAGCTCTTCAATATCTGAAAAGTAGTTATGAGTTAGAATTAGTGACTAAGAGTTAGAATCTGGGTTAGCTAAGAAATAGAACTCTGAGAAATATGATAAATCACTATCTCTGAAGCATTCAAAGCATTTGTGTGAGAGATGTGTGAGAGATATGGCTAGCACATGTAGTTTTAATGAGGAGGTTGACATGGTTTACATTCAAAACCAAACTGAAGATTATTCCAGCCCGAAAAACTAACCATGTTCAACTTTTTATTAACCACATTCAACTGTATGCCCATCAGTCATGACTTAGCATGTTACCTAGGTATTTGACCTGAAGGGTTATTCTGATTCTATGCCCTCCTTGTTCTTATTCAATGAGCCTCAGGCCGTGCCACAGGTTCATAACAAGAGTAGTTGAAGTTCTTTTACAAGCTTGCAAGATAGTAGAATAGTGAGTGTTGCGAGATATATTGACAGATTTGACAATAAGGATGTGTATTTTATGATTAAGGCGCGTATTTGATGATAAAGATGCATATTTGAATGAATCTAGAGATACATGGGATATTTTGGCTATTTTTGCAGTGTTTTGCTACTAATTTTCAGGGGGTGGCAGAAAATTCTGCTTTCGCAAGCTTTACGTCTGCCACAATAGCCGAAAAGGGGTATGCATGCATAAAGAACTGAGACGATTGCATCGTGTCATTTCAGCCAGTTTCTGATATCGAAATTGCATTAGACAAAAGAATCGATAGAGAAAAAGAAACAATATTTGAAATAACATAAGAAGGGGAAGGGGGAATGAAGATAAAAATAAAATAATAACGTAGAGCAGCCGAATTGCTTCATATCGCCGATGCCCATAGAGAATACCATATGAGACGCCGTAAACATTCATATTTCCTGATGGTAAGGAGCTTCTGCTTCTCCATCCAATAACCAATAGGGAAATGTAGATATCCAACATACAAAACTAAATCAACAAAACACCTCTTGCTGTTGTGGTCCGTTCCCTTTAGTACCAATTTGATCATTGTTGAATATGATACAAGTTTTGCCTCCAGAGCAATTAGCGATCCACCTACATATCATTTTGTGGAGAAAAAGTGGTTGCGATAAATGAGGAAAAAATAGGGAAAGTGAAGACAATAACGAGGGGCGCGGAACGAGAAATAGGGGGTGTTGTATCGGATAGGGTATCGGCGAGGATTTCGAAGATCTTCAAGATAAAGCAATCTCTTTTAATCCCCCCTTGACTTCCGAATTTTACTTTTCAAAATGATCGAAACTTCACTAAATTACTTCCATTACCTCTGGACAGCGTTCCATACGACCATCCATCACATCGTCGAGGTGTGTCTCAGCGAACCTTGCATAAATACTTCCCGACTCACTCCTTCCACTGCAATTCATATGCGAAGATCTGGTGGACGAAGTGGACATGAACATCGACCACATCATATTTACTCCCGGATCATTCCGATGCGCGGCAAAATTAAATGGATTTAAAATCGCCGAATTAACCCGGCTGGATGGTTCACTGTCACTGTGTTCAGTATGTATGTCATCTTGGCTGGCATAATCGTAGGGATCCGGAGTGGCGGGCATCCAGGAATATATCTGATCACCACCGAGAAGTGGAGATAGGCCAGGTTGTCCATCACGCCGATACAAAACAACCAGGAGGAAGGATTCGTCCTCGTCATCCTGTTCCTCCATTAAAGACAAGGTACAAAGGAGATAGGGGTCAAGATTCTCGTTATCGTCATTGTTGCTGAGGATTGATGGGTTGTTTGCCGACTGGTTGTTCTCGCTCCCATCAAGTTCCGGAGTAGCTTCGACCATCTCGAAGTCAGTCTCGCTGTCGTCGTTTGAGGTGGAGTTACAGGGATCGCAGCGGGACTGAGGGCCCGTGACTGTCGGATTGAGTTGTGGGGGCCGGGTTGCTGTGTGCAAGCGAGGAACTCCATCTTGGAGGAGTAACCTTTCCAAGGCCACTGGTGTGGTCATCTTGAGAGAGGTGAAGGGAGGTGGCAAAAAGGGGTAAGTTCAAAGTGGGTACCCGGAATTAATGAACTTTGAATGACTAGGAAAGGTTGGATATCGAAACAAGAATTGATGAATAGGGAACTATTGTAGCAATATGGAGGCCAGGCTCGATGTATATGATGACATAGGAAGCAATGTAATAGTAAACATTGAAACTTGCTACCCGAATATGTATGGAAAGCAGATAGACAGGTCCAAGTGAACTAAGAATCTCCAAGAAAGGGAAGGGATGGTGAAGGGAGGTGAAACGATTAATTGTTAGTAGGGTACCATGAAGTTTCATGCGTCCTTCATGTAGGGAAAGAGCTCTTATTTGTATTTAGTGCTAGGAGGGTCAGTCGCTCTCGATCGGGAGCGTAAGTCATTATTGAATCAGCAATCAAAGTCTGGGGTAGGATTTCGAGCTACCGTCTTATTAGCCCAGAGAAGCAAGGAGACTTCTGAGATTATCCCGGTCCTTTATCCAGGGTCTTCACCAAATTTTTATTTTTATCTTTTTTTTAATTTAATTTAATTTTATTTTATTTTTGAGATACCACCCGCCTCACCCGAGAAAAGTGGGCTGGTATTGGTCAAATTGGCCCATCCCTTGATAATGACTTGCCAATTAGTGTCTCTATAGCTGGTCAAACCTTCCCCGAAGAGTTGGGGGCATCCCCTGTTGAGCCGCCTCATAAATTGATTTGCAATGCGTTAGCAACTTGGATAGTAGTGCCATGCCATATTAGATCTAGTAACCGCCGACATGAGATTTTGAGGAAGGGAGGTCAATAGCAATTTCGTATAATTGGGGCTTGCCCGTTTGCCATCTCCAGATTGAGGGATATTGAAATTCTCTGGCTCGGCAATTTCTGTCAAGGAGAGAAAAAAGCAATTAAATTACTTTCAAGCTGGGGTTGGTTGCAGAACTGCTGCAAGCGGGGAAAACTCTGGTTCGCTCACATGGGTGAAAATTTTCTCCTTGGGTACTTTATTTTCAATTTTGAGAAGACAGGGATTTGATAATATTCGAGATCGAGGAACAGCCCATGTCAATTTGAACATCGTTAGTTCGCGTTCAATAGATTGGGATGGATGCAATCTCTTGGATATATACATCAGCAATGATATGGTGTTATGCGTCCGAAGCTTGTACATGTACGTACAGTACATAGCCTGAAATGATATATATGTGATCAGGTTTGCTCGAGTATAGGACAAGGAAACGGGACATGTCTGCCCTGAATTTGGAAAGCTCGAAGAGGAAAAATATACCTCAATCACGCAACCACGAGAAGCCAATTGATATCATGTTACAACTTTAAGGCAGCGACTATGTCCAATGACACACTAATTAGGGAATAAAAGTGAGAAAATGACATTAGAAAACAGAAAAAGCTGTATCAATGGAAGTACCATGCTTGTACTGTACCGTTTTCCAGTTGCCACAAGTTCATGAACCACATATGATTGCGTCAGCCTCGCTAGCGATACCTTACCACGTCTGCAAACTCCTCGGTGAAAGAACACAGTCTCCGTGAGTAAAAGTCAGAACTAGCAAATGACATCAAGAGAATTCGGCAGGAGGCTGAATACCAGCGAATAGCTTCCCATTCGCTTGACATGGCGGGCCCGTTTGGCAAAGCCGCAAAATACCTTGGCGCCTGAGGTCATCTGCGTTCGGGATCGGGAGCCGCCATTGTCAATTGGTCAATAGTTGCCAATGCGGAAGGAAAATGTTTCTAGCGGACTTCCATAATCCCAGCTAGTGTATCGATTTGTCGTGGCTCGTATGATCTTTAAGGAACCCTTATATGTAAGATGCACCCCCACGGTGGCTGGTGAATCATAATTGATGGAGTTGTTCATGGAACGCCCCCGCAGATGCCCAGCAGTTGATCTGCGCTATGATGTATTTTACCAAGTCACAGCTCAGACATTGAAAACGCCATATTCGACATAGTTTCCTTCCTCGCATTCGTCGCTTGATCCAGGGTTTTCTCTGCAAATATGGCTGCAACTTGAAACAACTTTTTTACTTTCCACATAGGCAGCGTTAGCATCTCAGGATCTCAGCCTAGATGTCCATTCGCGTTGTCACCCCGAAAGGGTGATATCGGTGGCAAAGGAATGCGAGCTAAAGAAGGGGGGTTAGCGTTCCAATGGATTATGAAAAATCGCTGGCCTGTTCACGTCCAGTGTCGCAAGTAGCTAGATGAGCAGTATTCATTCTCCAATTTGCTCGAGTAAATATTGTTTCGAGATAAAAAGAAGTGCTGTCTATGCCGGGTATTCCAGACAAAAGCCCCAGCTTGATGAGAGGGTGAAATTCGTGAAGCAGAGCGTTGATGGACACTGGACGATCAGTATTAGGAGAACAATGTGGATTGATAGGCACCCCCGTTAGCAAAAATCATCTGTTAGGTGAAAATTCTGAGAAAGTAGCTTTCCTTGAAATGAATTCATACGAACTTCTAGGCCAGATTTAAATGATTGATTGGCTCGGTGTTTCTGTCGTGCGCCATGTTTTAGCAATGAAGGCCTTCGCGTTCGTCAGCGTCTTGGTAGTTGCTCATTTCCGTAGTTGACATTTGACAAATGCTAATCTGCAAATTTATCTATGGAGGATTGAGAGTCCTAGTAGATTCAGACAGTTTGAAGGGTCTTCCTCGGAAGAGACGGTCCGGATTCGCCCAACCTGCACCGCCGTCGCACGACAGACTGTATCATCCTTCCTCAATGCTTATTTCTGATCTTTGACTTGGAAGTAATATGCCGGGCACTGTCCAATTGATAATATCTGTGACAAATGAGAGGGAATGGGATGGAGCGGTCTACTGTGAAGTTTGCGAACCGACTTGCCTACCTCGAGAGGACATATTGATAAGAGTAGTTTCAATTTTTTCTTTTTTCTTTCTTTCTTTTTTGTTTTTCTCCTTTTTCTCTTCTCTTTCTCTTCTTTTTCTTTTCTTTTTTCTTTTTTTTCTTTTTTTCTTTTTTTTTTTTTGATCTCGTGCTTGCTACCCCGGATTGAATTTTCTCATGTTTGAGGTTGTTTCCTCGAGATACAAGGAATTTGGATGCGTGACCGCCTCATCGCAGCTCCAGCCACTCACGTCGTGCAGAAGATCATATCTCCGTGCGTCCCTGTTGCAAGGAATGTTTTTGCAGGCTTTGCCATTCCCTGGCCATACGGAAACGGCCAACCAACCCCAAACGTGTCAAATCTGACGTGGTTTTGAAAATGCCGCCATGCATCTCGGTGTTGTCCCGAAATCATTCGCGCGGGCGCGGGTGAGGCTCTTGTACTGTACATGTGTGATTCAGCCGCTCCTTTCCTTGTTCAAGCGATTGGTCTGGTCCTGCAAGAATTCCTCCGCTTTGCGCCCAGCAAACCTTAACCACGCAGACTGGATGGATTTTCTCTGCAGACCGACAGGAAATACCGTAAAGAGGGCCGTCACAAAGATAACTCTGTAGGTGATATGTGCAGTACTAAGTTAGCAGTCACTATAATGATCTCATTATACGACCTCGGCCCCCTACCTTAGGGATCATTTTATCCTAGGCTATCGGATAACTCACCAATATTCGAGACGGGAATGTCGACGGATGTATCCTTCGCTGGATGAAATTTTTCCATTATTCCTCTACAAATGAACCGCGTTTCATTTGGCTTTCTTCTACTATTCCCACGGCATCTGTTAATTTGGCAATCAGCATCAGGTCCTCTATTTTTCTGGAATGTTGAAGTTCTGTAGGTGCAATCCAGTACCTACTTAATTGCTTGGTAGCTAGGTGTAAATCATGTCAAGGAGTTGAATGTGATACAAATGAATGATTCTGGCAACTTCCCTAGAGAACATAACCTCTTCGTATATGTTTACCTCAACTCAAAATGATAGGGGTAGATGGACATAACCTTGGAGGTGGTTGTTGCCCTGCCAGAATAGGCAATGTTGAACTTCATACACACGTCTCAACTCATTCACTTACATATTGTACTCTTTGCTCTCACCATCATTTCACGAAACCAAGTCTCTACGTCAATCGCGTGCTCACTTCTTCAAAGTCGTCTAACAATGCCCACACTAAAACAGCTCTCCTGCCAAATAGAATGGGCCGGCTCGAATGTCCCATTCAAGGAGTATGGCACCGTCTATGGCGACGGGTACGTGGAATGCTACATAGCCATTCCCAACTCATCTACTCCCTTCTCGATTAATTTGAGGTCGGACGGCTACATTGCGGCAGGCTTAGCTATGTTTGTCCTCATGGATGGAGTCTACCAATGCAATCGGAATAGAGATGACCTGCGGCAAATGGGCAAGTCATCAGACGCAACGACAAAATTTAGAGATGTTAACTTTAGAGTCCGACAAAGGGAGGAGCGGCTGCCGAATGGCGGATGGGTTGGGAGACCCTGGAGATTCGCGCCATTCCAGCTAGGTATGCCAATGGAGAAATAATATACTGTTTGTAGATCTTTGATAAAGACTTGCTCAAACACCGCGCTACAGTCAGATCCCCAGAGAACAATCGTGATATCGCAAAGCACTTTGAAAGATTGGGTACTATACAGGTTGTCGTTCTTCGCTGCGCGGCGCATCCAAGGGCAAACATTACCAAAGATGATGACATATCAGACGGCACAAAGACTCCGGAATCCGGAATGGCTCCCGGTTCGGAAGGTGAAAGCATTGCCTCACCCCTCTCTCCTCTTCCGTGATTACAGATCTTCTAACAAATAAGGCCCTATAGATGATGGCTCTATCTCAAGTGAAGAGTCGCTCGTATATGAAAACCACAACAGTCGATTCCAGGAAGGCAATGAGGAAATTTGGGGGGCTTTCAGAGGATTGTTTGATGGGCCCTATGACAGTGAATATTATGTCCAGAAGCCACCAAATCAGCACAGTTACCCAGGTTGTTGCCTGTGCCATCGCCCCAGTGATAATTCCCAGGCAAAACCTTTTGGGTATACACATGGCCATATCGGCGGATCTTGTCAGAATCATAAGCATTCTCAGCAACAGCCCGCTCCTGAATCGAATTGCCATGCGGATCTCTCCCGCCAAGAAACCATAATAGATGCGCCTGACATTCCTCCATGCGGCAGGCGACTCCCGGGGGGTCACAACTTACGACCTCCCAGTGGTTGTTGCATGCCTCGGCCGAACTTGCCGGTGAATATTCATGAAAATTATTCTCATCTCACGTTCCCGTCGAATGGATATATACGGAGTTCTACATCTTCAGGAGGGCCAAACATGGTGAACGCCATTTCGAATGGGGAGGATCAAGGTGGTAGTCGATTTTCCGCACCACCCATTGTATTGAATATTAGTCCCCATATATGTAAAGAGAGCGGCCATTCTCACGGAAATAAGCATGATAAATGCCCAAAGTCGGATAATAATGGTTATTACGTGATTTCTGATGGCAAGCGGGTCCCCGAGAGTTCAAGCTGCGGCTGGCGCCAACACAACTCTTGGGAGGGCGGCGCTGGCGTAGGTGATATTGGGAGAAAGAAGTCTAGGAGGAGCAGGCGAAGGTCTCGACGCAAAGATATGCAAGAGGGATATCAAGCAGATTCAAAGCAACAAGACGAAGGCCCTAGTTCAGAGTGGAATGATAACAAACGAGACCAAGATGGGTGTAGTACTTCGGGTAACAATGAACACCAAAGACAGGATCGTTGCGGCGTGGATGGCGAGGCTACCCCCCGCCCATGGGCGGAGAGCAACCAAGCCGACAATACTAATAATGTCATTTCACCCCCAGGAGACTGGGATAACAGTGATGGGAACCACCGAAGTTCCAGTTGGAATCAAAACGCTGCCTCTAGCCCCAAGACTCAATCATTTGTATCACTGAACCAACATCAAGAGCCCCCAACGCGACAAACCCACGAGTTTGACCAATTTTGTGTCTCACAACGACCTGTTTTCGTTTCCCCAATGGTTTCGGAATGGGCGACGGATGAGCCTCCGTTGTATACGGTTCCTGAGTCGGTTGCGCGTGCAGAATCCCTTACCCACCAGGTTCAATTGGGGCCACAGGCGAGATATACGCACAGGATCAGGACCCCTGAGTACTTGGATACTATGGACAAGCCATATGCAGAGTTCATTTTCAAATATCGGACAGCGGGTGAGTCTCTGATTGCGATATTGGACCTGTTCCGACCGCTGAGCAATTCGTTAGATGTGATACAAAACAAATTCGACGTAGAGGTCGCTTTAGATATTGATGAAGAGAGAAGAAAACTTGAGGCACTTCCAAGATTTGAAATTGTGAATCAACTCCTTCGCGCTCAGGTGAGACATTCTATATTTATTATATTAATATCATGATGTTCATTCAGTTGAAGCTAACCACATCCTCAGGGCCTCCTCTCAACCTCCGACATGAACAATAATCGTAGTCCCAGACCATCACCACCAGCTCCACTTGCACTGCTCCTATCACCGACTGAACGAACCACACCCATGGATAGTTTGCCAAATATGAATGGCAACTTGCAAAATCCCGGCAATGGGAATCGGTTTAGTTGCGTTGCCAATAGCCCGCCCTGTCCTCCTCTAGGCAGTCAACGGCAGCAAAGTGGCTCTGGTGGCGGAAATACCAATACACAACCAAATAACGGATTCCTTGCTTCACTGAATCCGAGACTGGAAAAAGTATCGCAAAGCAGCAATGGTGGTAATGGGGGCTGGAACGAAAAGTCTTCACACATGAATCAGAACAGCGATAACGGTTTCCTTAACACCTGTGATAACGATAACAACCTTCGGCAAGGTTGGAATACATCAACGACATTTGATGACTGTGGCGGAGGAAATGGGGTCCCTGAGAATGAGTCAGGACACTGGAATTCAGGGGGAACAAATGAAGCCCACGTGGAGTGGTAATTAAATGATTAATTAATGTGCGGGAATGGGGTGATTTTTGAAACTAATGAACCGGCATCTGAATACAGGGGCAAGTTGTGAATGGATGGTATTCAAAGCTGGGGCTGGAGTGCACAGCTTCACTGGGGAAAGGTTGTTACTGCTTGAGGGCAGAGATACATAAACACCACAACAGCAGCAAATAAACATGAGCAACGTGGTCTGTCATGAAACAAAATTTGAATATATTTGAAAGACGGAGGCAGAATGAAAAGAGAAAAGAGAGAATTGACAAGGAAAACCCGATTCACATGATAAAATCTATCAATAACGCATGTATCATTTGATGAACTTGAAACTGGAGGGGGGAAAAGGCAGCTATGACATCTTCCTTAAGATAGGAATCATTGTGTGTGCCCGGCTGGTGAAATCATAAGATAACATGACCGAATTGTATCGTATAGGTCGAAAGTCACAATTGAACGTGGGATGGTCGGGTGCAGAGATAGCACGTCCCAAATAGTGTCGATGGAAAGAATAATAAGAGTCGGAGTCACTCTGGTTTTGAGTTACCCACCGTCAACCTATGGCCGGTCCGTTCTAGCTAAGAGGGACATCTAATGACCACCCGCAAAACTAGGCCCCGGATTTCTATAAAGCATCTAAGTTATCGTTCACGAAGCCTGGGCCGTTTGTCAAATCTCTCTGGGACTTTGTTGCAAACTATCTGCAATTTTCACATACACAACGCTCTCGGCGGTATGTAGGTATTCCAAAAACCTTTAACGGACAACGGGGCACACGGATATCTCCAAACAGAAAGCCATCCTCAAAACTTTAAGATTCTCTCCTGCACAAATGAATATTGCAAAACCCATCTGGATAGTGGGGGATGCAATGCACCAGTGAGAGGTGAAGGGGTAATTGGAAAAAGGGGAAGGAGTGCGGCAAAGCAAGCAGATATTAGGATGAACGAAGAACTGGAAGGAATTTAGGATGGCGTTGATGTGCGTGTGTTCAATAGTTTTGTTGTTTTTTCTTTTCGAATGAGGAATGTCGGGAGACTGAATTTATATGAGTTCGAGAGTGGCAGGAGGCGGGCAAGTGTTGCAGCATCGAAAACATTTCCACCAGATTTTATGCAACACAAAATTCTGTGGGATGAAGGATGGGGTAGTAATATCCATCCCATCGTGCGGAAGTAGTTCTCGTTGATATGTGTGATATCTTATATCCTTCTTTATGCAAAAGGGGAACCACCGGTCGAATTATGAAGATAAAAGGGATAGATGGACGACAGTAGGAAGTGAGCGGCGGCTCTTCATACTTCCTCTCACTAGCCCTTCAATTTCTAGAGCATCGTGTCAAGGAAGCTGCCTACACTGCGGTCTCTGGCCTTTAACCCAAGTCTGTGTTCTCTGCGCCAATTTAGTGTTGGATTCCCCAGGTATTGGAAGATGTGTGAGCTATACTGAGAATTGAGCAGCGGGGCCTGATTAAACTTGAGCTGGTGGGAGAGACTTGAACCCCGAGATAGGGCCAGATTATTCACCTCATAAGAATGCTCCACATGGTGAGCAAATTTTCCCAGAGTGTATGGATGAAATTGAAGGTACGTGAATGGATGAAATGTTAGTATGTAGCTGCTTCTAATGAACGTATGGCAAGATGAATTTGACCCTCAGACACCTCGGGCAGAAGAAAACGCAGGTGAAGAGCAGTAGGGGTGAAGAGTAATCGCAGCCTGTTTCTATTCAATATCCGGATACTAATGTAATCTGAGAGTGTGTTGTTAAGTTGGGCAACCGAGAGGCTAATTAAAAGAAAGTTGCTTAGAAAACTAATTAGTTTTAGTGCAAGCTTTCATAGTCACTCTGTCGCTGTCCCGGATAATCAACTTCATCTCCGTTGAATTGTCAAGGATCGTATTTTTATGTGGATTTTGCTCTAGGAGGATACTAGTAGGCGTATGGGAGATGCCACGAGGAAGACACATAGGATACACATTCTGTCTACCAACGTTGTAGAGTATCTGATCTCGAGTAGATAGATGGTGAGGAGTAGCTACTGTGGATACTAGCCCGTGGACGCCATAATATTGGCTTGACCTTTCTGGCGACTCAAAATATACTCTGTACGCTGGACGAGAGAAATCTCGAGAGAAGACAGTTCCCCGTGTTGTATGGATCACATTATGAACTCTCTGCCCATATACAGATTCCTGTACAAACTGACAGAGAACAGTTGGCCGACCACTGGAGATAAATATTAAATCGAGGTGGCTTCGGCCAGCTCGATTCCACTACTGACCTATTTTTAGAGTGTTTTTCTTTGAAGTTTTCTTTTCTTCTTCCAGATTCTTTCAAACAACACCAAAGAAGGCCCCTAAAAAAGCCAACTCCCACCCCAAAGCCAGGCTAAACGCCACCATGTGTGTCATCATTGGTTGCTTTTTCCCATCTCGAGCTCTCCCAGCCTAGATAATCTATGTGCATAAAGAGGCTTTGATCAAAGAACGATCTCAGCATCTGCTTGTTACTTTCCTCCCAAGTCTAAACGATGCAACGCGTCCGTCCTCGGCCATGATGCTGCATCCAGGGACAATGGAGTGCGGGTTTCAAAAGGCAACAAAAAGTTGAAGAATATCAGTTCTATGATGATTGGCGGGGTTCTCTTTATTACTACTTTTCCCGTGTCAAGGGAGAATGTCTTGCTCCGTTGCTCTTTGGTATTTTTATCCGGAGGACTCTTCGCCTCCCGTCCCAATGCTTCTTTGTCAGTTCTCTTCAGGAGTCCTTAGCTAAGGACTGCAACAAGTTTCGCACTTCCGTTGCCTCTTTGTGTCGTCCGTCTCCAAAGCATAGATACACACTCAGGTCTGATGGCTATAACTATGCATGTCATGGACATTTCCATATTCAAGAGGTGTTGCTTTTTCTCGTTTGCCGGAGTTGCTGTTTCAGGGCTGTTTTACTGTCTCCTGCCTACCGTATCTTATTCGAATAACCTAAATATTGAGGTGAAAGAAGAAAGGCGACACCCAGAGTCGATGCTTCCCCAGCGTGGCCGCTTGTCTTGTTGAAAGGGTGTCAATTGCAGCTTCCAGTTCATTATATTGGAAGACGAGCACCGGGAGTTGTATCTGGAAACTTTGGATTGTGGCATGCTTGTTTTCCGATATTCCAATTATTTGTTCCCCAAAAGTTCTTTTTCACAGTCGCCAAACCAGTACGAGTGATCGAAATTATTATTGGGATATTCCCACTTGCCGAAGATGCACATTCAAGAAGACTCGAGCGAGAGCTCAGGAGGGAGTACCCCGACGTGGTCTGTACCGGCACCTCCAATTCGTCAGCGGGTATGCTGAAAGAACTCGGATCTTTCTAACTTTCGAGTCATCCACGTCTGTAGTGCCTCCTCGTCATCTTACATGGAACCCGGTGCCATTTACGTGCAAAGACAACCCTCGGGAAAACCCGCATTTGTCCGTCGACCAAGAGGAATCAAGACTCCGGGCGGGTTATTAGCAGATGCACTATTTAATCCCCACCCGGTTTCACAGAAACATAGCCCATCTCAAGCGCGTGATCAGAAGATATTTGAACCTGCAAGCTCACCTGAACCCCAGCAGATACCAGCACCACTGTATGAACAGTTTCAACAATACCCGCATCCGCAGCAACATCCACTGCAGTATCCGAGGCAGCCTTTCTCCCCGAACGTTATGGCGCAAATCTTTGATTCGTGTGAAGAATTGTCTCCCGAGTGGGCAAGAAAGATAGGGCAACGTGTACTCGTGGTCGCGCCATCGGGCAGTATCGACCACTGTGCAGCTCGAGTCTTCGTTAAATGCTGCCATTCCTGTGATTGTAGAGGTCGCAGGAGAAACTCTCATCGCGGCGGGCACAGGAGACACTATGGCAGCACTAGTGAAGAGAGTGATATAGACAGCAGTAGCGAAAGTGATATTCCAGTTAAGAAGCAAAGCCAGAAACACAAAAGCAAAGGAAAGCATAGAAAAAAAGGCTCCACGAAGAAGAATATCAAGAATATGTACGATAGCAGCGAGGAAGAGGGCGAGAAAAGACGCGATTTCACTAAAAAGCCGGTGCGGCCTGTGCATCCTGCAAATCTTGTAGGTTCTGGGAGATATGACTCAAGAACCGGCACTGTGCGCTTTTCCAATCAAACCGATGAACCGGACTTCAGACGGACGAATACCGCAGATTCGAGCAGATACGTCAACCATTCGGCATATCCTATCCCGCATAATCCGGCAAACGGTCCTGGATATTATCCAGCTAGCCCACCACCCCCTCATCCTCCAAATGGTAACGCAGCAATGCCAATTTATCATCCAGTCCCACATCCTCCTGCCCCAGAACAGGTGCAACAAACTTCCTACGATGACAGCCGAAGGCATTACGAATACCCCTCCTGCGCCGAGGTAGCAGAGCCACGTGGCCGTGAAAGTAGGAGGCGAGCTCGCCCTCCTCCTCCTCCGCCTCGGCGGAGCGCTTCCCACAATCGTCCTCGTAGTTTTCAATATCATCCGGACGATCAGCGATACTTAACAAGGGAGCATGTGCGAGGGCCTCGAGGTGAGTGCGCTAATGATTTCCGTCTCATTTGGTATCCCACGGATCGCTATCTAACGAGTCACCTAGGGGTAGATGAGTACGATGAGTACGACATGTACTATTATTATACGTCCGACACACTTGACCATCCCCGTCGCAACCATACCCGCCCCAGCAACCCAGATCAATACGCACGGAGGCGGCGGCGCGAACCGCCACAAGAACGCAGCTATTCAAGACACAGGCCAGCACACAACCCTGCTATTTCGCGCGGAGGTTTTGACCGACGGCCGGTGACAGAGGTGAGAGAGGTAAGGCCGGTTCGCAGACATGATGAACTAGACCCACCGACACGCCCAAGACGGGAGAATTAGGGATCGGCACTTTCATTGAAAATACTGGGCTTGTTGAATGCTTGGGCGGAGGGGAGGCTTGTCGTTTCATAAGCCCGATGCTGTAGATGAAACATGAGGGGAGTTGATTTTTTCCTTTTGTTCGTTACTTTCTTTCCTATCCTTCTACTTCTACTTCTTCTTCATTTCCCTTCCTTGGAACTGGTGATATTGGCTACTTAATTTGCACGTGTAGTGTGTTGATCTTGTTTTTGCTCCCGTTGAAGGATTTTGTATGATACATGGGGTTGATCGTTGATGCCGGACATGTGTGTTCCATGTTGTTAGTAGTACGCCAGGGCAATCGAGCATTTTGTACCTCTCAAGCATTCAATAATTGAAAATATGATAAAGAGAATCTTATCCAACTGTTTCTCTGCTAATGGCACTTGGTAGTTCTTAACAACTACACACCCTCAATCCACCGACCAGGGATTCAGACAACCTTTCCATAATCATACAATAAAACACCAAAATGGTAAGGTAGTCACAGTTGTGGTGACCGGCACTACCAGGAAATTCCAACCGCGCTCAACCCACAACCCCCTTGTTGATCTCTAAACCAACGGATTCGAATACAGCTGCATCTTAACTTCATCCGTCCTGATCCGGATGCTGACTGCAAAGGAGGGCCCACAGCGCACAACCATGCCCCAGCCAGCGCAGCAATTTATCACAGTAGTCGTCAGCTCAGGAAGGATCCAAGCACGGTCCTGGATAACCAGGTTATTTTCGAGAGAGATGGATCACCAGGGCCCGAATAAATTGTTTCGACTGATGCAGGCAGGGGACACGCATTCCATCCGGAACATGATTTGGCTTATAGAGTGTTCCCCGGACTCCGCAATGATTAATATAAGTCCGGAATAACAAGGAAGGGATGAATGCTACTGCTTAGCATTTTCCACGGTGTATATCCTTAATCGACTGGTGGTCGCGCTGACTTAAGGTCTGCCAAAAATCGTGGCAAGAGCCACTGTTCAGGTTTCTGATTGAAACGAGCTCGGCTTTCGAATGCAATGCCATCTGCGCTTTGCGTAGGATCGGGCTGTCCAAGCGCCGTCGTTGGGTTGGTGTTTGACATATGCTCGTCATGGATGAAAGATGACGGGTGATCTGCAGTATCCCTAATTCATTATGTGTCAATGCGCCAATTCCAACAGGGCCCTGGATAAGCCTGAAAGCTCTACTTAATATGTGGGTTTTATCGGATATACATGTAAAACCTTGCATATGTGATGGATTCTGGGCTGTTATTGGGTCTTTACATTACGCACTGCCTTAGTAAACTCCAAAACCCTAAGGCACTAAGGCAGGAAAATTGCAATGTAAAAGTACCATCAATCCCCCCAGGTATAACAAGTTCAGCAAGTTGGTCTGCATGCGTTCATCTTATACTTTTTACCAATTACAGCATCCACCACCATCCATGATAGGGGGGGTTAGCATGATCTAGGGCGCAAAGAGGAGCCAGACAGGTTAGATAAGCTGCATAGAGCCAGCCGTGTTATATTGTCAATGGTTGACAGTGTGCCTTGGGAAATAAGCATGAAATTCAGGTCGTGGGCGATAATGGCACGCTTGGGCTATTTGCCTCATGAAGTAGAAATTCTAGCATACATAGTTAGTCAATTGTTCTTGACCTCTAGAGACAATAATGGTTGGGCTGATTTCAAACCTCAGTTTTGTCATTTAAACAACTCTCCTTAGTACGGAGTGAGTGTATCCCTTCATTTTTCAGTCACGACGAAATGTGCGATTGACAGACATAATTGCCGGAAGTAATATACGTTCTTCGGCTTCAGTTTTCATATGAAACCATATATTCAACCCTCGTATGCCTGTATCTATAGTTTACATTCAATTTTATTGAGTCCTATTGAGGCATCATTTTCTCACATTCCCGATTGTTGTGCTCGCCGGGCGCACACGCTCGACGAGCTTGTCAACGCCAATAAACTTATCTGTACTCCCGCACGAGGCTCTCACTTCCCAAAGCGTCCTAGGCAGGTATCGCGAAATATAATGCTGCGAAGTGTCCTTCGCGACACCAGTCTTTGATATCCAAGTGTATCCTAATTGTTTTCATGCTCCATTCTGCATTGATTCCTATCCGATTAGACCTGGATGCTTAAGATATCGTCGGGAATTTATAGGTATAACGAAATGGTAGTTCACTGCGCCTCTCGTGCAGAGCATCGCGATATACCGACAGGCACATAAGCTGTGTTGTACAGGGGTGGCTTTCGCCCCAGAGCCGATACAAAGTTTAGCCTCCAACAGTCTCACACATTTTGAGGACGACATATACGGGCTCCAGCCATGCATACATGCCAGGGAGAACAAGTAGAGTCTTGATCCAAAAACCTCAATCAAAACTACAAAAATTTCCCACCAGAAAATCGGGTGTTGAAATCAGAGGAGCGGTTGAGCAACTCTCGTCTTTGAGCGTGGTTGATCTTTGTTGGGCCTCGAATATCCTTCTCTTTATCGAATGGACGGGCACTTGGGTCATCCTCCTCCTCTCCCTTCGAGGGCCGAGCTTGATGTTGCGCGTAGAGTGTCTTACTCCGCTTCTTCTCCTGCATGAAGCCGTTAGCTAGTTGATTTTTACCCCCAGTTCAGACTGCTCATTCACTAGACTTACATTGTATTCTCGTACCCGTTTTGCCATCGCATCGTCATGCTCGGAGCTTGGTACTGTCGGCACGGCTGTTGAATTCGCTGGGGCTTGTATGCCCATAACCTCAGCCTCTAACCGTTTTCGCTTGTCCTCAGCCGTCTCAGTCCAAGTGCCTATGCCAGACGAAGTCTTCGGTGCCGCACTCCTGCCCGTATTGAATTTCCGATTGCGGATCTTTGTTGGATCGACACGCGACGACCAGTCTCCATGTTCTGGTGGGTGAAGCATCCAATCATCTCTTTGAGTAGACTTTGGTTTCTCCTCTGCTGAATCCTTCTGGCCTTTTTCCTCGATATCTGCTTTTACAGTCACATCTGTATCTCCTGGGGGCAACGACGGTCCGTAACCGTCATCGCTCTCGCTATCACTGCTGTCGCTGTCCTCAACTTCTCCGAGATTGGGGGGCAATGTTGGCCCAATGACCTTTTGCCTTTTGCTACGTTCACTCTTGCCATTTGATTGAGGCTCGCCTTCGGTATGCGAAGCATTATCTATGTCCTGAACTTCGTCGCGCTTGCGCTTATCGCCAGGCGAGGGAGGACGCTGAGGGCCTGACTGTGTCATATTCGATTCCTTTGTTGTCTATCTGGAGTTATTGAGCCGAATATAAAACTTAGTTCATGGCTGAGTATCGAGATCAAAGCTCCAAGTCTTTGGTCCTAAATTGTTCCTTGAAGCTTCGGTGGAGTGTGGCGGAATATCATTGTTCCGGTCACCAACAGAATCCGAACGCTGGCATCGGTGCAACTTGCACGGAGTATGGCTATAGCCAGCCAGCAAACTACAGGTGTGCTTCATATTTATTTTTTGACCTATTGGCTCATGTGAACCCCATTTCAACTATTCAAAGCGACAGACTTGCCTCACTTAACTATGCCTGCTGTCGTCAACTAAAATGTGTTTGATACTCACCTACCGATCCATCGTTGAATCATGTTTGTCTAACTCCATGATTCCCAATAATACTGGTAGGAAGAGGTCGGGTCCAGCGGAAATGGCCTAAATGGAATTGGTTTTCATTAATCAACAAATGAAGTCCAAGAAACACCTCAAACAAATCTCTTTCCAGGAATTCTGTTCCTTCAAAAGGGCTTGGGCTGGATGCAAGAAATGAGGCTGATGCATTCATCCTATGTTTCGAAAACCACACCAAGCCACTCGCCAAAGCGTCTATTTATTTGTACTTGGATGTCTAATTGGAATGGGATGAAACGCTGGACATTTTAGAATGATAAGGCTTGACCAGACTCTCACTTCCCTCTATCGGTCACATTTAGCGTTAGCAACGCTGGGAGATCACATTATCGAAATTTGAGTTGCAGCGAAAGCTATGAAAACTTTCACATAAGGTGGAAGGAGGATCTGGAACAGAGAAGAAATATTGACATCGGCAATCCACCTCCATCCCCCGGAGCACAGTCCCTGGATCCGGATATCTAATACCCCATCTTCAGACATCGCGCATTCTGGATACTAAATGCTTGCGGCAAAGATCTAGAAAAAAAGAACAGAAAAAGGAGGTTGCAGCGCGGCAATCGCCAAAAATAACCTGATGCAGATCATCGCGGCTGCGCAAACATTCCTCGTTCTCCAGGATGTCACTGACGGTGTCGGGTCAATCGTGTCCGTTGACGTACCCATCTACAAGACTGTCTGACGCCTCCAATCCCTTTTCGCTCTCTCAGCAGTTGTACGGACCCAATCCGTCGATGCCATCTCATTCGGGGAAAGCTAACATCTAAACGGATGACCTCCATTGGGTCACGACCTTCTCGATGAGCTTCTGCCAGATATCATTGCACTCATGGACACGCACATTCCACGACTGCAAGTTTGCGCTCTGCCATTAGTCAGTATTATGGGAATGAGTATGAGATGCTGATGCCATGGACAAAGGAGATGTCGATTAATAGGGGTATGGAGTAAGGTAAGGAGTGCTTGTGAGGAATTGTGAAATAACCGGATTTAACCATCTCTCAACTCAGAGTTGTTGAAGCGGAGGATGTGAGAGGCTACATCCTCACTTTTATTTATTTGACTCTCAAATGCTTCTTCCTCTTCCTGCTAGGAAGGAGTTTGATTCCCACTGTATATTTCATATTTCAAATCGAATACTTCATATGCATTTCCTTTTATCAATCTTGGATGAAAGTGCCTTATTCCATGAATATTTAACTTGATTCTGCTCTACATTTCCAAACTATGATAACCGAGCAACAAAGCCAATACCTGCCACAATTCAGAAGGTATGTCTATATATAATAAGGACAACACCATAGTGTAACCGAAAATGGAAAATGCAGGGACTTTATTAAATTACTCCAGCAACGCCCGGAGCCAGCCCAAACCCGTTCGACAACACCTGTATCCAATCCACCTCATCGAAGATCAATAGTAGACTCCATGATACCCAGCGATTCATTGGAAGAGCTAGGGGGCAGTAGTTATGTGATGTGCGTCCTGTTTGCTGGTGGACATGGGACTCCTGAGTAGCCACAGCATCAGCTGGAGTATCATTTCCACAGCCTCAGAAGTAACGTACTAACCGAGAACCCGATTCCTGAGAAGAATCTAGCTTATTAGGTACCTGCTTCTGTAATTATAGAGGGGATATACCTCGCCTCAATGTAAATAATTTAAAGTACCTGTAATATCAGCTCCTTAAGTGGGCGCTTCGAACCGACCGACCGTCTTTGAAGAGTAGAACAAAACACCCCTCTAAGAACGATTGGTATTCAATTATCATCGATCTCCATCGGCTCAGCGTCAAAAGGTGAATCCAGATCAAGGGGTTCGGGCAAAGGGAGCATTGCAGATGTCGAGGATGCAAGTAAATCCAATGACGAGCCACTCCGCAGGATACTCATCCCCAGAGCCCCATGTCCCTTCTCCCCAATAACCTCCTTCGCCATATCCTTCGCCTGCTCTTTCTCCGTTCTCGCAGACTCGGCCTTCGCATGTGCCTGCTCCGTATCCTCGATAACAGCCATGGGCACACCATCCTGCGGTTTCGGCACGTTCAACGACGACGGCGGCCGGTACAGCACGAGCGCATTATTGGCGGAAGGAATGGCGTGACTACTGTCGCTACTAGCCCCCAGGACGGACTTGGGGACACACATGACTCTCTTCTCGATATCGCGGAGGAATGGCGTGTCGTTCTTTTCTTGTGTTTCGATCTCTGCGATTTCGCGGTCCAGATCGTGGATGTAGACTCTGTGTTTTGTTTCGTCTATTTGCATGAACTCGTCCACGGGCGCGGTAGCAGAAGCAACGGGTATCGGGTATTGTGGTTGGAGCACCGGGGGGGATGTAGAATGGGAATCATCTTGATTATTCGACGGAGTACGAGGGATGGGAGGTGGAATAGAAATAGATGGAGCTATAAAAACAAAACAATAATAATTAAGGGCAAGGGAAGCAGAATGTTAGTTTATTCCAGTAAATTGAGACCATCCAATGCAGCTGACTTGATTAAATAATTAAAAACAACTCAGAGCATACCGATGTGCATCAATCCAAACTTTTTCGCTAGGCGTCGTTGCTCTCCCTCCAGCTCTTCACCGGCAGGCCTCTTTTTGCCACGGCCTTGGTGGCCCAGCGACACCGCACTCGCTGGCGCCATTCGCCTGCCAGCCCCTTGTTGTTTGACGGAAAAGGTACTCGTGTGCCCAGGGACGAGACAGCGCTGTCAAGAAGGCATAGCTCGCCCACTTTATTGTCCAGCCCCGTTCGTCTCCCCCGTTCTTCTCGTTTGGATGGGAATAGGAGGAGAAAGAGTCGTGCGAGGCGTGGTGCTGCGCCGGGGATTGATATTGAGTTCGCGCGCGGGAGCTGGTGATTGTGCTGGTATTGGTATTGGTATTGGTGCAGCTGGCGGTGTTTCTGGAGGCTTCTTCACCCGCTTCTTCAACCGCCGCCGTTTCCCCTCCCCCGCCATCGTCCACCCCTCGACATCCACGCCCGCCATCGCCACTCCTACCGCCCGTTTCCACCACCACCGTCTAGCACACTCAGCTTTCAAGATGGCTTCGGTGCAGACTGTCGAGCAGCCAGAGTGGCCGGCTCTGCGCGTGCGGAATGCCTTTCTAGACTTTTTCAAGGAAAATGGCCATACCTTTGGTAAGTGGGGTTTTTCCCCCCTCGTCCTGCTTTTTTTCTGGTTCTGGCTTTTTAAATATATTCGGGTATATATATATATATTTGCATATTGCTAACTCCATGAAAACCGTATACAGTGCCCTCCTCTTCCGTTGTACCCCTCTCAGACCCAACTCTACTATTCACAAACGCGGGAATGAACCAGTACAAGTCCATTTTCCTAGGCACTGTTGATCCAAACTCAGATTTTGCGACCCTGAGACGTGCGCATAACTCACAGAAGGTGTGTGGCGTGCCTTTTTCCGCTTTATTGAGACTTATAGTAAATATAGATTGCTGACATGTGGAAACAGTGTATACGTGCTGGTGGAAAACATAATGTATGTGCACTTTTGCGCAACGATTGTGCCCACTGAATTTTATACTGATAAAATTTTTCTTTACAGGATCTTGATGATGTCGGGAAGGACAGTTATCACCATGTGAGTTTATTCTTGATAGTGAACACCGGTCTACTGGGCGTGGCGATTCTGACATGTTTTGTTGTTTCTAGACCTTCTTTGAGATGCTGGGTAACTGGAGTTTCGGAGACTATTTCAAAAAGGAAGCTATCAGATATTCGTGGGATCTTCTCACTAAAGTTTACGGCCTTAACCCTGACCGGTTATACGTGACCTACTTTGAGGGAAATCCCGATGCGGGCATCGGCCCTGATTTGGAGGCAAAAGAATTATGGCTGTCCGTGGGCGTTGCAGAGGATCACCTCCTCTCTGGGAATATGAAGGATAATTTTTGGGAGATGGGAGAGCAAGGGCCATGCGGTCCCTGCAGCGAAATCCATTACGATCGAATCGGAGGCCGCAATGCTTCCCATCTCGTGAACCAAGATGACCCGAATGTGCTGGAAATCTGGAATAACGTCTTCATCCAATACAATCGCGAGCCTGACAAATCCCTGCGCCCCTTACCTAACAAACACGTCGACACCGGGATGGGTTATGAGCGCCTCGTTTCAATCCTCCAAAACAAATCGTCAAACTATGACACAGATGTCTTTACCCCGCTTTTCGAAAAGATCAGTGAGATTACGGGTTGTCGACCATATACCGGGAAATTCCATGAAGAAGACACCGATGGAATTGATACTGCATACCGCGTTGTTGCTGACCATGTTAGAACTCTCACGTTTGCTATTTCCGATGGCGCTTCTCCAAATAATGAAGGTCGGGGCTATGTAGTTCGACGAGTTCTCCGGAGAGGTGCTCGATATGCGCGCAAATATTTAAACGTTGAAATTGGCGGATTCTTTTCGAAAATTGTCCCTACCCTGGTCGATCAGATGGGCGATATGTTCCCTGAGATCAGACGGAAACAGACAGATGTAATGGAAATTTTGGATGAGGAGGAAATCTCCTTCGCCAAGACACTCGACCGTGGGGAACGCCTCTTTGAGGAATATGCCCTGCAGGCTAAGCAAAAGGGGTTTGGTAAACTACACGGGGCAGATGTATGGCGGCTTTACGATACTTTTGGTTTCCCTGTGGATTTGACGCGGCTAATGGCTGAGGAGCGAGGTCTAACTATTGATAATGCCGAATTCGAAGAAGCTCGGTTAAAAGCAAAGGAGGCAAGCAAGGGCCAAGGGAAACGAACTGCAGATGTAGTGAAGTTGACCGTTCATGATCTTGGCCTCCTCGAGACCATGGACGATGTCCCCAAAACGAATGACGATGCGAAGTTTGGGAGGGGCAATATCACATCACAAATAAAGGCGATATATTATAACAAGAAGTTTGTCGATTCAACCAAGGATATCCCACAGGGAGAGCAATTTGGTATTATCCTCGACCGCACCAACTTCTACGCAGAGCAAGGAGGTCAGGAGAATGATACCGGAAAGATCATTATCGATGGCAAGGCGGAGCTTGCTGTGGAAGATGTCCAGGTATACGGAGGATACATACTTCACACAGGGTTCATGAAATACGGCTCCTTCAATGTCAATGACTCCGTCATTGCTGAATACGACGAACTCCGAAGATGGCCCATCCGAAACAACCACACAGGTACTCACATTCTCAATTTCGCCCTCCGTCAGGTTCTCGGTGATGGTATCGAGCAAAAAGGCTCCCTTGTCGCCGCTGAGAAGCTACGCTTTGACTTCTCTCACAAGTCTGCTGTCTCAGACTCCGACCTCGAAAAAATCGAACGGATATCCACCGACTATATCCGTCAAAACTGCGCAGTGTATGCCAAAGACGTTCCTCTCGCCATCGCCCGGGGAATATCCGGCGTCCGCGCCGTCTTCGGCGAAACCTATCCAGACCCGGTCCGCGTCGTCTCCGTCGGTGTCGAACTCGAAGAAATCCTCCAAAATGTCCATGATCCACGCTGGAAGGACATCAGTATCGAATTCTGCGGCGGCACCCATGTCCAGAAGACGGGCGATATCAAAGATCTCGTCATCCTTGAAGAGAGCGGGATTGCGAAGGGAATCCGACGCATAATTGCCGTGACAGGTGAAGAGGCACACGAGGTCCAACGCATCGCGAAAGAATTTGGTGAGCGCCTACGGCGCTTTGAGAAAATGGAGCTTGGCCCACAAAAGGAGATTGAGGCCAAGTTGCTGCAGGTAGATCTAAACCAGCTATCGATATCTGCGGTTGAAAAAGCGCGGTTCCGGGAGCAGTTTGCGCAGATCCACAAGAAGGTGCTTGAGGGCCAGAAGGCGGCGCAAAAGCTGGAGTCGAAAAAAGCGCTTGATGCGATCACAGGATATTTCGAGGCACCTGAGAATAAAGTTGCGTCGCATCTCGTGATGCAATTGCCAATCTCGGCGAATCCCAAAGCCTTGAGCGATTCTTTGAATTTCGTCAAGACCAAGATGCAAGACAAATCTGTTTATATGTTTGCGGCGGATAAGGAGGCAGGCAAGGTTGTGCATGGCTGCCATGTCGCTCAGGTACGTTTTGATGTTTTCTTCTTAATTAGCCAATTTTTTTTGTTCACGGTCAACGACGCAATCAGCGAATGAGCTAATGCTAACTGAACTTGATTTTTTTTTTTAATAGGCTTTAAGTGAACAAGGAGCAACGCCTAATGACTGGGCTAATACTGTGTCGAGCATTGTTGGTGGGCGTGCGGGGGGTAAAGCACCCATCTCCATTGGAAATGGAACGGAGGCTGAAAAGCTAGATGAAGCTATTAAGGCTGCGACAGAGTATTTGGAGAAATTTCTTTGATTTTGCTTCTCCTTTGTTCTTTTTTTTCTCGTGTTGGATCAGTGATAGACCATTTCGTTCTCTTTCTCTCTCTTTTCTCTTATCTATGTTTTAATTTTTCATGCCTTTTTATTTTCTTTTTGCAATGGAGTTTGAATTCATCAATACCTCTCACATATTTAGTCTCGCCTAGCTTTAACTGTCACTTCATTCAACTCAGACGTATTTCAAGGTCAACGTCAAACAATATCGGACATGTTATTATTCTCACTCTATCTTGCCGGTTCATGCCCACTAGTGTTTTTTGTTCAGTAGCTGGGTAAACATATCTTGGCGCATAGCATGCGAAAACGGGGATGCAGGGTCAATTTTTTTTGTGATATCCACGCCCCCACAAGTTCCATTTAATTGAAGGTGATGAATGGGCAGTTATCTCCTTTTTTCCTTTTCTCTTTTTCTCTATTTCTTTTTTTCTTCGCCTTTTGCAGCTATCTAAGTAGGCGTCCTACTCGTTCCTCTGTACAACTTTTTTCTTCCAGTGACCATTGATTGGAGAGCCATTATCTTAGGGCAGAATTGGCAGAATTCGGCGTCTGTTGTAAACCCCCATATTTATGTTGTCATTCATTTTTCATCTCATCGCATTATTATTATTGCTATTACATTTCGTGAACTATCCATTACATCTCCCCACACTGCGCAATGACTACATCTTGATTTGGCTTGTCTCTCGTCGTCCGCGTGTTCTCAATCATGCGCACAATGTCCATGCCATCAAGAACCTGGCCGAAAACGACATGTTTGTTGTTCAGAAATGGTGTGGCGGTTGTTGTGATGAAGAATTGGCAGCCATTAGTGTTTGGACCGGAGTTCTATGTTATAAGAAAAAGGGGCCGGCGAAGTTAGCTTGCGGTATATATATATATATTATCTGATGGGGACAAGAAGAGCGGAGGAGCACGTAGCTTGGACTTACAGCCATGCTCAGAAGACCCGGGCCGTCATGGGTGAGATTGAAGTTTTCGTCAGGAAACTTGCCAGTGCCATATATGGTTGCGCTGCCAGTGCCATCGCCGTTTATAAAATCGCCACCCTGAATCATAAAGTCTTTGATCTGCAAAGTCCATCAGCTTGACGAGTTAGCCAGCGAAGCCGGGTTGGTTTAAGTCTTCACCGCCGCATATTGAATCAGGAACCGAGGACACGGGACAGACTCTGTGGCAAGATAGGAAATTCTGAAAACTCAAAGAAAGCATTCAAAGTATGCAGCAGACCGAAGTGCCAGCCCTGAAGAAAGGAAACCCGTGAAGAAACCTGAGGGGATCCATACCACTCGATGAAATTTGGAGCCCTTGTACCCCTGCGGTCGGCCGCGGGGATTTTTGCTCTCGCCGGTACAGAATTGGCGGAAGTTCTCTGCTGTCTTGGGTGTGACATCTGCGAAGAGCTCCATTTTGATTCGACCGAGCGGTTCTCCTAGAGGAAATAGTTAGTACGGATCATTCTTCGTTTCTATATTTATTTTCTACAACGACACTGTGGTGGCATAGTGCTGGTCCAATAGCGATAGAGGAGTTGCACACAGAAAAGTGGCAAGCAGAAAACAGAATGGCAAGTTACAAGCTACTTCAGATCGAGCGTCCCAATAATATGTTGAGGCGTGGCATGATCCCCATTGAACTGAAGCCGGGACGAGGCTTTTTGGATCTCGAAACAGAGCCTGTCAGCCTTGCAGCACCCTCCTCTTCTTCCTTCTTCGTTTTCATATTGCATGTACAGTACATAACTAAGGCCCCAAGGTTTTCACAAATATCATAACATTTTGCTGATGCGCGAGGCTATCCATACACATACCTCCAAGTGTGATATCGAAGAATACCACAGGGTTCGTAGGGCTGCGCGGGTTCAGGGCCGTCATTGTTCGTGATCTGATAGTTATAAACCCCACACGTCGTATGGCTTTGCCTGCAGCAATAGTTGACCCAAGGGTTTCGTTTCTGAGAGCCGACAAGTGATGGGAGTGCACGAGAGTGGCGTGCGGTAGGTGTAGGTTGAAGCTAGGGCTATGTGCGTTATTGGGACAAGGCGCCTCGGCAAAACTCTTCGGGGGTGGCGGGAACCACCCTTTGACATCGCAAACTATGGAGGGGTGTCCGAATAATCTGGACTAGATAATATTGATATAAAGGAGTAAAATTTATGTTATGTAATGTACTACTACAACTACCTACAGCGGATTCCTCTTCGGTAAGAAACGATAAGACCTTGGAGACTCCCCAAAGTGGCCAGAATTTGGCTCTCGGCCTTCAAATATAAAGGCTTGCATGCCTATCTGGGTTGAATGCCTCGCCTAGAAATACTGCCCACAGTTTCATTTATATCCTAAATCCAAGGCTGTGGCGTTTTAGAGTTAAAGTCCGACAAATGGCCGTTCCATGCCGCTTAATAGATTATTCAATATACGTCCATCACAAAAGGTTGTGTACTTTATAGCTCATCAAGTTGCCCCCCCATTTTTTTCTTCGGGTGCCAATAGATAGTTGAGAACACTGAGTTTTCGAGATTAGAGAGATCAGCAAACATATTTCAGATGTCATTGACATACGCAATATTTACGACGTCGGATGAATTCGAAAGTTGGAGGTGCAGATGGAAACCTCCAATTGGGCGATGCAAAATGGATTGAGTGAGGAGTCGGAGGATAAAGCCAAAGACGCACTTATATTATCCATCACCTTCACATCGCTGGCGGTGTTTTTTGTATCCGCTCGTCTTTACACAAGGGGATTTTTGGTGAAAAAGATCGGTTCTGACGATTGGACGTGCTTAGTGTCTTTGGTATGCTAGGGAATCAATCCGTGTGAACAACAGTTTGCTGACCAGGGCAACCAGATTCTCTCCCTTGGATTCATGGGATTGTTCATTGGCGGTAAGTAATTGAAACCCCTTGGAATGAACTCATGTTTGATTAGCCCTTAGCGAAAGAGGTTTCAAATACAGGAAGGAAACGCTCACGATCAGCAGAATGGAAATCCGGACTGGGCGGTAATAGGAGTGAAATCACGTTTGAAACGTTCAAGCAACAGGTGATCGTAAGTTCTCAGAGGTGGTAACGTTGTGCGTCTTACTTGCAAGAGCTAACAGGTTTGAATATGCAGCTCCTTTGGGCATCTATCCCTATCTATAACGCTAGCCTCTTTTGCACCAAAGCATCCATCGCCTTACAGTACCACCGAATATTCCCAGGGAGTCGGATACGTATAGCCTGCTCTGGTGCTCTATTTTTCTTAATAATATACGGCTTGTGGGTGGTTGTAGGGTCATTTCTCACATGCGTTCCAGTAAGAAGATGGTGGGATGACATGGTAGAAGGCAGCTGCTTGAATAGGGATGCATTCTGGCTATCCACAGCGATCGTGCACATCGTTACAGATGTCGTCTTGCTTGCGATGCCCATGCCGATTCTCATCAGGCTAAATATTCCTAAAAGGAAGAGAATCGCTCTCGTGCTAGTTTTCGCTCTTGGAGGATTGTATATTCCCCTTGAATCGGTTTCCAACAATCCCCACCAAATTATGTTCCTTGCTCAGAAAGTTAATTCAGTTCTCGTTATCAGTGTTTGCATCACAAGTGGTCTTCGTCTTGAGAGCCTTCGTCAACTTGCGAGATCAGATGACCTAGTAGGTACGTATGATTTTCCTACTGCTGACGCCATTCCGCATGTTTCCCCAAGCTAATTCAAATATCATTCAGAACATAATGCGGCAGCGGCCTCCTGGTCAGCTGTTGAATGTAATGTCGCAATAATATGTTGTTCTCTTCCGACCCTACGGCCGCTGGTAACTCGTATATTCCCACTCATATTTCCGACGACCGGCTATGGTTATGGTCGCAACTCTAAACGGAAAATCCCTTGTCTACCAAGGTGGTTTGCGTCTCACGAGCCTCAAGAAAGAATCGACCAGGAACATGCCATGGAATTTTTACAGAAACTGTCCAGCGATGAAGGAGGAAAGCATTCACACAGGGATATGGGTGGGGTTGCGGCAACCGAATCGATTTCGCAGGAAACAATATCTGCAAGTGATATAGAGGCAGATCGCCCGGCTGAACCCTTTGTTCGCTCGATTCATCGGGGAAAAAGCTGGTTTTTAGCATATCCCAGCATGTAGAAGCGATTTTAATTTATGACTCATGCACTGGTGGTGGCGCTCTAGATAGAGGATGCAGGGCCACAGGAATGACCCTGGATAACCAACACAGTGCTCGGCCTGTGACAGGTCAGGGGCTTCGGAAGCAGAAGCAATACATTCTCGCATGCCACAACCCATACGGTCGATCTTGGGTTAACGTATTTCATCATGAACTCGCCAGTATTTAGCATAGGGAGTGACAAATCAATCAAACAGAGTAAGGTAATTTTCCATATGCCACACTGTAGCATTGTCTGTAGAGATATGAACATTTCTTATGACGTTTAGCCATCTCCTCATTTCTCAGGACAGTTCCCGCATAAAATGCGTGCCCAAGCGCGTCGCAGTATCAAATGTCGGGTGTTGTGCCAACAAGGTTCGTCAAAATTGATGCAACGTATGGAGGGAAGCGCGGTTGTCGCCCACAAGGCAAAATTTAAGCGGTCAATGTTAGCGGTCAACATCCCGACTAGCTAGGGCTAAAGAGGTTAGGTTCACAGGAACACGCAGATGCATTGCTACTTTGTTTTTTGAGAAGCTGTTGCGGTGAAGGGTGGATGTGAATTTCAGAGCACACTTCAATAACAAGGGAGAATGAGAGAGCATTGAATGACATGGCATCTGTGGAAATGTACGGAGTACCATTGTGAGATATCATACTCTTCAACATCATTGATCCAGTCTCCACGACGAAAAGGGTGTTCATGGCCGTTCACAGAGTTCCCTGTATTGGGTTTTTACGGCCCGCAGAACCATAATTTAGTAGAATCCAGAATAAAGGACACAGAAATTTCGAGGCTGGTAAAGTAATAGTAGCAGAAATTGTATATCATATATGTCATGATGCGTGAAATATCTCCTTCCAAGGTCCCTTGTTTGTTGTGAGCAGTCGGTGGTGGCGTTGATATTGGCCCTGATAAAAGGCCAGGGCCCTCTTGGTAGCCCAATCAGGACTAGCGCCTGGGTGCCTTTCTATCCTCAACATTGCCTCGCTGTCCGCCGGTCTGTTGCTCTCTCCATCGTCCTCCATTGTCCACTCCCCCCGTCCCACGTCGAAGCCATCTCCATCACTCACACAAGGGCCATGGCCTTTGTCAGGCCGCTATTAGATTTCCCGTTCCTATGAGCTACGATTCGTCGCAATAGCCGCTGCAGCTCTAGCAGCTGAGTGGAGTTTTGCAGCTATTACGGAATTTCTCTCCATTTTATCTCATCACGTCCGATCCCCTCGTTATCACATTTGCCACTATTAATTACTGGTTTCTCAACATTTCATCTTAGCGTTTTGTCTTTTCCGTGAACAGCAGTTGGTATAGGATTTCATATCACATCGGCAGAAACAACGAACGACCTCGGTCCTCATCCAGAGCCTCATCGCATCCGCGACACATACCCGAATCCTCTGACCCTTTCGATCATCAAACCCGGATCTACATCTCCAACTCGCTAACATTGTGTGAATAAAGGGCTCCAGGGTGCAATGTGGCCCCCCAACAACTCCTCATCGCCTATATTTCGACACCCCGAACCACTCATTGTTGACGGCGACATGGAACATCTTTATGGTGATGGGGATATGAAATGTTTTGATCCTTCTGTGTTGCAGGCATCAACGCCACATGAAGAAGACGGTTTCGATGATATTTTTTTGCGGCCTTCCACAGCGACTCAACCATCCAACTCAACCTCGTGCCTGTCCCCAGCAAGATTGATAAAAGCAGGACATCAACGCTCCTCAGCAAAATTTCCGGAAACCCAGTCACCATTATCCGATACCCGTTCCGATTCTCCTGAAGATTCGACCCATAGCTCGTCCGCTGATTCGCCTCTCTCACATTTGCGGAACGGCTCTCTGACGTCTAACACTTCTGCTGTTTTTAGCCAGAGTAGCAGAGCAGGGGATCGGTTTTCTACCCCAGCATGGCCGAGCTTGGTCGACTTCACCGTGGGAGACTCGCCTTTGTTTGGGCAAACTAATGACATACCACCCTTTAATGGCGATTACCCATTAGATACCGACCTGGAAACGAGCAACAAGGCTATGAGTTCCGCATTCGATTTTGATAGTGCCGCTAGCAGCCCAAGCCCTCTCAAAGTGGAGATTGCCCCAGAAACCAATCACAAATCTCAGCAACCAAAAAATATGTTGCGGGGCCCATCAAATACAATAAATCAAGTTATAGAATCTAATTCACCGTCGACAGTAAGTTGAGCGATTTCTCCTTCCCTGATATATCCAACACGCTGTTGACATTTTTCACTCCAGAATTTTTCTACCTCAGCGAGCCCTTTCTACTTCCGTGGATCATCGGATGCATCTAAACCTTCAGCGTTCCGCAGCAAAAGTCAATCTGGTTCGAACCAGTGGGAGCGTCAGTCGCCAGGTTCAGAACTAGAAGAGACTTTTGGAAGTATCAATATGAACGGCACCGCCTCTCCTCTTAGCTCTACTCTCTCTCCAAGCCTAAATTTCGGAGTTAACCCACTCAACTTCGATCCGATGACACAATCTTCCGTATCCCAACTCCCCACTAATGGTGACACTTCCGCATTCCATCCGAATATGAGTCAGGAGAATTATGGTAAACCCCAGTTGGTAGTTCACCCAACGTCTCTGAAGTCGCGAGTGGAAACTCAAATTCCGATTAAGCTTACTTTGTGCCCTTTGCCTCCTGGTGTCAAAAACCTACGACTCCCAAGTCATGCCATCTCAAAGCCGAAATTCCTCGCCAAACCAGACACTGGCCCGTCACCAGAGATTCTTGAACTTCGTACGAACGTAGTTTGTACCAGTGCTATGCAGGATAAAAAGAAGCTAGAGCGAGCATTTGCGAGAGCGCGAGAGGAAGAACTTGAAGACTCTTCAGTGGAGTCAGACTCTAAGAAAGATGGTCGACCTAAGGAGGAGACGCCATTAGAAGGCGGTGATGTCAAGATATGTTCTGGATGTGTCCAGCGAGAACGGAAGCGGGCATCACGCAAAAAGCAAAGGAAGCCGGAAGAAGACGAATTGTTCCAAAGGGACGAAGAGAAACGCGTCATTGTGTTCAACACAACGGAATTGAAGGACTGGGTGCAACCCACCGGAACAGTTACAGGGAGTACCGAGTCTCCATCTGCAGTTGCACCCCCTGGCGCGATGCAAGTCGAGCTGCCTATGCGCATTGCCTGTTATTGTCGACACCAGAATGAGAAACTCGGGTTCCAGTACGTATTATTTTAACCACAGTTTCCTAGTCATTGCTAATTAATGAATTACAGGGTTATTTTTACAATCAAAGATCACCTAGGCAACACTGTTTCTCAAACGATAACGAATTCTATCATGATTACCGACGATCATAAAACCCACGCTCCCGCAAATTCCATTCCGCAAAATTCTACCCTGCCTGCGGGACATCAACTTCCTGGTGCTGGGGTGTTCCCTGCCAGCGCTAACCCGAGCATGGCCGCCTCGTTGGTAGCTCAACCTCCTTTCCGTCTATCTCACTCCTCGACGGATTTGCAAGCACTGCGAAAGAACCAATTCGCCTTTTCTCGGGAAACCTCGAGCACACTTAAAAATACGCAAGCGCACCCTCCTGCTGTGGTTCCGCCTCGAAACCTTTCCAGACAAGCTTCGCCAACCGAGTTTCAAGGACCCTCCAGCAAGCGACGTAAACAGAGTGGCTCTGGTAAACTTCCTGTGGGGCTGACAATGACAAAAGTGGAGAATTCTCGCAATGCAGCCGCTACAACAAACGCTACTGTACCTAAGCAAAGTTCTCAAACGTCCAGAAAGCAACAATTTAATGGACAAGCCGAGAGATCATTTGCTATACCGACGTCGATGACTCCTCAATTTGGAAACGGTCCACCCACGCCAAACAACAACGATATAGCCTTCTTCAGCCCCACCGATCGACCTAGGTCATCTGACAATCTTCCCCAGAATCAGTTGATATCTGCTCCAAATTCTGCCCAGACAAGTCGTCCTGGAAGCCCAGGTCTTGGTAACCACTTCCAGGGACCTTCGAATCCACCTGGTTCTCTTGTATCGAGCCAAATGTGGGGCATATCTCCACCTAATCCGCCAAACCGACTGCCCACTATGATCCACAAGCTCGTCCCGTCTGAAGGCTCAACCACCGGCGGAAGTGAGGTAACTCTGCTCGGTAGCGGGTTTTATCCTGGAATGGAAGTTGTATTTGGCGATACGCTGGCAACGACGACAACATTTTGGGGAGATAAGTGTTTGAATTGTCTTACTCCCCCTGCGTTACAACCTGGCACGGTTCCCGTTGTATTCAAACACGAGCACCCGACTTTTGGACAGTTCCAGGCATCTACGCAGCCTATGATTCCAAAGCAACCAATATTTTTCCGCTATGTGGATGATCGAGAACTCCAAATGTACCGCGTCGCACTTGGCATCCTAGGCCAAAAACTGAGAAACCCCGCGGACGCTTTTCAGACCGCTCAGCAAATCATGGGCGGAGGATCAAGTAATATGTGGAACTTGCAGGGTAACTTCCAAGGCAATGGGCAGCAAGGTCATGGAAATCAGAATTCACAGGCAAACATAAATGACTTAGATGCGAAGATGCTTGTCTATCTCGAATTCATGGATTTGGATGACAGTCCCAGATCACCGCGCTTTAATCGCCGTTCTCCTTCAGGACAAACCCTTCTTCACTACGCTGCTTCGCTTGGATTAATTAGATTCGTTGCTGGACTGCTTGCCAGGGGTGCGAACCCGAATGTACAAGATAATAATGGCAACTCGCCGCTTCATCTGGCGGCTTTGAGTGGCCATATTCACATTGTCCATCGCCTACGTTTGGCTGATGCTAACGTGGCTGCTACTAATTTGCGTGACTTTACTCCGGCTGATCTTGCAACCTCATTAGAAACACATCAAGCCGTCCTCGTACCTGCTCGACACTATCGATCGCGCAGTGTCGGTTCAACTCGGTCGTTGCGCCGCCGCCCAAGTTCTGCATCACTTGACATGTCCTGGGAAATATGGTCCGGCGATTCGGAAAATATTGATGTGGATTCGTCGGATGATTCATCGGATGGAAGTGATGAGTCCGAGCCGGCAGGCGAAGCTTCTGATTCTCCTTTCTTCTATCCTGCATCCCGACGAACGAGTATACACCGAGACAGCAACGCTGGCTTCTACTTTTCACGTCCTCACGAGTCCAGTGCTCAACCTAGTCGTGTACAACCACCAAACGACGGAGAAACTGAGGGTGGAGATGAGAGTAATGTATCTTCTCCTGCAAGGCTCATCGCCTGGCGCAACCAGCTTGCCGCTCAAATCAATCAGTTCCAGCAAAGTGTCAATTGGGCTTTCCCCAACCTTCCAGCTTTGCCTCCAATGCCAACTCTTCCAGATTATCAAACGTACCCTATGATGCGGCGAATTACTTCACTCGTCCCGCAGCGGCCAACCACATCATGGCCCACCACTGTGGTAAAAGATAGCTGGGACCGTTTGACTGGCAACTCTTCCCCTCCAGCCTATGAGGATTTATATCCAGTTGATAAGACGGAGGAGGATTATGATCTCAAAAAATCATCAATGGTCCAGGCTGCAAGGGACGCAGCAGTTGATCAGCACTTCGAGATGATTTCAGAAGGCGAAGCGTCGTCTGCTAGCTCCATCTCGAGTCCCAGTGATATTGGAGATGTCAGAATAGGACGAGCGAATATTCCTCATGAGCAACAGGAGCAGCTGCGGCAGGCTCATGCTCGCAAGATGAAGAGGATTCGCAGTGACCGGAACCTCTTTTTCATCTGGGTAAGTAGTACTCATTCTATTGACGCCGAAAAAACAATCCCTCCCTGCACCATACTAATATTCCCTTTCGCATAGATTCCGCTTCTTATTGTCGTTGTTATTGCCATGCTACAGAACCTCGTACCTGATATTTGGCACGGTCTTTCTCGGGGTTATCAAATGTTCAAGGCGCGTCATCTGCCCCAAACTCAAGAAATCCGTATGGTTCCTGAATGATGGGACACTGCCACAGTATCGATATACTTGGCATGTCCTGGCTCATGGTTTTGGAATATGTACCTTTCCTTCTGTTTTTCCCTTTTTATTCATTGTTTGCTATAAATGGATACGGTCTCTGTTCCCTGGAGTTTGATGCCTCGTTTGTCATCTTGGAAAACTCGACCATCGCTTGATTCACTCGCTATCTTCCTTTTTATCGGGCCCCGGGCCCCGGCTCGATCAGCAAACATCGATTATATCTTGATTTCTACCCCATTCTGTGGTATTTGTATATATACGAAGGTAAATATACGTAGGTAAATAGATCGATATTTAATTCCAAGCTTTACTTTGAATCGTTTTCCACAGTACGTACTACAGTCCATTTTTTCGAAAGACTTGTACGTGGTTGTTTCGACGGAAGACCTGAAGACGTAGATGTACACCAGGGTGAAATATCATTATGAAGTGTATTCAAATTGATGAAAACAAAGTGTTTAAAAAGGGGCTGATGATTCAACAAGTCAAGTATCCTTTAAGCTAAAGCAGCGACGGATGTTGCCAAGATGAGCAATTTTGACCTCCTTTGTACTTTTGCAGTTAAATGCAACCCAACGTTACTTCACTTTCCACGCTGAGATAGAAGTGCAAGGCGGTCTATCCACCTGTTGAGAAATCCCAAGTGATGGCGACATACTATCCTCCGTGTCTTTAAAACTCGGCCTGATGGATGCCAACCCTCGCGCAAGCTCCAACGTGACCGGTTCGCTCTCATTTTCCCCACCCTGAAATTCAGCCAAGCAGATTGACTGAAAACTACCTTCTAGTTGAATATACCGATCCTTCCGGGCTCTTCCCCTCGATTAAACCTCTTATTCTAGAGACTTTGCCCCTCCGAAACCTTCACTGGAAGTCTCCCACCCGGCCTCTTCGTTCCATTGACTCCCTCCATGTCGACCTCATCCCTGTAAAGAGCACACACCAGGAGCAGAGACGACCGAGTGATGGAGCGAGTGGTTCAGTTCCCCACCGAAGGCATCAGATACCTGGCCTTCGCCAAACACCATACTTGAAAATATATATCTTATCTTGCGACGATAATGATATTTACAAGTCTACTACAAGGAAGGCGGTCCGGGAATGGATCAAGACACATGGCACACCCCCACAAAGTAGCAGCTCATCTGCTACACAGGATAATCACGATGCGTTTGAGTGGCTTATAATACATGTCGTTTCTGGCCACACGGAGGTGGCTGACAAATCTGCGGCGGGGTCAAAATGGCCCGGCAGAGGTTCTACTACGGTGCTGGAGAAAGTTAAAGCGGATTTTGGTGGATCATCGAAGTCGTCTATTGACCGTGTCGTACAATTACGCATCCCGAAGGCAGAATCGGATGAGCGACCTCCAGAGCTAGCCGACCAACTCGAGGACCTAGTTGCGAAATTGAAATCTTCGATCCTCACGTCTTTTGATCATCGCGTTAGTCAATATGAAGAAGATATTCGGCTCAAGGACTCACAAAGAAACCTTCCTGGATGGAATTTTTGCACGTTCTTTATTTTGAAAGAGGGGCTTGCGCGCGGATTTGAACATGTTGGTTTATATGCAGATGCGCTGGTTGGATACGATGAGCTTGCAGTTGGATTGGATGCGGCTCTTCGTGACCAGTCTGTTGCTAAGGGTGACCAACATGGCGGGACATTTCTCAGTTGCACCAAGGATGTGAGGGCGAAGGCTGAAAAGGCTCTAGGTTTGGTACCTAGCGAGGCCGATAATGATGTTAGTAAAAATACCGACGATTCGTACGAAGATGAAAGCGAGGGAAGCGATGGAAATGATTATTCTACCGTCATTGCCGTGGGCGAAGATCTCTTTCCTCTTGATTCACACAAAAAACCGTACCGTGAAATGATCCTTGCCAATAATATTTCAGTCTTCGATTTTCGGGCATACATTTTTTCTCGACAGATGATGTTGCTATTAAAAGCTGCTAGAGCTCCTTCATTACGGGATCAAACTAACGAAAAATTAGCCAAAGAAGTTGAGGATTTAACACTTCTTGCAGAAATATGTGATCGGGCAAGCGAGTTTATTAGTGTTGGGTCGCGAACCTTGCGACACGATCTGTATGCTGGCCTCGACGAGCTAGAACATGATCGCGATGAATCCAGTGTAACGGAGGTTGTCAACAACATAGTATATTCGTGGACATATTCCGCAATTTCACAGGTACTAATCCAAACCGCCACGGATTCCCTCGATATCCCAAAGGCTTCCCTTCGAAATACACGGGATCTGGTGAATGCGTCCGTGCTGGCAAATTTTGTTGCGGAGACACGACCGGGCGTCCCGAAGCGGTCGAGCTCACTGACTGCCAATACTCTGATCAGCAGTCGACCTACTAGCCTGGACATCATGTCTCCAGGACTGTATAGCGGAGCGCAGCCTAGAGCCCCGCTGGCTTCCTTAAGGTCGAGTGTTTCAGCCCAACTGAGGACCGGACAATCTGAGCTTGCATCTGCCCGTGGTGACTTATTCCTTTACGCTCGCCGGACCTTGGAAAATATTGGACAACGGTGTGGTTGGTCGAAGAAGTGGCGGGACCTGGGATTACTCTTCGATGCACAGAACGAAGCTGCAACGGGATTGAAGGACGTATCTCTAGATGGGGACGGAGAAACACAAGAATTTACGACTGTGGACCAGGAAGTCACGCCGGTGCTAGGAGGGATTGAAAATCCGAAACTGATAAGCTCTTGCAGATCAGAAAAACAATATAACTCTTTGTATGAAGGATTAACCGATCAGATATTTCGCCATTACGTCGCAGCAAATAGAACACGATCTGCTGAGATGGCAATGGCCGATATTGCAGTGCTGAGATACCGCGCAGGCGACTATGGTACCGCAGCCTCGTACTTCCATCAAATGGCTCCGTTCTATGCCAGCTGCCATTGGGGGGTTCTGGAAGGGGTAATGCTTGAACTGTACGGACGATGTCTAAAGCATCTTGGCCGAAAAGATGACTACGTTCGGGTCCTTCTTAAGCTACTTGGAAATTATGCCGGGGTCGCACAGTCAGGGCAAAAGGCAGGGTCTTTTCGGAGCAAGAGATTGATCTCTGCAGCACCATCATCGTTTCCCCCCGTTGCCCGCACATTGGTTTCCAACTACGTCAATGATCTATTTGAGACATCACAGGTCCTTTCCACCGACTTTTCTGTGCCACTCAATGAATTTTTCAGTGGCATACATATCAACTCGACCATCCATCATTTCGAGGATAAGGATGGGATTCTCGTTGATCTTTCCCTAAGATTTCTTCTTGGAAATAGTATTGAAGCTGATAGTGTAAAGATGCGACTTGTTAACTCCACAGGTGTTCATAGCAGCGAAATCTGGTTAGAAAATTTGGATTCGGTCGTCGTAAAGTCGACTGTATCGAAAATCCCCCTCCACGCTTTCGTGAGTTGCTGATCATGTTCTTTCTGCAATATACGTATTTATGCGTGTATTTATCTAACTTTAAAAAAAAATACGCTTCAGGTTTCAGTACATGGAAAATATATGGTGGATTGCATTGAGGTGCGAGTCAGAAATATTACGTTTGTCCAACAATATGGATTACCATCGTCATTCTCTGCAGGGTTACAGCAACCTAACGCGGATGATTCCGACGACGAAGCTGAGCGCCCATTTGTTTTCTGTTACCCTCCTGCCAGGGGACTTCAAGCAGAAGTTTCGCCTCCGTATCGCATTAACCTGAGTGAGCTACGAACAATAGAAATCGGACTAAAAAGTGGTTGGAACGATATACTCAAGGGCGCTCTACGAGTAAAACCCGCGACTGCTGGGCTCAGACTCCGCATTACAGAAGTCAGCATTGTAGATGGCGACTTAAAGTTGGAAGGGAATGCAGAATCCGGCCAGATTGATTTCACGAGCTTTGGACCAAATTCATCCGCCAGATTGAGTATTCCGTACACCATTGAGGACGATCAAACGACGTTGTCTGCACGTTTGGAGGTCGTTTATGAGACGGCTGATTGCCAATTCTCTTATTTCTCTGCAACCTCGATAATCTCGACACTGCCAGTGAGCGTCAATGTTCAAGATATATTCAAAGACGACTCGCTAATATCAAGATTCACGATCAGCCCGGCCATGGCCACACCCCTCCGGATACTTAACTGCAAGATCCCCAGCTCAGAGGTATACGAGGTCCAACCCAGTATTCATCATGGGCAAGTCCTTGATTGTTTCCCTCGACAGTCGGCATCGGTACTTTACAAAATTACTCCCCGCGGAGAGAAAGCACTGGAAGCAGATGCGTCAAAACGGTCTCTTGCACTGACTATTGATTTTACCTGTCTTGACGAGGAGTGCCTAAGCGTCATTGAAAATCGATTTGTACAGGATATTTGCGCAAGTAAATTTGCGCAACTAGCTCGGCTCCTGACACCTCATCTTCTTGAAGCATTCCGCTCAGAATGGACTGCGAATGACATGGAAATAATTAGCCTCATCAGGGAGATCGATATATTGTCATATGAGCGTGTCCAGTGGGAAACCGTGACCAACTCATTGGGCGGGAAGCTCGGAAAGGAAGTTGTCTCGTGGCTCAAGGAATGGCACACGGTAAGTTTTAACAACAGGCCAAAACAAGGGTTTCCCGATATCACGGAAAGTAGCCCGCGTGGTGACGCGCATTTGCTAATAAAGGAACCAACCAATCCAGCAACACACCACCCTATCACTCCCGAACGACTCCGACATGACCACCGCCACCAGCACCACCATCCCCAACCGCCAGATAATTATCCCTGTCGACGTCCCCAATGTCCAAATCGTTCACACGGCAAACTTCACCATCCCCAAACCAGACGACCTCATCCACGCAACGGTCGGGGAGATGATCCCCGCAACGCTAACCATACGCCATACCCGCCGCTGGTGCCCCGTACAGGCCCGGGAGCCAGAAGCGAGCCTCGAGTTCTCCTACGAGATCCTCGTGAACCCGGACGTGTGGCTCGTGGGCGGGCGGCGCCGGGGCAATTTCACCGCTAAGGAAGGCGAGACGCGGTCCTTCACCGTCATGCTCCTCCCGCAGCGGCCGGGCCACCTATTGCTGCCCGGGCTGGACATTAAGACGTATGTCACGCAGGCGTCGGCGGCCGATCCGGAATTGCCCTCAAGCGTTGTGCAGCGGAGGGCAGTTCCTTGCGAGGTTGATTATCTGAATCATGCCGAGACAGTGCTTGTGTCGCCGAATTTGCGGAAGACCACGGTTAACCTGGACGTTTCTGGTGGTGCGGGTGGTGCGGGTGGTGGTGGTGGTGGTGGCGGCAGCGGCGGCGGGGGTTGTTGGCTGGTCGGGTCTGAACGGAGGGTTGGAGTCATTGGTTGAATTAGGAATTTTATATATCCTTCAACGGTGTTTTACACCACGCAATGTAGAGCATCTATTCATTTATTCATCTCCCTCTTTTATCGTTGTATCTCGTTTCGTATTCTCACTATTATATTATACATCGATCTAGAGAAAGGGAGAAAAATCGCACCTCAACTGGCTGGCGACATGTGGCTTTCCTTGTTTATCCTTTCTTGATAACCACAACCCCACATGGAGGTTAGCGTTGAAACGATTGATTGATTGATTGATTGATTGATTGAATTAATTAATGTCTATACACCTAAATATGTAACTCTGTAACTTGTGTAATAAGAATATAGCCATGCTCGGACCGACCCAGAAGTAGCATTGAACAAAGCTTCCTCAATGTTATGCGCGGGCCAGATGCTGGCCGATGAATGGCATGATGATACCTTCCGTACGGAGTAAACAAGGAACATATATTAAAAAAAGTAGCTTTTCCCCACCACAGTACTGTAAATTTGATGGATTCGATTCAACTTTAATATTATTGGTGTAAAACTAGTTCAAGCGACACGACTTTCAACTAACTCGTAGTAACTATGAATCCATGATCATCAGAAGGTTAGTTAATAGTTACAGTTATCGTAATAACATGATGACATCTGAAGCTCGGTAACTGGTTAAATATTGAGTTGTTTTCAGCTGTTTTTTAACAGGTACACCTTTCGGACCTGGTAAGTTTGGTTTTTCTTTTCCTCAACAAAACGCCGTATTTCCCCCCAACAGAAACATTGAACGACGGAAAGCAGAAGAAAGTCCACTCCAACCACTGGGCGGTGATGACAGTGATGACCTGGTTTTGTTCTTCTGGTTGTGGTCGTAGGGTTCTTATTTCTTTTCTTTTCTTTTCTTTTCTCTTCCTTTCTGAATTCTTCTCTGTTTTGTCCTGATGCTGAGATAACCGCGACGATTTAAGAAGGAAAATACATCGACGAATAAAACCAACCACAGATCGTATCTTCACATGTTGCCGAGCATGATGATTGATGACTTCGACAAGTCTCCCAGCCTGGTCGCCCAGCTAATCAGCAGCTTCCGGTGAGTCGTTCGTCACAGGATGTTACACGTTGGTTACCAAAATATATACCGGACGTAACCAAAGCTTCGAAACGTAATTTCCGTACCTGATTCCACCCAACCTTCCGCCCCTTGGCGAGGGCTTGGCAGTTCAGCGCGAAACTGACAAGCTTTCCTTGGCGAGGACCGGGCAGTTCTGTGATTGGCTGGGACAAAAGGCGGTGAGCCGGGGGCATGGACATGGGGATTCACGAGAGAGAGGAATACATCCAGGATAGTAGAGAACCGCAGAGGTGGATGTTCCTAGACGCTACGGACTTTTTTTCTTATTCTTGCAGTTTTTTGCCGCTTTTTATTTTGCCTTGGTTGTAAAGATGTTTCATACAATAGGGAAGTGCAGAAGAAATTGGAAATGTCATAGCGCCGATGTCGTGCATATGGGTCCTTCCCACCCCTCACCCTCCCGCCATGACAAACTATCCGCCAACACATCTCTTGCTCCGGGGATGCAATAGGCGATGCGATTGGCTGGTTGGAGCTGGAAGGAAACGTGCGGGCTGGCATGGAAGCTCAGCTTTCGTTGAAGCTTTTGTTGGCGTTGGTTCCGCGTGTATCATATCGTATCGTATCGTATCGTTGTGTCACTTTACGTATTCCGGCTCCATTGGTATTGGCGTATTGATCTTTCAGTACAGACCTCCCGTCCCCATCCATGATCAGGCCACACGGTGTGGTATGCTGCACTGTACAGACAGAGTCCGAGTAAATACCTGGGAGATACCGCACCAGGTTCGCTGAATTGCGATTTCTCCATATCCCATCACCAGATTGAAAGAGAGAGAGAAATAAAGTAGCCTCGTTATTTTGCCACCATAATAAGAATAATGATGATGATGATGATTGGGATACGCTCTGAATATCAACCCACTCTCGTTGGGCCAGCTCAAGGGCTCAAGTTCGAGTCAAATAGATGAAAATTGAAATTCGGGCCGCGAGGGAAGAACCCCACAGCTGCACACGGACGAGGCCGACCAACAATAATACTTAAATATGTCCAGATGTCGATCGGTGAAGGGGGAACTGCATGCAGCAAGCTCGGAAAGCAAATCTCAGATCTCAGAACTCACTCACTCGAGAGCCAAACCGGTTTTCTTTTGCTCGCACCTCTGGAGATGGAATGGACGAGTCTGCAAACCGATGTGATGTCCGTTTTTCGTCCCGGGTCCGATATAGAGCCAGCAGGGACGTGGCGGGCTGCATCCATGCATACTAACAAGACTCCGTAGACCTTGGTCCCACATGCATCATCCTTCGATGGACTGTGTCGAGGAATCACTGCTGACCCGTCTACAACCTCGCCGGGCCCAGCTTGGTGATAACATATTGGAGGAGTCGAAGGGGCATTTGACATTTGATAGTTACAGCTGAAGAAACGGAGAACGGAGAAGCAGGAAGGTGGAAGGCGGAAGGTGAGATGGAATGTGTAATATTACATGACATACCGTGACGATACGGTTCCGTTACCCGTTCTCCGGCGTCCCAGCGAAACGCACCCGGCAAAGCAGAAAACCCATGTGAGATTGACAATGAGAAAAAAAAAAGGAATTCAACGAGCAACGCAGAAAGCAAAGATATAAAATAGAGGGAAAAAAATAAATAAAATTAAAAAAATTAAAAAAAAGGCATCATCGAATTAGTCGCCTTGTCTCTTCTTCCCTCGCATTTATTCCTGTTCTTCTTCCCTCTTTTTCCTTTCTTTTTTTCCCTCCTTCAAATCATTCATTCATCCAATTCACCCTCCGTCCTCTTGTGGTTGCACAAGAATTCCCTCGAGAGTCAGCCAACCGAGCCAGCCTCGATTTCAAGTGGTGAGTCCTGGTCATTCACTCAGTCAGTCAATCCATCCCATTGATTGATTGATTGTCTTGCCCCCTACGTCTGTCCAATTGCCTGCCAGAAAACGCTGTCACAATTCCCATCCTGACTTGAGTGGTGCAGGAAGATTCAGATCACACAGCATCAGGAAGTGTTCTGCTGTTCTGTTGCACGCCGCCCAACAAAGAGCTGCCTCATCCTTAACCTTTTCTCTTCCCTGAGATAACATAATATATATATATATATATATATATTACATCTTATCATTATCCCATATCTCGTTCCTCGCCAAGCCAAGCCAGCAATAGAGGAATTCGGCCACGATGACCTCCACCGCCCTCCCCAAGCGCAGGGCGCTGAACCGGAATTCGCCCACAGATTACTCCACAGAGAGCTCCGCATGTGTCTCCCCAACCGACAGCTTGCGGCCGTCCCCTTCGTCCACGTCCCTGTCGTCAATAGCTTCGGATGCGCAGCAAGAACCCCTAAAATTAGTCGACACTTACGGGACTCCCTTCGAGATCCCAGACTTCACCATCAAGCAGATCAGAGACGCCATCCCGGCCCATTGCTTCGAGAGAAGTGCCCTTCGCAGTCTGTCATACGTCGCTCGAGATATCTCTTGCCTGGCCGGCACCTTCTACCTCTTCCACAACTATGTCACGCCCGAATACATACCGTCCACCCCGGTCCGTGCTGGCCTATGGGGTCTCTATGCCTTCCTCCAGGGGCTCTTTGGGACCGGTCTATGGATCATGGCCCATGAGTGCGGACACCAGGCCTTCTCTCCGTACAGACTGTTGAACGACACGGTGGGCTGGTTCTGCCACTCCGCGCTGCTGGTGCCGTACTTCTCCTGGAAAATCTCGCACAGCAAACACCACAAGGCCACCGGCAACTTGGAGCGGGACATGGTTTTCGTCCCCAAGACACGAGAGGTCTTCGCCTCGCGCTTCGGCTATATCGCGCACGAGCTGCACGAGTTGATGGAGGAGACGCCCATCCAGACCGCAGTCCATATGATCCTGCAGCAGTTGTTCGGCTGGCCCATGTACCTGATCTCCAACGTCACCGGCCACAACTGCCACCAGCGCCAGCCGGAGGGCCGTGGGAAGGGCAAGGAGAACGGTATATTCGGCGGTGTCAACCATTTCAACCCGTCCAGCCCGCTGTACGAGGCCAAGCACGCCCCGCTCATCCTCCTCAGTGACCTTGGCTTGATGCTCACCGGCTCCGCCTTGTTCTGGGTAGGCAAGAACTTCGGCTGGGCGAACCTTGCCGTGTGGTATTTCTTGCCATACCTGTGGGTCAACCACTGGTTAGGTACGTCGAACAGTCACCCCGAGCGCCGCAGGCCCTCCTCACCATTCCCCTCTTTATTCTATTTCCTTCTTCCCTCATCAGAAGCCAATGAAACTAACAACAAGCCCATCTAGTCGCCATCACCTACCTCCAACACACCGACCCCACCCTCCCACACTACTCCCCCCAAGCCTGGACTTTCACCCGCGGCGCCGCCGCCACCATCGACCGCGAATTCGGCTTCATCGGCCGCCAGCTCTTCCACGGCATCATCGAAACCCACGTCCTGCACCACTACGTCAGCACCATCCCCTTCTACAACGCCGATGAGGCCAGCGAGGCCATCAAGCCCATCATGGGCAAACATTACCGCTCAGACACCGAGCTCGGCAGCCTTGGCTTCCTCCGCTCGCTGTGGAGGAGCGCCAGGACCTGCCAGTGGGTGGAGCCATGCGAGGGCGCCAAGGGCGAAGGAGAGCATGTCTATTTCTTCCGGAATCGGAATAACATTGGCGTCAAGCCTGCTGTGATGACATCGCCGTCGTCCTCGTAGAGCTGGTTCTTGTTTCTTTTTTCTGGTTGGTTTATGGTCTTTTTTTTCTTGTGTTTTGTGTTTCTTCACCGTTTCATCACGTCATTCTTTGTGTTTTTTTCCCTCTCACCCTTCTTTCTTTTCCTTCCTCGCTCCCCCCCCTATTTTTCGGATAATGAAAACATAGTATAGAAAGAGAGAATAACGAGAACTGAAGATCGAGTGGCACCATTATATATATATAAATATATATAGAACGCAATCATAAAAAAAAAAAAACAAGGATGCCAGTATCATACGTCATAAATGTTCGTCGCTCATCACTTGCTCATATCATATCTTTCTCGTCGCTGATGGATAACCTTTCATGCTGTGCTTTCATTCTGCCTTCCGTGCATTGCCCTCCCAGCGTCCCCGCCCCGGATAGCCTCCATCTAACTTCCCGGGGCGACACGACATGAGAAGAGACGAGACGTGACGAGACCATAAAATGCGTAGAAGGCATGTGGGTCTCTCTTGCACAGGCTTGCCCTGTCGCTGATGGGTATATAGTTTTTTATATAGATTGATTTATTGTGTTTTCCATTCAATTCATCAAAGTGGACAGTGTCAATAAGATCTTTTCTTTTTCTTTTTCTTTCTTTTTTCTTGTCATTTCGTCGAATTTCTCACAAAGAGAGCGGGAGAGAGAGAAATAAGGAATAGAAATATACAACTCGAGTATAATAAATACATACCTACAACCCATAACTTTCATCCTCGTCGGGCAAGAGCCATAGCAATGATAATAAAATAAACAATCCAGCATGGTTCCTCATCCCTCATCCTCATCCTCACCCCTCATCCTCATGCGACCGCCCGCAGCGCTGAGACGGCTCGCGCATCTGCCATCCTTTCACCCCAGCCTCAGACAGTCAGGGCTTGTCGCCAGTTCAATAGCTCGCTAACCCTCTCTCTCCCAAGCACGCGACATGCGAAGCAAGAGACGGGAGGTGGGAATGGTAAGCAACACAGAAGAGGAAAAGGATGAATGGAAAGAGAGGGGCCGAAGGGTTAGGGCCGAAGGGAGGCAAGACTGAGCAGTATAAATAGGAAGTCAGTCCCTGGCAGCCCACACGCCAGCTCCAACGACGTCGTAACTCTTGGGGCTTGGGAGCTGCTTCGGTTCGGGCTTTTCCTGCGGGGTTGGAACGAACCCGTCGTCCCAGCCTCCTCCTCCTCCCCCTCTTCCTCCTCCATGGATCGAATGGCTAAATATCTAGTGGATATTATATCTAGCAACAGCAGCAAGGAAGCCGAAAAATAAAGAAAGTGCGCCGTTTCGTTCATGTCCCCTTTCTTTTCTTTTCTTTTCTCTTCTTCTTTTCTTTTCTTTTCTGTCCCCAGTGCGTGCTTCTACCAGCTGTTTTCCTTTTTCCCTTCGCACTTCTCAATCTGCGTCGCGCTTCTGTATCCTTGGATGGTTCTTTGATATCGCCTCTTTGGTGCAGCGACTTGGTTGTTTTCCCCGCGCGTCCCGCAGCCCGCATCCGGTGTATCCGCGGGTTAGACACCCAAGCCCCAAACAACGCAACAAAACAATCTTTGAACCCGGCCTCATTCTCATGCCGGTTCATTTCTTTCTTTTTCTTTACACTTTATTTCTTGGTTTATTTGGACAATTATATGGAATTATTTGTTTTGGTGTTATCTATATAAAATGGGGAAACAATACGAGGGAAGGAGGAAGGGGCGGGCGCGGGGAAGAAACTCCAAGCTATTATTATCTATTTGACGACCCTCTACCAGAAGAAAGAACTATATTTCTCTTTTTACATGAGTGATGGTGTTTTTTTCGAATTTTACTGCTGGCTCTCGGCTGCGTGTTGAACCTTAAAACGAGTTGCGAGAGCGTAATGGGGTCTTCTCCAGCTTCAACAGCCTCCATAGCTTTGGCAATCGAATGTAATTTACCCCGAGCAGCGACGTTTTTAGCTGTCCACCCATGTTTGTCCTGGAAATGACGTCGACTGCAGCGAGTAAAATGAGCTTGAACTCCGACCTCTCACCCAAGTCCATCTACGTGATGAAGCGCTGTCCGCCCACAGTTGTCAAAAGCAGATACCTCAACCGGAGAGTCGAGAAGACAGAAGATTGCGATATTTCTTATTCATGGCTGCTGGATGACCCCGCTATGTTCTCTTATAAGAGGCCCATGCCAGCATCCAAAAGGCAAGTATTGCCATTTCTCCCCAGAACCTTTCGCATATGACGGCATAGTGTACATTGTGGTCGCATGTCCGTGCAAGGCGCAGTCTTGAAAAACCGATCTTATTGATGTTTTGCGATTCTTGGCCTGCAAAAGGGCTCCATCCAAACAAACATCTGACTCCAGCAGGGTAGCTGGTGCTGCATTTGGATAAGTCCTAAAGCCCCTTATATACACCCTTTTTCTGTTCCTCGAAGAAGACGGTGTGCGAGACATGTAATCCGATGAGGACTATCAGCATCTGTAAGGGCTTTTACCCTTGCCTGCCCTTCGCGACCGTTTATATACTGTCAAGTTTGAATATGTAGGGCGTATTTCTTCCACGCTTCGAGTTGTTTCATCGAGAATAATGCCTGAGTGTTTAAATAGCTTTCCATTAGTTTTCCTGACATTGCAACATTAATTTTCCAATGGCGATATATGTTAGGCCGCCGGGGCAAAAGAGCTCCATCACACCAGCGCCATGCTGGTAGTAGAGGGGACGAACCAATCCAAACCCCCCAACAATATATCTTGTCTCTTATTCAGCTATCTGCCTCATTTCTTGTCCCGGTAACACAAATATTGAACAGCTAGTCGCTGGCAAGTGCTTGGCGTTTTCTAGGAAGCATTTTTCCGAGTATGTCCATCCCACTCTTAAGGTGTCGCTAAGAACGCTTCGCCGCCTAGCATTTTGAAAGTTTGAGTCATCATTTCTGCCCGAGTGTCGCCTCTGATCTCACGAAATACAAGCAGGAGGCTCGCAAACTCATTCCTTCTAGCTGTAAACTAGTGGCGATCTCGACGGAGGCGTTAGTAAGCACAGTCGCCTACCGGTTTGGCCAGCAGAGGTCCCGACATTTGTTCGCTACTAGTCACAAGCGTGACCATCATACCGATCTTTAGTTAATAAGTTGAAAAATGCTAACGTTCAGTCATCGTTAATCGGACTGATACCCCGTATCCCTCCCGGGTGTATTTCGAACCCAACTTTGTTAAAGGTGGGATCATATTCAACCATCTCTCTGCCTTCGGTTGGTCCACTTTCATAACAACCCAGAGTATGATTCGGGTCACCAGAAGTCCATGGCGAGAACACAACTTGAATTGTCCGCTGTTTCCGATATGATGAAATGGTGGTAGACAGAGGGTCATCAATCATCCCAGTCGTAGAGTTTGCAGGGTTGGCCTTTTGTTTATTGGCGGTCTCCTCTTTCTGGGGTCTTCTATTTTCAGATTCCATATGCGCCGAAGTTGGATTTTTTTGATTCTGTTCTTGAGTTAAGGGTGTGCACAATTGAGCCTCAGTAGGGCTTCGAGAATCAGGTCCATCAAAAACAGCAGGAGGTAAATTGTTCGAATTTAACTCTGGATGGATATCTTTTGTACGTTGGTTGGCAATTCGAATGTTCTCCATCTTGAGGACAATACGACAAGCAATTTGGTTTGTCCAAACAATGCCAAGGGCGGGGGTTTTCCACTCCGACTGGGAATCTGTATACATAGCCTCGAGCGTAGATGCGTGCGAATCACCCCAGCCAGTGAAAAAGGGTCGTTGGTAGTCAACTTTCAGCAGTGTACCAAGATCAAGAACACTCAAAGAAAATTCATCTTCTTCCGCCTCGGTCATAGCCGATGGCATAGGAGAAGAGGCTAATCCTAGTTGATGAGAAGGTGATGACTTAAGATCTTCAGAATCATCTGCCAACTGCTCGTCGGGATGAGAAGATGGTGGCTGGGATTGATGCTGAAAAGGGGATTCATCCAAGGAACTGCTTGTGGGAGGGTCAGGTTCGTCTACCCATAGAACATCATCCATCTGGATCCTATCTGATACTTGGTTTGCGACGACAATTGCGATATTCTGTTTGGCGGCTAGGTTCCTAAGGAATTGGCCAAGCTTTTTAAGTTGCCATGCCCGAGCCAGTAAACCAGCAACATTATCCAAATCACTTTCAGCACGATAGTTAGCCGTTATGGAATCGATAACGACAAGGCCAATATTGTAACGGGAAACTGCCACTGGAATTTGATAGTTCAGTATGTGATCCTGGGACTCGAGATCGATGGTAGTTATGGATAATATATTCTCTAAGGACGGGCGAGGAGATCCCTCGGGTAGTGTAGAAATTACAGGATGTTCCTCGAGAAGCTGGGACAGCCTGTTTGTAGGTAGATTTGACTCCGTAGACAAGTACAGAGCCTTTTGAGATGTGCCATAAGGGGGAGGTAGCTGAACGGAAAGCAATAGATGCAGAAGGAATTGGGTTTTACCGCATCCGCTGCAAGATTTACGGAATGTAAGTAAGTATCCGTTAAGCAATGTGATGGTGAATGTGACTGTCTTACCTCTCTCCCGCCAGCTCCGTTACATATCCCGTGGATATGCCACCTGCCAGGACCCGATCTAAAACAGGGTCCAATGTGCTTACAAATGAAAGCTCAGGAACTCTATGGCCTAGTTTCACAATTGGATCCCCATGGTCCTGCACCCTATACTGCTCATTATCGTCGCGGCTTGCTGGCGCCACGTCTATGGACTCGCCCTGATATCTACCCAGACCCAGATCTCGATGCAAAGCGTTGATCACATTCTCGGCCAGGGCACGCACATCTGTCACGGCGACTTTGGCCTGCTTGGCAATTTCCAGAGGGTCAAACAACACCAGGTCCTTCACCGCAATGTTTGCCCTTTCTAAGGATGGTAATATATGAGCATAGGACTTTGTCGGGAAGTCGGGGATTGTGGAGAGTATATCCATCAGTTGATCGCGCGGTGGGCAACTGAGGTGAGGATCGCACCGGCGCAAGTCGGGCCACTCATCACCCAAGATATGGCGTAAGATTGCCGGCCCTTGAATCCTGGTAGACGGTAGATCGTCGGGAAAGTAATTGCAAGATCATATTGGCGCCATAACTACCTCAGGACGCTGGGATTAGTGGCTTCTGGAGCTGAGGTCGCGTGGAAGGAGGATTATTTGACTGCAGACAAGCTTTTTTAGTTGACTAGTGCTGATACGGCACTGAGGCAGGCAGGGATACTCGCATCGAGGGCTAAATATCCAGAAAGGTCAAACCGCGCCATTCCAATCCACATTGCTCGAGATCTCAATGACATCAATGATCGAGATTTCGCGGACAAGTAATTAACTTAGTCAGCAGCCACCTTCCGCGTTTTATATTGCTGAGCTGATACGATGTACGAGGAGGAGAACCTCGGGCATTCGCCTTTGAAGGTTCACGCAATCAAGTATCCAAGGTAGCAAGTCAGCCTGCTTCTCTCCAGAACGAAATGGACATGCCAGGTGATATCCAAGCGAAACCCTCTTGCCAGTCGTTGGCAACTTTATCAGATGATTAGATAAAGACAACTTCTCGGACGGTAGTTGGAGGATTTGCCTGAAATTTGACGCTTTAGACTCGTTGATCTGCCGAACTGCAAGCCGATAGCTGTACCGGTTTCGTGCTTTGTGGCTGGCGGCCAAACCTGCATTGCGGGGTTGTTCCTTTGTTTTCGGCGAAGGAAGCCGTCGTTGGTGCTATTATATATATGTCCCCAATCCCCCCCTTTTTTCTCTGTCCGCTAAGCACTCCAAGTAGAGCAAGTTAGTCTCTTCAATTATTTTCCTTGTCAAGGATCATTCCCAGTCGATTCCTATATTGGCCTTCTACTCTTCATTGTCAAGATGTCTTTTCCCCACCCACTTGAGCAGCTGGGGGCGACTGAGATCCGCTCTGCTCGAGACGTCATTGCCCAGGCTCATCCAGGTGTTCTGCTCCGGTTTCGTTCGATATTCCTAGAAGAGCCGGCTAAAGCTGCTTTGACAAGCTTCCTGGCAGCAGAACATGGAGGGGTTCTTTCGGCTTCCACGACTCGGCCACCACGATTGGCCAGTGTGCATTACGATACCATCCAGGCGGACAAGACGCATGACTATTTTGAATCGGTCGTGGACTTGGGTCTAAGGAAAGAAATCTCTCGTCGGACCTTTGATTGTTCGAAGCAGCCTTCAATTACATTGTAACGTTCATCCTTAATTTAAACGATCTCTATTTCTTTCCGCAATAGCAATGATCAGTGTTAACGTGATTTAGGGATGAATTCGGCTCGTTTAATGAGGCATGCATGGAATCTCCATTGTTCCAGGAAGCGATATCTAAGTTTACCTTGCCAGAAGGATTCGTCCTTGAGATTGACCCGTGGCCATATGGCGGGCTCGACGATGGCGAGCCTAACATTCGTTACATGCAAGGGCTTTGTTTCGCCAAGGACACACGAAACGGAAATCCAAACTCCAATCACTACAGTTACCCAATCCCCCTTATTCCAGTAATGGATTTCCGCAAGCGAGAAATCATTAGAGTTGACAAGCTCGCGACTGGAGGAAGTGCTGATGGCTTTGCCTATGATACTGCCTCCCAAAACATATTGGGCCATACGGGTCCCTCTGAATATGTTCCTGAACTTTTGGATATAAAACTGCGAACGGATGTTAGACCACTTAATGTGCTCCAGCCCGAAGGGCCGTCCTTCCAAGTGACCAACGAAAGTCTGGTCGAATGGCAGAAATGGAGATTCCGTGTTGGGTTCAACCCCCGGGAAGGTGCAACCATCCACGATATCCATTATGATGGGCGTAGTATTATATACCGCCTAAGCATGTCTGAAATGACGGTTCCATATGCGGATCCTCGACCTCCCTTTCATCGAAAGCAAGCTTTTGATTTTGGTGATGGTGGCGCTGGCCGATCCGCCAACAATCTGGCTTTGGGCTGCGACTGTCTAGGCGTTATTAAGTACCTAGACAGTTTTAACATCGACGCGTCAGGCCAGCCGTCCGTGGCTAAGAATGTGGTCTGTGTCCATGAGCAAGACAACGGCATCGGATGGAAGCACACAAATTTCCACACAGGTCGAGCTATTGTTACTCGATATCGTGAACTTGTGGTGCAGTTCGTCATCACACTCGCCAACTACGAATATGTTTTTGCGTACAAATTTGACCAGGCCGGAGGAATTACTTTCGAAACCCGGGCGACTGGCATTGTCTCAGTGGTTAACATCGATCCAGGCAAGGAGTCTCCATGGGGTAACGTGGTATCTCCCGGCGTCCTCGCTCAGAACCATCAACATATATTCTGTCTTCGCATTGACCCTGCCATTAATGGGTATCGAAATACTGTGTTCCGTGAGGAAGCACTACGAATGCCTATGGATATCAAAACCAATCCTTTCGGAAATGGGTACCGGGTAATTACCCAGCCGGTGGCGACTTCCGGTGGATTCAACGCCTGTCCGACCACCAATTTAGCAGTCAAAATGTCTAATACCAATGTCCTGAACCCCATTTCTGGAAACCCGGTCTCCTATAAATTTACTCCTCCGGCTACGCAGCTTATCCTCGCGGACCCGCGATCCACCGTCGCACAACGTGCCCAATTTGCGAAACACCATGTCTGGGTGACGGCACACCGGGACGGTGAATTCTTCGCTGGAGGCAAATTCACCAACCAGTCCCGGAGCGAGCAGGACGGTGTTTCGGACGCTGCTGCTCGGAATGACAACATCCTTGACTCCGATGTGGTGGTCTGGTCGGTGTTCGCGCTGACTCATAATCCTCGTGTTGAGGACTGGCCAGTGATGCCAATCGAGAAAATGGAAGTCCACATGCGGCCGTCAGATTTCTTCGATCGCAATCCCGCTTTGGATGTTCCTGGGACTAAAAACCCAACGAGTGTGCTCGTCGATGAGAAGGATGATTGCTGTTGTGAGGGCGGGAAGGTTCAGCGGGCGCCCGAATCACATCGTCAAAGCTCGCAAGATATTCCTGTGAAAGCCAGTAGTAAGCTGTAAGGTAAAGCCTGGGAATCTATTATTTTATTTTACTTATTTATTGATTTATCCACTTTAAAAATTTCATTATGATTGATGTATTGCTATTGAGGAATCCTTTATTAGTGTCACAGCCATGAATGAACACTGACACTCTGCACGCACTGGTTTTGGAAATTGTATACATGTGTAAAACCATAACTACTAGTACCACACCGTAGTATTAAGTTTATACAATCGCCTAGTCGGTTTGTTGTATGATTCCCAGCGGACAGGTAGATGGCTCCATCCTAGCGAATATTTCCGGCAAACCGTGAGCTAACTCCCGATCCATCAGCCGAAATCGGCAATGGTCACTACAAGCCAAGCTCAACGTCTGCTGTACTACTGGGAATCGCATGACCGACATCTAAAGAACGAGATACAACTTCTTGCATTTCCCACGTGCCTCAAATAACAAGTAAACAAACTTCTGTGCGTATTAAACAAAAACGCACGCACCTTCAAAAAATGGCGGTATTCCACATCGGTAGGTCTCTTCTTGCCTAGATCATTCAGATTGACGACTGCCCTCCTCCCCCGCGAATACTTGTACTGCTCCCCAGTGCGACAAATACAGCCCCTCAAAAACATAAACCATTACCAAGAAAAGCCGATTACCGCGTACTAACCACTCTCTGATCCCACGCCAGTCCTCCTCAAACTGAAACCGGGTGTTGTGCCATCTCAGGTAGCTGCATTCAAGACCGCATGCAAGGCCATGGTTGGGCAGGTCCCAGGTACGTACAATTTTGCGATTTTGCGATTTTGTTGGTTGCACTCATTGAAATGGGATTTAAAAAAAAATACCACTCCAAACATAGAGAGATAGGAAAGAAGGAAAGAAGGAAAGAAGTAGGGGATACAATGTATGTTCCAAATTCTAAATTTCTCTATAACGTTTCAACAGGACTCCGTGAAATGCACTGCAATCCGCCATTGGCCATGACAGCATCTCGGGCCAAAGGATATGATATGGGCTTGTTGGCTATTTTGGAAAAGCCGGATGATGTCTCGGTTTATGCGGGGCATCCTTCGCATCTTGTGTAGGTGAACGGTTTCGTTCTCTTCTTTTGTTACCGCTACATGGATTTTCTTTTTCTTTTGTTGTTTTTTTTTGTACGTCTCATTTTTTACTTTTAAGAAGTGCTTTCCTGTAAGTATGATGTTAATTTTGGCAGGGTGCAAAAATTGCGTGATGAGCTATGTGAGGATGCGTTGGCGTACGATATGGAGTTTTAAGTTCATGGAACCCTTCCAGGGAATGGTGGTTGTACATACATGCACAGTACAGTATGTGGTGCGGGTTGACATGAATGTCGCTGTAGCAAAGCCACTTTTTGTATGTACAGTACGTCTGAACGAGCCGATTCTTAAATTTACAAAATTAATACGGAATACACATACACACTTTGACATATTGGAAGCCACAAGCGCGAGTGAGTAGACCAAAGCACATGAACAGCTTGTTGCTCCATGATTTCTAGATGTCACCTAGATAATCAGATCTTCCTTGTCCTTCTGTTGCATCAGTATGGTATAGCGCTTCGCAGTCCACTCGCGCAAACGCTTTCCCTTCCAAATCAGTAGAAGAAAAGACATATTAGCAACAAGGCATATCATCGCCATGATAATAGTGGTGTCTTGCAAACCGTTATGGTCCAGCCATGGCCTTGAAAGAAAGAGTTGAGTTCTAAAGTTAGTTTCCGCAACCATCCAATTATTACTACAAAATTAGAAGAGAGTAATAGAAACGAACGACCTACTGGCTGGCAAAAGTGAACCCGCAACCGATCATATTCCGAATAAAGAGCATAAGCACCAGGCTTTCAGAGGCAATGCGCGGGTAGCAGTCTACCGCGTACGTAATTGCAATGGCGCCGCCACTTCCGATCCCGAAGGCAATAAATACCATGCCGAATCCGGCTGGCAGAAGCCACATTGTACCCTTTAATACACCCAGACCATACATAAGTATCCCCGCGGTGTTGATGATTGCAGGGACAAGCATAGTCCAGAGCCTAAACTCAGGTTCTAGAATACCCTTGTTGCGTCTGGAGAGAAAAATGATGCACCAATCAGACACATAGCCGCCCCAGAACATGCCTAGGATGCCGCCGATGAAGGAGGAAAAGTTGATATTGCCAACGTTCGCTACACTGAAGTTGTATGGTGGCCCACTGAAAAGTTCAGACTGCGTCACGTTGAGTAGCGATAGCCACATAATCTGTACGCCGTAGATGAAACCTGCCCACATGACTGCCGGATATGTTACCAACATAAACGGGCTAATGGCAACGAGCCACAATGGCCGTGGGTCACTATAGGCAGTGTTATATAGTCCCATCCGTTGCCAGTATGTCTTCGGAGCAGGTGGCGCTGATTCCTCGGAGGTGTCACCTTCTTCTCCATGTGACGCTTCAGACTTAATTTTCACATCTTGTAGATTTTGTCTTGCATGATGAGATATCGCGGCTGTGTCTCCGGATATCTCTGAGGACGTAAGTGGTCTGCGGAAGGTAGATTCTTCCATCGTGAATATTTGGATGACCAGAAGGACAGCGAAGAAAATGATCAAGTATTGGTAACACCAACGCCAGTTCTGGGAGTCGGCGATGTGCCCCGCCGCAACAGGGCCAAGGTATGACCCTGCATATATCGTGAAGACGTACAAACTCAGTCTGGTGCCTTTCTCATGTGCAAAGAAGATATCGGTCGTCGTAATTTGCACCAGAGAGTCCACTGGCGCCGCACCGAACCCGGTGAGGATGTTTGTCGCCCATTGCATCTCAATGGTTGTCTGGAATCTGCCTACAATGCAGCCTACAAAGTTGAGAAGCGATCCCACAAGGTATATAGGTCTTCTACCGATTTTCATGGCTATGGGCTGCAAAATGACGCAACCTAACCCAAGGAACAGGAAGCAAAACGCTGACGCAATACTCAGCTCGAAGTAGGTTGTTTTCAGATCGATGGTAAATTGTGTCTTGAAAGCGTATCAGTCGAATTCGAGTTGGAGTTGGAGCTGCAGCCGCAGCTGCAACTGTGTTGTGCACACGTTGCATGAGCTGAACATACCCAGACTGGCCCAACCCAATTGACGCAGACCGCAGCTAGAAACCCCCAGATCCACAGGAGCCAGAAATGATACTCCTTGCGGAATTTACTCCAGTTGAGGGGGTCGTTGGGGTCATTCGACGGCTGGGGTACAAGGACAATATCGCTTTTTCCACCTTTTTGATGCTTTACATTCATTGTCCCTTCCACTAAAGAGATTTCGTCCCATGTCAGATTCCATATTCATTGTTAATTAGATCAACGGTAAAACAAGCCACCTACAGTCGACAATGTGCAAAGTTCCGGGAACCATTTTCACCCCTTCAACCGTAACGAACTCCATCTTGGTTCGATATTGTTGTTTCACGCGTCAAAGTAAAAGGAGTGTCCTAGCAAGGTCTATGGCCGTTCAACACAGTTCAATTGTAGTTTTATTGAGAAAAAGCCAAAATGTCTCAAGAATGACTTCTCAGATCGGGCATCAGCTCCTCGTAATATGTAATATGTGCAATTCTCAATCCTAACTGAGCTAGAAGCGCAGATCAACAAAACCAAAACCAAGAAGGCGAAGGATCCAGCTGCTCCGGGCATTGGCTTGGGAGAACCGAATGGAAGCCGTAAACCCGTATAACGATTGCAAGGGACAGGCTCGCAAAAGCCGGGAAAGTGGTGGTGCGACCCATTTCTTCAGCTACCAGTGATACGGAGAAGTTATACCTATCGGATTTATTCCTCTGTAGTTGGGCACATACACTGCCGGACAAGCTGAGTCGGGATCGGCTTTGGGGACCATGTTTCCCCTCTCGCTCAACACTAAGCATCCCACACAGCAAGGAGGTGGATGTGTATAGCCGAATGAAATAGGCATAGTTTGCCCGAGGCCAAGGCCATACCCATATAGGAATACGAGAAGGCACCAAAAAGGCCTTTTTGTTCAGACTTTAAGTACCGAGAGTGGGTGGTTGCTCCATGCTACCCAGGCAAGCTTTACTCGGCGTGCGACTAACTAGCTATTGAGCAGGGAAAGCTTATCCAGATTTAAAGGTAACTTACGCTATGTTCCTAGGCCCAGAAGGAATCGATGGCTGCTAGGGCACTTCGCATTCTGGCTTCATATGAGCTTTTCCTCTCGCCAGGCCATGTCAGAGGTGCGTTTCCCTATATCTATCTGCAGCAGAGTATGGCCGTTCTGGACGCACGGTCAATTGGAAAATGTCAAAATTGAAAACAAAATGAAAAATATAGTAAAATAGCTGGCGAGACACAGATGAGTCTCCAAAACCAACTCTTGCTATGGACATTGTAAGCTTTGTGCCACCAAGGTTATACACACCACCGCGCTTAGTCAACGGCCCCAAAATCAACCTCGCCAGCACAGTTGGCTTGGGGTCCAAACCCAACAACCACGACTTCGGCACGCAGGGAACGAGAGAACAATTCCCAAAAGCTTTTGGCCGCTGGCGGGAGACGCAATCGGAGAATGCACCCAGACATTACTTTGCGCGATAGCCTGGCTGGCTTGGCTCTATTCCAATCCTCTCCATGCGAAATTCCGCTCGTGAGCTTGCTGGAAGTGATAGCCCTCACTTCCTGCGGGGAATTGCCATCCTTCGGGAGCGTGAAAAAACAAGGACTAGGCGCGCCACTAGTATAGTTCGGGCTAAGACTTCATCCTCCCGCCGTGGAGTGACCAGCGAGACAGTGCCGAGCACTGCGACACATTCGACCCTTTCCCCAGCTTGAACTTAAATGCAATCAAGGAAACCCCACAGTTTTGACGGCTCACACACGGAAGAAACTGACGGATAGACATCAACGCTTGGTTTTCAATAAAGGAAAAACGCGCTGCTGCTGTTCGCATATTTCAAGACCACTACCACCATACCCCTCGCCACAGTATTATCAACCTTTCGAAGCTATCTGTCCTATAGCCACCTTGAAGCGCGGATTTTGCCGTTAAAGGCTGAACGCATTTCAACTGCCCTGAAACGCTCCCTCAAGCGCAATACCCAAGATAGTTACATCAAGTCTGTGTCTGGTCATTGGTGGATACCAATTGAGCACTGAAGACCACGATTTAGGCAGTTCTCTTACGTTCCTAGGTTGATTGATTAGGGATAATAATGATCCAGGTCTGTCTCCTCGTTGGTGGATTCGTGCTCGTCCTCCGAGCCAGCTCCACAGTTTGGCAAGCAAGCTTCATTAAGCATAAACGTAGCCCCAAAAATTTGCCTAGCTCCCTTTTTACTTTGTTTTGTTTTGTTTTTCTTCGTCAGATATGCAGAATTTCCTCCTACCACATCTATCTGCTGTATCTTTTCCCTTTTGGTTAAGCAGCTCTCTATCTGCTTACTGCCACCATTCTTGAAGTTGCAACAACTATTTCTTATCTCTCTCTCTCTCTCTTTGTTTTATCTCCAATTCTTTTATGGTATTATTCTAGCTGCCGAAAGTTAGCTGACAATGCCGTAGTCCACATGAAACTCTTGTGATGGCCACCTTTCCCGCTGGTCTGGAGACCCCGCTTCTCAAGGTCAGCCGCCCTGTCGCAGCATGCTCGAGGTGCCGCGCCGCTAAAGTAAAATGCGATGGCAAACTCCCTGCCTGCTCTGCTTGCGAACGGGCAGGGAAAGCGTCTAGCTGCCCAGGCGCTACAGATGAGTTCGCTAAGGGAAAAGAGCGGAGCTATGTGGCCTCGCTTGAAGGCCAATGTGAACGGCTTGAGAAAGAAATCGCCGAAGCGAAGCGTCGGAGGCAGAATTCTATAATGGAAAGAGCTGCGATGGGGCAGAACTATAACTCTCCCCCGATATACTCTCAAGGCGGGAAGAAATCTTATCGCAAAGAGACATCTGATATCAATGACTTGGTGGGAGATTTTGGATTCCTGTAGGTTTATGAAATTGCCACCCACTCATTCCTTGACTTAAACCACTTACATTTACCCCAGCTCAGTTAACGCGACATCGAGAGATTTCTATGGCATCACATCCTCAACATCCTTTGCTAGGCTACTGTTAGCAGTGGCTGTATCGAAGCCCTTACAGAATGCAGGGGTAAACAGAGGCCTTCCAGCCCGCCCCGTATCTTCTACGCTTATCCAGCATTACTTCGACAATATCTATGTCCTGGCGCCCTTCTTTATACAGACCAACTTTTGGGCATCGTTCGATGCCATCTATCAAGAAGGAGGACGTTTCGCCAAGAGTTTTGATTATTGGATTGTACACATGGTTTTAGCAATCTCTCAGGCTCTAACCTCTCATTCTCAAATTGCTAGGCATCATGTTTCGATAGCGCTCGAATACGCCGATGATGTTCTTCATCCCGGATCGATTGCTGGCATCCAGGCCATTTTATTATTGGCGCAGTATTCAATGCTTGACCCTGAACACTTCAGAACTTGGCACTTGATTGGCAGTGCTGCTAGAGTCGTCTCTGATCTAGGTATTCACCAGGAGCAACTATCTGAGCCGTACCTCAATAAAACAAACCTAGATCTTCGAAGGAAGGTTTTCCATTGCGTCTATTCCTTTGACCGGTAAGCAATCAGCGGACAGACACATTTTCTTCAAATATTAATATAACTCTAGATATGTTAGCATTGCATTTGGGCGAGCATTCTCATTCTCCGATGATTCTGTGAACGTCCCTCTTCCAGGCGTGCCGCTGCAGCCCATTGGGGAAGCCTTAAACTGGACGACCCCCCTATTCGCCAAGGGCATCGAACCGGCCATCTATTTGTTCAAAATACGCGGAATACAGTCAAAGGCATATCAAATTATGTTTTTCAGTGGGCGGAACCCAGCCCCAGAGCCCTCGCTGTACACATGGGAAGTCTGTGCGGAGGCTCAAAGCTGGTTCAATGCAATACCAAGAACTTTGCCAGGTCATCTCATTATCTTCTACAACGCAGAGCTTTTCTTCACTTTTGTGATTCTCCTCTCCCCGTCGAATTATAATCCGAGCGTAAGCATACTACACCGAGTTCTACTATTTGAATACGCCATCAAGTTCATCTCCCAAATACACCAAATAATCAGCGCCGCTAGCTGGCCGCTGTTTTTCTCATACATCGACATCCAACGAGTGTACACAGTAGCTAGCAAGTTCATAGACGCTCTCGATCAATCGTACGACGAAATACTTCTGGACACCCTTCCTGAGCTAGCCACCCCCGTACCGCCAGGAACGCACCAACCTCCGTACGTATCCCCAACAGAACGGATTGATTCCAACGGCCGGGCACTGAAATGCCTACAAAGCATTGGCTCGATTTTGAAATATGCTCACACCAGGTGGAATATGAGAGATCTGCTGGATGAATTCCAGCGAAGTTCCATTCATTTGGAGAAACGGCTGATACAAACCCAAGCACATGGGCCTCAGCACCATGTGGAATTGGCGCCCGCTGTGGCTCCCGTTTCCTTCCCAGGGCAAGCGTATACGATGCACCCGGCGCAACCACAATATATTCAACTGTCGCAGCAGCAGCAGCAACAGCAAAAGCAACATCCGTGAGTAGTTTCCACTGCTATGCGTATACAAAACTGGTACCCGAGAAACTGAAATAAGGGGTTATCACAGTGTGATGGCAAATAAGATGCCGACTCGCGATAGCAACGAATGATAGCTAGTGAGTCCAAAACAGACGGTTCCAAAAAAGAAAAAGGAAAGGAAAAAGAAACAAAAAAATGAGAAGGGGGGAGGGGGGAGGGGAGAGACAAAATGAGAGACGCCAGACAAAGCATCAAATGAAACGGATACGAATGGCTCGGGCAAGGACAACGCACTGGGCCGAAGCAAAATTCCGTATCATGCCCTCACAACAATGTGGGCATATTTCCTCCCCCCCCACCTCCTTTTTTTAATTCCTTCTGACTGTTCTGTCCCATCCTTTTTCTCGACCTTTCTAGCTGACTACACTTAACTACTCCCTCGATATAACTCAATTCCCTTTCTTTCACCTCTCTCGATCAATGTATGTACCTCCCCCAACTTAAAGCAGAGGCGCGCCCCTCCCCCCCTCGGATATCTCACTCTATAACTCCCTCGACTCCGCTTCCCGGGTCAACCTCTCGAAATTATAGTAATATACACATATATAATACATCCGAAGTTTTAACCCTATGTGTATTCCCTTCCCCTCTTTTTTTTTCATCTTATTTATTTACTTTATGTACTTATTTTTCATCTCTGGAGCGAATTTGTTTTATGTTCTATAACTCACGGTTATATAATATACATATAAATACATACATATATATATATATATATACCATCGTGGCGTCGTTTGTAGCTAGATTGACGAATACAAGACATATATAATATATTTCTGCCGTATTACAAATTGCGTTATACTGTTCTTTCCTCTTCTGAAGCCAGGCCCTATAATTTTTTCTTTTCTTTTTCTTTTTCTCTTTTTTTGTCTTCTTCTTGCTTCTTCTTTTGCTGCGGTTTTATTCAGGCATCAACCGAGGAGTTTGGTATGTTTCTCTATATCACCAGCAGAGAGCAGCACCCTATTTATTATTGTCATTTCGCTATTGCATTATCTTTTCTCCAATTCCGTACATGGTTAGGACAGTTCAATAGCTACCTACGCTGTTGAAAATAGAGAAAGAAATAGACATGCGAAAAATCTTGAGAAATAATAGTAGTAGTAAAAAAAAAAAAAACATCTTTGGTAAATTCTGCAATCTTCGCTTCAAAAGCAAAAAGCAAAGCCGGGCTATTGGCCCAAGAACAATAATAATATCCCGTAGAATGAGGTAGGGTAATATGGAACATGGAACAGACATCGATAGGAAGCTGAATGGTTGCATCGTGACTAGAGGTTGAGGATGAAGGCTACTGCTGCGACATTGGAAAGCCGGGTTATTTCCAACTAAAATCATACTCCTTTCCTAGCTGTGTCACCCGGAAGTGAAGGGAATCCCAGTCCTATTTTACAGAATCCGGGGAAATGAAAAATCTTATATTCTCCGGACGAGGATTTAGACACTTTCAGGCCCTTTCCTGTCTCGATTTTCCGCTCGAAGGGGTGGAGACGACTTATCCAAAGAATCCTGACTACCGTTGCTATGCGATTGCGAGGTCCAACCTCCGCTCGAGCGACGCCTTGAGTGTCGTTCTCCGGATTCCTGCAAACCTGCCAAATATGACGAAGAAGATGGCCGTTCAGCGCGTTTGGGTTTGGAAAGTTGGCAATTGGCTTGGATGGCGATCCTTGTCGACTGCCAATGCCAACGAGATACTCACGTATTGGTATGCCTCCTTGGTTTCGCGGCCAGGAGTCCTAGAATGCGAATCTGCTTGGGCGGGAATACTGCGTGGGATACCAGCCGAGAGTCAGTCGCCATGATCTCGCGTTCTTCAGTCCCTCGACTCAGGCCCGACAAGATGATGGGGATTGACTCGAATGCATTGCTGGGCGTCAAACACGATAGAGTCGTTTAACATAATGTCGAATTAGAATGATGTGATAGCCGAAAAATGGTTTGGAAATGGAGCCCCTGTCATCTTCAAGGGTTGACGGTTTGAACTAAAATATATTGAATATACAGCAACATCATTTGGATGAAGGGGTGAGAAAAAGGGCACTGGGAGATTAAAAGAGAGGAGTGCTTCAAGGGAACTTAAAGGAGATAAAACAGCCAGAAGGATATAGTCACGAACTTTGTAACAACGTTGTAGCTCAAGAGTTCGTTGAGAATGTGATGAGACAGCCTATAACCCCAACTGAGACATCCTACATAACATTGGAGATTTGAAATTTGAAGCCACTTAAGACTTGAGCATACGAGGAAATCAGGCCCATCGGACGTTTTGAACATATCTTTAGAAGAGATAGAGCAGAAACTATATGCCTGAGAAAAGCAAAACCGACTGGATGTCGGATTACTATTTCCTGACTCCCAGACGATTTCTGAGGCAGAAATCCAATCGAGAACCGACAACACCAAAATCTCACCAGATATTGCGCTCTTCTCAAAATATCGAAAAAGACGGCTGACAAGGATGAAAGCACGACCGCCTTCCTCACGGAACAACATCGCGAAATTGTCGGATGGCGCTTGCCAGAGGTATATATATCACAAGCCCTGTGGGGAAAGAAATACCAAACAGAGAACCTCAACCAGCGGGGATACTTTTTAAATCCGTGTCGAGAGAAATGTACCCATTGCCCCGTTGCTTACCGTTTTACATTGACGGTTGGATATCTTCTTTTTTCCCCTTCACTCTAAAAATTATAACTTTCGGCATCCCGATCCCCCTTCTGCAGAAGTCATACTCCGCTTTACAACAATGCTTCGTTCCTTAAGCCGGTCGTCAACATGGATTGCATGCGGAATCGCGATGGTGTGTATTCTGGAACAAGGCACCTGTTTGGCATCCCATCCGGCCATGCCACCGCGACAGATATTGCACTGGGGGATTTCAGGGCGTTCGGCACCACGGCTACAACAGCCAGGGCCAACGGGAGGCGAATGTGACCGCGTCCACCTAGCTCGCTTTGCGCCGCCTGCTGCTCCGGCGTCGATATCGACATCCCATCACGGCGGAAACGCAGCGGCAACTGGGGAATTTGGCAAAATCACGAGGCCGGGGATCCCGTCGGGACGTGGGCTACGGCGTGTGCTTGGCGATTTGGAAACGTGCGCCGCAGACCTCTTGCCCTTCTCTTCGAATTCGAGTCCGGAGCAGCTCGTGGCGATAGCCGGGTCAAAGCTGCGGTCGTGCAGAGAAGCGATCTTCTCGCTTCTGCGATGGTTGGATACCCAGCAGAAAGAAGTGAATGCCCCGCCCGAGAATCCCTATGCATCAAAATATGTTCTGCCGGGTAGCGCTCGAGATGCAGAAATGCATAGTAGGGAGGCAGACATTGAGAAACGGGCTGCGGCCGTGGATGCACAGGGCCAAAGTTGCGAGGTGACTGTTTGCCGCCCCTTCGATGTCCCGCATGCATGTTCCAATTCCAGGCAGATGACCACGGAGGATAAGAAGATGTGCAGCATGTGCAATCCCCGAAGCGAAGAACTCATCGGCAAGCATTGTGCGAAGCAACGGCAGCGTCAGCAGAATGTCCTCTTCCTTCTTCTCGGTATGCTCGCTACAATACCAGCTATTGCAATAATCCTTGTCTTCCTCCGGAAAGCAAAAGGGAGGAGTCGGCGTGGCCTGCGAACAGGTCCCGCATACAGCAGCGAACAAGGGGGTGTGCTCCCTGGTGTCATGTCAACAATCCAAAAATCCAGGGGTTTAGACCGGATGTCAGACGTGGAGAAGGACCCTGCGGCAAGCTGGAATGGCAAGATATGTTCGGCGCCATCCCTGGGCATCTCGGAGCAGGACCTATCCTCAACCCATGAATATCCAACGCATAATCAAGGAAGACCACAGTTCCCCCATCCCCCTGCAGCGATTCGTTGAAACTTAGAGGATCCGCGGGAAGGACGAGGTCAACTATAGCAACAGCATGGGACGGAAAATAGGGAGACATCCGCCCACTTGGACACGTCCTGTACATACATCCTGCACATACATTCCAGAAGTTTTTTTTTCTTTTTTTTTTCTTTTTTTTTTTTTCCCTGTTGCTTCTCACCAGGGATAATCCCAAGATATTAGTGCGGACTTCGCCTTCAACGTTATAGTTTCCGCAGAGGGAGACCAGAAAGAACCATTGTTGCATGTGCGGGGGCTAATTTCCACGAAGCAAAATACTGTAAATATTCCCTCGATGCTTCGGGGGCCCGAATTGCGCGGGAAGGGGGGGGTATGGGTATGGGTATGGCGGTCAGCTTGTGTCCAAATGTCCATTTTCCTCTCAAGGAATTTTTTAATTTATTTTCTTTTCTTGGGTGTTTGGGAAGTTCTGGCGTAAGTTAATTAGATTAACTATGTAGTTGGTAAGTGTGAGAGAGAGGAGGGCGTTTTTTTCCTGGTAACTACGTAGTTAACTTTTTTATTTTCAAAATTGATTTGGGATCTTCGCGCTCTTGATGAATGCATGCCATGCATGAATGAATGAATGAATGAAGAGAAAGCCCGAGGTAAACTACCTTTATCTAAGGTTTCAGCACCACCACCAACGATAACATTACTACTTCCCATAATATAGACAAGGGTAAACAAAACAAGGGGTATATCAAGAGACAAACAACCACAGTTGGGGGGGGTGGAGGGAGGAAATACGGCCAAGCGAATATGATAACTAGTTATTTCCCCAGAAAAAACACAAGGCGCATGCATGACTTGTAAATTAATTTCCCAAGAACAATGGATATGGATATGGATAACGATAACCCATACATAGTTTACTAGTACTAGTGGTTATAGTTATACATGTCGACGGTTGCGTCCACCGTGCATGAAAACAGAATCAAAATAAAGAGAGAAGGAAGGAAAAAGGGGGTGGGGCGGGCGAGAAAAAAGCGACCAAAAGTTAGTTAGTTCCCCTTTTAATTCATTCATGGAATAATAATAAATAATAATGATGACATGATGATGATGATGATAAATGATGATATGATGATATGATGATATGATGATTGATAAATACAACACCCCCCCCCCCTCTCCCCTCTCCTTTTTCTACCTACAACTCCCTCGTCCTCTCCTCGCTCTCCCGCATCCACCTCTCCAGGCTCTCCGCATCCCTGACCCGGAACCAAACCTTAAACGGCATCGGATCCAGCGTCAGCGACGTCTTCGTGGCATTGCAATCCAGCGCGTCCAGGACCGGATGGTCCCGGGGATCCCGCGCGGGCACCATGCGGAAGGCCGTGATCAGCCGGATGAACGCGGTGTAGAGTTCGCGGTTGGCGAGGTGCGAGCCGGCGCACATGCGCGAGCCGGCGCCGTAGGCGTAGTGCGGGGTTCCGCTGCCGTCGGTGGCAGAGAGGTAGCGCTCCGGCTCGAAGAGGTGGGGGTTTTTGAAGTGGGTGGCGTCGTAGTCGGCGGCGTAGGCGTTCTGGGATTGGGGGAGATGTTAGTTTTTTTTTATGTGTATGTGTGTGTGTGTGTTTGGTTTGGGGGGTTGGGGGGAAGGCCCAACGGGATATAGAATAAGAACAAGAAAGGCGGGGAGGAAAAGAAATAAATTGCATACCATGAAGAATGTAGTGCCGGCCGGAATGACTGCACCCTCGTAGGGGATATCCTTAATGCTGACGCGGGGTAGACATATCGGGATGACAGTGAAGAATCGGAGGACTTCCTTGACCAGAGCGGTGATGTAGGGGACTTTCTCCTCAACGAGGCATTTTTCCCAGGCATCTCCGTTTGGATACACCTTCATGATTTCATCGTAGGCTCGGGCTTGGATCTGTTGGCCGTGGTCCGAGGCGAGGTAGGCGATGCCCATGATTATGTTCCCGGGCACGGTGTCGAGGCCAGCGGAAACCATGGTAAGGCAGATCGATTTGATCTCAGCTGCAGGGTGTGTGCATGTCAGATATGTATATATATTTGGATATGTTTTGAGTAAACCACCCCGGTTCCAGTCAGTCCCCAACTCACCTTCATTTAATTTCGCGTCCGGGTCCTTCAGAATGTTTCCAGTGATGCATGGTTTGTCTGTTCCCTTCTTGATCCGCTCTCTCAACATGTCGAGCAGGAGGGTGAGGTACTTATCCCTGCGGATGCGGAATTCCTTGGCCTCCGAGTTCCGACTCGGCCACAATCGCAGAAGCGGCACGTAATCCTGCCAGTTGTTGCTCGTGCTCCTGAAATTGCTCACGATGCGCTCGACGTGACAGATCTCCTTCAGCAGCTCGTTGTCGATGTTTCCGTCAATGCGAATGCCGTAATTCAGAGTTAGACTGGTGTTCAGCGCAAATCGCTGGAAGTAGGCATTGGGGTCGATATCCACGGTGCCGCCCTTGCTGTCGTGGAACAGCTCCCTGATGCTAACGTTGGACTCTAGATCGATGATCGGCATGTAGGATTGAACTGCGGGACGGTTGAGAGCGGTCGCAGCAGCCTTGCGCCGCCTCTTGCACGACTCATCCCAGGGCGATGTGCCGATGGTAAAGCCCTGGGAGCTGGAAACCACAGTGTGAAAGGTGTGTAGGGTCGGGCGAGAGATCAGCGCAGATTGGTGCGTGATCCAGAAATATTTGACCGAATCGAAGGTATTCGCAAAGACGATTCTCTACAGGCACAGGCGCAAACACATTTTACAACAAATCAGCATCCGCTATTAATTTAATATAATATAATATAGTTAATTATGAATAAAAAAGAAGACCAGACCGACTACTGCAATGATCAGATCAAAAACTGGCTGGTGTTATCCTGACGCACCTTGTTCCCCAATCGAACCTGGAAAACCGGGCCATACTTCTTCACCCATCCCGCAGCTACCCTGGCGTGCTCCTCGCCGAGCTGGATGAGACTCCCAAATATCGGAATGCCCGGTATCTCGGTCAGCTTGCTGATCTTGGGAATATCGGTTCTGTTCAGGTATCGAATCAGGAGAAACCCGACTGCGATCACAGCCACCACCGCAGTTTGGAGGCCCATGATGATGATGATGATGATGATAGGGATGCCCGGTGAGAGCACTGAGGCAAGGTACAGGACAACAACACGAAAGGAGGACGACGACGACGAGCAGATAGTTATCCAAGGGGTTGCAGGTTTGCAGTTGCAGGTTTGCGGATCGTGGCTGTCACCCGAACTGGGTGCTGGGAGAGCTCACATTCGCCTCACAAAGGGCAAAGTATCCTGGCGAGGGTTGGGACGGAGCAGCTGGAAGCACCCGGTGTGTATAATATATACAGAGATAGACTCAGACAACCTCAACCATGACTGGGCCTGGCCCGTGGCGCGCGCAGGTTCCGCCCCTTTCCCGCCCCTTTCCCGCCCCTTCTTCACCTTTTCCCCTTCTTTCCCATTTCGCCCATTGATGAGGCAGAGGCAGAGACACGCCCAGAGACACGACCCTGTGTGTGGGGTCCCGTGTGACGCCAGCAGCGCCAAGATTTGGGGCGGAACGGAGATCTGTTTTGCGGGGTAAACTAGGTTTCGTGGCTCGAGTGGGGCCAGTACGTGGAGGAAGAGCCGCTGCGGAACTCAACTCATTGGCAGACTCGTTAGCAGCCAACAGCCAACCACGTCCAATAGTACGCTGTACGCTGTAGTTAGTGGGAACTCTCGAGGGCAAGTACGGTTATCTGCGGTGCTGCTGGCGTGTTTCCGCACTTGCACCCCAGCAGCCGCGGAACGAGGCCGTGAATCCACGTGACAGGCCCGATCTGCGGGAATTCAATGTGGAGAAGAACACGGGGGACGGGACAGGGAAGAAAGGGACAGGGGGATACGGGGGACACGGGAGCGATGCTTGGCCCTAGCCTAGCCTAGCCTAGCCGACAGAGAACCCTTGGGAGAGCACAATTGAGGAACAGGGGGGATTGAGTTAGTTACTACAACAATGCAATGATCATTCACACGAATCCTGTTTGCGCTCGATTCGATTCAGTAAGCGCATAACACGACGAGGAAAAATAGACAAGGTTTTGAATGAATCTCTTGAGTATTGCTGTTGTGTGCAGACAGACTGATACAGTCCCTCCTCGCTGCGCGCTACTGCTGGTCGTCAAGGAAGCCCGTCTCATAGTCAATCGTTCACGCCGTGACACTTTGAATCAGCCCGCGTTTGTTCCCCGTCGTTCCATGGACAAACGATGGCCTCCTCCTGGCGGGCCTTCCAGTGGCACTGTTTGCGGTCTACTTACTTACATTGCCCTTCTCTGCTGCAAAGGGCGCATCCTCCCCAAACACCCCCCCTTTCCTCCCCCATTTGTTGCAAAACCACCTTGCTATTTACAATTGGGGTCAATGATGTGTTTCCATGTCCATTGTGGACATTTGTCCCGTCTCTAACGCCCAAACATCGCACTAACCGACGGCTCAACAGGCATGGGTCCCTTGAAACTGGGATGTGTAGGTCGGTAACACCTGCAGCATTACCGCCCAGTCCAGTTGCTATGTTTAGCAGTTAGCTAGCTAGTTAGCATGCTAGCTAGCATATGAGGCAAGAGGTACCTGCGCACACGGGCCACCCGGGGCCAACAACAACGGCAAGAGCAACAGGTTGTATTTCTTCTCTCTCTTTCTCTCTCTTTTTCTCTCTTTTTCTCTCCTTCTCTTCCTCTCTCTATCCAAAAACTAGTGGGCAACAAAAAACATTGTATGTCACCATTGTTAAAACCAGCGCCTATCCACCATCCGCCATCCACCATCCCCAGACTAACGGACATGAAATGATATCCCATCCTTCCGATCCTGCGCGCTGAATTTCGCCGTAGCCACATTCATCGCAGCCTTGTCGCAACCTCATAGCACGCGGTGAAGTCAATATCTGCCCTGCCGCGCCGGAGGTAAGCGTGATCACCTCCTTCATCGCCTCTCCCTTTTGCGAGAGCAGGTCTGCGGCTCTTTTGCACTTGAACGGCAACCGTCCCCCCCCCCTCTCTCAGGGAAAGGGGGAGAAAGCGGACAAGTTAGTGCGTAGCTAGCCATTTGCACGGCATTGCGAAGAGCAAGGCCCCTTAGAGGGTAATCCGAAGCAAGCATGGCTACTCCAGAGGGTTTCCCTCACAGGACATCAAGGCCGCAAAAAGGCCGACCACTCAGCCAGCAGGGAATATAGGAATATAGATAAAACTAAACAACACAATACAAAAGAGCAACCCTTTGGGGAGCCATAATCAGTCAAATCAGCGTGGATGATACGGATGTTTCTGCCTGGTTGCTCCGCTGCGACTTCCTCTTCTGTGGCAGCTTTGTCGCGCACGAGGCCGACGACTACTAGGTAGGCTTTCTGGGCAAAGCGGATAGTTGGTGTAAACTTCAAAACTACAAGACGCAAATGGTTAGCAGTAGCATTGATAAAGGGGCCAAAAACAAAAAAGGTCCATCGAAAAGCTAGGCATGTAATATAGAAAGATTCATATCTATATGCACATACTCCTATCACGCGATTTGCACCGGTAATCATGTAAGTCGGTATGTTTGATGCATAGTTAGCAGTAAGGTAATATGTGTGTAGGCAAAGTCCAAGGCTTTTGCTGATTTTTCCATCAATCTGTGTCTGTTTCTTCATTGATTCATCCTGTCTTTTCATATTTTTTCCATCATCATTCTCATAAAAGTATTTTCGCCCACTCGACCTGGTTCGCGCCTAGGTCCTGGGGGAGGCATATCTTGCCTATCTTCATTCATATCTCTCAAGCTATTGTTGGAGGCATCCTTGTTTGCGGTACACTAGTCCGCAATAGGGAGCTTAGCGGCTCCGACAAATTTATCACCGCTTAGTCATAACAGGCGTTTGCTAGCTGATCGTGTCATTGGAAGAGCACTTGAGAGAACTAAAAGGAGACAGAACGCTTAAACCAGCCCGTTTGGACGTATCTGCCGTCGACAGGCCATGACAGCGTCGCGATTGAATGGCCTCTCGCGTTGTGACTGGTGCAGCGTCCAATCATCTGACAAACGCCTCTGTGGCTGCCGCTGACGGGCGCACTAGATCATCGGATCCTGCCACTGCTGCCAGCCGAATTTGATGCCTCTGGTTGGCTCGACTCTGAACTTTCAATCAAAGAGCCCCGAGTGTGAGAGACGCGGGTCCTGGCACTTCGGCGACGGGCGTCGATCAATCGACTCCAAGCTGGACCATGGCGCAAGGACCCACGGGCTGGACGAAAACTTTGACCTCAAAACGTCTCCTAACCTACCCGCCTCCTAATTCAGCTTGATACCCCTTAACTACCTTGAGAATATACTTCAAGCGGAGTAAAAGTCGTCGCTCACGATCTAAATGGATCAACAGCAGTTCATCAGGTTTATCCGATAGAGCGAGAACAAGAAGAGAGAAAATCCTTCTCCATCGCCCACCACAGCTTTCTCCACTTGTTGAACTCCTGCAGCTGGCCCAGACGTTGCACAACGGGCTGTAGCTCGAGCGAGCCCAGTGCATATTTCCCCCCATTTTTGTGATTTGGCAATGAGACTCCGCCTTCGCCCTGGCCAATGACCTCCCAGCCGTTCGCTCCCAATCCCATGTCTCTGGCTTTAGCTTTTCGATGAGTGAACGAAGTTGATGCCCCATGTTCTTGTGTCGCGCCTGCATGCGGTCGCCGTGCGCAGTCGAAACTACCCATTCTTGAAAACAGTGCCCGCTTCGCCTTCTTCCTCCCTTTTTTTTTCCCTCCTCGCCCTCTGGAACCCACTTTTGGAAGATAGATAAGGTCCAAAGTAAAGCCACGATCGGAAGAACAGTTGACGCCTGCCTATGGTGCAAGGTAGCTACGTTAAAAACATGGATATTATCAATAGACACCCCCCGAAAACTCGGCGGCACTCTGCTGCATTCGAATCCCTCAAACCGAGCTGGAAAAGCAAGGCCAAGGAGAATGCTGGCATGGTTAAGGGCAACAAGCAGAGCCGCAAAATGCCTATCCTCGCCCTCCTGGGAAAGCTATCCAGATCCGTATCCTCAAGCCGTTCACAATCACCCATCTCCCCACCTCCCTATTCATCTTCCACACCACCGTGCCCAGATTCAACCACGGCTCCTCGTCTCTCCAATCCACTCTCGCCACCCACATCGACCTCAGTCTCAATAAACCTAAAGCCCGCAGAATATGTCCGGCGAATAAAACTGCTCCTTGCCAGTTCGAAAAAAATTCCCCCATCCCCTCTACCCACGTCATCGCATCCACCTTGCAACGATACATCACACAATATCCCTCACAGCAATGGTATCAAGACCAGCCCCGTTTGTGTCTTACAGCATCAGGGTAAAATACCGCCCACGGCGCCGATAAATACTCTCACCCCACGCCAATACGATCCTGATAACCTCCGTGATGATACTATCCACCCAAGCCATAATAATATTCACGATACCACAAATCCCAGCAACAACGAAAACACAAACACGCGTCAAAGTCCACCACGTTCCGCGTCGCCCCTCCTCTCGCCGAACGTCCAACCAAGCCGCCTCTACGACCCCTCCTTCACCGATAAAGAAACTAGATTCCTCAAAACCTTCTTACGCAACAGCCCCCCCAGATCTATTACCCCGCTAACCCAATTCAACATCGCCACCTTACAAGCAGAGCTGGACGGACGCCCAGGGCCCATGGGCCGTGGCGGGGTGCGCGATGTCTCCAAACCGAACCCACTAGGCGCGGATGGCGGCGATGATTATGATGAGTTGTTGGAGTTGGGGCGGAGTGCGAGGGCGGCGGGCCAGCTGGAAGGGGAGCAAGAACGGTCGAGGGAGAAGTTGGTTTCTTGGGTGCAGAGATGGTTGGGTGGGATTGAACCCGGTTCACCGGTGAAAGTTTGATGGTATTCTATCATTTTCGTCCCTTCCCCCTAGCGGTTTTTCGTTTGTTGGGTGGTTGGATAGGAAGGGTGCGTGTACCCGTTGTTTCAACGCATAAATGTCGTGCGACGAATGTGTACGGCGAGAGGGGGTTGCTGAGAACCGTCTCATGGGGCTACGGGGAGGGGAAGCTGGTCGTACACCGCTACACAACAGGTGGTTTATAGAAGGGCAAGGCACAGACCACAAAATGCCGCATACAATGGGCTTTGTGAAGCATAATGTCCGTTATCAGCCTTTTGTGTTACGTTACCGACCGACTGCCCATCCAAGGTTGTCCAAGGTTGTCCAAATTTGTCCGAGGTGTGCGGTTTTCATTCCCGACCCCCTCAGACGAACATCTACCCGCAGAATGCGATAATAGCACAAAGCGGAAGCTAAATGGAAAACCTAATACCTACTGCTCAAAAGAGCTACGGTTGCATCTCGTTATTTCCAGCATACTCCTCGTCGTTGCGTTTCTTATTTCGAAGACAGGACATCCTGCATCCTCACCATACCTTAACCCCATCCGTTAAAAAACAAAATATAAAGTAGGAGAAAATAGAAGCTAACGAGCGCCCGAAGAATAACGCATTGACTTCCACGAGAGACAATATGACAGGCATGGCATGGAGGAGACATCAAAAAGGAAATACGAGCAGAGTCATGATTTTCACCACCCACCAACCTCCCTAAATCTATCATGTAAACATATCCCATTTCCATCCTTTGTTTAACCGTTTTCTTTTTCTTTTCTTTTCTTTTCGTATTCACATTACCCGCGTATCTCTGTATCTCTCTACTTCGTCCGCATCCCTTACTTATCTAGCTATCTTACGTGTTGGTCCCCATCCCCACCGTCCCCCTCCTTTTTTTTTTTTGTAATATACCTCAGGCCCGGGCAGTTTGTTCTGCTACGTTATGTTCGTGTTCCTCCTTTTATTCGCTTCTACGATGATATGCCAGGAGATATAGATCAGGATTAAAGGGTACTGACTGATCCTTGTAGGTAGGGTGGTGCGTTTTCTTTTGTTTTTACTTTCTCTTTGTTTCTCTGCTTCTGCTTCTGCTTCTGTTTCTGTTTCTGTTTCTGTTTTTTATTTCCTCCTTTTTTTCTTTTTTGCGGGTGGGTTCTTAGAACATGGCATGGCATTGCGAGAGCGGAAAGCGTAGCATAGAGCAAGCAAGCAAGCATGATGTCACTGGCACGAATGCACGAATGCACGAACGAGTTACGTTAGTTAGTTACATATGTTCCAAAAAAAAAGCAAAATTAGAAACACCTCATCCATACACGTAGTGTATATATATAACAGAACAGATAGCCATATCCTGCCGTATCATTTCCATCGAATAATGCAAGCTTCCACTTCGACGCGCTTCCTTCGCTTCCAAACCCCCCCCCCCCCCCTCGCACAACCATCCCTCTCACTCTCACGCTCCCCCTCATCCCAACGGACCCAGACTCAAATGACTCAATGACTCAATAAATCCCGCACACTCATCCCGCCGTGCTTCCGCCTCGCCGCTCCGGCCCCTCCCGCATCCACCCCCATTACCCCCGTGTCCTCACCACCAGCACCAGCACCGGCACCGGCACCGGCACCGACCCCAGCCCCTCTCCGATCAACATTCAACATCAACAGCGCCGCCGTCGCCTCGTGGTCCATATCCAGATGGTGACGGTGGTGTTGGTGGTGGTGGTGGTGGGTATCCTGCGCGACGATGACGGGGGATGGGTTCGCGCTTGTCGCGGCGGAGGATGATGAGGTTGAGGACGTGGAGGAGGAGGAGGAGGAGGAGGTGGTGGTGGTGGTGGATGCGGACGAAGAGGGCACGGAAGCGGAAGATGGTATCTGTGCCGCATGTGTGAGGGGGGGCGGACCCGGGGGGAGACTGGTTTCGAGCCGGGTTTGGTGTAGGTGTGGATCTATGGGGGGGAACGTGATGTCGTAGGAGGAGGAGGAGGAGGCGGAGGAGGTCGGGAGGAGAGCAGGGCTGGGAAGAAGAGGGTAGGCGTGCGTGAAGCGTGGGAGGTTGCGGTGGAGTTGGTGGGTTTGTTCATGTTCGTATTCATGCTCATAATACCCATGGGCGTGGGTGTTGGTATTTCCCGGGTGGATGCTTGGGGAGGCTGTCGTGCTGTTTCCATTGCGGAAGGCGGGTTGGTTGGTGTGTAGCGGTTCTTTGGAGGGAGCGGGGGATGGAGATCGTGATGGAGAGGGTAAGGAGGAGGAGCAATATTCGCGATCGACGCTCAGCGAGCAGTTTCGCGTTCTGGTCACCGAGTTGGCGCACGGGGTGGACGAGGTGGATGGGCCGCAAGAGTCCGTTCTGTCACTGCTGTGACCATTGCGGTTTGCAGCCTTGAGATCCTTCAAGCATTGCTCCAGGTAGTTCATATAGTCAATGCTAGCCTGTTCAGTTGTACGGGGATGTCAGTATTTGCGATCTTTTTATTCTCCGATCAAGTGGAAACAGCAATTCTTTTTTAAATACGGAGGCGCGTGGGGAGAGGGGCAAGTAACCTGCAAAATAGCCAACTTGTGCATCTCCTGGCCTCGACAAGCAGGAATCATGTTCTTCAGTGTCGCGAACTCCTCGTTCATTTTCGACCTCCTCCGCCTCTCAATCAGGCTATGCGCCGTCTTGCGCGCAATTTTGCGCCCCGCTGCGGTGGTCGGGCCATTGCCCTGTTTCTTCTTGGATCCCGCACCACCAGCACCATGAGATTCGCCCTTGGTCTTTCCCTCTGGACCCGCAGCGGTAGCGGTAGCGGCAGCAGCACCCCGTGGCGCTGCCTGCTGAGTATGGGTCTGGGTCTGGGTCTGGGTTTTGGGCTTCATTTGAATGATCTTCCGCGCACGGGTGGGTGGAGGAGGGAGTGTGAAGTCCGCAGCAGAGGAGCGCTTTTTGCTGTGAGTGCCGGACCTCTGCCGCAAGCTCCTGGGAGTATTGACACTAGCATTCGGTGCATCTGTCGCGGGGACATCTGGAGAGAGGGGGGAGAGTGGCCGCGCAGGTGCGGCGGCGGCGGAGTGCTTGGAGTAGCTCAAGCTGAAGCTTGTGCTCGAGCCAGCACTGCCATTACTGGAGAGGAAGAGCATTCTCGGTTGGAGAGTTGGGGAGAGCCTTTTCCTTTTTTTTTTTTTTTTTGTTTTTTCCGGTAGATAATGCCTGGTTTAAAGGGGATGTGCCTTTGGCATGCTCAATGTGGCCCGAGAGATATATGGAATGGGTACAACGGGTAGATTTGGGATTGTGCTGGTCTAAGTAAAAAATGGCATTATCCGGGAGAGAGAGAGAGAGATTGCAAGATCCGGGTATTGACACAATACAGCAATATAAATCGATCGATCAATTAATCAATCAATCCACTGATGCAATTGGACTCGGACATATGTACTAATATATGTATGTAATATCCACGCCCAACAACAGGAAAACGAGAGCAAAACAGAGAGCAGCGGTGGGGGGCAGGCCAGCGGCTCTTTTAAACAACAGACCGAGAGAAACCCGCAACAGCGCTCAACAAGCTACCAGAACCCAGCGGACGAGTGTCGCGTGCTCGTGCTGCAAGTGATAGGCTGGCAGCGACTGGACAATGGAGCAGCACGTGCCGCGTCAGCATCACCATCATCATCAGGAGCAGTAATATCTCTGGTAGGGAGTGTGCAGAGTCTCCCATCTCCCATCTGCCATCTCTCCCCAAGATCCACGCATCCAAGCATCCCCACATCTCCCCAAATCTCTCCAACGATCCCACATGGAGCCAGGCCGGCCGCTGATTGGCCCCGGGCCACACGCGGTTGCCGGCCTGGTTGGCTAACCCATAGCTGCCTTCCAGGGTTCATCCTCTGGATGCGTTGGGATGTATCCACCTTTGGGGAGTCGCGATCAATACCTACCCACGGCAGCCTATAGTGACAAATGTGTCAAATGGGTTTTTTTGATGTTTTCCACTGTAATTACTTAATTCCACTTACAGACACTCATTGATAGAAATTTTATACTAGAAAGCAATGCACCTTGAATTCTCTACATACATTTTAAAACAGTGAATTTATGTCATTGTAGATATTATCACTAGATATTATCGCTAGATACCATTGCTAGATATTATCACTAGATATTATCGCTAGATATTATCGCAAGATATCATTACTAGATATTATCACTAGATATTATCGCTAGATATTATCGCTAAATATCATTGCTAGATATTATTGCTAGATATCATCGCTAGATATCATTACTAGATATTATTGCTAGATACCATTGCTAGATATTATCACTAGATATTATCGCTAGATATTATCGCAAGATATCATTACTAGATATTATCGCAAGATACCATTGCTAGATACCATTGCTAGATATTATTGCTAGATATTATTGCTAGATATCATTGTGAGATATCATCATCAATGTTTCCACACTATGGGCTGGTGGTTGCAGTGTATAGATAATGGATTCAGTGACCACACCCACTGTGGGCTGGGCCACAGCAGATCTATGAATATATATATATATATATATCACTCTGAGCACCATGATTCAACAAATGGTTATGTTGACTTTTTGCTATGAATAATCTAGTTATCATAGTACTAGCTTATTATATTTAGTGATGATATTCATAACAATATCTAGCAATGATATCTAGCGATAATATCTAGTAATGATATCTTGTGATAATATCTAGCAATAATATCTAGTGATAATATCTAGCAATGATACCTAGCAATAATATCTAGCAATGATATCTAGTGATAATATCTAGTAATGATATCTAGCGATGATATCTAGCAATAATATCTAGCAATGATATCTTGCGATAATATCTAGCGATAATATCTAGTGATAATATCTAGCGATAATATCTAGCAATAATATCTAGCAATGATATCCAGTGATGCAGCTGGCAGTCGCAGTGTCTCAGTGGTTGGTTCAGTGGCCACACCCACTGTGGGCCGGGCCACACCACCACACCCATGGGTATATATATCACTATGAGCACAACCATTTAACAAATGGTTATGTTGGCTTTTCACTTTGGATAATCTAGTGATTATAGTGTTATCTTATCACAGTGATGATATATATTGAAGATGATATCTAGCAATGCATTGCTTTCTAACAATCAATAAGCCCTATTCAATTACAAATAGAATGAATATGATAGGTGTGTGTACATTGTAACACTAGTATAAAAAACCCATTTGACACATTTGTCACTATAGGCTGCCGTACCACCATAGTAAGTCGGATTCCATGGATCGAATCCCAGCAGGCGAACGAACAGCGTGTTAAGTGAGCCAATGAGCGGCTCGGTAGGCGGGCGTTGTTCCCGCTTCGCACGCTAATTGGCTTAAGGTGTTTCGACTTCAGTCAAAGGTACCTAACTAACTCCATATATGTATAGTTTATATGTATACTATGGTATGTCGAGATTCCTTACGAAGCGCTGGTTTGTCTGTCGATGTTGTGAAATTGGCGTCACTCGGGACAAAGGCAGAGTTTCCTTTCATCGGAGAAGACGTGTGCGGGGGCATGAATGGAGAAGGAACTGTAGTAACTCCACCAATGACCCCATATAGAGAGAGATATATCTATATATACTACTGCCTCCAACGAAGTGAATACCCCATATGTATACGTATACGTATAGCTATGCTGTTTTGTAACAAATAACAATGCCCACCCCGCTCAACCAAAAATCCTCTCCAGCATATGTCCCCCAAACCCCTCCGGCCCCGGTGAGCACGCCATCCTCACCACCCGGTTCCCAGAACTGTCGCTCAGCCAATGCCCATTGTCACTGAAGCTGGCACCGTCGTCGTCGCTGTCGCGCCTCCTCCGCCCCCGACGATCAACTACACACATCCCCCGCGTCCACTGGCCCGTCGTCTCCACGCGGATATCCTCTGGCGACCCCGTGGACGGCTGCCAGCCAACCCCGCCCCCTGATGATGGTGGTGATGATGATGATGGTAATGGCAATGGCGGCGCGCTCGTAAGCACGTACCAGATGCACAGCGGGTCGTGCAGGCTCAGCGCCGCCTGGTCGCCGGCGTGGCCTGGGTACAGCGCGTCGAGCGTGGCGAAGCTGTGCTCGAGGATGATGGTGAGCCACGCGGCCAGCGGCGAGGGCGTGGCTACTACTGCTGTTGCGTTTGTTGTTGTTGTCTGCGGCGCCGCGGTGGTTCTGGAACGGAATTGGCCGCGGGTGAGTCTGTGTTGGTCTGTGAGGTCCAGCGGGAGGAGTGTGAGGGTTAGCTGCTTGCTGAGGCTGGTGGGGTAGGCGGGGAGCTGGTGGGTGGTTAGGCTCGGGTTGGTCAGGGGCATCGTGGACGCGGGGCGCGGGGAGGTGAGGGCGAAAACGCGTGCGGCGGCGGTGGGGTCGGCGTACATGTTGAATTCGGCAGTGGGGGTGACCTGTGTGTATTATTTATTTTGGCATTGCCGTTAGGGCGTCGTGGGTGGATAGTGGCCGACTGAGTGAATGTGAGTGTGTGGACTTACGTTTCCGGGGACATCGATTGCGCCCCCCATCACCACTACCTCCTTTGCACGGAGGAATGTCTCTGGGTCTTCTGCGGCGGCTAGGGCGAGATTTGTCAGTGGGCCGACGGCGACGATCGTGACGGTCTCTGGATCGTTCTCTTTAAGTATCCTGAGCATTTCCTGGTGGGCTGGCGTTTTGGACCCGATAAATAAGGAGTGCTGAGAGTGCGCCAATGCAGCTTTTGCTGTGTCTGAAGCTGGAGCTGTCCCGCTCTGCGTGGATGGGGAAAAAAGGAACTCCCATGTTTGCTCTGGAGTCAGGTGAGGGTGCTATCGTTTTTTTTTTAGTTTTGGATTTTATACTCGACTCATTAGATATGGACTCCCCCGTATACAGAGTACTGGGTAGAAAAGAAAAGAAAAGAGTTTTTCCTTAGGCAGACAGGGTCCCATACACTGAAATGAATATCCCCAAGCCCATCACGTCCATCTACCAATCCAACAAACGTACACATCCGTTAGTTAGCCAAGGTGGCCCATAAGACCATTTGACCTACGAAGGCAGGAGGCAAAGTCTCACGAAAATAATCGGCCATCATCATCTTATCCTGCAGAGGGCGGTTAGCCCCGACAGCAACCACCGGCTTGCATGCCCGCAGGGCCTCGAAGCCTTCCGGCTTTCCATTCTCACGGCGCCAGCTGAGCTCCCGCTCGATGGTGTGGAACATAGAGACCAAATTCCGCAAGCAACTGTGTGCGTCGTTGGAAAGAATTATATCAGCATATTCATTCGATTTGATATAGTTTCATACATATATGTCACAACCGAGAAAGGCGAAATTCTTGTGACAAGGGGACGAGTGAGAGAGTGAGAGTACGATACGAATAGCGTACTCTGTCTCATTCGTTTGCTTAGCAGCAGGCAAGTAGATAGACAACGCACCTACGGACATCGATGTTGCCGAAGGTCAGAGATATCAGCTTGACCTCGATCTCCTCAGAACGAGACGACAGCGCCAGGAGCAGAGCAAGGACGTCATCGATTCCCTATTGTGCGTGGTTAGGACATCGGTTTTCTGTGGATATGTTTTATTTTCGTAAACAAAACAAATAAACAAAATAAAGAAACATTAAAAGTAAAAGTAAAGAGAAAAGGCCCTGATGATAAAAAGAGATTTTTATCAAGCTTTTGTCTTGTTTTGGTCATCTATGTATGGTGTGCAATCGTATCTATGGGATGTATCCATGAATGTGAAAGAGATCACCAAAACAAGCCACTTCCAACGGGGATACATAGCTGGGTAAGCTCCGAGGACCATAAATGAAAAGGATTGTATTTAAAAAAAAAAGAAAAAAGTAATATCTGGCAGTGGAGGGTTCCAGTCTCACAGGATCGGTGTCAATTATCACTCGGCTCGCTGGCATGTTAATAACAGCAAATCGATACAATCCCGCTCGGTCCAAAAGTGAAACTCAAAAATCCCCCAAGGGTTCATGTGGTGGTGGTGGTGGTTGTTTGATAGAGGCTTCTTGGATATTATGACGATTACTAACTATACGCTGTAGCACTTTCAGGGCCTGTTCGGTGACCCCGTCCAGGGCCGTATAAGTCCGTACAGTGCCAGCTATACGGACTTATACAGCTCTGTACGCGCTAATCTGGCCGAAAAAGGCCTGCTGTTCGGTAGATTTTGCGTATAACCCTGTATAACTCACCAAGAGTGCCAAGCTGGCTTCAAAATCCACTTTATAGAGTTCAACGGTGTAATTAGTTGAAAAAGTGGCGAATTTAAACCTAATCAAGTTAAATCTGTACTGTATACGCTGGAACAAGTCGTGATTTGTGCTGACTCGATCCAGCGCTGGCTGGCTTGGAACCTGCAAATATCATCAAAAATCAAGGATCATGGCGAGCAACAGTGACAATGCAACTCAGGAGGCAATACGACAGTATCTATGTTGTAGACAACAATTAATCAGGCTTGCTGCTGCAGAAGTGATTTGTCGGAGCATCTCAACTGTCTCACCTGGCATACGATCCATGTATTCTGATCCATTTCGTGGATTTCAATTTACCACTCAGTTGTTGGATCCTACCTCCCACCCACTGCGTATTAAGAATATGACACGGATGAGTGCCAGTACGTTCATTGCACTGGTTGATTGGCTGAGAAGTAATACCGATATTCGCGAATCTGAAGCAATACATGCTATAAAGATTGAGCAGAAGGTTCTCATATTCTTGTATATTACGACACAGGGGGTGAGCTATCGGAACACTGCAGAGATGTTTCATCATTCATTAGACACAATATTCAAGTAAGTACAAATGATAGAATACTCACCAAATTGATGTTATACTAATAACTTGTATAGAGTCTTTCATGAGGTTTTGGAATTGCTCTGCATACTCTATGAGCATTATGTCAAGATGCCTGAATCCCCAATGGAATATAGTAAGAAAGCTCTTGGTTCAAATCCATGATATTGGCCTTTCTTCAAAGGATGTATTGGAGCTCTAGATGGGACTCATTTACCTATTTCTATTCCTTTGAATCAGCAATCTGTATGGCGAAATTGAAAGGGATGGATATCTCAAAATGTCCTCGCTGCCTGCGATCACGATATGAACTTTGTATATATCTACCCTGGAATGGAAGGATCTTCTCATGATAGTAGAGTTCTTTCACAGGTGCAGGAAAGGGATCAATTTGGAATCACATTATCTGACTGCTACTTTTTAGCAGATGCTGGCTATTTGCAGAAATTCAGCTTGATGTTGGTTCCATATTCAGGAGTTCGATATCATCTAAAGGAATGGGAAAAAGTGAATTCTCAATCTGTCAATGCTTCAGAGCTATATAATCTTTGCCATGTGAGCTTGTGAGGTGTAATTGAGTGTGTGTTTGGGGTGTTTAAACGGCGATTTCAAATCTATAATTGATGTTGAGATGGATTCTCTATAACAACTCAAATTGACCTGGTTTTTGCATTAGCAGCGGTTCATAACTTCATGAATCACTATAAGGAAATGGATGAGCTTACTCAATATGATGAGAATTCTAATATTGAGGAGGAAAGAAGAGAAACAGTTCCTGCAGATGTTCAAGAGAATAGTGATGAAATGATGAAAAAATGGGATAATATTGCTGAGCAGATGTGGAAGCAGTATAAGGAATATCTGAGTGGGAATCATAATAACACTTAAGCGAGCTAGCTAGTCTCAATAAAGCAATCAAGTAGATTGAGTACTTTCCACAGCAATATTGATATTTCGAACATCTTCTCACTTTCATTGCAGTAATATATGTATTTTATCAGTGTATTTGATGGTATATAATACATGCTGTAATTTATCAACCAATAGGACTAACATATTTACCTAACCTTCTCATACAAAAAATGGTGATGTTTTATAACCATGTTATTCAATGTAAATACTGTTATTTTGGTAATTTATCAAAGAAACCTCTCCATTCATTCTTTATTTCATTGATATTGTAGATACAAAGAAGCCTTCACTATTATTTTTTGCCACTAATCCCACAACTATTCCTGCCACTAATCCCACAACTACTTCTGCCACTACTTCTACCATCATTTCTTCTTCATCTTACTACTTCTATTACTGCTCTTCTGAATCAAATAGAGTCAGTATAAAGCTTCACTGATCCTCTATTGACCCTGCACTATAACCAAGATAGAGACCTGATATATTTGGATCTCGAAAAAGCAATGGTATCTTGCTATATTGTGAATAAGGAATTTGACCATCAACCTTCCAATCCTCTGGAAGCAAATCCTGAATCTCACTTAAAAATAGCCTGGTTGCTTGTTTGATATCATCTGGCTGCTCAACTCTTAATTTGGCTGTTGCAGATTCTCTTATAACTTCTCTCAGAGCATCAATACTGTCCCCAAATTTTCTTTTGAGTGGTTGATTTCGAGTGCTTGTTTCAGTTGACATTCTCGCAGGTGATTGAGATGAGCTAGCAGAGCTTTGATAAGCTGCTCCAAGAGATTCTACAACAGGTGTGGGTGTTAAGAAAGATGTGGATGTGAATGTCAATTCCTCCTCTGTTCCAACATCACTAGTATTTTCACTCATCATCTCTTCTCTTCTTCTTTGCTGATGAGCATGATATTCTATAGCATAATCATCTGTTGCCAATCGACCATCAAGCAGTTCCCCGGTGAGTTCTGGATACACAGGTCCTTGATGTTGAAATTGTCGCATTTCCGGGTGTTGATTGAAATACATGCTGGTAACCTCAATATCATTGATAAATGTCATTTTTTCTTGACAGAATGACCACCCAGATATCTGCTGTTGATGCTTATGCCACAACCTCCAAATTGTTTTAATCTTCCGCCATCGATTCTCACATATATCTTTGGTAATAGATTGATGTGTATGCTGACTGACAGCATCAACAATTGAAGGCCAAACAACACTTTTGTAATTGCTGTTGTCTGTCTCCAAACCTTGTTTTTTGGCATCAATGAAGGTATTGAGCATGGCCAGCTCCATGTCAGGGGTCCAATCAGTTTGAACTCGAGGGCCTCGCCGGGCTCGCTGGGTATAGGGTGGGGAGGCTCGCTGCGTGGCTCGGGTGGCTAGCATTGGGGAATCAGGCCGCTGGCTCTCGCTTATCAAGGGTTCATCAAGGTATTGTGATGTCGGATCAATCTGAGACTCGTCAAGATCCATTTTTCACTGATATTTGGTGTGAGAAAGTAGTAATATAACGGGATTTTCAACTGCAACGCGTCCGCTGGAATCGCACGATAATCATCATGATAAAAACCGCTCGTAAGTAATAAAAGTAATGCCAGAACGCCAAGCAGATTAATATTCATATAGGGAAAGGCGGCAATAATGAAGGTTTACGCCGTCAAAAGGCAAATATCCACTTTCTGTACGGCCCTGGCACTGTACGGACAAAATCACCGAACAGGCCCTCAATGTTGCAGGAGAGGGCACAGTCGTCGAAGTTCATGATTGAGACAACGCTAACTGTCTGTCAAGCGAAAAGCCAGTCATCCTCGATTGTGGAACTAGTAGTCCCGTGGAGTAGTTAGTTGACTGCTGGCTGGCTAGTTCAAAAGTGAATCTAAACCAACCACCAAAAAATGAAGATTGACAAAACTCAAGAGGAGAATTGGGAAACCCAAGATCCAGCACACCGTGAAGTTACCGGAACTTCAAGAGTACTCGAGAGGATTGCGGGCATCCTTTCTTATTTTGGTAGCAGCCGTTGTAGGTTGGACCTCGGGACCATGTCCGACGCTGTAAATAGCAATAGTGGGGGGATTCCAAAGTCTAGTAACTAACCTTGTTCTTACACATTTCCAAAATGGGATACTTCGTAGCGAAGCCTCTTCCCCAAAGATTGACTCGATTATCAATAAGGAAATGCAAGTTACCGAACTCCCTAGTAGCTCAAAACCAAGGCACCTAGGTAGGCTAGTCAGTCCATGACCGCTTTAGAAATAATTATGCACAATCCCTCCTCCAAGCATCATCATAACTTGAATTCCTAAGATCCTCAATAGTATAATCACGTGATATAAAATCGAACACCCTGGCGCCGTTGATGACAGCCGGCTGCAAGCCTGCAACCCAGCCGAGAAGCGAACTGGGGTTGGCGGGCAAATTGCCGTAATTATCGAACAAATAGCTAAAGCATCAGAGATGATTTCGACAACATCCTATTCAACCCTCTACTCTGTAATGTACGTTTGAGGGAGAAATCAATTGGCGCATGAGATGTTTTTGATTTTGATCTTGATTTTGACCTGATCTTATTTTATTTTTTTGCTTTCTCCATCAGTCGCTACACCAAGAGAGTGAGAAGCACTGTATCTGTTGATTACTATTGTCTCGGTTGTACAATTATACCCTACACCCATATTTAGCGCCAGATATAGACACAGGCGTAGTCGCGACATTGCGGGGAAATGGACAAACGGGCTTCCACGACTTGAGACATGGGAACACACTAGCAAACTCACTTCTATCTCTTTCTCCCTTTTCCTTGTTGCTGTCTACTTGTCCACAATCGGAGAAGCAGTAATACGAGGGTATATGCTCCAGGACCGTAGTTTGGCTAACTACTGCGTAGGGCCTGAGGCAAGAAGGATACCAGGATCTCCTGGATCCGATCGCCAACATCATTGGCCAATGGCCCATTCCGGCGGCGTCTCCCAGGGCGAGGCCGAAGGGGGTCCGTAACCGTATTACGAGCATTACGGGGACATGAGTTACCGGATATGGCTCCTTGGCTCCTTGGCTCCATCTGGAAAGCTGGCCTCAATGGTTCATTACCTAATCAGCCTCCGTCGAGTCTGGCGGCAAACCCTCTTCAGAGCCAAACGCTCACCTCGCTCTCGTCGAACTGGCAGCAACCTCCCGTTGTGTGGTCCATCCTCTTCCAGCTGTCGCTCCTTTATCTTTCCATCTCACTTCTCACCGGCCCTGTTGATCCAACCTCTCCTCACATCCTTCTAAGGTTCTGATTTGCCTTCTCCTCCACGCTCCCCACTCGCTCCCCAACTTCGCTCCCTCGAACTCCATCTTGCCCGAATTATGACGCCAGTCAGGTTTCTCGAGTAGGAGTAACCATCGGTCTCTCTCCCCGTATCGTCTTCTCTTCTCCTCTCTTATCCTTCCCACATCTGCTCGCATCAAATCCCGACATATCACCGCTCGAATCACTCAAGGGAAATCCGTTCATCGCTATCCACCCCTACCGATACAGATACACTGCCACAACCAGCCTCCATCCCGAGTTTGAATCCCCCTTTTCGCCACAAAATTAGGACATCTCTCTCTCCCCTGTCGGGATTCCACTTTTCCGAACCTACCACGCCTTGACAGTTGCTATCATAGTGGTACTTTGATCCATCTAAACCGAATCTCGCCACCAAAGAATCCAGTCTCCCATTTGTCCATTGAGCACAGGACCCCGTTCTTTCAACGCATCAAAAGCCGTTGAGGAAACCAACTTAATAGCCTCTTCTCAATCTTCTCTTTGCTTACGCAACAAGTACGTGTTCTGCTTTCGCTCCTGTTTGATTTATGCCTCAACGAGTCCTTACGTATTCATTAACACTCCCTTTATTCTTGCTACAGAACCGACTATGAATCCCTTTTTGAACTGGGCTATTATGCTCTTCGTCAGTGGTGGTGTCTTTTGGTATTATAGACTTAGATCCCCGCCCAACGTAAAAATTACGCCTTTCAAACCTGCCGCTGAGAAACACGAAAACGGGTTTCTCACCAAAAAGGCGAAGCGGAAAGTAAAGCGATCGCCAGACAGCACCACAAGCAATGGCAGCCGTACCCCACCTGCCAAGCCTATCGTGGAGGTTCCAGAGATCCAAAAGGTGGTTTCCTCTACTGAAAATTGGGCAGGTGATGAGGGAATGAACAACAAGGAGTTTGCCAAGCAATTCACCAAGGCGAAAGAAGGCACCAAGCTTCCATCTGCGGATGGCAAAGCTAATAAGAACGAAGTCCGCACCAAAACTATCGTTAGCAGTACTGTTGTGCCGGACAACAAGGATGTGACAGAGTTGTTCACCCGCACATCATCCAGCACGGAGGAAGATGCGGACGATGACCTCTCTTCTGCAAACTCACCGGTTGTTAACCCAACTGTGCCAGTGGCAGGCAGCGTCTCCGATATGCTAGCGCCTGCCCCAGCAGTCATACCTCCCCTCCGCCTTGTTAATATCCCTCAAGTAAATGAGCAGACAACAATGAAAAAGCAAAAGTTGGAAAATGTGGGGGAGACAAAGAAACAACGCCAACGAAGGCTTAAGAATGAAAATAGAAAGGCGATGGTAGAAGAATCGGAAAGAGAGCGTCGTATTCAACTTGAGAAACACCTCCACACGGCCCGAGAACTTGAACGCCGCGAGGCTGCTAAATCTAAGCCCACTCCAGCCACCAATGCATGGCAAACAAGCGCCATCAACAGCCAACCAAATGGGCTGCCCAAATCTGCACCTGCGCCATCGTCCTCGCCTCTTCTAGACGCATTCGACTCGACGCCTCAACCCACCTCCAGTCCTTCTGCTACGCCTGAGAGCATCAAGGCGTCTCCTTATTTTGAGAGCTGGGCCAACAACTTACCTTCTGAGGAAGAGCAGATACGTATTATAATGAGTGAAAGTGAGTGGACGACAGTCTCTAGCCGCAAAAAGGAGCGAAAAAATGACTCCAGGCGAGCCGGAAGTGTGAGTGCCAGTGATACAAGCAGCTCCGACTTTCAAGCGGTAAGAGAGCCGAGGGCACCGATAAAATCCCAGCAACCCACATCAGCAGCAAAACCAACAACGACATCTTTGTTTCCCCCAAATCTAATCGAGACCTTCAACGGCAAAGGCCATCCATTAGATTCGGACTGGGATCCTTGATGAAACTCCCAAGCCAAGCTCGTATAAACAAAACTGCATACAATCCAATGACCATGAAAAGTCAACATATAAATTCATACACATAAGTATCCGTTTTCCATATCTATATTATATTAGCGCTCGAACAACCACCGCTCCCTATTTCCCTTTTCACTTTCCATTTCTGTTTATATCTCACTTTCTGGTGTGCTGCACCCGATTCCCCTACTTCTGGTGGCTAATGGCGTTTGGGTCATGTTTCTTGTAGACATCTAGTATATGTCATTTCCCTTCATCCTTGTCCTTGAGATCTTTCTTTTTTTCCCCTTGTTCTTTTCCGGCGCTGCTTCCTCTTGCTGGGTTGGTTTTTTTTGTCTCCCACTCTGTCAGTTTTTGTACAACTTTCATCCCATCGTCTCCCATAACTTTCTCTTCTCACTTTTGTCATATTACCATGCAACGTTTTATCTGAGTCGCATATTCTATCTGGTTTTATTCTCTCTCCTTCAACTGTACGTTTCTTATGTGGCTGTATTCTCTAAATGCTTCTCTTTTTCTTCACAAACATCAAAACATTGCCAAAAGAGAGGGGTAGAGAAGAAGGAAATGTAAGGTGAAAAAAACAACCTTGTACACCGACTCCTTTCCTCCTCCTTTTAAAACCAATTCTTCATTTTTCAGCATCTCTTGTCTCTATCCTGAGTTCTGTCGTGTTTATTTAACCCTGTATCATCTTTTCAACGACGTCTGAGAATCCAAGCCCTAGTTGAGAAGCAACTTTGTATTTAATTTATCCTCATTTATATATTTATATTGTATTCTCACGGTTCTTCTACATTTTTCCCCTTCGTTTACCTTTTTCGCCTCCAGTGTTCCCAATTCGGAATTTTTTTATTTTCACTGTGCTCTTTTATCTTGAACAGAGGTTCATTTTTTTTCCCCCAGTTCAAAGAGCATACATTACATAAACCAGGGGGGGAAAAAGGTCCTTCGTTGCTGCGTAAAATCCGCTACAATCTAACACTCCTTTCACCCCTAACTACGTTTCAGACATCCAGTGTGCACTCCATCTGCCACCCCTTGAAAACAAGAATGCTGCTCCAGGCAACGTTAACTCCATTCAAATGAGTAGAAGAGTGAGTGGGTGAGTACCAGTATCTATATATCCCTTCCCTCTCAGCCATCCAACCCATCCGCCTCCTCCCAGCTTGCGAGAGCCACAAAGCGGGTATAAAAACCCCGCAAACAACCGAAGCGGATCTCTGTCGCTGTGTTTAAAGGAAAGATATCATTATACGGGTGGATAGTAGGTAAGTTAGTGGGGAGGGAATAACCCTGGCGGGGGGAATCGATAACCGAGCCCAACGCACGAACTGTGAATAAAGGGGTAAAGGGGAGCGGGGCGGGGCGGGGCGGAGCAGGGCAGGGCAGGGCGGGGTGCGGAGCTGGGGATCTACCTCCCCTCCCTTGCTTGATCTGAGGGATGGAACAGTAAACTCGAATTTTGGTGCGTTGTACAGTACAATGGTGATATCTGATGCTGTTGTCAGTTCGGGTCTGCTTGTGTTATTTTATTTGTTTAGTAGCTGCAGGCGAGATTTTACCCCGTCCCCGTTCCCCCCCAACCCCCCCCCCCCCCCAACGCGCCTGTATATACTATGTAATGTAACACGTCGTACAGGACAGTGCAGAGTAGGTATATTGTACAGTTCTACATCGCTTGGAGCGTGGTGACATAACTCTGTCACTAGATGGAATATTTGATCTGGCGGACAACTTTTTGGCAACGGGATACAGTTGGAAGCATCGAAAATAAGAAATTTTGAAGATGGATACTAGTATTTAACGTTATATTGTAGCGGCGTGTTGAAAAATGACCTGTAGTTATATGTCTTTGTCGCTTCTGAGTACTCGACGGTCCAAAAAGAATCATCAATCGGCTTGTGTCAATAGGGCATTACAGCTATGGAGCATTGGTTTGCCTTCTCCGGAAGTCTTTGCAGGTGAGGAAGCGTCGTTTGCATCACAAGACGCATTGTTGCAGTAATACCTCTGCAATTGGATATACTTCATCTTCACTGTGAAGAGAATATCCTCAGCTTTTTTTCATGATTGAAGTTAACATGTAGATTTCGTTGTGGTTCCTACATTAAATGGCGATAGGACAAAAAAGGTACGGATCGCCAACACAGCCACAGGGATTTCCGCATTGGGGAGCGAATGACCTTCACGTGACTATATCACTTACTAATCCATGGGATCTAAGTCACCATTCCTCTTTTGGTTACTCCATCTGATTTCCGCATCGTGGCCTGTTCTCTCCATGAGCCCCAAACAACCCAGACCTTGGCCAACACTCCGAGATATCTTGAACTTCCCCGCCCGCCCCGGCCTAATGCTATCCACTTGTTCTGCCCTCTTCTTCTTCTTCTCCTTCTCCTCTTCTGCAGCCCTGTCTCAACTCTGCTGTTTTCCGTGTATTTAAACAATTCCCTCTCTTGACTCCCGGTCTCGCTCCTCCAGCCACTTCCTTGCTTCCCCCCCCTCCCCCGACAAAGCGAGCTCCCCCTTTGACAGCCATGGCGCAAATACGCGGCACAGCGGGCTACAACCTAGGACACCAGAACCCCTTTGGCGGTCCTGGAAGAGCAGATGCTACGAGCGACCCAAGCCCGCTCGATGCAATCCGAGAGCAGACCGGCAAGATTGAGGACTGGCTAGATACTTTCTCCGACCCCATCAGGCCGTATGTTTGCCCACACTGCCTTCCCCTAGGAACCGCTGCCCATGGAGATGGAGGATGGGGAAAACGCCTTTACCGCCGCAGGTTATAGGCGATCTCCATAAAACGCAAAAACCATATTCCAGCTATCGAACACCAAGGGCTAATCATTTATCACATCGTGGGATTTGTATAGTTATCTACCAGCTGTCGGCCGTTTTTTGATAGTCGTTACTTTCCTCGAGGATACTCTACGCATCTTGACTCAATGGGGCGACCAGCTATCCTATTTGAAAGACTTCAGAGGAAGTACGTTTGTTTCTTTTCTTTTTCTTCTTTTTCCTTTCCTTTCTTTTTTTGGCCTCCTTTCCATGGAGTTGTGGCTCCATATCTTGCTTGGCTCTTGTCCTGTCTAACCAATCAAAACTTTTTGTATGTCTGCTGTGTATAGTTCCATGGGGCATATCGCATATCTTCCTCCTAATAAACATCGTTGTGATGGTCTCTGGTTCGATTCTGGTCATCGCACGGAAACATAGTGAATATGCCGTCGCGGGGCTTCTCAGTGTTGTCGTCCTTCAGGCGCTTGGATACGGCCTCATCTTCGACCTGAACTTCTTCCTCCGCAACCTCAGCGTCATTGGAGGGCTTCTCATGGTTCTTTCAGACTCCTGGGTGCGCAAACGGTTTGTCCCCGCGGGTCTCCCTCAACTCGACGAGAAGGACCGGAAGATGTACATCCAATTTGCGGGGCGTGTCCTGCTTATCTTCTTGTTCCTCGGGTTCGTATTGTCTGGCAAATGGTCCTCCTGGAGGATCATTTTTAGCCTGTTTGGATTGGTTGCGTGTGTGATGGTTGTCGTTGGATTCAAAGCGAAGTGGAGTGCGACCATTTTGGTTGTTATATTAAGTGTCTTCAACCTTCTGGTTAATAACTTCTGGACGGTATGCCTTCCTCCCGCTTTCCCCCCTTCGATACAAAGCAGGGATTAATCAATCGTCTTAATGCAGCTGCATTCCAAACACCCACACAAAGATTTCGCCAAATATGACTTTTTCCAAATCCTCTCCATTGTGTAAGTTCCTCGGTTTTTTTTCTTCTCCAAAATCCCATTTTCTAAATTTGCCTTTCCTTATTTCTCAGCGGTTAAAATACCAACTCATTCTGACATTCTCTCCAGCGGTGGTCTCCTTCTCCTCGTCAACATGGGACCCGGTCAATTCAGCGTGGACGAGAAGAAAAAGGTGTACTAAATCATGTCTTGCCTCTTTTCCCCTTCCCAATAAACGTGATGATCAGAACAAGAAAAGGAGAACATCGGAAACGAAAAAGGCGGGCCCAATTATACTCGCAATATCAACATGCGAATCGTATCACTCTACATTTATCGATACCTGGTACTAAATCTCTTACAATATTTCCTATTCAATCTACCCGTCCATAGGTTTTCTCCTTCCGTATTTCCTACGCTTCTTTATATCTTCCTTTTCTTTCCAGCAACCCTCAATGTCTCGGATAAAAAAAAACCTATTGTGTTGTTTGTCCTATCCCCTAACCGTTGTTGTGCTTCTTTCGTCAAGAAATCTTTTGCTCCACTCTCATAGCATAGTTGTCTCTTTAACATTTTTTTAAATTGTCTCATCTTTGACAATCATGCTTTTCCCTTTGGTGTTTTGTTTAACCTTTTGTCTCCTCTCGCCCCCTCCCAACCATACCTCACCTGGCTCTTGTCTTGAAAAGCCTGGTGATGTTTCATTATGGTGATTTGTTTTTTACTTCGCTCCAGCTTGCTGTCAACGCAAACTTCAAGTTGAATTCCACTTTCTTCACAATTTCTTTCCCCTACTTGTGAAACCGACATTTTATATATGTATGTATGCTATGTATGTGCAATCTGATTTGTAAGGCCTTGCTATTATTTATTCTGGGGAAAGCTAATTGTTTTGGCTTGGCTCCGAAAGAGGGTTGAGTAATGTACACACCTTTTACTGCAAAAACGTTAGTTGATTCAACCAATTTGTTGATGGCTATGCGGATTATATTTGTATATTTTTTTATACATGCAGTCCAAAAGCATGAAAGGGGTGTCCTTTTGCTGGCGAAAAGTGGAACTTGTTGATGCAGCTGGAATCAAGGCTTTGAAGCGCTCCTTGACCTCGTGGCCTGCAGTTTTAACTATGTATGGCCAGAATCCGTGAGAATCCCCCGTGAATCAGAGCTTACTTCCTAAGTACGTTTTCTATGGATAGTCATACACACCAAGATATGAATAGAAAGGAATTCATCATCAGCTTCTTCACTCCATGTTTTTTTTTCAAATGTGGAATTAAATCTCTCTAAATGATAATAGAAAGCCAATCAATATATCTCAATCTTCCCCGCGACAACCTTTGCATTAAACCACTCCATGATTTCAATGCCATCCTGCACCACCCCCCTCACACCATCGCCAACACCACCATCATGAATATTATTATTCTTACCCAAGACGTCCGCCCGGATCAAAGCCTCCGCCGTCCACCGCAGCACCGCCACCGCAAGGTTTCGCGCAATACACATGCGTGCGCCGACGCCAAACGGAACGCTATTCCGCAACATCTCCGGCGTGCACGCCAGCCAGCGCTCGGGCATGAACTCGCGCGGCTGCGGGAATACAGCCGGGTCATGGTGCAGCACGTACGCCCCGAGGCCGACGCTCGTGCCGGCGGGAAGCGTTGGGAGGCCGGGGACGTGGAGGCCTTCCGCGCCGACGATGCGGGGGAGGCGGGTCGGGTTGGCCATGGAGAGGCGCAGGGATTCTTTGACGATGGCGGTGAGGTAGGGGAGGGACTGGCCGTTGAGGGGGGAGGGGTTGTTGAGCAACTCGTGTCGGGCGCGGGTGTACCTGGTGAAATGAAATGTGTGAAAGGGGGGGGTTTTGGTATTGTGAGTGGAGATTCCTTCCGCAGAGTGGTTCCGTCCACCCTTATTCTTCCTTTTTCCCCAAGGGATTGAATGGTTTATTTTCTTACTTACTTGTCTGGGAGCCGCGCGAGATTCCAGCAGAGAACAGACATGGTCATTGCAATGCCATCTGTGCCCGCAAACATCACATCCAGCACCTGTGCTATTGTCTCTTCGCGCGAGATGCCAGCACGCAGCAGTCTGCCCTGGTACGTCGACGTCTGCGCGACGCCGGCTTTCTCTCCCGCAATGCTCCTGTCAACCACACGCGCCGCGAACTCCTTGACGACAGCCGTGCTCGCGGCAATGGACCCTGGCCCCTTCTCAAACTTGCCGGCCCAGTGGTCGACGTGCCTGAGGAGCCATCCAGGTACGTAGAAGAACCGGCCGCCTGCAGCGAACGCATCCACGAAGGGCGTCGCGGCGAGTGGGGCCTTGCTCCCGAGCCCGCCGAACGACTCCCCGAATAGATACAGGCTCACAACGTCGATGGCCAAGCAGCGGAAGAGATCCAGGACGTCGATGGGCGCGCCGTGCGCTACTGCTCTCCTCGCCCCCAGCTCCGCCACAGCCGCATCCACGACCGCCTGCATGGTGGGCCTCCCCTCCACGATCGCCCGTTGCGCGAAGAGGGGAGCTACAGCCCGCGCTCTTGTGGCCCTCTGCACGGCATCCACGGCGGAGAAAATCGTCGCGAATCCGTCGATGTCATAGTTGGCGTAGACGGGGTTCTTGGCGCAGCCGCCATTCTTCGCGTAGAGGGGGTACAGCGCAGCGCCGTCCGAGAGGTCGACTTCGTTGGGTGCGATGCGCACTGCGGGGCCGTGGCGGCTGTGGAGCGCGGCGAGGGTGCGACACTCGATGCCGCGGTGGGTCAGGGTCCAGAGCCAGAGGGGGGTGAGTCGCGCGATGAGCGGGCCCGGGATGTGTCTTAGTGGATCCGTGTGGAGTTTCACGAGCAGGAGTACTGCTGGGACGACGACGACGACGACGACGGTTGCGGAGATGGGGATGGATAGTGGGCTCGGGAAAGCGTGGAGGGCCGTCGCGAGGATTCCGGTGGCCATGTCTATCGATCAGCTCCCCTCAGTAGTGATATCCCAGAGTTCAACTAACTTGAGGACGACGATGTTTCTCGTAGAACCAGAGCTTGTTGGGCGTTTGGGTCTGGTTGATTTTGTAATTAATTGAATGGGATTTCTCAAAAACCACCTCGCCTCCATCTTCGCTCAGTAGGAGGAACAGTAAGTTAGTTATAGATCTGCAAACTGTAAAGGTTGTAGAGTTAGCCGTGTAACCGTTTATTTTCCAGCCGTTGAAGTGCGGCTTTAATGAAATAAAAAGCTTCATATGCCGTGGGAAGGGATCATCAGCATCAGTCACGGACAGAAGCCCTTTGCTTGGAAGATAACTTAGCTGGCCATATCAAACCAATCCCCCCGTTCCTTTATACCTCAGGGTGGCCCAAGCCTTCCTGGTAGATAACGTACAACGTCCTGTATATGTATTATTGTATGTACATGTACATGCATGCAATTCACCGTGCAGTCTGGGCGCGCGCGTTAAACGAACTGAAATTTTTACTTGATATTTTGATTGTATATAGAGATGTGCGTTGTTGGCGATTCTTCATTCTGCGCCACAATAATAATAATCATAATCATAATCATAATCATAATAGTCTTTGGGGATCTAGGTGACGCAGGATGAGATATCTTTCAAATCAAGCTATGTTTGTGCTTGTGGTTGTGTCGTAGTCGTGGGCGTGGAACTAACTAGACCGTGCTCAAGCGTGGGAGGCAGTGTATCAAAGAAGAGAAGGCTTTAGGCTCTAAAGATGAAAGAGAAAAATGACTTTTCTCTCTATGTATTATTTTCTCAATCCTATATAGATTGGAGCGTGTCTTATGTAGGGGTATGGAGAGGTGTAGAGGCATAGGTATGTATGTGTATGTAAACTCACATATCAGCCGAATCAGGAAGCTCAGCGGTAGTGACAGGGGGAAGAGTAATAAAGAAGTGCGGAACGAATTTCAAATCCTTCCTCAAGAGACAGTGGGGGGAACAGTAATGAATAAAGAGGCTCCCGCGGAGGTTTTGAGTCTGTAGGGAGATAGGGGGTAGACGACTCGAGATGATAATGAGGTGGTTGGCGTAAAGCCCCATTGCAGTATGGGCCCAAGGATGAGGGAGGAGTTAAGATAACAAGGAAAAGGTTTAACACATATCCTTTGATCAAATGATATAGAAAGGCGCTTCAAAAAAAAAAAAAAAAAAAGGAAAAAGGAAGGAAAAGAATGGAACAGGCAAAAAGGAAAGAGGAAAATAGAAACCCAAGCAAGAGAGAGAAACTATATAGCACAGCCAACTCCAGTTCCAAAGGCAGGAATAAGAAATAATTCAAATGTCCATACTCCACCGCCAAGGTCGGACATCATACCTTTTTCCCGGCTGCTTCTCACCATCGCTGATGCGACCATCATAATGACCGCCATAATCACCGTCGTCGTCGTCGCCGTCGTCATCACCAATATCGTAAAAGTACGCCGTCTCTGGGCTGCTAAGTTCCAGCCTTACACTTCGCACGAGATCGTGGTGCTTCATAGCAATATCGAGAGTGGATGATGGCCAGGCTGTATGTAGCTTATCCGGTTGACGTTGGTGTTGGCATTGGCGGTTTCGCTGCTGCTGCTGCTGCTGCTGCTGCTTCTGTTGGATAGTAAATGATTTTCCGCTATCAGTAGTAGCTTTTGATGTAGGTCGTGATTGTGATTGCGATTGCAGTTGAGTGTCTTCAGCACGTTGCTGTGGCCACTGCCACGACACCGGAGGGGTGGACTGAGGTTTTAAGGTCAAGGTGTTAGCATTATCATTTTGATGGTATGGGTGATAATTGCCGTTGTGATCGGGATGAACTGAAGGTTGCCTAGGGCTGCCAGTTAGCGGAGCTAACACGGGACGCGGAGAACGCAGCAGAGCATCATCTTTCGACGATAGCGAGAGGGAGAGGAAGTTATCAGACATCGCACGAATTGCAGGTGGCTCATCCTGAGTTTTTATCTTTCGTAAAGGGGTTTCCAGAGAGAGTTGTTCCGTCCGCGCTTGTAGATGTGCAGAATCACATCCATCAAGCTGTCCGTCAGCTTGCCTCTGCCTCTGCCGCTGTCTCTGCTGCTTCATTTGGCTCATTTGAGGGGAAGCGGATGTCCTCCCCCTTGCCCCCTCTTCCCCATTCCCATTGCCATTGCCATCCCTTCCCGAAACCACATCCCTCTCAAAACCCCTCTGTCTGCCATTCCGCACAGAAACAGAAGCCGTAGACCGGACTTTCCCCTCCATCACCTTCGCGCTGGGCGGTGGTTGCAGCATCCACCGCGTCTCCGCACGACTAACTGGCCCACAAACAACAGGAGGATGAAGATCATTAACCGCCGGATTCCTCGCTGCGTAGTACTTCGCGGAGTCGGATGTACCTGCTCTCCCGCGCCCAGATAAACCAACAGAGGAGCCCTTGATCTCCGACCCTAAGTCCCCACCAGCGCCACTGCCTGCACCGCCCCAAAGCACCTCATCTTCCCGCTGGTACCGTATTCTATTCCAGCGATCGCCAAGTTCCTTCCTCGACGGCACCAGGTCCTCCAGAACGCCCGACACGGCGCCAGCTAGCGCGCCCATACCATTCTGCAGTGGAGATTCCTGTGACTGAGACTGTGCTGCTCCTGCTCCGGCCGTTGCAGGATTACCCCCCTGACACCCCACAGCATGCGGGGAATTCAAATTCTTCTTTTGCTTCTTGCATCTCTTGCAATTCTTGCAATTCTGATGACCGCTACTGTTAGTGTTATTTCTCCTCCCGGCTCTCCTAACAGGGGGTCCAGGTCCCAGCGTAATCTCCTCTTCCCAGTAGGAGTTGGTGGTAAATGGGACTGGTTGGTGGAAGATGACTGGCGGCTGGTCCGTCACGATGTCGTTCTGGTTATTGGAAGAGGTGGTGGTAGGAGGTGGTTCACGGTGTGTATTTGCAGCATCCCTTTTCCGTTTTCTACGATCGATGGAGGCGGCACAGGGGGTGCAGGTCGCGTAGTAGAAGACAGCGGATTGGGCGCCGCGGTAGAGCCACATGATGATGTGTATATATATGTTATTATTATCCTCTCTCTCTCAGCCGGCTTTCTATGTCTCTTTTTCCTTTTCTTTCTTTCCCCCTTTGTTCTGCTATCCCCCTCCCTCCCCCTTTTTTTTTCACCCAGGCTTTCAATTAACGGCTTTTTTGCTTTACCTTTTCTCTTGTTTGTAAGTAGAGCAGACAGTGGCGAGTGGACAGTAAGGAGAGTAGGGATGCGAATGACAGGGTGTAGGGACGCACATTGGCGATATTCTGAGATACAGACAGATAGCGGCACAATGGTGACTGGAGGCTCTCCCGGCTTTCTGAAGACCAGTAGTGCTAGAATAGGTGTAGGTGATAATAGTAGAGGCGAATCGCAATGTCTGTCGGATGGGACAAGGAGGCAAAATGGAGGGGAAATCGTGACGGGTGAGAGACGGACAGACAGACAGACAGCGCAGGCTGGTTTGTGCCACTTGCCCAAGGTGGCGCGCAGTTACCTTGTGTGTGCGTGTCCTCTTCTTCAGTCCGTTCGATAGAGACACTGGTATACTATGAACAGGTTGATGTTGTATAGTTGTATTTTGATTGGAGCCAAGTTGATCGCTCAGGGGCGGTGGGGCGAAACCGTGAAAACCATACTAACGACAGTGATGACGACCATGGGACGTAAACTCCTCAACCCTGCACGTAGCAGTGGGTTCACAGGGCTAGTTGACGAGAAGAATTGACACCGGGTCGGGAGCACAAGGAGCAGAGAAGGATGGAATGAAATGGCATGGCCAGCATTGAAAGAAGGAAACCTAAGTCGCGTTAATTTTTCGGGGGAATAATAATACTATTTGACTATTTTTGGTTCTTTTATTTAAGTTGAGTTTCCACGCCGAAGTGTAAATTGGGTTGCAGAGTTCCAGCCTCGAACTCTGATACAAGCCAAATCTCCCCGCCTCGCGCCAGTGGCCCCGGGGTGTTGTGGGATGTCTCCGCCCCCAAAACACCAACACGCAGGACAAAGCACTGGAAGCAGACGCAGGGGCATGATGACTTCGACATCCCCGAGCAGTTTGAACGACGCAGAAGCCGACTTGCTTATCCCTTGATGCTCCCGAGACAAAGAACTCCTGGTATTTGCTCCTCTGATCAGGTAATTCATGGATATGGAAACATCATTGACGCTGTAATTTGTCCCGAAAATCCCCCTTGTCAAGCAGGTTATCTCGTTTGATTTCTGCATCCAGCTCTGTGTATGTGCGCTGCGGCACATGGAAGCATGATCCCGCGAAGGTGAACAAGGTGTGCGTGGCTTGAGATAATCAAATCATACCTGGCTGGGTATCCAACACTAACCCACTCCCATGTAACTCCGTCTCCTCTGTAACAGCAACAGGGATGCTCATGGCAATTGGCCGCTAGCTAGGTTCGGTGGCCCCTTTACCGTGTGAGTAGCGCGGGGGGAAGGCGACGGGAAACAATTCGACGGGCGCGGATCCAAAGGGCTTGATTCTTGAATCTTGATTCCGTTTCAAACCTTCAGAGCTCAAGATTTTTCAACTCTTAAAATGAGTTTTCTGGAGCAGAAAGCAATTATCAGTTGGTTCCAAGTTTCCAAGCTAGACTTAGTTCTAACTAATCTATATCTATGTTATCCAGCCATTGGCTCACCTTGATTTTCTATCATGCAAGTGTCATCCATGGCCCTCTTCTTAGAACTATCCTGTGGTTGGCTGTGTCGATCAGGGCCCAATTCTTATTTTTTGTTTCTTTTTCTTCTTTCTTTTTCTTTCGCTACATGCAGCTTATGTATGTGTCTAGAAATCCATACTGGCAGAATGCTCTGCATTAAATGAGTAAATGATGAACACAGTCAAAAACCACAAGAAGGGAAGAAGCTCCGGATATCAGGGATTCATTTAGCAAAAAAGAACAACAATGAAAAAGATGCAGAACAGAAAAGTGTTCTTTTTCCCCCTCGTATCATATGTAGAAGAATGACAATGGATACATATACAAGTACTACACATCAATCACTAGAATAAATGCTGATTTTGATGGCTGGCTACAGTGTATTGGCGTTTTGAGACTTTACTGGAACATAAATTAATATTGGCTCCCTTAGTGAAATTTTCTAGAAGAAAAGAAAAAGAAAAGAAAAGAAAACAAAGCCGAATGGAGATCGCCCTATGTCTTGCATATTTATCCTCTTCTGTCCCCATTCGTAGTGTGAACCTGCATCTTGGGGGGCTTCGCAGCAGGAATTTCGTACTCTGCACTTTGGAAAACGAAGCCCTTTGTTGGAAATGACTACACATCACATGCGTGCCACGTTCCAATTCCTTGGAATAGCTGAATTGCTTCCTGCCCTGAAATTTGTCGTGCGAGTCCTGTACAAATATCTGGATTTGAATGCATGATCGAACCCGACAATGTGATGAAATGGAGTTGAATAACCCCTGCCAAAAAAAGTCTATCAATTAGAACGCCATTTATGCATGAACCTAGTAAGAATGGTGCGTTTGTAGGTACAGTTCATACCCATTCAGGTAAGACACTCCAGAACGCCTCATCGACAAAAAACACCAGTTGATGGGGAAAAATAGAAAGAGAAGACGTCTCACACTTTTCCTTCGACTCAACCCCGTTCACCCTTGCGCACTTAACCATAATCCAAATCATGTCCGACATATCAGCTTTGCCGGCTGCCGACTAGAGCGCAAGATGGGCTAGCCTTGGCCCTGGGGTGCCTTGACATGAGAATGCCTCAAAAAGGAAATAGATTCCCACCAAAATACATTTTTCTATTTCCGATTTTCCATATTCTTTCTTTCCATCTCCACTGCTTTCCGGGTAATCGACTCCCGCTTCCTTTTTGAAAACTTTCCCTTGTTTTTGGCCACTTTCCCCACTTTCCCCCTCCTTGTCTTCGCGAATAGGCCAATCTTCTCTGACAATGCCCTCACACGCGCAGCAGCCTGTTCGCAGGAAGATAAAATGAGAAGGATAAGCTTCTCTTCTCTTCCCCCCACGCCAGCCAAAAATGTAGATTTTCAACAGCTGGCGGCCGCTAGAAATAGCTTATAGGAAAGAAGAGAGCATACACACACTTGACGCAGTGTCAACTTAGCTCCAGAATCAACCCCTCGCCCTGCGCGCACACTTGCCCTCAGATATTTTTCGTGCCTTTAACCATCTGCCCCTTAACTTTAGCCCAGTCAATGCCGCTGTCGATCTCCTCATCCACTTCGCCGCAGATGACGACGTTGTCGCCACGTATTAGATACAGGCCGTGTTCGACCTGCGAGCTGGGCTCGGGGTCATCCGGGGTCCGTATTATGCGCTCGACGGTCTGTGAGAGGACGAGGTTTGTGAGTTGGTCGGTTGAGAGGAGGGTGCCGATTAGGGTACGACCGTCTACTGTTAGGATCAGGACCTTTTCTATTTTGTGTGTTTGGTGAGGTTAGTATATATACCGATATATATAGATGTACTATACCAGGCCATAAGTATTGGCAAACCCCCACTCAAATCATGTTGCAGAAAAGTAGTGGGGTTGCCAATACTTATGGCCCGGCACTATATATTGAGTAGGCCAGAGCTGCGAGTGGGCGGCCTGCTCGCTGTAACAGAAACATATCAATTGGGTACTCAACTGTTTATGTAGGATTGGAGGGACATGGCTGGTCTGCAGCTATCCGGTCTCTGAGCCCTGAACTTTCTTCAATTGAAGGGCCTTCGGAATGAAAGCGTCGAGTGAGGTGAAAACCCCTCTTTCTTGGGCAGGGAATCAGCAGAGCAACCGCAAACGATCACCGGGTACAAAAAACTCGCATAGGGCGAGATTGGGAGGCAAGGGGAAAATGGTATACCAAGCCCCTTGTTCCGTATACCACTAGATTGTTCAGCTTGTGAGTCTGGGGAATATCAAAGAAGTTCGAATGCGACCAAGGCGACATAGACTAGTGCAAAAGGGAAATAGTTCAAAAACGACTTGGCGGTTTCGCCGGAATAAATTAACGCCGTAAAACAACAATGACGTAATTACAAATTCACACATTTCACTAGATGGCCATATCATTTACCCTTGGATGATTTCTACTATTGAATAATACGGACAAGATTCCTGATAACGCTTCTTCACGTCCCTTGGCCAGTATAGGCGCTTCCTAGACAGAGGGGCTGTAGAGTTCCCTTGAGTTGGCAGTGAGTTGGCCCCTACATTTCAGGTCGGAGTGAAAATCAATATCTCCGTTGATACTGCCCAGTTAATTCTGTTGATTATCGATGATACCCAATTTCTGCAGCTTCGTTATTACGCAGCGATGGCGACGGCGACGGCAGCGATGACAAATTCCTTCTTTCCACGCAGTTCTGGCGACAAAAACAGCCGAAAGGTAGAGCTTCTAGACCTCATACGCCAATTCCCGGTGGTATCTGTTCTTGTCCCTCAAATGGGACTTGGCGATATCTTGAATCTATCGCGCGTCAACTCCCATTATAGGGCTGTTCTTCACGGGTTTGCACTTCCAATCTCGGGTCCTGGAGACGTCCACAATCAGGGCAAAGGCCAGCGGCAACGCATTCGGCCAGATATCCATATCGGAGATCATCAGACCTTGTACTGGAAGCGCATAAAGAAAAGCGGACAGCTCCTCTGCTCAGAGCCAACCCACACAAGAGGCCCGGCTCCACGGTTATGCAAATACTGCTCGTTGCCAGTCTGTGAAGCATGCATTGTCAAAGTATGTTCCCGGCACATCCCACACACAATAACCCCCACGCGGGTTGACCACATTGTAATAACAATATATTGCCACACACACACGAAGGAATCCTTTCGCCAATCTACCTCAGCCTATAAAAGCCGCACGCGCCCCTTATGCATCGACTGCTGGCTCTCCGGCAACCCCCACGACAGCCAGCGGCCATCGGCAGCACCAGATTTCGCCCAGGTGGCCAGCGCGTACTGCAACTGCACCGCCAAGGACGGCTGGATGTGTTCGAAATGTCGCGAGATTCAGGTCCGAACGGGCCAGGAGCCGATCCAGACGTGTAGTGGTGAGGGGTGTGCTAGGCCGCCGGGTGAGGACAATGGCCGGAGAAGGATCTGTCTCTGGTGTCATCTGCCGCTTGTTGCGCGGCCGACTATGGAGCAGTGGAGGGAAGGGTATGCGGAGAGGCATGCGCTTCCGGAGTATGGGCGATGGGGTGAACTGGGCAATGGGGAAGGGAGAGAGGAAGAAATAGGGGTGGATCGCGAGGGGGAGGGGCGGGATCGTTGTTGCGTGCCGATGGAGATTGATGCCCCGCGTACTTATATAGATGCATGTGAAATGAGTAGTGACTTTTAGCATGTTAAGAACGGAAACGGAGAGTGCCCCAAATTGATGCCAGATCAATTGGGCTAGATGGGAATTCAACCGCCTTTAGCATGGAGGATGAATACAATGAAAGAAGTTTGATATTCTTAATCATAGATTCTCTGTTAAATATAATTTACCTTTATTCAATCGAGATAGCCCGTAGTTAATTTCACCTAAGAGAGTAAAAAAAAAGTAATGTATGCATAAAATATGACAGATACTCAATAGTATACTGTACATTCAGAGAAAACTGTCCTTTTAGAAGGGGCCATAAATAGCTTAACACCCCAAGAAGACTAATACGAAAAGCCCGCAAAGAACCAAATGCATCCTAAGAACGCATGCGCAAGGTAGGAGAAAGAGAAGAAAAGTATGATCAAACTCCGCTTCCCTTCGCTTTTCTGTTAATCCAAGAGACAAGACTACAAGAGTCTAATGAAATGGGGTTGTTGGCTACCATAAAACATAGATTCCACTTCTAGATCTTTATAGCTCCCATCCAAATCCCAAAGAAGGCCAGGGTCATTTTTCAACCGTTCGGTAACCCGTATCAATCCCATCATACACGCGATAAAAATGGTAAAAAGCGAAGAGGGGCAGCTAGGAGTGGAAAGTGAAGAAACAGGAGACATTAACATCAATTTTCAACCTGCATGATTTGAGAAACTAACTCAAGCAAGTATTATTGTGTTGTATGTAAATGAGCGGAAGCAGTACCCCTCAACCCAACGCCGAAAGATCCAACGGAACACTACTCCCCCTCCCAGCCCTGTACAACTTCTGGCCACCACGGAACTCCCTGGGTTTCGGAAATAACGACTCATTCTGGAATTTGAATCTTGGGTCCTCAATCCGGATTCCCTGTGAGCTGCCTCGCCTGTTGCTGCCTCGAGAGCTGGGACGGGGCGAGGAACCGCCGTTTGTGAGGGTATAGTTACTTGGGTCGAGTAGTGACCGGTTAGGCTGTTGCTGCTGCTGAGGTACTTGATGTTGATTCTGCTGGTCTGCAAATGATGAGGGACGCGAGGTGAGTGGAGTTGATAGTAAGGATGATGTTCGCGCGGATGAGGGAGGAGATGATTGCGGGGGAGGTGGAGGAGGAGCCGGGGGGTGGGATGGAGCGGACGATGGTTGGGGGGGTTGCGGATGAGTTGCTTGGGAGAAAGCATTTCTAGCGGCCTGCATCGCTATCGATGCCGCTGAGGCTGCTGCGTGGGGCCCATTGGCGCTAGGTGATGCTGCTGGAGGCGGGGGTGGGGGATTCGATCGTGATGGAGGTGGGCGGGGTGCGGCAACTGCTGGAGGAGGTGGAGGAGCAGACGGCGGGGGAGGAGGTGATGCGGATGAAGGTGGTGGAGGTGGAGCTGTTGGAGGAGGCGGAGCAGAGACCTTTCGAGTGGATGTTTGGGGGGCAGGAGGCTTTACTCCAGGAAGTGGAGGTGGTCGTGAAGGAGTCTCTGGAGCTGATTTAGTGGAGATATATGAGATTGAGGATGAAGGCCTTCCTGACGTGCGGGGGGGGATCTTTCGTAAATTTGCAACTAGGGGGTTCTCTTGGACCTGTGGAGGGCCACCTGGTGTTGGAGGTGGCGGACGACCACTTGGTAGTGGTGGTGGTGGAGCACTGCCAGTGGGAGTCCACGGGCCAGGTTTTCGAGAGCTTTCAGAGTCTGAAAGGTATGAAGCATCCGCGCTCGCGCCCGTGTCTATTCCACCACGCTTCTTAAGCTTAGGCATGCCGCCAGCGAATAATCCACCTAATTGCGGAGCAGAAGGGATCGTCCCGCTTTCATGAGCAATAGCACCAGGAGTCGCGCCCGAGTCAGCTCCTCCACGGCCCTGGTCGCTATTACTCCGCAATCGATTTCCACCAGGGACAGGCGGGGCTAATCCGTTAGGGGGCTTGGGCATGCTAGGCACCGGCGGGGCTCCGCCAACTGAAAGACCTCCCGATGTTCCGGAGGACTTTCCGATTACAGGGGCCGATCTATCATTTGTTACGGTTTTCTTGAGATGGGTACCTTTCGAGATGTCTGAGAGAAGAGCTCCCTAAAAATGTATTGTTAGGTGGAGACACCATATCGCAGGGGAAAATCATGACAACATACCCGGCCTTGTGCAGCTGCTTTGGGAGACCTGCTTGGTAAGTTCGTGGATTTTGGTGGACCGCCAGCCGCAGGAGGGGGTGGCGGGGGAGGAGGAGGTGGAGGAGGCATGTTGCCTTGAAGCAGCAAAACCAGTTGAGCAGGCAGTCGTAATGGTTGGAGGTGAATGAGCAGCGGAAGGTTGTAGGCAGGCGACTAGTAAAAGCGGACAAGTAAGTTCAAGTGTATATAGGCAGGAAGGAAGGGGGAATATAGCTCCCACAACAGGGTCTCGACATGGGCCCGTTCGTGAATATACCTGGCAGATATGATATGCAGAAGTGGAAATGGAGTACGGCTATGTTGCAGAAGATGGAAGTTGCGGGCTCAAGCAGGATGATTCCTCATTGTCTTGACGATGTCCCGGCACGGTTTAGCGGCGGCTTAGGTAAGGCTAAAATGTAGAACTTGATAACTTCCACCACTCGATGGAAGAACTTTGAATAAAGACACCTGTAAGGAGTATCTCAATTCTATAATGAAGCGTATTACGTCTCAATCCTCGAGGGCTCATGGGCCGGTTTGCCAACTCTGTCAATTTTTAAGATACTTACCTCGTCGACATAGAAGCTTTCATACCTCTTCAATTTCAACTACTGCTTCCCGATTAGACATCCTACATCCAAATGTTGCGCCTCAACAACAACAACGGAAGTTCAACCCTGCATTCGATCCGCGAAATGGCATTGCGCGAAGATTAATATCAGGTGCTCCTAGCACGAGTGCTGGTAGTGACCCTGAGGCTATGCTTCGTGAAGTCTTGAAAGAATTTAAGACCATAACTTCTTCTCCCCGCGTTCCAACAGACGATGCCGTACGGCAATTCCTGCAACGCTGCAGCGAGCTTGCGAAAATCGCACTGTCAAACAACTATAAGGCAACTTCACCTCCTTCTCCGCGAAGTGATAATAATGCCACATCGTCCCTCCTCGATCTAGACGTAGAGAATGGAGGATATGGCACTTCATCGACCACTCAAAACATTCCTAAAAAATCAACAAAAGAGCCCTCAAAAATGTCAAACCTCCAATCCAAAATAGCAAGCGAACTATCATCAACTCTAAACGACTTCCTCCGCGACCCTAAAATCTTCATTTCCCCGGATGTCCTCCGCCAATACACCCTGTTGCAATCACAGCTCAAGCAAGCCGACTACTTCCCCGAAATATTCTCTCTTTACGCCACGAAACCGATTCCTGACGATAACGGCTCCATCATTACCTATCGTAAACCAAACCCCAAAACTGTCAAGAATGCAATCCCACAAGATCTCGCAAACCTCGCCCTCGACATAGCCATTGAGAAAAAGAACCTATCCCTCTGTCTTGCGATCATAGATGAATCTTTCTGCAAACAAGCCTACTACCGATCTAAGATATTCCGCAAAGCTGCTCTCCCACTTGCCGGCCTCGCGACGGCCCCAACAGCAGCATATGCCGCAGCATCATACATATCCACCCTCCAAACCGCCATGGAGCCCAATACCGCCCTCTGGGTTTCCTTTTCGGCAATCCTTGCCTATATAGGCTTTACTTCGTCTATCGGCGTGGTTGCGATAACAACAGCGAACGACCAGATGATGCGCGTGGTGTGGATACCTGGCATGCCGTTGCGGGAGCGCTGGTTGCGCGAGGAGGAGCGAGCTGCCATGGATAAAGTTGCGGTTGCTTGGGGGTTTAAGGATCCAAGGAAGATTGGGGAGGAGGAAGGGGAGGAGTGGGAGAGCCTGAGAGAATTTATTGGGATGCGGGGGATGATTTTGGATAAGACGGATTTGATGGAGGGGATGGAGTGATTTGGGGGGAGGTGGCTAGCTAGAATTGTGTTTTGTTCCCATGATTTTGGAACACACTGATTGTATACCGTGTATATATTATCGTCTTTTACCTAGTTATCTTAGAATTAGATTATTAAGCAAAAATTGGTGTGGATGTCTACGTCTCCTGACAACGGTGAAAAGACTGAGTGTGATTCAGGCTGGGAACAATTATATTTCGTTAATGTATATTTTACGTATACTTAATCTGACCAGATTGACGAAAGACAAGAACCACACAACCCCAACAGGAGGGAAGATGTAAATGCGATAAAGAAGCAGGGCCGCATCTAATATAATCTCTTGGGTGGGGACATAGACGCCTTGATCGTCAAGCTGCCAACGTTCTGCCATCCCTTCTTCAACAAACTGACAAGGTAGTTGATGGCCAACATGATATTGGAGATCAGCTCGTCCTCAGTCATTCCGACATTGCCAACGGCAACACCAAGACAAAGAACCTTCTTCAGCTGGAACTTGATGGTGGATTTGACATCGTTGATCTTGTTGGAGAGATCTTCGGCGTGGGAGACCGGGGTTGGGAATTTACCAGCTGCAAAGACACACAAAATTCATTAGTCAATTAGGAATTTTTTGGATTTTTTTTTTTAAAAAAAAAAGAAAGAAAGAAAGAAAGAAAAAGATAAGAACAAGAAAACCGAACCCCTTTGAAAGACCAGGCCCCAAAAGCCGGGGAACCATCTTGATGATGCTGTCGGAGGCGACAAATGCATCATACTTGCGCGCCAACTTCTTGATGAGCTTCTTGTTCTTGTTCAGCTTCTTCAAGTCCTCAGTGGACATAGAGTCGATACCGAGATGCTTAGCACGATCAATATCATGCTGGTCACCGAGGACACTATTGACATCTAAATTAGTATATATATGTATATCATCAAGTACACTAAGTTCTCGACATGGTTTATTGTTTCCAATGCGCCGATATTAGCGTAAGGCTGGTATTGGGCATAGAAAACACACCAGATGCTCATGCCCGGGCGGGGAACGGATGGCAGCTTGATGGTGCCAGAGAAACGCTTGTCACGCTGAGGATCGTAGTTCTTCAAGCCTATCTGGAGCTCAACCGTCTCGAGAAAGTTTCTCTTCTTCTCATTCAGCGAGTAATCGAGGAGTTGTTGGACATTTTGGCGCACTCCGGCTGTGGTGAGAATAAAATGAGGTGTTAGCTTCCGAGATCCAGATCTTCTTTCATGCGGGTCCTTAGGGAAAATACTATCCTGTGGGCACAGGATGATTCGTCTGTAGCTTCAACGTACCGACTGTGATTTTCGACATGATGGCGACAGTCTTCCAGAAGAAAGTTGATTCTTATGGTGAGGATTTGCGCTTGAGGGACAAATCATGGAGAAGGGCCCCAGCAAAAGTTCGCTGAAATACTGGGAGAGTTGTGGGCAATATAGTGTCTAGCCGTATTTGGTGAGAGTAGGGCTAAGTCATATTAAAATCACATGATCTACTCGATGTCCAACTTCCAAGGTTGAAATAACTGTTCTGGCATTTTCCTCCCAATTGATTTATACTATTTCAATATACAGACAAATAGGAAACCCCGGAGATAAATACGTATAATCTTTGCGGACCCTCCACTCATCCAGTTCCGCTTCGCAACTACTCAGGTACTGTACAAAGAATCGAGCGTGACGAGTGAAAAGTGTATAAGACGCCATAATGGTCATTATTTTCTTCCACCAAATTCATATCAAGGACCTAAAGGTGAAAAGGTGTGTGTCACATCATAATATTGCGAGGAGCAAATTCAGAAAAAAAAAACGCGCCGGACACACTGTTGCGCGTCTTGCCATCCAGATACCACCTTCCCTTCCCCTATCAGTGCGGAAAGGTTGGAGTTCCATCGACCGATAATGACAGAAACACTGTTGAGAATCCAGCTTAATCCGTGTAGGCCACCTCGATCATTGCTTTCTCCACCAAGTTTGCCCATCCAGGATACTGATACCGTCAGTTTTTGTAACAAATCGATATTGGAACAGAATAGTGCAGGAAACAAACAGCTTACCATGGCTCTAGCCCAAAGACAAATAACATCACCAGATCTAAGCGTACGAACGAAGCCGCGCCCTGGCCCACTACCAGAATCTTCTGCTGGCTCTGCTTGTTGCTGCCCTTCACTGTCATCATCTAACATCCATACAATTTCACGAGTCTGGGCTTCTCTTCTTGCAACTTTATTTTTTTGAAGAGGCCATATCAACATCTCCCCGTTGTCGTCTGTCGCGAAATCCCATCCGGATCTTCGGTAGGCATTAGAGTAATCAATATATGATTCATACCTCTGGTCGGGTCCTAGGGTTAATGTCGGCTCTACCCGGTCGCTGGAATGATCGAGGCGACGAAGTATCGTTACTTCGAACCATGAGAACGCGCAGTTGTATGTTCCTAACGGGGATTCCTTGCCCTGTCAAATCAAATCAAATCAAAAAAAAAAAAAGCCTCTAGCACTGTGCACTCCTCCAATCATTTTCAAAATCCATCGAAGGGGGAATGTCGCATACCTTGCGTCCCCGGTTCACCGCCCCATCCTTGATCATGGCTAGCAATCTCAAATCTCACAGCTTTAAGTCTCAGATCCCGCAGCTCTAATCCATACTGCTTCAACTCTCTGATCTGTGGCCCTTTCAGAATTAACCCATACACCCCTGGACCACGCGAAGAGAGCCTGTAAACATCAGAGGGGTTAAATGTAACCACATCCTTCACAGAATAGTCAGCAAAGTTGAGGATTATGTCTGCAATCTCTGTGGGCAGAGCAGGGTGGGTAGATTTGAGCAAGGCGCGGACTTCTCCAACATCAGCTGGGGAAGGGGAGTAAGGGATACTATTATCGAGACTTTCAGTGCGGATGTCGGAAGAGGCCCTTGCAGCTGGATGCATTGAGGGTTCGCGCGGCACCGCAGCAGACACTTCTGGTGCGCCCAAGATGTATTTCCGAATAAAATTCGACATTGCAATGATAATGGCCTTATAAATATAGTAGATAAGGAGACACTTGGATCAGAAATGTTACTTAGTCAAACGGTTTAACGGCATAAGGCGTTAGCCAAAATTGATAACCGTAGATGGCCGGAGAGCATAGAGCGATCCGAAACAAAATATCTTGCTTGCAGAATATATCGGTGTGTTCTAATGGTGTCTGCGGAAGTTGAAGCGATGACGTTTGCAGAAGCCAACCTTGGAAAGTTCATAGGCACCAGTGGGGATGATATCACATGATTGCCTGTCTCCAAATATTTTTTTGTGATTGATTCCTTCTGTCTACTCTTTATTAACATTGTTGTTTAGTTTAACGTTATTTTGAATATATTTAGCTAATACCAGAGGGGTGACGGTGGCGTAATATGAGATTGATTCTGCTCTAAGCTTCGAAACTTAATGATCAAAAATAGAAGAAGATCGGGGATTGATAATTCGATCGTATTTGTGATTTTTGATAAATTAAGCTTAAATCGTTCGGCTTCTCAGATAAAGGGCCAGTTTACGAGGTATATATGTAATTTCTCAATATCTTTTCCCCCTTACTGTCACATGCTCGGTCATTGTAAGGCGTATGTATGTATGCTAATAACAGGGGAAGAATATAAAGATAAGTGGTATATTGTTCGGAAGAATAGTAGCTACCATAATTACAGTCATTACTACTCTGTACAAGGTGAGAATAATAACGATTTGATAGGAGTTGAAAATAATTTTTTTCCCTCGAGTGTGGTGTTTAGCAAATTTAATATCCTCTGCCGCAGTAGCAGTCTCATGCAGCAGCAGTCTCATTAGAGTGATTGGGGTTAGAAATAACAATCGGAGATCTAGAGGTCAAGCCCCTAATTTTTGCAAAGGGGAGAGTACATTAGGGTTTCTCCAATAATGGATCCAGGTCCAGTGGATATACTAGCTTTTCAACAAGAATTGCTAATTTTAATTTGCAAACTTTGATTCCGTGGGTTAATATTCATGGCTATACGCATTCAATTCCAGGACGACGATCCTTTCTAAGCAGATCTTCTCTACCCTCATCAAATTAGCAGGTGGAAACACCTCCCCTATCTAGAAAAAAGAATTACACCCGGCATTTATCATGCAGAATCCCCACCGGGAAGCTTTACAATCTTTCCCATCGCGACCTGGTTGATTTCAACACCATTGAGAGAAGAGTCACCCTGAAGAAAGATAAACCCACACCCTTTATACAGTCTCTGGGCAGCTTGGTTCTTCGCTTCCACGAAGAGACCTATGTTTGCCCTTGTTGCATGCATAGACGTAGCTTCCGCCCGCACAGCCTCGATGCTTGCTTGCACAAGTCTTCGTCCGAGCCCTTGCCTCCTTGCATCAATTAGAACAAACATGGAAAAGGCGACGTAAGCCGCCTCATAGCCCACAATTGCTGCGGGGTCTGGAGGTTCGTTAAGGTTCACTGAGGGGAGAAAAGGTTTCCAGGGAGTTTTGGAGCCAGATCCATCTGCGGGAAGCGCTCTGGGTCCAAAGATTACTATCATCCCAAGCCATTCATTCGCTGCTAGTAGTTCTATGTCACTAATTTCAGTACCGCCTGTTCTTTCGGTGCGAAGGGCGACAAATGTTTTGGAGAGTGGGTTTCGGAGACGTTGAACCCAGATGGCATCGTCGTATTCGGCTTCTCTGTGGTAGGTTGAAGAGAATGCCTGTGGAGTCTCTTTCAGTGCTCGGAGGCGGGCAGTTTTGTATCGCTCGCATAGTAAGCCTACAGATGATGATGGCAGAGTTCGAGGGACTTGGATAACTGCTGTTGGTGAGGCCATTTCGCGAGGCTTGGATACTGGTACCGATTCGCGCATTGAGCATAAAAGGAATTCTCAAAATTGGCTGCTCAGTGACCATTTTCTCATTTCTTCGGACGTCTCAGCTATATTCCCCAGATTTTCCTTGAGTCATAGCTAGCACTAGTAGTCCTTTCTCTTAAAATCACGTGGATTGCCTGGGATGAACCGGTCTCACCAGGGGTTGATATCCCCAACTCAAATTTAGGTGGATGCGATGAAGCGGCATGTTCAGCAAGGCTTTCGTGGTTGCTTCTTTCTCTACATATAGAGATATACTGCCGGTTGTCATGCTATTATACAACATGGGTGGTAGTCGTCTGCGATTCGTAACTGAACTGAATGGCTTGGGCTCACGACATTTAGGGATAAATGAGTTACTGGCCGTAACTGAAATTTGCCGGTCAATATGCATAGGAGAGGTGTGTACTCTGCGTTTGCCAGGCTAAGCATCGCGCTCAAAAAGATTGATACTAGAACTACCAACGGGATCATTCAACGCAACTCAGGTTTTTTAGGTAGAATTTTCAAGGAGGGCCGTTCGGGGCACTCGGAATGGATGGCTTGTTGTTTAATCATTTTATCCCTTTGCTAGGAGGGCTCAAAGAGAGGAGAGTTAGAGAAGAGGACTTGCTGCCAAAGCTCAAGGTGAGATTTTTTATGCATTTAACGCTTGATCATAAAGTACAAGGTTTGATATTTGGTTGGCAAATAGCGCCGGGCGCTAGTCTGCAATAGGAAATCTAGATTTTAATCCGACAGGGACACCAGAGCAATATCGAAACAGTTCCTTATTCCGACCCTTGAGGTATGCTGGTATGCGTTTATCCCTTGCCGCCGTGGCGTCGTAAATGGCGGATGATGATCAATCAGATTCTAGGGTCTGTTAGCTCGGTGATAGCGCCTTATGAGTGGTCGCGAGCGCATAGCGCCTGACCAGCCTTGTTGGATTTATTTTCACCTTCTCTTCTCTCTAGTCATGTATATATTCGTATCTAAATAAACACCTCTCCATTTAATAAATGATTGAATAAAATTAACCGCTCTGCGTTGCCGAACCTGGGAATACTAGTACTATATATGTGCAAACGATTAATATGACAACAGGGCCTATCACCAACACGACCAACAACAATAGAGAAAACACTATTACCACATCTCACGATCACACTCCACACCGAGGGGTTGCGAAAGACTACTACTTCAATATCACCAGCAGGCCACAGTTATGGGAAACCTTTCGAGATCTTGATAACGCCATCCATTTTGCAGAATGTAGGGGGCGCTTAATAGACGAAGCAACACAGAACTTCGTAGTCGATTTCGGGAACGATGAAGCGCATGCGGCATTTGATCTTGGGGAGGAGGACTTTGCTGCATTGCTGAGCTCGAAGGTATGTGTGTCCTTTGTCTATCTTATATGCTTCTTATCCCAATTTAACAATCGGCGCGCTCCACGAGAGGAAAGACCTGAGACTAATGCGCTAAATTTAGAGACCCAAATCTTTAGAAACAAGATGGATGTAGGGTTAATAACCTTGAAGGTACATTTGATTCCGTGGTTAATTATATGATTGTAGTAATATATGGTCACCCGAACACCAACGGGAGCTAGTCCAGGTACGTTCAGCCTGATCAGGATTGTTTTCAACAGAAAATGGGATGAAATATACAGAGCAGTGTGCTGATATTTTCCCTCCAACTTAGACTGTAACTAGCAACTACAAAATTTCTGCTCGCCTCCAAGCGATGATGGTTTCGAAGCCTGTTACTCCTTCACAAGATATCCGGGCAGTTTCTCCCAAGCTCACATCCAGAGACATGGAAGAGCCCGAGCCAGGCTCAGAATCAGGAGGAAAGTCTTTACCAGCTTCCGTGGTAGATCTTGAGGGAGGATATTCGCTAGAGGGTATCCGAAGGGCGGGCGAGGCACTTTCCCCCATCATTGGGACGGGATTTAACATGATTTCGCTTTCCCAAATCGTCGATAAGATATGGCATTTTTCGTCGGTGGACTACGGAGAGAAATGTATGGAACAAACAGGTTTTATTCATCCAACCTAGCATTATGATTTTACCACTCGTGGCAGATGCTGAGAGGGCGATTGATTAGATCTTTGTCTGGGTTATAACTCGCTTCATGTGGTTTCAGGAGTTGACTTTGGCAACTCAACGGGAAGGCCGGACGGAAAAAGAGTCTGGACTTGGCTCCTGATATGTGACGATGGTTTGTTTTAGTTTCTGCACTTTTTGTAGTTTAATGCAGCTCCTATACTCGTGAAACTGACTCTTCATAATGCAGGAACCGTGATATCCATTCATGAAAACCCATTTCCTAGTCCAACTAGTTTGAATCCGGCACAGCGACAGCAAGCCGTCGAGGTCATTCGACGAAATACCAACTTAGTGTTCTCCGCGATATCCTCGCAGCACATTGCGAGCGAAAACAGCAATGCACTCATCACGACGTACGTGAGGAATTTCCCGAACGAAACAGGTACGGCAGCAATTAAAACCGGGGAAGGGCCCAGCTTGCTATTCTATTACCTATTCGATAACTGGCCTGCAAACTATAGCCTGGTTATCGGGAGGGAGCATTCTTATAGCGCTGCGCTCGATCAACTAGTGAGTAGAGCTAATCAACATCCACCGTGATAGCAATCATTTCACTTGACAGCTTACGCTTAGGATATATAGCGCAGGCGTATGGTCGAGCGAGCGCAGGTGCAGTTGATTGACGACCTGCACAAACTAGGAAGACAGCTCGCAGTCCTCAAACGCATCTACCAAAGCTACGATTTGATTGTCAACCGCGTGCTCAAGCGGCAGCGTTTGCTCCGAGAAGAGATTAGGAACGCTCAACCCGTAAACGCTCATCATCCTAACCACCAACGTGATAGCAACTTCGGCTTCGATTTCTTGAGCAGCGGGAACACCTGGAAATCTAACGGATTTGACGAGATGAATCCGAGCGAGTTAGGCGGCATCCAACTTAGCTCTGCTGCTATTGGCCGTTTCGAAAGACTGCTCGATCGAATTCGGCTGTACGCCTTGAGTGAAATTGATGAGTGTTTGGCCGAGAAAGAATCCATGACGTTTATGGTATGCCCTATAAACCCTGATTCGCTCCCCGCCTGAAGGTCAATGCGCTAATTTAGCCATTCAATCTCTTTGTTTTCAATATTTTGTAGGTGTTCAATTTAATCGCCGTCAAAGATTCGCAGGCAGTCGAAAGGCTGACTAGAACCACAATTCTTATAGCCAAGGCAACCATTTTATTCCTGCCAGTCACTTTAATGACATCCTATTTCTCAACGGAGATCGAGGAACTTCAGGGCGTGTACACGGTGAAACAATATTGGATTGCATTTGCGGTGCTCCTAGTGCTGTCAGCGCTAGTTCTTGCGATATATGGATGGGCCGCTGATACGGTTGAGGGCAAGACTATCTATGTGTCCTTCGCAAAGAGTTTCTACCGCTCTTCCGTGGCGGCCTTTGGGAAAAGGAGGAAGCGGAAGATTGTATAGAACCGATTTTGGCACGATTTCTTTTAAATCGGGGTCCCGTGTTGGAGTAAGGATACATGTATCTCCCCAGATCGCGTACCTTGCATAATGAAAGTGGTGGTTTCTGTAGCCAAGAAGACATATGATTATACAATGGATGACGGAATTTTTTGTAATTTTTATCTATTTCGTATATTATCGTTCCTTGAAGATTAGAATTGCAGGAATTCTGCTGCCTCATGCTTGTTACCTAGGCAAAGTCAGCCCACGGGGCTTTTGAGATCGGAGGGGGATATGTGTCCTTTTCTATGGCGCGAGCAGAGCAACTAGGCAAACACGATTAAGGAAATAAAAAGCTTGCAGGGCCAATACCTCCCGCAACAGATATCATAGCAGCCAGGTAAATTCTCATCCCAAGCACCAAGACCCAAGTTCGCTGTTAGTATTTGATACTTTCTTCAGTCCCAAAAAGTCCCGTGATTGTTGGGCTGAGGTCACGTTATCTGGGTGACAAAAGCTACGCTTACCGCCGAATTCCTCGTGCTGCCAAAATTCCACATTCATCCCATCCACTTTGCTGGACCTCCGCAACTTCATCCCCCATCGACTCCTGGCCAGTTCCATCTCCAGCTCGTCCCCCTGCCTCTTTTCCGCGCCCGTCTCTTAAGATCCCGTGAGTCTCAATGTCCCCTTTCCCTCTCTGGTCGTGGTTCAGCCCTCGTTCCTGTTAGGCAGCACGTATTGTCCCTGCGCCGCACGATTATCTGTTCACTTTGCCCAGCCATCTCCAAGCCCAATCTTTTTGCCTATCTAACCCCGATAAGCTCAAAAGCCCGATTCAACCACAGCGCCTGTTGCGGTGGTTGCAATATCTATTTGAGGGCTTTCGCTAACTTACTATCATCTGCTCTCGTGTCCCCTTGCGGTAGTTTTCTCCAATCCCTTCCCTCGTGTCCCCTCCTCAATACCGCCAAGATGGGTATGGCATTTTCGAAACTGTTCGATAGAATATGGGGCAAAAAGGAAATGAGAATTCTCATGGTCGGTCTTGATGCTGCTGGCAAGACCACCATTCTGTACAAGCTGAAACTTGGTGAAATCGTTACAACCATCCCTACCATTGGTAAGTTCCTCGATTCTCGAAACTGATTAACAACCCTCACCCCTTACCACATCCGTGATGATTCTTTGGGAAAAGAAACCGAAAACCAAAAACAATGCCTAAAATGAAAAAAGGCAACCCACCACTCTTTATTTCCTAGTGCGATTCGTTTATTGATGATATTCGACTCTAACTATATGCAGGCTTCAACGTCGAGACTGTCGAATATAAGAACATTCAATTTACAGTGTGGGACGTCGGTGGACAGGACAAGATTCGACCTCTGTGGAGGCACTACTTCCAAAATACCCAGGGTATCATTTTCGTGGTTGACAGCAACGATCGTGACCGTGTTGTCGAGGCTCGGGAGGAGTTGCAGCGAATGCTCAACGAAGATGAATTGCGCGACGCATTGCTCCTGGTCTTCGCGAATAAGCAGGATCTCCCGGTACGCACCCTATTACGATTTCTTTCTTTCTCTCTTTCTATCATTATTTTTCTATTGTTATTTTATTTTTTTTAAAATTTTTATTTTCGGATCATATTTGTTCTACTTAGATATGCTAATGAATGATTTCCTTTATAGAACGCCATGAGCCCAGCTGAGATCACCCAACAGTTGGGCCTCCAGAGCTTGACACGACGCGCATGGGTAAGTGAATCGCCTATTCACAAATAATTTCCGCAATCTAAATCATCTGCTAACTCTTCATCTTTTGCTTCTCAGTACATTCAATCCACATGTGCTACGACTGGCGATGGTCTCTATGAGGGCCTTGAGTGGTTGGCCAATGCGTTGAAGAAGGCGGGTCATGAGTAAACGTTCAACATGAATTGATGTGGAAATAAACCAAACAACCTCTTCCTCATTTTCAACCACTAACTTTCATTTCCCCCTTTCCCTCGTCGACACTTTCAATACACCTGGGGAAAGATATGCGTTGTGTGTTCTATTGGGTGCAAGCGGGTAAAAAAATCATAAGGGTGTGTTGGCATGTTCTGAGAGGGATCTTGAAAGCCTCCTAAAAAAAGAGAAAACAAATAAAAACAAAACGAAAAAAAATGCTCCTTTTCCTATATTTGCTTCGTACTGGCGTCTTTTCTCCTTTTTAGTTCTCTCTGCTTGCTCTTCTTCCCCTTGCATCCCCATGTTCCCTTCATGCCACCAACGCGCATAATTCTTCAGCTTCTATAAATCTTTTTGCTTTTCCCCGCCCCTTCGCCCGCTTCTTTTCCCTTTCGTTTTCATGTTCTTTTCATTGTTCAATTTTTATTATGTTAAACTCGCTTTTTTATTTTATTATTTTAAATTACTATATTATCTTAAATTCTACCTACATCGCCTATTTCCCCCTCTTTTCATTTATTTTTCTGCTGTTTTGTTTAAAAACTTTGAACATATGCTTGTTCTTTTGTCCATCCCTGCGTTTCCTCTTGCAATTTGTGTCCTGTGTCCTGTTTGTATCAATTGAGGCCTTGCATATGTTTTGGTCATGTTAGTAGCTCTGCTGTGCCCTATCCATTTCATCCCATCCCTCCATCAAAAGTACATGGGCATGTTCTCATGCCTGCGTTTTGTGCCTCTGCAAACAATTCTCTCTCATCTTTACACATATCACACAGATAAACAGGGCATTTAGGGTGAGTGGGAAGCATCACCTGGTTTGGTTTGGCTCAACTCTTTCAGCCCACACATTGCGAATGAAATATTGCTCTCGTCGCAATCCCTTTCTCTTCTTGAGGGCGGATTATATATATCTTCGTCCTTCCTTGCAATAGAAGCCAGGCCCTGCGATCTATCACTCTCCCACCCTGCTTCACTTAATTATTTCCTTTTTATCCCCTCTCCAATTTAACTTGCACTCTTTCTCTTTCTACATTCCTATTCCTGCGTTAAGTGCCCTTGGGAACTCAGTTTTGTCCTCACTTGCATGTGAGTTCTGTAAACGTAAATGAAAGGAAGGTGTAATTTGAAAAGTTTCTGGATAGCAGTAGCAATGGAGTATTTAGTAGACCGATTGGAGAAAAGCAAAAATAGAAGATATTTAGGGGGAGGGGGAGAGGGCGGGCGCGCGGCGCAGGAGGAAGAAAGGAAAAATCTTTTGGCATGCGAGATCTTGTTCTTTCTTGACTCTAGCCACATGTCAAGTGCTTACAATTTCATAATATCACAATGAAAAATTTAAGTAGTTACATCTCAAGATTTTCCATTAAAATTTCAATTTCAATTTTGATGTCATTATTGCTCATGCCCACCCTCATCCTCATTATATTATTAACTGAACATCAAGAAAAGCAAGTTAAAAGGGAAAGGAGTGAAAGATGGGGAAAATAAAGAAAAGAAAAAAAAAAAAGGAAAAGGAAAGAGCCTTGAGGGTAGGACTGTAAAGCATGGAGAGGATTATTTCATGGTTCATTTGAATGAACATGCACTCTCTAACAAAAGAAAAATGAAAATCACCCATGATTAAAACACACCTTCTGGACGCCCCATTTATCATTAAAATAAAAACAAAATGGAAAATAAGAAAAGCTGCAAAGAGGACCACCCTGAATGAAAGAAACTTGCAAAAAGTTTCAACACAGCTAACAGTTGCATATGAAAGCAAGAACATTCCAGCTTAGGGAAAGGAGATGTGAAATAAATGAAGGGTGCTGCAAGACACACTGCAAAGGAAAAGAAAACAGAGAAAATGATATTAAAACAAAAGAGCATCTTCCACCCGTGTTAAATAGTAGAACTGCTTTTCTAATCTACCTAGTTGATTGTTTGGAAGTGGTCATTAATATTCATGTTGCTGCTTAGAAGGGGATTCCAACTCCGTTCTTCATTTCTTCCATTCTTCTCTTTTCCTTCTTTTTCTGAGATGGAGTGGGTTTCATTACCTTGCTTGTATCTGCCTGACAAAGGAGCAATCATGAGTGGAAACAAAAATAAAAGGAATTAACAACTTAGCATTGGGCACTTTTTTTTTTTTTTTTTTTTTTTGCTTTCAAAAGTGCATGTGACACTTGGGTATAGAGAGTTTGTTGATAACTTGCGTGTAGTAGTTATCATCCCACTCTCCAGAGGGAGGGTGATCCTGAATGAAATGGAGACAACAATTGAGAATTAAATGATAGGAGAAGCTATCATTTTTCCATGTGTCTACACCCTAGGTGAGATGCGGTATACTCTTCCTAATGAGCTGAGTCTTGGAGGAAAAATGAAATACCATTTTCGCTGTTGGTGCAGTTTGCGTTCATCCGAGGGGAAACCCAGGCATCTCGCACGCCGTGGTTCCTGAATCCTGACTTGCAATTGCGTTAAGCTCAGTAGAAGAGGAGGACCATACCTGGTCTTTTCTCACAACGTCACTTTCTGTCTCACGGTTCTGCTGCTGGTGCTGCTGGTGCGGCCGCTGCTCTTGAGACGTTGCTGGAGTGAGGCCGTTGTTCGAGTCGAATTTGCGCAAATCAATCCCACTAATCCACCACGACGCGGCGTAGATGATCTGAGTCACGCAGCGTAATTCCTCCATGGTACGTGGGGAGTAGATCAGGACGAAAGTAGGAGGGACGAACCGGAATTTCCACCACCAGCTTTCTCGAGCAAGGGGGTGGCGCTCCCCCCATCCCTTTTCGATAATGGTTTTGACGTCTGCAGGGTGGAGAGTGAGGTGCATGCTACCATCGTACGCGTGAGAATGGCAGATTTCCCCGTTGCATGTCAAATGGCTTTGGCATCGAGGTAGGGAGAAGAGACCGGTGTTATGCTTTTCGAAGCGGGAGATCCCCAAGAACAAGCTGTCCGGATGGCGGAGGGATAATTCTTTAATTGTTGCTGTCAATGCGGCATAAATAGCTTTTGGGCCGCGGTCAGTCATCTGCCGCTGCGGAGCAATCCCAACGACTTCTGGGCGACTACCGATTCGCTTGGGCAGGTCATTCAGAATCCCGCTCTGAGGATGAATGTATGACGGGATGGGCGGAGGGTTCAGAGGATTACGCAAGGTAAAGATACGTAACACGCAGATGCGAAGATAGCCGGCAGGAGTGGAGGGCGTTCCGCCAGGCCCAAGTGCAAGGAAATCATGGTATCCCTTGCGGACCTTTCGGGCGAAAGTGGCCAGGCAGAGCGCGACGACGGTCAATAGGGTGATAATTGGAATGGAAGATACAAGTGGATCTTGCCAGGAGTGTGCGGTAGACTGGTTTTGCATGCATGTGAGCCACTGAATGCGGTTGTAGAGTACATATAAAGCAAATCTGGGGGAAGTAAACATACCATTTTGTGACAAGCTTCACAACACAACGGAAATAGGAGAGAAAGAGTTTTCTTAAATTATTTATTGCCCACAGTTCAAGCAGCACACTAGGCTACTAGAAAGACAAATCGCAGCAGGAAACGAGTGTCTTGAATGGGCATTAAATGAAGCAAGCTTTTGGTCTGAGGAAGCCCAGGGATGGAGAGAAAGATATGAGTAAAAACGAGTGTCTCCTATAGGAGGAGGGCCTTCAGGAAAACAAGATAGGAACACATAGAACAGGGCAGAGGTGAGTGGTACCTAGGGTGTTGTGTGTTCTATAGGCTTTGTTAATTCTCAAGTGACAGCAGCAAATATTTCACAGTGCGTTCCTGGGACCAGAGCCAATGAATATGGCAGCAGCCATGCAACTTTCGGCGAACCAGCACACAGCGGAAGCGACTCTCCTCACCAGAAAGCTGGTGGCCTTGGATATTCATTCACTGGTGGGCCAGTCGGGGTTCACTGGGGGGAGAACACATCTCATAGCTCTTACGGCGGGAATAGGGGGTGTGTGTCTTGCTTCCAGCGGCGTATATACATTCGCACGGTGAATACCGTCAGCTAAAAATGAATTTGGGGATAATTTGTTCAAAATAGAAAATGTTCCAAGGAAAGGGAAATGGAAATGACCGGATTCGAGGCAAGGCGAGCTGAGCTGGTTGCTCATGGGACCTATGATGGGCTGCGGCCGCTCATTCGTACAGCGGAGAAAATGGAGCTATCGTCAGGCTTGCATCATCATATGCCTGAGGGAAGCTAGCTCTGGGCCGTGCTGGCTCCGAGGTTTCGAGCTCCCGAGTGACATAATACGAGTTTCTAGCACACTTGCCCTGAACGTATATCACCAGTTTAACCCGGATTATGATCCTCGGCAAGGGTGGTCTGCGTCGCAGGTTCGGAGAATGAGGAGCTCCCGCCCGGGTGTTCTCGAACATACCAACGGAGACTTACTCAGTGTATATCTTCGATAAAATCATTGGGCTCAGCTCGTGTTGGCCCTGGCGTGCGTTCCCACGCCGGATAGGGTCTGGGGCTTCCGCTTTTTTAAATGCAGCCACATTTGTGGGAAGATCCGCGACGCACTCCCCACACGAGTAGTACGTATTCTTCACACATTCAACAATATGTCAAAATGGATGCAATTTACATAGCTTCTTACAGTTGAAATTTATGTGAGAGCAAGGAAAGGGAACTTCTTTGCCCTGGTTCATCTATGTAACCAGTCTTACGCCGTTTACTCTGTAGCTGGTGCACACACCTGGTCTGCAGCTGTTGCTTATCGAGAGCTTTACCACGATGATATCTTCATCTATGTGGTATTTCTCTCTTGATATAGAGCGAACAACCTGTGACCGAAAGCTTGGCGTCAGAGTGAAAACTAATGGAGAGATTAGATTGGTTCGTCCATGGCGCTGGTGACCTTTGTCGCAGTGGCCTACAGAAACTCAGACCATCAGCAAATCATCGAGATTTTGAATGTCAACCGATGTTGTCAGCTTGAAATTATAATGAAATTGCATGGTGCTCTGGAACGAGCAATTGTTTCTCTCCTTATTATTTTATTTTTTCCACTCCTAGGTATGATGATGGTTTTACTTTTTTTTCTTTTCTCCCCCATCCCCCACCCAAAAGCTAATTTCTTCCACGTCTGTCTTCTAACCTTTCTTGATATGAATACAAGAGGAGGATGGAAGAATATCCCCTATTTACGTTCCTAAATTGCTGTTATTGTTTCACGAGGTTTAATCGAGACAATACCATCCTCTGTCTAGGGAGTTGCTGAAACAACGTTTACCCATAGACTTCACGAGTGAAACGGGAGACGGCGGCTCATCTGATATTGAGGTTTCCAGCCATGGCTCTCATCTGTGGAATGCCACGGCTGAAGCATTGGACGAAGCAACGAAGGCTCAGTGTCGTTACTCTGATGAGAGTGGGCGGTCTAGATTGGCTAGGCGATTTCTTGAGGCCTGCATAAATGACGCCACGCCGTGGATGACAATATATAACCTAAAAATTTATGAAATGCCGACCCATCTATTGTAACGCATGTCTGGTTTAACATTTAGTGATGGAATGGGGTATACAGCCATACAGTCTCAATCGGCCTTCCCTCCCTTGCCCCTCTGTCCAGGGATAGTTCAATTCCATTCAAAAAGGTCAGATTCTCGATTTATTTTTCACAAGGAGAAACTGACATCGGCCAATTGTAGACACAATATTGTCAAGCGGTGGGACGCATGTCTATCTCCGACAGAAGATCAGCTTGTTGAATGCGAATTCCAGCTTGTTGCCGTCGAAACCAAAGGCTCTGATGGCGGATACGATTCTTCGAGTCTTCGATTGGCCACATGGTTGGCTACAGGACTGAGGAACATGAGGCTTCGTCAAAGGCTTCCTGAGGTGCAAACGGTTCAGGGGAACGGCAAAAATAAGTTACGCCCATTCGCCCACATCGCGGCTGTCGGCCGTATGTGGGGTTTGCGTGTTGCTTCAAAGGGAGGCAGGTCGGTTGCCCATTACTATGTTGGCCGCTTCTGCTAATCCTGGGCCGCAGCTACTTATCTAGAAGGACAAAATTAGTTAATGAGCATTACATGACTTAGGAAAATCTATGGTTCTCTGATGGAAGATACCTGCTCTGGTTTCGCGGTGGTTCCAAATTTTACGTGTCCTCAGTTGAGTTCTGGAGGGGCCGGGGGATTGTTGACAGCGGATGAAATGGAATGCAGCAGGGTACAGAGCAGGTCGTCAGAGAAATGTCGTCTTGTAGAGTGACCTGCTGATATGGAGGAGTAAAACAGAGGGCGTGTGCTCATGGTAATGATGTATTAAAGGGGGGTGTATTTACTGGACATGGGTGTACATACTATGGGATACCCCGGTGTTTCCTTAGTGGCCCTCTAATATTTAAGTAACCAAAATATTGGAGGGTGGAGCTCACTGGATGAGTAATATATTATCAATCCATGATTTTCTGTAGGTTTTTTTATAATAAAAGATAGAGATGAGATATATACTATATACACTGTATAGATTTTCAATTTTTAGCAATTCAAAAATTCAATTCCTGATCATCAAGAATCTGCATAAATTGAAATATAAAAAAATCATGACGATCCCTCAATATTGTGGTTAGCACAGCACTAAAACATTAGGGAGCCACCAGTTAATAAAAATATACGAGGAATCCCTGAGGGTTGGTTTCTTGAATTATTCAAGTCCAATGGAGCCGCAGATTTATACAGGCGATTGATCTCAATTACGCTGATACCGCCAAAAGCCCCAGGTTTCAAAATCGAAAATGAAAATTAAAATTCAAGTTCAGATGTTTTTGCTGATGCATATGCCCTACTGCGGTGATTTCTTTGCATCCCGCCTCTTTGATGATTGTTGAGGTGAGGGTTGTTCAAACAATCCCCTTTCAATCGCCAGGTCCATGCTAGCTGGGATCCTGGCATTCGGCCACTGATGAGTATGCGACGCACGAACCAGCGGCACACTTGTGTGGACCTTGTTTGAATTTGTAAGGTGATTCTAACCATGATGAGAGCGGCTTTTCTATTTTCTAACCACGTTCAACCCGTTCAATGCGATGCCCCTCCCCTATTGGATGTCAAGTTATAGAGATGTGCGGTACGCTAGTCCACAATAGGAACCGCGAGCCAGGTTAATATGGTTGAGTCAGCGCCAAGCATCCGTCCAAGGTTGCTGTGGAAACAAGAAAAAGAACGCCATACCCGATGTGGAATGACAAGCGTCACCCAAGGAGCGGTTCTGCTCTTGTGATTGGCTGATTCCCCACTATTGGCCGCTGTCTCCCCTTGTGGTACCTCCGACGTACTACGCCATACATAGTAGTTGTCGAGGTTTCTGGGATTGATTTTTAGGTTTATCCTTTCCAAGGTTCGGTTTGGGCTTCTCTTAAGATTTGGCAAGTGGAATGTCGGAAAAATCTACATCTGAGATCCCTCCGCCATCTATCTCATGTTCTTGAATTGTCACTGATCGAATGTCCCTGATATTGATTGATGTAGGTGTTCTTCTGGTCCTCCATCGTATTTCTTTATCTTGAGAATTTATGAGAAGCTGGCTAATTTTGGTGGCAAGCCCGCAGTAATTTTCTTGGAGTAAACGTCTGAGACGAATCTCTGGATGCCACCCTTGAAACACGTCGATTGATCCCTTTCTTCCCCTCCGTCTGGGTCGATGTCATGGTCCGCACTGCTGAGGCAATGACACGCCGCGTGGCTGGCCCTCAGTTCCGTGATGACATTCCACAGCGTTCCAAGTTGGAAATAGACACAGAGAAACAGAATTATTATACGTACTCATCACGGGATACCTCTTTGGACCATGATGACGACTCCCGCACCTATTTCCATTCCCCTTACGGCTCACCAATCTCCTCTCATCCCATACTCGGCAAGCCTATGCTGCCGTCGAAACGGAGGCGGAGACTCCAGTTCTACAGACCACCACATTCTATTATGCGATGGATATGCTTGGGCGTGTTTATGAGCTTGCTGTTGTTCATCGCATTTCTATTCCGGTTCACTATCACCGGTTCCTCATTTAAGCCTGTGCAGGTAGATTCGCTCGGACAGAAGCCATTGCCGCCTTTGTGGGAAAGTTTCCCCTTTCTGACGAGATATTATGGTGGGGTAAAGACACTTGTACCCAGGCAGGATAATGTCCCCGAATATCCTGGTGATGGGATGGCGGAGAAGATTATGGACTCTCTAGCAGATGCTACAAAGGGGGAGGAGAAGTCTGGCAAGAGATCTGGGGCTATGAAAAGCTTGATCTTCAATCCTTACCCTGATTATACCTCTGAAAGCTATATTGAGAAGTATGGCGTCAAGAATGACTGCTTTTTGGATCCTGATAAGAAAACGTCGATTCCACCCGTACGCCATTTCTCTGGAATTCCTAAAGGCTTCCCTGATGCTGTCATGGGATCTAATAAGCTGTTGGGGATAAATGACGATGTTTGCTTTGAACGATTTGGTCGTCTTGGTCCGTATGGCCTAGGCTATGGCATTGCTGCGGGAGGCACGGGTGGTGGTCTTGAGGGTGACAGATCCGGGATAGATGATGTGTGGCACGAAATCCCTGCCGTTGATTTCCGGACCGTTAAGTGGGCCGAAGCGCAAGAGCACTGTGCTGTAGCAAACAGTCATCGATTCCCTAAACTCGGACCTCCAAGGATAGATCGCTTCGCGGTTATGCAAGCCGGCGCATCGGCCGCCAGAGACCAGGTCACGGGGAGTTCCCCACCGGAAGACAACAAAGATTCTGCAAGAGCTACAGCTGTCAATAGCACATCAACTCTTCCACGATCTGCTCTTATCATCCGAACCTGGAGTGACTATAACTATAATGAGGAATCGATTATGAATCTTCGTTCACTAATCTCGGAAGTATCATTGCTGTCTGGAGGAGAATATACTGTTATTTTCCTTATCCAGGTAAAAGATGACAACTTGCAAATATGGTCCGACGATGAGACTTACAATCGCGTGTTGGAGAACGCCCTCCCCCCAGAATTCCGCGGAATGGGCATATTGTGGTCGGAAAGACAAATGGGGTTGTTGTATGGCGGCCTGGAAGAGACATTTGCACGAGACCTCCCCGTCCATGGTGTCTATAGGAGCACCTTCATGCCTGTCCAATACTTTTCCCACCAGCACCCGGAATACGATTTCATCTGGAATTGGGAAATGGATGTCCGGTACACGGGCCACTGGTATCACTTATTCAATCAAGTGAGTGAGTGGGCGAAACAACAACCACGTAAGGGCCTCTGGGAACGTAGTTCACGATTCTACATTCCATCCGTTCACGGATCTTGGGAAGACTTCCGTCAAATGGTCCGTGTGCAAACCGAGATTGGAACGGGCAGCCCCAATAACATATGGGCGACTCCTCTTGACAAGAAGCGCCCGAATGGGCAATCAGAGTTCAAAGGCGAGAAGCCAATCTGGGGCCCGCAGCGACCACACGAACAGGACATTTTAGAGACCGACGGTGAAGGCATACCCCCCACCACCTACGAAAATGACAGATACGAGTGGGGTGTTGGCGAGGATGCCGATTTGATTGTATTTAACCCTATTTTCGACCCCGAAGGCACCACTTGGCTCCTTCGCGACGATGTGACTGGATTTAACAAGACAGAGGGTTTGCCCCCGCGTCGCGCTGCTATCATCACCGCCTCGCGATTGTCACGAAAACTCCTCGCCACAATGCACCGTGAGACAAGCATGAAACGCCACACGATGTTTTCGGAAATGTGGCCCGCCACAACGGCTCTCCATCACGGCTTGAAAGCCGTTTACGCACCTCACTCTGTATACATCGACCGCCGGTGGCCTATCAAGTATCTTGAATCAACGTTCAATGCGGGCCGCAATGGCGCGACTGGCGCCTCCAAAATATCTGTCTTTGGCGACCGGGAACACAATTTCAGAGGCACAACATGGTATTATTCTGCTGGCCATTCGTCGAATCTCTGGCGTCGCTGGTTTGGATATAGAGTCGATGGTGTCGGTGGAGAGGAATACGAACTTGCGACTGAGGGGAGGATGTGTTTGCCTCCCATGTTGTTGCATCCTATCAAGGACGTTGATATGATTGTTGAGAGTGTGGATCGTTGATGCAGTCCAGAATTTTCCTCTTCTCTATCTTTTTTGTTTATTTAGTATTACTTTTTTCTTTATCCTTTTCTTCTTGTGATATATTTGCATATATTTCCATCCCTGATTCTTCGCCTCGATGCTGCTGGCACGTATCTCTTTAACCCCATCACGTCTCATGTTTTGTATTTTCGACGGACTAGCTTGTTTGTTTACCCCCTCCCCTCGTCAGCTGCACCGTTTTTCTTTATTTATCTTACGGAATTTGCGGACTCTTTATGCATGAGAAATATATGACCCTTCTCTCCTACGATAATGATGAACGATAGACTATGGACACAGAAACCGCACATGCGTAATATTTATTGACAAATCTTATGAAGCCATTGTTCTTCTGTTTATCGTCCCCGCCCGAACTAGATCAGCCGTTATTAATTTCTTCCCTTTTTCTTCAACAGTGTATATTGCATTTCTCCTTTTCCTCTGACATCTAGACTTAGGGACTTATATCGCAGGGTCGTCTCAATGCCCTGTCCCGAGTTTAATAATTTATTAATCTGGGAAAGCGAAGCGAAAATCGCCTTTTAATATCTCATTCTCTATATCTGTACACTTCCGCTGGGGGGTTTTTAGGTACCAACTGAATTCTCATAACCGTCACGGATTGAGTGATGGGCAGGAGCTTGACAGTCTCCAGGAAGAAAAGAAGAAGGGAAAAAGAAAAGAAAAGAAAAGAAAAAAGAAATCATGTATTGCTTTCCAATTTGATGCCTTAGTAAATCTAGTTGTATAAATGAATGTTGTTACTCTACCTCCGTGCATCTCCGATTGTCCATTATTTGTTCTGTTCCTTCTGATGACACAGCGGGCCCGCCGCCAAAATCGATTTTCAATTTGCCATACAGATTCCCGACGCTGGTACACTCCGTACATCCTAAAATGAAATCAAAAATAGAAATAAACGTATCTGCAGCCCTCTCTGCTGCACTCTCGTCAATCACCTTCGGATCATACTGGAATTTCGTTTTGTAGCCTGTTGGGGATTTAAACACCTCACACATGAGGGCGTAGTTGAAAAACATCCTATTCTGGCTCACACCCATCACGATCCAACGCATATGGGCGTCAAGCGTTTTGGGGGGAGGGTCGAACGGTTGGAAGCAGAACATGGTCTTCGCAGCACGTTTGCTCCGATCGACACCAAGCGCTTTATAGATATCCGCAAGCCCAACCATCCCGTTTTCGGTAGTCTCCCAGAAAAGCACCTGGGTATCATGCAGGAGAGTCCTGAGGGTTTTGGTATCTTGGAATCGAGTGCGGAAGGGGAGGAAGTTGGCACAGTTGCCATTAATCAGCTGAGGATTGTCGAGATTGACGTTGCGGCCGGTTAGCAGGTTATCGTACGTGACATCGAGGCTGTTACTCAGATATGACAGGAGTAAACCCCAGGCTGTTTGGAAGACGATGGGTACGGTGATTCCGGTCCCGTGAGCGAAGTCATTGACCTCTGTTCCAAAGGATCTGAAAGCCATTCCTCCAACCTTCGGCTCCAGTGATTGGGTGGGATAGTCGAATTTATTTCCGTCAAGTAAATTCACCCAGAACTGGAGCATTTTTCCTGTTTTGCTGGTTGAGTGGTATTTTATGAGCTCCGTAAACTCAGTTGGTTTTGGAGGTTCCTCGTTCTTCGCCATTGCGATGAACTGATCGTCAAATATCCGAAGTAGTGTGCCGTCGTACATGGCATGATCCATTTTGATATACAAATCTAGTGTACCATCCGTTGTTGACCTTAAAATTCTGTATTGAATGAAGGGCTTTCCCACTTGGAAACGACCATCCCACAAGGCATCGATAATTCGCTCTCTCTCTTCAAGGGTGCCGTAACATATTGTCTCCAAATCCAGAACGGGCTCTTTTAGAATCACTTGCACCCATTTTGGAGGCTCATCCTTTTTCACACTCTTGATGAACATGGCACGTAAAATTGTATTTTTCGCAGTTAGTTTCTGCACCAGCTCGATCCACCGTTGAACATCGAAGTCAGATGGGACACGTCGCACTGTCTGAAGTTGCCAGAATTGGTGATCGGTATGGCCTTGTGTCAGAAACTCAGCCTGACCCGGGACGCAGGGGTAAATCGTTTCAATATCCTCCTGGTCAACACCACATCGATGCAAAGTGTCGTATATGTCATCTTCAACTTCATACACATGAGGGGAAGAGGGAAGACTCCCATTTGTTGTTAGTAAAGGCTTGATAACTCGAGCTTGCTCCTTGATGGAAGGAAATGCTAAAACATCAGCAACAGAGAGCTCGTATCCAAGTTTGCGACTCTCGCTTACGAGGTTGATGGCCGCAATCGAGTCGCCACCAAGAGAGTAGAAACTGGAGGATGTCCCGAAAGAATGAAGGTTACACCCGAATATGGAAGCCCAAGCAGTTTTTAACAATCGTTCCTCGTCCGTTTCGGGAGCTGAGTGATCCGCCTCTCCGTTAACAGAGGTAGATTGAGGGTCCTGGTAACTTGCCACCAGAGAATCTTCCATCGATTCGATCAATTTTAATACCTCCTTTCGGTTGGTCTTGCCCGAAGGAAGGAGCGGGAGATACGCAACAGGAAGCCAGACGGCCGGGATCATATAACGTGGAAGAGTAACCAGCCTTGTTTGCAAATCTTGGAAGGAGTGTGCTTCTGAAGGCGGCAATAAGGGTGTGATATTCTCCTCGATATCGTCAGGGAAATCAGAAAGCAGTTGGCAGACCGCAACAAGTTGGGTCTTGCCGTGTACTTTCGCTGCTAGAACCACACAAGTCTTCACCATGCCGGTCCTGAGGATGGCACTCTCAATTTCACCAAGTTCTATCCGGTAGCCGTTGACCTTGACTTGGTTGTCCCTTCGGCCGAACAGCTCAAAACGGCCGTCGGAGAGCTGACGAGCAACATCGCCAGTTCGATATATTCTCGATCCATCATCTTGAGAAAAAAATGCCGCATGAGTTGCGTCGGGGTTATCTAAATAACCGCGCGCTACCTGTGGACCACCCAAACAGAGCTCACCCAGTTCTCCCAAGGGTGCTGGGGCCTTTGAGTCAAACTCAAGGATGGACACAATTGAGGTAGATAATGCCGTGCCAATATCGTTGATGGTGCTGGTTGGCTCTATAAGCGCAGTTGTCGCTAGGATGGTTCCCTCTGTCGGTCCATAGTTATTATAAACAGGAAGGAGAGGTGCCCAGGTCTCCAAGATCTCGGGCACAAGGGGCTCTCCACCTACGACGAGGGCCTTTAAATTAGGTACATCTGAGGGAATGAGGAGTTTGTTGACGATTGTTGGGGTTACGTTAACGTGAGTAACATCGAATTGATTGATGAATCCAGCAAGATTTGAAAATACTCTGGATTGACTGACCAAACAAAGTGTGCCACCAGAGCCAAGAACTGCAAAAAGGTCAAAGTATGATCCATCGAAAATATAGTTGAGGGCCCACAGCGATCTCCATGAATCATTCGCTCCCGTTGCTTCGATCATTCCTTTGCTGGCATTGAAAGCATTGTTGTGAGTGATAAGAACTCCTTTTGGGTCACCAGAACTTCCAGAGGTGAAAATCACATAAGCAAGACTCTCAGGAGAGAGCGTCGGCACAACAACGTTTTCGCAACTGAATTGAAACGAATCCAGTTGGCCCAATACCACATGCTCACAACGAAAGCACTCCAAAGAATGAGAGCTGGCAGGATCGGTGATGATCAATTTTGCTCCGATTTTCTTCAAGATAAATTGGTTTCGTGATGGTTGGCTTGTTGGGTCCAAGGCGCAAAATGCTGCACCAGTTTTGAAAATCCCAAGTATGGCAACTACCATATCAATTGACTTATCCAAGCAGATAGGAACGATATCTTCTGGGAGGATTGCTCTGGATCGAAGGAAATTAGCTAATTGATTCGCTCGTTGATTCAACTGCGTATACGACACAGCACTTCCGTGTTCGTCCTCTAAAGCGGTTTTATCTCCGAAACGAGAGACCATATCCTCAAAAAGCGAATGTGCAAATCCAGAATTAGTATCCTGGGGTTTGAGTGTGGGGTGTTTCTGGGAGGTGGAACTCAGGACTGCTTCCAGTCTCAGATAACTAACAGGGGTCTCTGCATCGAAGAAAAAGGCATCAACAATAGATGCCAGCCCAGAGAGAATTTGCTGTGCGAACTTGGGATCTAGAGTCGACGATAAAGATATGCTGGTAAGGTCCGAATCTTGTGCCTCGAGTTTGATATAATCGGTAAGTCCAGGTTGTTCATCAGAAACAAGGTTGAAGGTGTCGTCTGCATCGGACGAAGGCGGCTTCACCAAGAAATTAACAGAGGTGTCAAATAAACTAGCTGGTTGACCCGCGGCAAGCAAGATATTTCGCAGTCCGTAATGCGCATGATCTACCACAGATTTTATTTGGGTGTGGATGTCTTTCGCAACTTTGCCAATGGATGAGGATTTCGAAATCTTAACCCGTAAGGGAACTTGCACAACCGCCGGCCCTTCCATAAGCAGAACATCTGGAATTGGCACATCTCGGCCAAATAGTGTGATACCGAAAATCACTTCGGAGCTTCCAAGAACATGGGACAGGACAAGTGCCCATGATGCATACAAGATCGAACCAGTAGATACCCCTATGGTTTTACTGGTTGAAGGGATTGGAGTCTTCAAGTTCAGTTTGGTGATAGTATTTGTGCCTGCGGTGTGTCCCAATCTTGATGTTTTGGAATCCTTGAGATAGTTGCGCCAGTACTGTTGACTTGAGGTTTTGTCCTTCTGGGAGAGGTATTGGACAAGTTTATTGTATTTGGGGCGATTAGCCAGAGGGCGTGTGCGGATCAAATTGGACAAATCATCAAATATAAAGCGGCTGGACCAAAAATCAAAGAGAGCATGGTGCATTGTAAAAACTAGTTCCCCAGTGGAAAGTGCAGTGACTTTAAAAAATGGCCCTCCCATGGCGACGGTGACTGGCCTTTTCTCCAGGTACTCAGCCAGTTTCATGTCTAGCTCTTGCCATGGCAAAGGGCTTTCCTTGGGAATGGTTTGAAGATATGTTGTTCCGTAAGGAGTAAATGTGCTTCGGAGAAAGGAATCGGCTTCCAGGAGCTTTTTTAGGGCGGCCTTCACTTCATCATTACTGGTGTCTTTCAACGTTACCACCCTATCATAGAGATACTTGGTCCCACCAAGCATTACATCGGCAATTAAAGGCTCTTGAGATGGGGTCGAAGGCCATGCGTCTTCAATTCCGTTGGGGGCAATGTAACTTTCAGGAAGAAGAGAGAACGGTTCTACCCGTAATATTTGGTTTTGGATTCTCCTGCACGTTCTCGCAACTTCAAGCAGGCTGTTTTGAAGCAAGATATCGTGAACTTTTACTTCGATCAGCTCATTGCTGGCATGTGATGCAGCGACGATGGCAGAGAGAGAAGAACCGCCGAGATTCAGAAAAGAGTCTTCCAAATTTATACTTGATTCAGGCAAATGTAAAACCTCTGCCCATATCCGCCTTAGTGAGCTTTCCATTGGAGTGAGTTGACACTGGTTTATATGTTGGCTCTGAGCAATTGAACGGACGAGCAGTTCTTCTGGTGGAATCGCCTGTACAAGCCTGCAAAGTAGAGAAACATCAACCTTGCCGTTGACGTTCAGTGGCAGACAATCTCGCTTCCACCAATATGCAGGAACCATGTATGATGGGACGCAGTCTCGAAGTATTTTCTGCAAACTCTGGACAAGGGTTGACCAGTCTCTTTCGCTTCTGGGCACCACAACTGCGACGAGTGATTTTTGGTTTCCTATTGTCGCGGACACAGTCCACGAATCAAAAACATCGGGATGTTGCTGGATGTAGCAGTTGACCTCACCCGGTTCGACACGCTGGCCGTTGATCTTTACTTGGAAGTCTATACGACCAATCATTTCAATACTGCCATCGGCATGGGTGACAACCATATCGCCTGTCCGATAGAGGCGACCGGGACCAAATGGATTTTGTATGAAAGACTCCCGCGTTTTCTCAGGACGGTTAAGATATGATCTCGCAAGTTGGTGCCCACCAAGACATAATTCTCCCGGCTCAAGTATCGCAGCAAGTTGTGTCGTTCCCGGGACGAGAACATAGGAGCGTGTTGAATCGACAGGACGGCCAATGTTTTGGGGGTTTTGCTTAGGGTGCATAACGTGGCGCCAGTTTATCTGTGTAACCTCACTTAAGCCATATGCATTGAGGAGTTCAAGTTTGTCCATCCAGACCGGCAGGAGGGCAGGGTTGATCAGCTCGCCGGCAACAGTCATTCTAAGGAGAGTGGGAACACGTGTTTGGTCAATAAGAGTCGCCGTTGAAGGCGTCACATCTATGACGTTAACGCGCATGGAATTGATCATCTCAGTAATTCGAACGGTCAAATTTTCTTTCTTGGCCAGGCATAAGCAGCCTCCTTGCTTCAATGTGGAGAAAATTGAACGCTGTGCGGCAGAGAAAATAGGATTATGGAAAAGAAGTTGGCGAAGGTTCGGCAGAGTTGGGAACGCTATCAGGCCTGTGTATGCCGATTTATGCTCTAACAAAACACCTTTTGGTTTCCCTGTTGAGCCTGAGGTATATATCACATAACATATGTCGGTTGCCTCTTGACAGACGCCCATATTTGAGCCATCGAAGCGGGGAGTCAACGCTATCAGGGTTTCGATCAACAGAGGATATGCAAAGTTGATTGCTGAAATCCGATCTGTTATAACAAACGGTGCCTGAACGTCAGTGACAATGAAGGAATTCCGTTCGACGGGGCTTTCAGGGTCCAGAATAACGTAGGCGGCCCCCGTTTTTAGGATGGCCAATATAGAGACGATCAATGCAGGTGAACGGTCCATGCAAACGGGTACGTAATCACCCCGACCACAACCAAGCTGGCGAGCAACTTGATTGGATAATTTATTGAGCTCCCCATAAGTAAAGTCCATTTGGCCTTCGAAGTTTAGGCATTCGTGTTGCGGATTCAATTCGGCTTGACGCTCAAAGAGTTCATGGATGAGGCCGGTGGCGGGCAGGGTAACGGGCTCGCTGCACCGTAATAGGAACTCCTTTTCCTCCTTTGGTACAATGTCAATGCCCGACACAATGGTCTTAGGGTCTCGAATAGCCTCTTCCACTAGAGCGATAAAATGGTTGAAAATAACCTGTAAATCGTGATCTTCTGATGTCTCAGAATAATATTGCATATTGACCAAATGTCTCTCAAAATCAACATTGATTGTTAAAGGGAAGCGAATATCACAGTCGCCTTCCTCAATAATATCAAGACTGTCGGATACAGTTATACACACTTGCGCTTTTAGAGGTAAGATTTGGTCCTGGATTTTGTCATATCCTATGTAGGCATTCTGCGAAGCCTGTTGGTCAATTTTGGAAACCTTTCGAATCCAGCTAAGTAGCGATAAATCATTTTCAATCACTACCTTTAACGGATAGTATAATTCAGCAGGCCCAACAACTGTATCATAGCCTGGAACGCTGGTATCTCGACCGGTGACAGCGAAAAAAGTAGTGCCATCAGTGGCTGCGGTATGCCGATACTGAACAAGCGACCATAGTGAATGGACAAAATCTCGCGCCGACACAGAATAAACGCCCAAAAAGTCGTATATAGATCTCACCAAGGTCTCATGCAGATCGGAGATGAAGGTCTTCCTCATTCCAGAGATATTCGTTGGGAAACCGTAGGAGAGCGAGGTCACTGACCCATTCATCAAATTGCGCCAATACGATTCCGCATTCTGGGTCTCGCGTTGGGCGATGTGACTGATATAGTATTTAAAATGATCGTGAGGTTCGCAGGATAGACCTTGATAAAAGAGATCAAAGTCTCGAAAGATAAGAGCGAGGGATCTGCGGTCAACTAACGCCTGGAGGATACGGAGACGGAAGGAAACACCAGTTTCGCTCAGGATAACAGTGAGTTCGGCAGTCTTCAGCGAGGAGGATTTGTATGCGACACGATTGGAGAAACCTTCTATGCGAATTGGAGCAGCCCTCCTGAGAACAACGAGGCGGGGCTCTTGGTCGGTTCCAGAATATTTGATCGATGTTCGAAGGACAGGATTATGGCTAGCAACAGCTTGCCAAGTGTATACAAGCCGATCGATGCTTGGGCAAAGTTGGCGTGTATTCCAGCGCAGAACGTATGTTGGCTGATTTCCAGTGATCGTCTGAGAAAGGTATTTGCGTTGTTGCCCGGTACATTGGATTTCCTCCTGGGACTCTGAAATTACCATCTTGAGATACCCTCGTCGATCCTCTTCTATCTTTTCTTTTTTCTCAAAACGGGATCTTCCCAAATTTGGAAAAAGCAACAGGCAAAATAGTATGTTTGTTCGTTAATAATAGCACCAAATCTTTGAAAACTAGTTATGTTGAACTTGAGCTTTGCTTGTTTATAACGAGCGATTCCGCATCAAGTGCACACCTACGGAGAAGTATTTATACAGCACCATGGGGCGACTGGGAATATCCAACGCTAGGAGTAATAACATTGCTGTGCTGAGTCTGCCATTATTTTTGGGTTGGTCGTATTCTTCTTGCCGTTGACCAGCAGCAATTCAACTAGGTTTACGCCCTGGAGAAGCGGCTACCGTGGCTGAGTTACTGGATCAGCCCCTGATTGCAAGAGAGGTCAAGAAGAAAGACAGAAAATTGTTGTCGAATGCCATCGTTTCGGAACAACCTACATGGTTCCTGGCCGTTGGATCGTAGTAGGGTGTCATCAGCTCTGCATCTATGGAAAATGAAAGTCAGGGGCCCACTCACACGAGGTAATTGAAACCTAGCAAATTATTACATATATTTGCAAATGTATGTATATCCAGGTATATGTGTTTGTTGGCGTCAGATGAGATATATGATCCGAGCCTGCCAGCTCGTGCTGTTTGGTATCACCCGACATTAGCCACGAGGCAACCACGCATAGTTTAAACATTCCAGCGAGCTAGATACGGAGTTGAGGTCTCATTTAGATATCCAGAACTTTCGCGAATACACCATAGAGGCTCCGTTTCTTGCCAAATTTGGGCATTTGCATTCCTAGCACGAGAAGGCTTCTTGTGCGCCGGCATGAAAGCCATGCACTCGTGCCGTTCCCAGTGCCGACTGCTCATCATTTTAGGGAAATTAACCGCAGTGTCGATATTACGATAGCCACGGAGACAATGGTAGACCACATGGCACTAAATATAGGCATCATGGTCAGTATCTCTGATTGTCCCGTTTCCTGATGGAAGAATAGTACAGTTGCAAGTAGCACTCGACAGGGCCACAGTAGGATAAGGAGTCGACGTTTAAATAGTTCATTACCAATGAGGTTCACATAAGTGAGGATAATATGCCTGGTGATAATATAACATCCTCGGCCGCGACCAAGCGACGGAACAGCGACGGAACAGAGAAAAATTGATGCCAATTGTCGGATGAAATATATTACCACGGTAATTCTTGGTTGTATTCACTAGTATGATGAATTCGTCAAATAGTTACATAAGGGTCTGCTCACTAGTTAGTAGTTAGTGATGATGAATTTAAGGGTCCACAGACCACCTCAACCGGGATCGTTTTTGCAACCCAGTCCTTATGGCAATTGGCCAATTTAATTTCCAAAATCGTTTTAGATTACTGCGTGGTATTGTACGGAGTAGCTCATCGCTTTTTCGCATTCTCGTTGATTCTAAACCCCAGCATGCCTGGAACACACCGCACAGGGGACATGCTGACGGCCCTGTCCATTGGGGAAGCCCTGGTCTAAGCAACAACAACGGAACCCTCCTTGCCGATTTTACAGTGCAGCCACTAGTTACACTCTCAAGATAGCCAAATCTTGTGTTCCGATGTTACTCTTTTTCTTTTTATAGACTAGCATACCCCGCCTGGCAAGCTGGATGAATACGTATTTGCTCAATTCAACACTATTATCTCATAGCTGCGTGTATAAGACACGATTGCTGTGACTTGGATGGGCAAAGATTATAGCCCCATTTGAGAAGAAAACATTCGCCTTGCTATTTCCTCCTTTACGCAATACGCTCATCCAACTGCTTTGACACTCCTCTTGCCGGCTCATATTTTCAGACACTGCCATAAGCCATTCATCCTCTATCCCCTAGCTATGCCTTTAGCCTTGACATTCGCGAAGCCCAGCTGGCAGGCAGCAGAAGCTCTTTTACTGGAAAATTATCCGGAACCGGAGCCAAAGGATAATGAGGTTCTCATCGAATTCCTTGCTGCACCAGTTAACCATCTGGACTTGCTGGTTATCGCTGGGGGATATCCCATCAAGCCAAAATTCCAACTTAACGGGAACCACGTCGGGGGCTTTGACGGTGTGGGCCGAGTTTTGAAGTGTGGCAAAGATGTCACCAAACTTACCCCAAGTGATCTTGTCATCCCAAAAGCCCTGGGTTTAGGGACATGGCGTACACATGCAACATTGATAGCGGACGATTTGATCGTGATTCCCCCCACGCCGGACGTTACCTTTGCGGCAATTCTCAAAACCTGTGTGCTCCCAGCCTATTTGCTACTCGAGGATATGAAACAGCTGAAGCCGGGTGACTGGATTATTCAAAATGCAGGGCTGGGAGCCATTTCGCAGATGATTTCTCAGCTTGCGCATTTGCGTGGGGTGAAAGTGATATCCGTTATTCGCGATCGTTCGCCGGGAACAGCCTGGAACACTACAGCCGACATTGTTCTCAACGAATCGGAATTACCAAACGCAGAAATTTTAAAGGGGAAGCGTATCATGCTCGGCCTAGACTCCGTGTTTGGACAGTCGGGAGAAAAAATCGCAAGCTGTCTTTCAGCCCACGCAACCTTCGTAAATTACGGCCAGCTGAGCGGTGGTGGCCCAGCAGCGTCTGTCAATTTGACCCATCAACAGGTTTACTGGAATCGTTTAACTTTTCGGTGTTTCCGAGGCACTGAGCAAGTTGCTCTGCGCACTGATTCGGAAATCAAAGACCTCTATGCGTGGTTTACCGAGCTCTTTGCGGATGGCAGATTGAAAAGCCCCAAATTGAACATTGTCAACTGGTCTGGTGAACGAGACATTCTCGCTACCAACATCCGCGCAGCGATAGAGAGACAGCAAAGCCCCGTTTTGGGCACAGAGAAAACTGTTTTTCTATACGAGTCTGCCACGAAATCGTCTCAATGCAGGATCCCGTATGTCGATCTGGAAACGGCTCCTGAAGGTGTTGTGGCTACTCTGAAAAAAATGCCCATGAAAAGGAATATTTTTTATCTGTTGTCGCATTCTCCTGGGCTCTTCCCGCCGATAATGGGGGTGTATTCAGCGTTTTTCCGAAAAGCTACCCGGACATTGCCGTTGCTAGATTGGCAGCTCATAGTTCTACGAATTGCGTCAACCCTAGAATGCGAATACGAATGGAATGTCAACGCTCCTGTGGCAAAAGTTCACGGAATGAGTGAGGAAGTCATGGGCGCAATCAAGGCATGTCGGAAAATCACACTTGACGGAGACAACACAAACAACACGAGCCCTTTCTCGAAGAGGCAGTTAGCGATATTGAAATTTGTCGATGAGCAGCTGAAGACTTACACAAACGAGGAAGATACGATGGCTCAGCTGCTTGGCGTGTTGACTTATACGGAGCTGGTTGAGGCTGTTTATGTGATTGGATTCTATGTGATGATCGCCAGGCTGATCAAGGCTGTGGGCATTGACTTGGATCCAGAGATTCTTGGCTTGGAAGATATGATTAAGGCTGGGGTTAACTAAATTGTTGGCTGTAGCGTCATACGTGTTGGTTTGACTGATAACAAGGCTTTTACTTTTACTCATTCCTCCGCATGGCCTGGGAATTGACAATTACAATTTACAGATGGTGCTGCAAACGGTTTTGGCTCACACTAAGAATTTAAATTGAAATACTTATACTGGCATTACGTATTGCTTTTCAATTACAGAGGTATAACCCTTTGGAGAGCTTTAGTGGCGATCAACGCCTGTGGCTTGCTCACTCGCTCACTAAACAACGCCCAATGGCACAAGCAAAAGATCCCTTTAAAATTTTTATTGTGGGTCAAAACTATTTATAGGAGCCTTTGTGAACCGCAAGTTTGTTCACTGCACAGTTTACAACAACCACTAAAAAAAATTGATTAAGTACAGTGCATATACATGATCTTACATATAAAATAACTGGCATTTCAAAAAACCTCAATAATTCTATTTGATTAATGCTCAACTATGAAAGTGAAGCATTTTTTACTCAATTCTGTTTATGAACGAAGTGTTGTTACGTTTATGCAGAAAAATGTCAATAATATAAAAAAAGTATTGTAATAGAGAATGCGGGCAGCACTATAAGTCGGAGTGTCAGGCACAACTGGCCAGGAGCCAATTGTCTTACGGTCCTTTTGGCCTAGCACTGCCAAAGTGCTGATGATTATATCAGCAGTGCTAAAAACCCGCACAGAGATGGTAAATGTTGGATTCTTGTATGGAAATACCACCTCGTGTAAGCAAGCAATGTGCCTTGTGACAAACGACATCAGAATGCCAGGCCGACCAACTCCACGTATTTGTACGAACATGACTATTTCGCCTGTATCTACTTGTTCTCCCAAACTCTTCTGTCATTGTTGGTTGAGGGATCGGCACCAGTAAACTGCCGGAAGTCCCAAGAAGTTCAAATAAGCCTTGCGCTACAATCATGCCAAGAAATTATACGGGGCCCTGAACCTAATTCTGACCTCCTGTTTCTGAAGTCTCGCGTTGGTCCCGGAGATCATGATCTGGATTGATTTACATCTATGACAACTCAGCCACTGTGCATATATAAACTTATGCTGTACAACCCGAAGAATAAGTTTACTGGTCACTCTATGGATACGCAACAACGCGAAAATATCCTAATCCGGCTCATCATGATTTGATAATTACAACTAATTTTTAGTGGTAATTTATACTACAGATGGGTTTGGAATAGGTAATGAATACTCTGACTGTTAAAAAAAAAAAAAAAAATCCATCTTTAGCTGGTGATCAGATAGATCGCTATCCCACTTCGAATGTTGACTTCCTGTTTTAAACTGTACCCGTTCTTGCGAATTACAGGGAGGCTCGGCTTAGACAAAAAGGTCGAATCAACAAGGAATTTATACGAGTGGACTATAAATATTATTTAAATTTTGATGGAAATAGAACACCAAATAAAATAGCTCTCTATGCCGTCAAACTTCAGATCTGTCTTCTCGATATGCTCTTGAGTGTGAACAAAACACCACTCGACATAGAATATCAATCCATGATTGTTTTTCCACTATCAGCCCAAACTGCGATTTGACCCATCATGGCCTCCGGTATCAGTGCTTTTGCACCCAACTTCCAGTTCGATAATCTCCAAACCTACTCTATTTTCGTGGCGTTTCTCTTCTTCATCAGCTGTATATGGACCAGATATAGTCCGGGCCTTCGGAATGTTCCCGGTCCATTTGTCGCCAGCTTCTCAAACCTATGGAAGATCTATAGGGTTTTGAAAAAGGATATGGCATGGCAGAACATCGAGGTTCACGAAAAGTATGGCCCTTTAGTACGAATAGGGCCCAACCACGTATCAGCATCTCATCCCGAGGCCTTGAAGACGATATACAACTTTACCAATATCTTTCCCAAAGTAAGATCGAAATGTCTTGCTTCCCATATAAGTTCACCTGAACACTCAGGAGGCATTCCCCATCTTCTTTTCATAGATCACAGGTAACAAGTCCAATAGTCTGAGTTCTATTCCATCGGAGAGGGCCTTTATGAAGGCAAGAAATTGCCCACCCTTTTCACGACGCGGAGTAACGAATACCATGCGCGGCTGAAACGAGCTTCAGCCAAGGGTTTCTCAATGACTGCACTCTCAGAGTTAGAACCATACGTAAACGGCTGTATTGAGTTGTTTTTGAAAAGGGTTGAGGAACGCTCAAATGATGGCAAAACGGCCCTCGATATTGGACCATGGATGCAATTCTTTGCATTCGATGTTCTTGGAGAGGTTAACTTCTCCAAGAGCCTTGGGTTTTTGGAGACGGGAGTTGATGTGGACAACAACATTGCCGCGATTGATCAATTTTTGTCCTATGTTTCGCTGGTAAGCGAGTTGTTTCAATCTTGCACTGACCGGGGAGACTAAAGCTTTAAACTCCTGTATAGATCGGACAGATACCTACGGCCCATTACTTTCTCTTGGGTAACCCAATTTTGCCTTTAATTTTTCCCAATTATGAGAAATTGAATAAAATCCAAGAGGTCAGTTATTCTCTGTACCTTGCCGTCTGTTGCTTTTGTTTTGGTATTAGGTGTGATGGCTGAAAGTGCGACTCAAAAAGTTCGCTATCGCCATGGTTAAGGAACGCAGACAAAATCCGGTTGATCGAAAAGACATACTTGCATCTTTATTCGAGGTTCACGACTCGTCTCCTTCAAAACTATCGTCTCGGGAGATTGTTGCCATTACAACTACCAATATGTGAGCATTACCCCAGTCAAAGCAGTCTACCGACAGAGTGATGACGGATACTAGTCTTGCCGGTTCTGATACGACGGCAATTACCTTGAGGGCTGTATTCTACTACCTTTGTAAGAATCCATCGACGTATCGAAAACTTCAACGGGAGGTGGATAGCGCAGTTGAGGAGGGTCGACTGTCCAAGCCAGCGACCTACAAAGAAACCACGACATTGACATACCTGTAGGTTCGCCGGGCGCGTCTAGCGAAAACAGGTAGCATCAACAGCTGACTTATTCATTCTGGTAGTGGGGCTGTAATCAACGAAGCCATGCGCATTCACCCTCCGACAGGATTTATATTGGAACGTGTCGTCCCGGAAGGTGGACTCACACTAGGTGGCACATACTTGCCAAAGGGAACCGTTGTTGGTGTCAACTCGTGGGTCATAAATTATAACAAACAAGTGTTTGGCATGGATGTCGGTGTTTTCCGACCCGAGCGCTGGCTTGAAGGTGACCCGGAAGAGTTAGCCGACAGGAACAGAAATATGTTCGCGGTAGGTGATTTTCGACTCTTATTGCTTTTGGTGAAGTAACGTGTTGTTTTACTAAAATCCTATTCGATCTCAAGTTTGGCGCCGGTCCCCGTGTGTGTATTGGAAAGCACATCAGCCTTTTAGAGATGCGGAAGCTTGTTACAGAATTTGTCTGTCACTTCAATTTCGAGTTGGAGGACCCCAAAGCAGAATTGAATATACAGGCGGGTTGGTTTGTGAAACAAGAAGGCCTCAAATTAAAGTTCAAGAGGAGAGTTTAATGGCCTCTCTCTCCTATTTTGCCAGCTGCTTTTGTTCTTATGATTTATTGTCCACTTCATTGACCCAGCGCTGCTTACCTGTGTTTTTAAGTGTAAGAGGGGTTGAACGTGGTTGGTTTATCATGATCTATCTAGTGCTAGCGGCAGCTAATATATGTGTGTGGGTCATGTGGGAAAGGGGCTGGGGGTTTGGATTGGTTCGTCCCCTCTACTACCAGCGTGATGATCGAGCTCTTTTGCCTTAGTGGCCAAACAAACTTGAGTATAGTCACGTGAATAATGTAGCCCTAATAAATATTGCTTCTTGTTTTATCGCAACTAACGACAGACAAATATAAGACCCGAATTTGATAATATCAACAAGTCTGCAGCAGACGCCAACTAGCAGTCATATTACTAGTGGTCGACCCCATTTGTTACGGTCTCCGTCTTTTGGTCTTTCAGCTTAATAAAACTCACGCCATCAAATACCGGCAGCATCACCACATCTACCCTTGGATCTTCGATGACGGCACTGTTGAAGTGCCTTAATGCCTTACCACATTCCGTCCAGTATGGGCGGACGCTATCAGGAAGGGTTGGATTGGACGCTGTCGAGATCGTCATTCCTCGAGCGAACACTGACGGCAATATTAGCAACCGTGCGAAAAACCTTTTATATTGAACTTGGACACAAACCATTGTCACACATAATCAATCCGTTCTGTGAAAGGAGGTTTCGGTCGAGAATAGTGTTGACATAACTTCCGTAACCATCCTTGTTGGCATCAACGAAAATGAGATCAAAAGTCCCTTCCAAGGTTTTGAGCCTTGTGCCATTGTAGCGTGTCAGCAGGTTGGTCGGGATATCTCAATAGCCTTTCATTGTTGAATACAGTGTAAACGAGACGAGTGGGGGAAACTTACGATTCTGCTGCCGGACCTTCAATTAAGGTCACTCTGTCGTTGACATTGTGTTTATCAAAAACACTTCGTGCAGCCGCAATCATCTCTGGGCTGAGCTCCAAAGTGATGATTTCTGCCTGGGTGGCCTTTGTGCCTTCGTACCAGGCCAAAGCGCTGTATCCGGAATACGTCCCAATCTCAAGAACTGTATATCGAGATTAGGCCCCGGCGTACGGTGAGCGGAATGTTTGGGTTTCTTACCTCTCTGTGGTTTACGATCTTGAGCTAAGAATATCATCCAGGAGCCCTAGGAATTCGTCAGCCACATTTTTTACATTTGTTACTTCTCCTTGCACTCTCAGCTTGTTTGTTATTTCAAACTTAGCTTACCTGTATGGGGGAGGACATCTTATCTGCGTCTTTGAATGATTTCGCGGTGTGGTCCCATACCTCCTCCATCATCTTGGGAACGCCATTTGTGTGCTTGACGCAATACTCGCTCACCTCCTCAGCGACCTCAGGCTATACTGAAAGTTAGCTGATCGTTGTAAAGTGAACGATTGTGAAAACCTTACAGTGAAGGGTAAGATGCTGGTCAACATTGGTTCTTCTGACTGGTGTTTTCAGGCTTAGAGACTGGCATGCAAATTCGATATGTTGAGACGGCTTTGGAAAGTATGGGAATAACAAGGACAGGCAACTTGCGAACCAGTACCCTTTTATACAAAAGGCCCATCACAGTGCCCCAGTATGGATGGATAATTACCACAATTTTGGCTCTTTAACTACACCACTCTGAAATTACCTATCTACTGGGGTTAAATATAAACTGCAAAATACCTGAACACGGGTTTGATCTCCGCAATCCTCTCCGGCTCTAATGTGACTAATTAATTACCCGGACCCTCCCGTGTAAGCATGGAGCTAACGTGCATTATACGGCTCGTGGGATACAGGCTTCTATTCTGCAGGGTTGAAAACTTACCATCTGAGATCGCCCGCGTTCTGAGACAACTGCGGAGAGCCACTGGTATTTTCGGTACGAGATTTGTCTCCGTATTACCTTGTTATTTCAGCCACCGATAACTGGATACAATCCCCAAGGCTTCCTCCCCTCGGTTCTAACGTCTTGGCGTCCACTTATCCCCGGGATCCTTGACCAAACCGGCATTTAATTTTGTGTGACGATACAGGGAGTATATATAATACATCTACGATCTTAAAAAACCAGCGTACTTAACTTTATTTTATTGGATAAGAGAAATTTGCAATTCTGGCTGATGTTTCGTGCCAAATATACTTCATGCTCATCGCATTTGACACGGCAAGTGGTGTAACCTCTGGTCGATCCCTGAATCCGAGCACTGTTTTTATCTACATCCGGGTAGATGATTAGAAATCCATTTCACAAAATTCAGCCTTTTACTCCGTGCCATTCACAAACAAAGCTGAGCTTACGTGTTTATTGAAAAAGGTGATTTCGAGCTCTCCCTTGTTCTTTCTTAAAATGCTTTGGAAAATTTGTGACTTTCACTTCTCTCGATTCTTCCTCTTGTTCTATGGTTAATCTTCTATCCCAATAATAATGATGGCTCCCCCACAGTCGGAATCGGACCTCGTACAGAATGGGCTCGAGGAGAAGCTCGCGCCCACAATTGATGTGGAGGGCAATTCTCCATCCACATCCCCCCTTCCTGAGACTCGCAAAAAAAGGGGGATTTCCGTGAGAAATACATAATGGCTCAGGTAGAATTTATGAATCCACTAGCTAACACCGCTTTAGTGGTTTTTGGTCGTTGCCAGCACTCTTTCTTGCATATTTCTCTATGCGATAGATAATACTATTACTGCCAATGTTATCCCGGTTTGTAAACTTCTCCCTCCATACTTGTTCAGAGACTATCGGCTGAGTCCTGCTTCTCCAGGTGATCGCAGCCGACTTTCAAAATACGGATAAGCTTGCATGGTTGTCGGTTGGGTAAGTGTCGTCAAAACAAAAAAGAAAAAGAAAAAGAAACACATAGAAAATTGCTTTGGTTGTGAGCCATATTCTAATCACTGAGCATGTAGTTTTATGATTGGCGGTGTCGCGGTGGTCCTTCCATTTGGCAAACTCTACGGCCTATTCAACATCAAATTTCTTTATATCGCTTCCGTTGTCCTGTTTCAAGGCGGATCGGCTCTGTGCGGTGGTGCACCGAACATAAGCGCCTTCATTGTCGGACGGGTGATTGCAGGCGCTGGAGGCAATGGCATGTATCTCGGTGTGATGAATATTCTTTCCATCAACACCAATGACATAGAGCGACCTATGTATCTAGGTCTTGTGTAAGTTAATGTCCTCCTCGTTGAAAAGTAAACTCCCGCCTAATTCGGAAATCTTAGTGGACTTGTGTTTGGCACAGGAACTGTCGTCGGGCCACTTATCGGCGGTGGTTTTGCAGAATCAAGTGCTACCTGGAGATGGGGCTTCTATATCAACCTCTGCGTCGGCGCACTATTCGCCCCTGTCTACCTCTTTCTCATCCCAGGATTTGACCCGCGTGGATCTCAGAAGATTCGCGCCCGTTTCCGCGACTTTGATTATCTAGGAGGAATACTCAGCATCGCTGTCCTTGCATGCATAATCATGGCGATCAACTTCGGTGGTCCTATGTACGATTGGAACAGTCCGCAGATTATCGTTCTCTTCGTTCTGTCTGGCGTACTTACCTTAGTCTTCGGTTTTCAACAAGTTCTTTGTTTCATGACCAAGAAAGAGCATCGCATGTTCCCTGTTTCATTCCTGAAAATGAAGGAAGCAGTTTTGCTTTTCATTTGCATGGCGGCTTCCAACGCTGGAGGGTTCATTCCGATATATTACATCCCAACATACTTTGCTTTCGTCCGCGGTGATGAGCCAATGCACTCAGCGGTCAGACTCTTACCGCTAATTATATTTATCAGCGTGGTAATCCTCGTGAACGGAGCTTTGATGTCCAAGTTTGGATATTACCAGCCATGGTATGTCGCTGGAAGCGCTTTAGTCATCGTTGGTGGCGTCCTTTTCTGTAAGTATTGCTGTGAGAGACTATATCTAGGATTGTGTTCTTATCAGTTGTATTTAGCTCGTGTCGACGCCAATACCCCAGCACGGGATATATACGGTTACGAGGTGCTTGCCGGAATTGGAACTGGCTGTTACATCCAGGCTGGATATGCTGTTATGCAGTCTTTAATTGAACTTTCAATGACAGCAAACGCGATTAGCTTTATGATGTTAGGTATGAGCCTTATTGCACCGATGGTACTTCCTCGTTTGAATGGAGAGCTGATATCGTATCGCCCTAAATGATAGCCCAACTGCTTGGAATCACATTTGGCTTGTCCATATCAGGAGCCGTGTTTGTTAATTACGCACTTAACGGTTTACTCAAAGCCATCCCGAATGTCACCCACGATGAAATTGAGTCTGCTCTTCTTGGAGTGAGAGGCGATATCCTGGGGAGTCTTCCCGCCAATATCCAAGCGGCGTCTTTAACTGTCATCGTTGAGGCTATCAAGAAAGTGTATGTAGACACCTCTCATCGTTACACATTCAAATATCCCGGTCGATTACTAAAAAATTGTCTAGATATATTCTGGTCTACGTGGCTGGCGCTGTAGGCTTCGTTACTTCAATTTTCCTGAATGTAAGATTTTCCTTGAAAGTAATATGACAATTTGGTGCTGACAGCTCTTTATAGAGAAAAGGAAAGGTGCATGGTTAGAGGAGCTTCTTTGAGGACTGGCCTTGTCGTTGTGTGGAGAGGATAAACATGGATTTATGGGGTTTCATGAATTAAATAATAGCACAGAACGATAGAGGATACTATAGCATTTGCATCGTTTTGTTTATTTTTATTTTTATTGTATTTTTTGGGGGGGGATTTTGCGTTACATATCGCAATATATTTTGGCCAACCCTTTATATTGCAACGAAATATCACATTTTCTATTCAAACAACCCTTACCTGCTCATTCGATACCAACACCTGCATTAACCTATGCAGCCCAAAAACATCTCCATCCTCGGACATACAATCCATGACCCAGCTCCCGTCGATTCGCACATTAGAAATGTCCTTCATGCGAAACTCCTTGACAACGTAATTTCTCCACGAAAATTCCAAGTCCCCATCCGGACCTTAATGAAGGGATTCTCTTGGGGGCCAGCTTCTGACCTCAAACTATTATATAGCTCCAATTGCGAGATAGAGTCAGAGGAGAAACTCCTTCTACGCTGAGGATACACTTCCCCAAGGAAGCTGGATTGTCTCCAGTCAAAAGCCCTAACAAATACATAGCACGCGGCACAATTGATCCCCTTACTTAATTCTGAAATCTACAATCTCACACATACTCTCTCTCTCTCTCTCACGCACATACACAGGTTATATAGAAAATGTAAAGGATACATAGAAATGAAAACCCAAAAACGTTAACAACCAAGCATCAAAATACAACGTCATACAAGAATATTCCAAGAACAATAATCCCTATCCAAGTTGTCCCAAAAATTTTCCCCAACCAACAACACCCCAAAGCCATGGCTGCATCCAATACCCGGCAGTGGCACCCATGCCTTGTATCGACGACATGTAAACGAGGTCACAGGCAAACAAGGAAAGCACAACTGCTCTGTAGACTTTCGAGTCCCTCGTTGAATTCAAGACCAGGACCTCCGTCATGCCCAAGAAGCCAAAAGCCGCAGCCAACTTCTTCAGTGCAAATTTGATCACATTAGGGGGGATCCTGTATTGCCCCTGAGAATGATGATGGTGGTGGTGCATGGGTCATTTGTAGATAAGTAGCTGGGCGGAAATATGTTAGATATGCCCCGCAAAGCGCAGCGAGCGGTTCGACATATTGGAGCCATAACCGGCATGGCAGAGCGACGGGCATGCTGGCTAGCGTGGTTGTGATTGTTGTTTTTTAAGTCGGGTTAAAATAAATGGTAAATTTTGGTACGAGTTAGATGTGTTTCTCAGGTGAAGAAAAGGCACGAACGCCTCTTATATTTCTAAAATTTGGCAATACATGCCTTATTCTCCGCTTGGCTAAAAAATTCGAGTTATATGCTGATCTCTCACTGCCAATTAGGGGAATTCTCCTTTTTAGTGTAGTAGTTAAGCATAATTCTTACACATATCTATCTACAAAGCACCCTCTACAGATGGCAATGATCTCTTTAGATATACACAGGAGGAGCAGATTTCCACTACAATAACAATTGTTCATGAATTCTCACACCGATGTCTTAGAGGACCATAGCTATTAGTTGTTTCAAAAAAATTAAAGTGCGGTAGGAAAAACAAGCCTCAAGACCTTTGTGAGATAATAGTTTGAGATTTAGTGGTCCGTTGGCTACGTAGAGAGCTGTTTGATAACCAACTATATCAACCTACCCATTGCAAAACAGCGCTTTAGCTGTTTTAGCTTATGTTCAGAGCACCTTCCAATTATCCAAATTCCTGATGATTATTTGTTGTTTGAAGTGCTGGAACACACAATTCCACCCCCCTGTTGCTCATCATTGTTGCTGTGAGAAGCTTCATATTGCCTAACTGGTAGCCATAATTTTACTAACCATTCATCTGAATAAATTGATACCCATAATTAACATTTAACTCTATTCATCATTGTTTATCTTGAGATGGTTGGAGCTTTGAACCTTGGCAGGGTTCAAACTTTCCACTCATGTCTACTAAGCTAGTTTCACCCTATTGTTGTTGAGCCACATCCATGCCCACTTCACACAGAAGCTAAACTAGGAATGAAAGAGTAGTTAGAGGCTAGATTCGTGATGAGTTAATGTCCTGAGGGTCAACTAACTTAACTAGTTAACGACGTAGTAGTTATTTCTAAGTTTTACCCAGACCCACTCGGGGATTAGTTAAATTCAACTAAAATCTTCCGCAGCCACACAAGCTTAGACCCACTGATGGATCAGCATACCCGTAACTAGTCAATTATTAGATCACATCAAGCACATATTTTACAGTTGGTACTACAGTAGTAACATGCCATGAGCTTGAATCTTATAATTTGCTGATTAAATAATATCATAAATAACTATAGATTTACCTATCCTCGGATATTCGCTCAGGGGAACTATCCTTATGTTAAATATGATAAAATGAAGCGTCCGGACCAATGATTTTAACCCTCCTGATCCAAAACTATCATAAATCTAGCTGTTCATATCAATTTTCCAATTTTTTGTATATCCAAATGAAAGATCCGCTTGCTCCGGCCCTAGCTGGGTGAGGGGATTCAAACATCGAAATCTATTTAATATTTAAAGAATGAGTTGTAAAGAAAAGACGGCCTATACATTTACAACAACTCTACTTTGAGTCTATAGAAATATTTGTACTGTTGGACACTGTATTTGAGTAGCAATCTAGAAGCACTACGCTGTAGAAGTTTGATAGAGAGACAAATCTGAGAAGCTGTTGTAAGGGTTGAGTAAACAACTTCCATTACACATGCTGATACCATACTTCACTTTTAGATACTTCGGAAGCTTTACGGAGCATGCGTGTCTGAGATCGGAGAATACGGCTTTGCTCACACAACTTGTAAATAATTTTGAGACGACAGCTTAGATATGAACGTGAGAGCGATAATTTAATAATCATTTCCACCGGATTTAAATCTCATGGGTAATTTGTGAGCAATTACAAAAGGAGACACTTCAAGGCTTCATCCAAGGTTGAAGTTTGCGGTTAAACAAACTGCTTCTCCAGGCTACAATAGAGATATCCTCAGAGAGACCTGGACTTGTCTGTATATGAAAATAAATATCTTCGGTGTAATGATTGATCTGCTCCCGGGACTTTGACTGATCCGGGTCAATTATTACACCAGTCAATTATTGGATAGACTCGATCCGTCGACAGCTGACGCCCGGAGGTAAAAATTGCTTTGCTCCTCAGAACAAATCTACCGACTCGCGACAGATCTGTAGGTAATGTTCCACTTCAGTATATGGCGGGTTGTTGGCCGCTAATGGATGAGCTTACGACCCTGTACTAAACTACGTTGAGTGTAGTGTGTATTTCGTGAGCAGGTTCACGTGGCCAATCTTCCTTCTCGCCGCTCGCTTCCGATGGAATTCGAGCGCATTTAAGGTTGTCCTTCCCTTCCCCCAACTTGCCAAGGTACGGCCAGGAAAAGCCCTCTGCACCAATTAGTTCATTCCAGGTTGGTTTGCCGTGAGCCAAAGTTGAAACCCCGCTGAGAAGTAACCTTGGAGGTCTTAGCCACAGGGAAAAGCTAAAATGCGGCTTATTTTTGGCAACATGTGGGGTGTTTGTGGGTACTATTGGCTGAGCCTTCTCGAGAGTTTCTGTCGATGCTGTGGAATCTGCGGAGCAAAGGTGCCCGTTTATGGCCTGGGGTTCTTTGACCCTGGTGGGTTAGAATGAAACAACAATCAATAATCAGCACTTTATCAGCAATTCTCCAAGGGGCTTGGGGTGTGATCGGTGTGATTGGTGTTGCAGATCAACAAAAAGAAAGTAATATGAACTTGCAGACTGGACTGAACTTTGGGGTGGGAGAGGGGGAACATCTTTGCTAACCCACAAGGCTGTGTGTGGTTCAGCAATAACAAAACCCGAAAACAATCATCCCAATGGGTATGTAGGTAACTCGGGGGGGCGGCGACACCCTGAGTTTATTTTACTGATCCAAAGCTAATCTTCAGAAGCATCCGCCGCCTGTGGTCTTCATAAAGGGCCAAACCCCCTGCGACCTAATACGCTTCCCGCATTGGTATATTCTTCCTCTCTTCTCGCTAGTTCCTCTCTATCTCATATATCCACAATAGTTGCATATCTTCTCAGCTGCGCTATTGCACCCCAGGCATTTATTTCACCCCCCACCTACCTTACCGATACGTAAGTCGTAAATGGTTGTTTATTGAGGATGTTCTAATACTGATATTACATCTATACAGCCAATCCCACCCTGATCTCATAATGCGACTTTCGACTCTCCTCGCCTGCTCGGCACTGGGTGTTGGCCTCAGCATGGCCCAGGGCTCGCGATTCCGCCCTAACGTGCAAAGCACTAACAACCCACCTAACGTAACTTACACTGCACAATTGCTGAACAAAACCACCACCGATCTTCGTGGAAATGTCAGCATTACTTCTGGACCCGGTGGAGAGGGCGTGCTCATCTCTGCTATGTTCTCGGGCTTCCCAAATGAGACAGAACAGGGTCCCTTCCGTTAGTACCAACCTGAACTAACCTCTTGATGAAAATGGGTTTTATATAATTTTCTAACGCAAGAATCGCACACTAGCCTGGCACGTTCATGCGCAACCTGTGAACGCGAGTGGGGACTGCCTCTCGGCTGGGCCCCATCTTTCTCCCAACCTGCGCGCTGATGCGCCGCCCTGTGATCGAACAGACCTGGTGACCTGCCAAAGTGGTGATTTGTCGGGGAAGTATGGTGACATCGGCGGTGTGAGAAACGGCACTGTTTGGACAACTGAATTCTTTGACCCTTTCCTGTCAACAAATCCTAACTCGACCTCCTTTGTCGGCAATCGTTCCATTGTTGTCCACCTATACAACGGCACACGAATCAACTGTGGCAATTTCACGTTGAATCCCAATGGTTCCCAGGCTTTCCCACCTGTATTCACTTTGCAACTCCCAGGTCGGAGTTCAAGTGGCGCTAGCCGAGTCGGTGCAGTCGCTCTCGGCGTGATCCTCGCAAGCATTATCGCCCTTCTGTTGTAATAGAATGCGGCCCAGTTCTGGACAGATTGGGCTAAGACTTGATGAGATCAAAACTGCCAAAAAGCGAAAAAAGGCGGAACTGACAAAACGTGAACCACCCGACTGTATTTTTGACGTTGATTTGCATGGTTAGTTTTTCATGGTGTTTCTGGTTTTTGTTCATAGCTGGTTGGTTCGTTTTTCTTTTCCTTATTGCCTTTTTTATTAATTTTAATTTCTTTTTTTTTTTTTTTGGCAGGGGGGTGCTATTTTTTCTTGTTGCATTTTTACTTGAATTTTCAATTATAGCATTAATGTTGTTAGTTTTGCATTATCTACTGTGCAACCATTTTCCAATAATTAAGGCCGCCTGAACAAAGGATAGACTTCGTATAGTAAGCCTTTGACTCTTTGTTTTGTTTTGTTTTGTTTTTGCTTTGTTGTGTTTATTTTGGTTTTTGTTTGTTTCTTGGCTTTCCATTCCCCAATCGCTTCAGAAAATCATGAGGAAAATAGGCTGTCCATATCATCCGCAGGTTTGGAGCTCGGAAAAATTCCACCTGGGGTCCCAATGCTTCCTTGGTCCGTTTTGTTAACTTCTTCGGTATCGCTTTCAGGTCTTCATGGTACCGTGCATTGCCACAAAATTAGAGTTCGGTCCAATGGTATGTACCCTTGTAGCCGTAGAGATGAGATGGCCAAGTGGCACAAAAAAAAAGAGGAAAAAAACCGGCCGAGGAATCTGCATCCATTGAATGGCTCAATGCCGTATCTCAATATGTTCTAGATAAAGACAAAATGGGTTGATGCGACCTGCCAATGAAAATCTATTTCAAACCACGGAAAATACAATCAACGACATTGCGATCACTCTAAGGAAGCCACATACAGAACCAAATATCGCCAGTGCAACACGTCATTTTTCTGCCCATTGGCGTGACTCCCACCCCGTCAATGACTCGGCATATCATTCACTACCTTGAACATCCCATGGGAACGCCGCGAGCCGCCCGTCATTGAGAACCGGCAGTCCATCCTTGCGTACCAATTCTGGACAAATCGCCACCCCCAACGCCTGCCCTCCCTCAACCTTTGTCCCAAAGGTAGCTGAAGCAGCAAGTATCCGATATCAACGGCTGCTGCAGCGCAATTTCGGGTAGACTTCTGAAGCGCCGTGTGATGGTTGCTTTCATCTTCGTCACGGCCCGTGTGGCTTCCAGGTTGCTATCGGCCGTAATGCCGTGGATGCGGTGCATATATGAACACGCATCCCAAGATGGGACTCCTTGGAGGCATGGTGGGCTACGCAACCAGTCGGGGCCGTGTTTGAGTGTGCATCCGAGTGGAAGATAGACCCTAGATTTTTCCCCAATTCAGGGTTTCTCGCCCCGCTAGGGTGTGGGGTGTGAACGATTAATTGGTTTGCGTTTTTTGTTTGACCAGGCGTTCAATTTTGGAAGTCGGAACGAAGATGAAGGCGGGTAGATGTGTTTCCAACCTACTAATATGTTGCCAATCCCTCCGCTAGTTCGCACAACTTGAATCTTTCCAAAGCTATGGCGTCCGGCCCGTTGTTTCTAATGCTGTTCTCGGACATATAGCTTGGAGACTGGTTATCAACCATGTGTGATTATTTGCTTTTCTTTTTTTTTCTTTTGTTCCTACTCCTGGCTAAGGAGGTCGGAATTTTATCGTGTCATCCCAGTCCTAATAACATTCCAGGAGACAATTGTGGGAATTGATCTAGAGCCGGTCTACTGGGCCGATTACTCCCTTCTTCTCTAATGGAAATTAAAACGTGTGCATAGAGAAGTTCTCAGGATGAAAGAAAAGACATAGTGGCCGATATCATCAACACAGCCAGTGGACTTAAATGCCAAATTCCATACACGCTCTGTTCACTCACTCCATATACACCTAGATACATCCATAATCCCCGCATCGATCAGCCACTCCAATTTCAAATATACAGTGACTGCCCATGTATTAATTTTTCAATTTCAATTGCCAGCGGAGCCCCCACTAGTTACGTCGGTTAACCAGTTCGTATGAAAAATACTTTAGCCTCGGCATCGGCTCAAGTCGCTAGTAAGTACGGCAGCCTATAGTGACAAATGTGTCAAATGGGTTTTTTATACTAGTGTTACAATGTACACACACCTATCATATTCATTCTATTTGTAATTGAATAGAGCTTATTGATTATTAGAAAGCAATGCATTGCTAGATATCATCTTCAATATATATCATCACTGTGATAAGATAGCACTGATAGTCACTAGATTATCCATAGTGAAAAGCCAATATAACCATTTGTTAAATGGTTGTGCTTATAGTGATATATATACCCATGGGTGTGGTGGTGTAGCCCGGCCCACAGTGGGCATGGCCACTGAACCCACCACTGATACACTGCAACCGCCAGCTGTAGCATAGTGGGGAACCACATCACTAGATATTATCACTAGATATCATCGCTAGATATCATCATCGGCATCGCTAGATACCATTGCTAGATATCATCACTAGATATCATTGCTAGGTATTATTGCAAGATATTATCACAAGATATTATCGCTAGATATCATTGCTAGATATTATCGCTAGATATCATCGCTAGATATCATCACTAGATATAGATATCATCGCGAGATATCATCATGAATATCATCACTAAATATAATAAGCTAGTACTATGATAACTAGATTATTCATAGCAAAAAGTCAACATAATCATTTGTTGAATCATTGTGCTCATCGTGATATATATATATACATCCTGGCCCACAGTGGATGTGGCCACTGAACCCATTATCTATACACTACAACCACCAGCTCATAGTGTGGAAACCACAGTATATATATATACTAGCAGTGATATCTCGCGATGATATCTATATCTTGTGATAATATCTCGCAATAATACCTAGCAATGATATCTAGCGATGATATCTAGCGATAATATCTAGTGATGATATCTAGTGATGATATCTAGTGATGATATCTAGTGATAATATCTAGCGATAATACCTAGCAATGATATCTAGCGATAATATCTCGCAATAATACCTAGCAATGATATCTAGTGATGATATCTAGCGATAATATCTAGTGATAATACCTAGCAATGATATCTAGCGATGATATCTAGCGATGATATCTAGCGATAATATCTAGTGATGATATCTAGTGATGATATCTAGTGATGATATCTAGTGATAATATCTAGCGATAATACCTAGCAATGATATCTAGCGATAATATCTAGTGATAATATCTAGCGATAATACCTAGCAATGATATCTAGCGATGATATCTAGCGATGATATCTAGCGATGATATCTAGCGATGATATCTAGCGATAATATCTAGTGATGATATCTAGTGATGATATCTCGCAATAATACCTAGCAATGATATCTAGCAATGATATCTAGCGATAATATCTTGTGATAATATCTAGTGATAATATCTACAATGACATAAATTCACTGTTTTAAAATGTGTTTATAGTATTCAAGGTGCATTGCTTTCTAGTATAAATTTCTATCAATGAGTGTCTGTAAGTGGAATTAAGTAATTACAGTGGAAAACATCAAAAAAACCCATTTGACACATTTGTCACTATAGGCTGCCGTGGTAAGTTACAACTTGCTAGCATAGCCACATTGCAAGGGATTCCTGAGATAAAAAGCTTGTTTGATGAGTTAAATTTGACGTCGAGGACTAAGTTTTATGGCTATGCATACATCTCTCAGAAAGGCGCGAATCCTGGTCAAGAAGTTTATTATTGTTTCCTTTTAGTTCACTTCGTGTATTATACATTGCTTGATATATATAATTTGTTCTTTTTAATCTGTACTCCAACCCCATCGAACTGTTCATAACCTAGTCGAAATGATATGCCGGACATTACTCGGTAGTATATATGCGACTGGGCTTCAGATGGGCAAAAATCGAGATGCTTTGTTTTCTCTTCTCCTTCTCTCCTTGTTCTGCGATAAGTGGTCGCCACTTTGTCAACCGCCTAGAGGCTGCGGCTTCATCGCTCGGCCCATCAAATTTTAGTCCTCAAGTTATGAAACGCCTCCGGACGGTAAATCCTCATATAGAACAACCAGTTGCGTCAGCCTCAAGGAGCAATCCACGCACAGAGGATTACAGAGTTGACATGATGCAGACGGATAATCGTTCACTTACTGTATTGTTTAATTCTCTCGCCGCCACCATATCTCAACGGTGCGAAGTCCCGATGATGTGGATGCCGCGGTCTCTCCCTCCTTTTTAACCTTTACGAAGGACACAATTACACGTGAAAACCAAGGTGTAGAGGTAGATTAACACTGTTATGGATCATTTGACTTTCGCTCGATCTAGGTCTGCTCTAGAGATAGTTTTGTGATTGATCCAGTTGTTGCAGCTTCATCAGGTTGCCCTTTGAGTGTTTCTCTGAGCGCATAGTGCATAATTGCTTCGTCAAAGCCATTGAAAATATGTATAATTTCACTGGATCGATCGCCAGAGAATGGTGGGAATAAACATGGTGGCGAAGAGGTCATATGTCAAGAATGATATAGAACCCCGAGTAAAAATAAAAGAAAAGAAAAGAAAAGTAAAGAAGTAAACACAAAAATACGTATAAAAGAGAATGGCAGACCAAAAACCGGCATCATTGATTAAATCCAATAAAAACATGACGAACTTCTACGAGCAGGAAATGCCAGAGAGACAATGTTATTATTGCCATCAACAATCAAAATGGCAAACCGACCCCGCATCTCATCCAGATCCCTCACCCGCGCGCGCCTGGGCCAACGATCTTCGCACAAGACTCTCCACGCATCCCACCACACCTTCAAGCGCATAGAATCCTTCTACAAGACCCCGAGCACCATGCCCGGCCCACCCAATCCAACCAGCCGCCCGCAGCCCGCGAAATATGCCACCTATACGACAAATACAATCTAAAAATCGAAACCCTGCAACCCATCCTCTTCCGCAAAGGCCTGCTGGGCCGTGTCGAGCACCGCAGATTGCTCAATGAGAAGCTAACGCTGTAGTTTCAGCTGGTGGAGATCATGGAGAGGCATATGATCCAGATGCTGGCGAATTTCTTGGCTCCGGAACCGGAGATGGGAAAGGCGAACGACGGGAGATAAGGATGTTATTTATGGGGATATGAAGGGCCTTGGGGCAGAGGCCGCAGGAGTCGCCGCATGCTTGGTGCGTGTACGAGGCTCTCGTGTGGAGCACGCATGTGGATACGTGGGATGCATTCTGGGAGGCTGTGCAGAGTGTTAATAGCCTGAATTTTGACATTTTGTTAGGAAACATTAAACTTGGCTGACCGGTGTATGCGGGTCCTGTGGCAAGGGGTGGGAAGGTGATTAATGCGGATGCGGCTTTGAGGCTTTCATTGGCACGGTTTGTGGCTGCTGTTGATATACGGAGGGAGTTTTATAACACACGCTGTGGATGCGGAAGGGCCGAAGAGGCCGTTGGTTAGTGGTCATGAATAGCATGTCTCGGGCAGCCGAGTCGGATCTCTTGGTCACGAAATGCACGCATTTTGCGTTTGAAGAGGATCTGGGTGGGTATCTTCCTATTCTGGGTATTCTCAGGCTTTCTTTGAACTTGGGTTTGAAGGCTGGGTCTCCTTAGAGCTGTTCTCGAGGACGACTTGCAGACCGGGGGTTGAGCATGCGAGAAGGGCCGAGTCCTGGACGAAGTTAGTTTACTACCATGGTTGAATACAGCTGACACTGCAACCAATGTGTTGATGATTTTGTTTCATCATAGACCGTGCGGTGGGGTGGTTGAAATATATATATTGCCACATACCGTGTTATCCCCGTTCATATCTCGCAAAATCTCAATGCATCTATCTAGTCACAACCATTTACGCGGCACAAGAAGCTGAAAATATAATACTGTATTGATATACCTAAAGAGCGCAAAACAGAACCCAGTGCATGAGATGAATTTAAAGTCATATCCTTCGTTGTGGAGTTGATCGTTGAAGGCAAATAACATCATTTCTAGTTCCCTAATCTAACGCGCAGGCTCCCGGGTTTAAACAGTGCGCTTCTGCAGCATCCTGTTTCTTGATATAATCGCTTATGTTTTGGGCAAACACAGCCTCAGGTGAATACCGATGTCGTTCGCGAGTAACAGAACATAATGGGGATAATACCTTTAAGGTGTATGTTGCTGTAAAGGGTGCGATTGGAACAAACATAAAGAACGCGGCTTTAAAATGAGAATAGGATGATAGGAGGGCCAACATGCTGTTGGCTGAAGTCAAAGCAAAACGAAATCAACTAATTATAATTCTTGGTTAGCAGGAAAGAGATCGCAGACGAATCACTTAATTGATAAATGAGCTCATCTATGCCTCTTGTGCCCACCGTCGCTCTCGTAAGGGCATTTCTTCGCCTGCTTGTGAACGTGTTCCATCAATCTCACGACGCCAGGCCCAATATTCACCCAGCCGCAACTCAGCATAAGACGCATAGTCGAAATCGATCTGGGAAATTGTCGCTTGAATTAGCGCCCATACACCCCTGTTGATTTTGAATATTAGTTATCGTCCTCAATTTTGAGCTAAAAGCAATGAAATACTTCGTTCCATACCAATAGAAGCCAGGAATTCCACGGAATCGATCAACATCTTTAAACAATTTCTCAACTACGTCCTTTTGATTAGCTCCAGATAATGTAGAATGTTCAGCGTAGCTCTTGACGTATTCAGTGAGGAATTCCTTCCGAACGGACTGCGTCGGTATCTTGTTGAAATCGCAATCATAACCGGCCCATTCTGCGAAATGGTTCGCAATATCAAATGCCGCTGGTGATGGCGTGGCGTATTCATAGTCGATGAAGTTCACAGTTTCATCCTCAGTTGCATTAGCGGGAGTTGAGTCGACGCCGCGCGGTAAAACGATGACATTGGCGCTCAAAAGGTCGCAGTGGGCAAATACAAGCTACAATATTGCATCAGCGTCTTAGAAGGTATTGGAGAGGGTATGTTTGAAGAAGTACCCCGCCCTTGCCAAGTCCTTTATCATCATCGAACTCTGCAACTATTCTTTCAAATTCCTTTTGAAGCTTCCTCCGCCTCAAGCGCTCCTGCTCTGTACTCACTGGTAAGGCAAGAATCCACTTCTGCAAAACGGACCAGAAACTGGTTCCTGCATGTCGAATCTTTACAGGGGTTATATCATCCACCTCTGTTGAGGCTGTGGGCGTAAGAGTTGGGCGGGCCGGAGAAGTTGTCTCCTGCCTTTCTTGGGGCGATGACGTAGGAGAAATCTCGTTGATTGGTAGTACTGCATGCCATTGAGCAAGTCGTCGGGCTATCGCCTTGAATATACGTGGGTTGTTAAGGTCATCTGGCGAAGTTACCTTTCCACGAATGAAGCGGTAAAGGAGACCATTCTGAAACCTGGCAAGGAGTGGCGGAGCGAGGCCACGCTCAGCAAGGAGAGCATGAGATCTGGTTTCCCCTGCTTACAGAATAATTTTTAGTGCGGAATTTCTAACTGATATTTTGGAGGCTACGCACGCTCGCGGTCAATCAATATTTCAGTGTGGTTTCCATAGGCTCTCATCAAGACTGCATCATTATCGACTTGTTCATCGGAAAGGCCTGGCACCCTTTTTATAATTTTCAGTAGCTATATCACAACGCCAGGTATAATAAGCACATGGTTTTCCATTCAATGCAGCAACTGTCGATTACATACGGTATTGGTTATTCCATCCGTAAATCTAATAAACTCAATATCTCCTTCTGAATGTTCCCAGTGCGGGTTTAACGTCAACACAAGCCTCAGAGCTGAGGCTTGAGAATCAGCTTGATTGTATGATAACGGGATGTATCGCAGGGATGCATGGCCTTCGTTTCTGGAACCCATTTGAAAGGGTTTCTCTATAATGAAAGTACACTCGGTGTCAGTTGACGATAGGATAGAAAGACAGTCTAAAAGGTCAGTCGCAGTTTTGTAGATTTGCTTAGAAAGTCCAACCGTTCTTCATCAAGACAGAAAAGCTGGAGATCCTCAAGGGGCGCTTTGTGAAGGTGCCAGCGAGTGGATCGCTGTTCCTGAAAGAGTGGAGACACGCGTGGCCAGTCTTGTTCGCGAGTATCAGGAAATCAGAATACGGCAAAGGGAGGACAATTTTTGCAGATTGCTGGACACATACCGGAGAGGCAGAATTTGTTGGGAGGGGATAGGGTCAAATTGAGCAGAGAGCGAGTGAAATTGGAAGTTGTTGGGGAAATTGGTCTCGTGCTCATCTGGAGCTCTAAGATACCTCCGGGATTAAAATTCTCCGTAGTACCGCAGGATACGCGCAATCCGACTAGCCCTCACGCCCACGGGAATCCCACACTACGGACGTGGTGCTGCCAGGATTGCATTGTAGGCTTACCAGGTTTATTAGAGTTACATCTCAGACTACAGCCAAGTCCTACGATCAGAAAAGCGGCTCTGATCAAGTGGTACATACTACGTTCAATATATCATTTCGGTGAATTGTTTGCATGCTCGTGTCACCCCGCCATTACATGTCAAACGTCAGCAAGGGCATCCGAAAGGCATCGTTGATTTGCAATTTATATACACACATACCATAAAGACGCATTTGCAGCACATCGGTCTCCTGCCTCACTGATAATAGGCTGTAGCCACCCTGAGAGCGGGAAGGAAAGGCAAGACGAAAAGGCAAGATTGGTTGACATCCCGCTCGCTTTAATGCCACGTGACCACCCCTCCTTAAGCAGCGCCTGGCCTGCTTGATAATTACAATGAATCAACCTTCCAACACCATCAGCAACCGATTACTATTTCCTAGTCTCATTACGTGCAGCTCTGTTTTGCTCGTGAAACTGTTTTGGGGACCCGAAGGAGGGCTCGCGCTTTTCCGAGCCGATAAAACGTTGCCCCGTTGTGTTGATGTTGATAAGGTTTGAAGTAAGGTTAGAAGTTCAACCAAAACAGCCTAGCGTTAGGGCTTGGTGCACTTTTCATACACCATGTCACATGATTCCTATTATAAAAGCTTGTCGCTCACTTCGATTGTTTTTGGTCTATTTCCTTCTTTTCCCCATCATCAGTAGAGGTTTACATAGCCATGTAAATTTCAAAACTAGAGCTCCGCAATACGCGGCATGCTGAGGGTTATCCGTCCTTACACCACTTTTATTTGTGTGTTGTTTTGTGAGAAATGGGTTTCCTTCCGTTCCCGGCTCTGGAGACCAATTTCTACGTCGTCCTTTTTCCCAAATTAACTTTTATGGCTGGGCTTATTTTCCTGTGGGCTTTAGCTGTGGAGGAGGCGTGACATATCATGGCCATTCTCTGTTGTTTATCATGGCCGGTATTGGTACCACGCTTGTGTCCGTCGGGCTAGGATTTTGCATTGTAATTTCCGTATGCTGTGTAAAAACATAAGGGAGAACGGCATGCTATTTTATCCCGAGTAATTCGTATTGGATTATTCCTATCACTTTTATGCCTCGTAAAATTCAGCTGCATCTTGCAAACTCACATCGTCTCCGTCCCCCGAGTGCTGGACAGATGCTCCATGAATCCACTTGAGGATACAGTTTTCCAATCAATTAACTTGTTTCCTCCCAAAAAAAAAAAAATCAGAAACCTACGCCCTTCACAAAACCCCTCAATTAATTCAGCCAGCGGCCATGAAATGCGCGCCTAAATGATTTCCTATCGTCATATCCACGTATGTCATTATCTAAAAATATTCAAACACAAACTACCGCTGCGTCAACCGTCCTTTTATACTACTTCAAGCCTTCTTCGCCCGTCCAGTCTGAATGATCTCCCCGGTATGTTTATCATCTTTTCGCAGGACCGGCCAACTCGTCCCGTCCGCCTTCGCTAGGTTCAAATCCATCTTCGTGCCCATGATCTGGAAACTGGACTTCTCTGTATCGATTGGTGCGTAGAGGATGAGGGTTTCCTTGAAGCGCTTGTTATCAGAGGTCGGGAGATCCAATTCTATTGTAGTAGGCGAGGTGAAGTTGACTTTCGCATTGGCTTTGTCGATCTTCTTGAGGTAGAGGGTGGCCATGATGGAGGTAGCGGTTTGGTAGAAATCGGTCCTTCAAAGTAAAGGCGAAGCGCAGTTAGCAAGCCGGGCCGAATTTTATGAAGGTATATCACGTCAAGAGGAATAAAGGGACTACATGGAGTATAGATGTATCTGTCGTCGATACCATAGGTTTCTGAAGAAACACTCGTTGAAACTCACCGAATATTGTCAACCTTCTCCTCCGTCTTCTTCGCCTTCCCAATAAACAAATGCCTCGACCTTTGCTTACAGCCAGCTATCTTCATAAATTCATCGAATTCTAACACTCTGCGCTTGCAACAGCTCCAGCCCTTGCTCCCCTCATGAAAAATAGGCAGACCCGGATGATGTTCGCATTTCTCGTCATCCCTTGGAACGGAAGGTGAATATTTACCATTGCAGCCTCTTCGACGACATGCCGCACCAGCCTCAATCGCAAGGGATGGGTCATCGGATTCTGATTCTGGAGGAGGAGACGTTGAAGGTTTGGGGGTATGCGCACCTGCCGCGGAGAGAGTGGTTGGAGTGTTTCCGATGGCAATCGGAATATGTTTCGGAGTAGTGTCGGGTGCTATCTCGGGGGCATCATTTTTAGGCTCTGGAGCTGGAGCGTTATCGACTGTTGAATGTTTCCCCGTCGTGCACGGTGGGATGGCCAGGAATTCGTCGAAACTGAGAACGCGAGGTTTACAACATTTCCATCCTGTATTGTAGCGGCAAATCTCTGTCAGCTACCAGCGCTTCTTCGAGGAATTTCTGCACTTGTCGGTTCATGGGGCGTTCTCCTTTGATTTTGAGCTGTTTTGTCTCATATCGCATCCTAGTAAAAACCAAATCCAGGACGACATGAACACTGACCTTTGTGCCCTTCGTGAAATTCAGGCGGCCCAGGATGATAGACGCACACTTCGTCAGGGTCCGTAAACACCTTACCGCAGCCCTTGTGGACACATTTTTGCGCCATATTTTAGGTAGCGTTTTATGATCCAGTAAACAGATCCCTCAATCGTTATAAGAGCCGGTTGATGACCTGTAGCCGTTTGGCTTGCAGATTGGAACCATTGGTGGGATGTTAAGTGCTTCTGGAATTATTTAACTACGACATCACGAAGCTTATGCCAGCGCTAGCTCCCCAAAACCATCGAAGCTTCTGGAGCCCCAGACAATGAAATATGGACAACACCAAAGCAGACAACGATATTTCCCAAGTTGATCTTGAAAATTAAGGCTCACGTATGTGCTCTCTGATTCATATGTAACTCATGCTAATTACTGATATAATTTTATAGAGGGGCTACCTAAACACGACACGATGCGCACTTCAATCCGGCTATTCCAAAATGCCCAACTCACCCTCTTCACACGCGTCCATTGCTCTCTATGCGATACGGCAAAAAACACCATAGCAAAGCTACGAGAAAGGAAGCCATTCACATATTCAGAAATTGATGTTATGACCCCACAAAACAAACGGTGGAAGGACGTTTACGAGTTTGACGTACCTGTGCTGCACGTTCAGCGAGTCCTTTCTACATCCAATGACGGAGGCGAAACTCTATCAGATCCAAAAAAGTTATTTCACCGATTTACGGAGCAGGAAGTTGAGAAGGCAATAAAGGAGGTAGAATAATTGATATAAAAATTACGAATATGTGTGATTATGTTGCTATCATCAAATATTAAAGTGCATGTCTACCATATCTCGCGCAAGGGACATTTGACCTCCTTATAAGCCCGCCCGAGCAGTATTTAGCGAGTTCGACAGATGGGCAGGAAGAGCAGCGACGTCGGAAATCACAGATATCTGCATATAAACGTCAGCATCCAATGCAAGAGGCCGAAAAGGATAAAGAAATTTTTGAATATAAAAGCCCCGTCCTACCATGTGAAACCCTTGCTCTGCGTACTTGCTTGCGGAATCGCCATCTGCGCTGTAAATTCCAGCCTTCTTACCGTTGTCGACGGCTGCCTTGCGAATTCTTTCAATTGCAGCCACCAAGTCAGGATGGAAATCACCCATAACAGGCCGACTAATATTGTTTCCCAGGTCCCACGGACCAACCAACAACACGTCTACTCCTGGAACTTTGGCGATTTCCTCAACCTATCCGTTGCACTCGAATTACCCTAGTCAGCTTGCCAGGCGTTTAAATACCGTCAAAGGATGATTTAGTGATTGATTAAAAAAATATCTGCAAACTTCACATTTTCAAAAGCCTCCTTGGTTTCTATTTGAACAATTGTAACCAAGGCCTCATTTGCCTGAAGCAAATAGTCCGTTTGAGTAAGATTCCCAAATGAGCCCATGGAAAATGGGCTTCCAAACCCTCTTCTGCCCAAGGGAGGAAACTTGGCCGATTCCACTAGTTTCCTTGCATCGTCTACGGTGTGGAGGAGAGGGACAAGAATTCCGTGGGCTCCTGCGTCCAAGGCACCTATTCTTGGAATTAACAATCACACCACCTGCGTGCGATCTGGGTGATAAGTGAATCCTTCTAGAAAAGGGATACATACGCTTAACCATCCACGACTCGTTAGCAGCAATTCGCACGACGGGACTGACACCCGTAGCGGCAATTGCAGCCACGGCTTCGTGCATTTGGTCATCTAGAATCAACAATAGTTAATAATTTGCACAATATATATATAACTGAGGAGCTCGTGCCAGGCTAGAGGCTTCCCCCCTTGCCAATTCGTAGCAGTACGGGGTTACGTATATCAGAGAACAAAATCAATCCGCCGTTTTCACTGCTTCATTATTTACCTGCAATGTTTCCGTGCTCCGTGTCGACACAGATCCAATCAAAGCCGCTCCTGGCCATGATCCGTGAATGGTTGGCGCCTGGAAGCATTTGCCATGCGCCAAACGACACGCCTTTGCCTGTTTGAAGCGCAGTCCGGAGGCGATTGGCAGCTTGCATTGTTGGTTATGAAGATGATTATTCTGTATAATACTAGAATCGAAGTAAATGTGATTTAATTGGCATAAACTTCTAGACCTAATATCCCCCCTTTGGATATATATAAGCTGGCGCAGCTTTCTAGAAATAAGTTAAAGAAAAAGAAGGGAGGAGCATGTATTGAACAAAATATCCTATCTTCGACCTTTAAAGTGTATGTCGTATCTTGACTTCATGTCTCGACCTGGCAGAGTTTGCTACGCCCCGCCTTCGCTCAATGTTGCCGAAAGCTCCCCTTCTTATAACCGCTGGTTAATTATGCGTGGGAGCGGATGCATTGGCCAATGGCGGGGTACCTCGGCAGGGAACATCTGCTCACAAACACCAAACAATCTTGAGTATCCTTCCAGCTCCCAAAGCATTATGCAGAATATTTGCAGCTAGATCTTACTCTTAAGTGCTCTTTCATTTAAGTGTGCGCTATGTCTCGTCTTTTTCAACTATTTCCCTGAGCTTCTGTGATCAAAAATACTAGCATTGTCACGCGTGCAGATATTCTACAACGCCAAAAGGAGAGTAAACGGAGGAAGGATATTAGAACGCAGTTTTCTTATGACACGCTTTCGATAATTGCTATGCACTCCATAGCTGTACAGGAAGCGAGCTGTGAGTGTTCCCATGCTCACGAGCATTCTTTGGGCAACCCACAATCGATCTAATATTGTGCGATAGGAAACTGGATTTATTTCATTGGCGAAGCCATTGAGCTGCTTTATCGAACGGCATCCTATAGGGCTAAACATACGTACCAATTTTAATAAAAGCTGGCCTGGTGCATGCTATCCTTCGAATATTGGTGACACGGGGCGTTCTCGAGTAGCTGACTATACCAACACAGGCATTATGAAAGTGTTTTGTTTTTCGGAATCAACATATCTCAAAAATGCAGCTGATTATTTGATTGATGCTGGGAGCTCATATTTCAAATTCAACTTCTGGCTGGTAGGTTTGTTTGGATGGATGCCCAATTTCACGATTTCCTAATGCCAGGTATGATCTGCCATGCACCCCAACAATGAGAATATTTTCTGATAATAATGCTATCGATGCATAGGTGGCTTATCCGATGTAAGCCCTTCGAATGCATCTCTTCGTCCCAGCTTATACAATATATTCATTCGTACCTAAAGCAGACGAAAGCGATTTTCACTGTATTAGCTAGCTGCCGATCGTTCAGATTAAATCTGATAATTAGTAAAAATTCGAGCCGGAGCTAGTCAGATCACGTACCGAAAAGTTTCCCGGCCTAGGAATTGCCACAGAATTGGTTATGAGCCTTGTGAGCCAAATGACTCGAGATACCGTGGTTGAAGTGTCCTATCGGCTCAGTGGTGATGTCTGTGGAATGTGCGAGAATAGAGGGCCCAATATTTTTTTTATTTCACATTCTGCGGATTTTCTTACTTCGAGGACAAGAAATATTTCGCTGATGTATCCATCCCTTCTCGTCTTTGAAAAACTCGCGTTAAGCCAACTGTCGGATTCTACTTCCCCGGAGCCCTACGTTACTTGTTCATTCCGAGTTCCCATAGAAAGCCTTTTTATTCTTAGCCGATATTCTATTTTGCATCCACGACAAATTTGAAAATCGATATTGATATGGGCAACTGTGATGAAGACAATTTGTTGCCAGCGGCCATAGTTGCATGTCCTGTCGGCATCCTGGAGATGCCACATGCCCTGATACTCTCTGGGAATTGGGCTCTCGTCGCCGCAGCGTATGGCCCACCATACCTGAGAACCGGTTCAGTGCGGCTTCTTATGTCATCCCAACCCTGACAAAAATGGAACATTCAACATAAGGGCCGGTTACTTTCTGAAGGAGGATATCGGGCTCTTCGATGCGCCCTTCTTCAATCTCACCAAGCATGAGGCTGAGTCTCTTGACCCAGAACAACGTGTGATATTCGAATGTACCTACGAGGCTCTTGAGAATGGAGGCATTACTTTAAAATCATTGGCCGGTGAACAGGTGGGCATTTTCGTGGGCGCCTCGCTTTCAGACTACGATTTGAACAGTTTCAAGGACAGTGAAAATATTTCACGGTATAACGCTACCGCATGCGCATTGTCGCTTCAATCCAACAGAATTTCATGCCATTTCAATTTCAAAGGACCAAGCATGTCCATGGATACTGCGTGTTCGTCGAGCTTGACTGCATTACATGCAGCATGCCAGAGCATTCGTTCAGGTGGATCCACTTGCGCTATAGTTGGTGGCTGCTATCTAAATATATTGCCAGACGTGTTTATATCCATGTCTTTGCAGAGGTGAATGTAATCGGAAACCCATACTCAGAAAATTAACTAACAATCATGCCTAAACTTTCCTCCGATGTTGGCAAATGTTACCCCTTCGATCACAGAGCGCATTCTGGATTTGGGAATTATCCAGTATTCACCGCGGCAATGGAAGCGGCGGATCAGTGCTTAACCAATCTAGGTTCTAAGTTCTCTATGATTTTGTATGAGATTCCACATGTTGAAATCTTTTAGTTATCATTCTTCTAACGATTCCAAGATGAGTTATCAAAAAAGAGTGGTATAGGTCGCAGCCCACAAGCATCCCTTTGGCAACCGGCTTGTACGGCCCTTCAAATAGCCTTGACAAACTTTCTGTGTTCCTGAGGAGTGCATCCTGTTTCTGTGGTTGGTCACTCTAGCGGCGAAATTCCTGCTGCATACACTGCGGGGATACTTTCACTCGACTCTTGATCCATCAGATAGCAATAGAAGTACGATTTGTTGGACTAAATTTTCAAAGATATTACGGTTGCTATTGGTCAACTTCAGCATGGTCACTTAGGGAATGAATGAAGCGGCATCGTAGTTGCTGTTGGAGATGAGGTAGCGGATTTTGAAGTTGGTGACCGGGTTTGCGTTGTCTCAAAAGGGGCCTTTGCAAACTATTCCCGTGTTCGAGGAACAAGCGCCTGGAAAATCCCAGGACAATTGAGTCTCAAAGTGGCCGCATCCATCCCGATTGCATTCTGCACAGCCTTCTATTCCTTGTTCGAAGTTGGACGACTGCAGTCTGGAGAACGGATTCTTATTCATGCAGCGGCAGTCATCTTGGCCAAACCGATTAGTGCAGAAATCTTTGCAACGGTGGTAGTGTTAGTCAAAAGAAGTTCCTAATTGAAACTCACGATATCGACGAAAACCGGAAATTTTTCAGTCGTGATTCCCCTTTCGCTGAGGGAATTCGCAAAGCGACGAATGGTGCGGGTGTTGATGTAGCATTGAACTCTCTGGCTGGGACACATTACGGGCGAGTTGGGAACGCATTGCCCCTTTTGGGCTATTTATTGAAATGGGTAAGAAGGATATCATGCGGAATTTGAGGCTGGAAATGACCAATTTCGACCGCAATGTGAGCTTTGCATCTCTGGATTTGACTTTACCGGCTAACAAACGCCCGCAGTTGATGAAAAAGATGCTATCTGGAGGCTTCAAGATGTTTGGCCTTGGTGCTGCTAAGCCTGTATCACCAATCACTTGCCTTTCAATATCCAATTTCCAAGAAGCATGCCATTGCTTGCAGGCTGGTCGCAGTATTCAAAAAATAGTGATTGAAACAGAAAAGAATGCTTTAGTCAAGGTTAGTTTGATCAATTCGAGAACAGCTTACAGGTGCTAATGTGTATCCATGACAGGTATGCCCAAGGAAGAAAGCAGGTACCTTGTGCTCTCCAGAAGCCTCTTACCTCATTGTTGGCGGGACCGGGAGTCATGGCCGCAATATCACATCGCGGCTAGCTGAGAAAGGGGCTCAACGTATAATTGTCATCTCACGAACTGGTAGCAAAGATCAAGGAGTTGGGATGCCAGTCAGGGAACTTTCTGCTAACGGAGCGACAGTCGTCGTATACCAGTGTGATGTTAGTAGTAAGGAAGAGGTAGAAGGCAAACTGGTATCAAAGCTACCACATATTCCACCGGTACGAGGGGTCATATATGGCGTAATGGTTCTTCGTGTCAGTGACGCCTCTTATCTCCCAATATTGCCAACATATTCAAACCAACTAACTTTCATTCAGGACACATCGTTCGAACACATGAGCTATAGCGAATACGATGCTGTCGTGAAACCCAAAGTTGCTGGAGTCTGGAAAATCCACCACGCATTTCTAGGATTAAACTGCGATCTTGATTTATTCATCACACTCTCCTCAATAGCCAGCCTTGTTGGTAACCGAGGTCAAGCAGCATATGCCGCGGGAGGCACATTTATGTCAGCTTTTGGACACAATAGAAACTCGGTGGGTTTGCCTTGTACTACGATTGATTTAGGCCCAGTCCAAGGAATTGGGTATCTTGCAGAAAACGAACAAAGGAAGACTGACGTTGCGGACACGTTGAGTGTTGATTGGATCGATGATACTGAACTCCACAGGCTACTTGCCGCAGCAACCACAGGTGATTTGGCGAACACCTGCCAACACCACTGCATCACAGGTCTAGGGGCATTGCAGTCCATGACCGTTAAAAAAAAATAGTGGTCGACCCCTTGGTACAAAAGTATCGATAATAATGATGAAGTCCGACCGTTCAAAACCACTGGGAGCTGACGGGTTGGACTCCCTTATTACCATTGAGGTACGAAACTGGATTTTCCGCGAGATTCAAGCGGGCTTACAAATTATGGAACTTCTATTAGCAAAGCCATTGGTGGAACTAGCAGGGCTGATATTGAAACAGTCGAGAATCATCAGTGCAGCATTGAAATCTAGACGGGCATTAAGTTGACGGGTGAAGGCTTTATTCCGTCGAGGAAAAATGTTCGTCGAATATCTAATACTCTTTGTACAGTACATTTGGGGTGTTAACTTCCTCTCCATTCACCTTTTTATAACAAATAGCGCAAGTTTCTAGTGGCAACCAATGAATAAGAGATTTGATCCTCAGTTTTGGACGAAGATGGCCAGAATGGATGAGCGGATTGGGTTAGATCTGGAAAATAAGCTTAAATTGACCACACAGCTCCCGTCCAACCAGTTAGAATACCGGTATGGTACACCCATAGTCAATTACAACATTAAATGAGTAAATATACGTTTAAAAATCCAGATATGATAGTGGAACAAAGGTTAATCCTAACGACGTATGGCGCGTACTGTAAAATTCCAATAATATTCAGCATGACCTAAATAATAAGGACATCAGAGCGCTGTTAGTTGGGTATGGCAACGCGGAACCCGGTATTCCGGCCCGATTCCGGCGCTCGTGCCCTTGGCTGCAAACAACACTTCACTTCAAAGCACTTTTCAACTCCACCCCACAACATCGCCTGAATCCTTCAGCAGTACTCTGCTGGGTCATCTAGATTTGATGCCTTAAAGTTTTGTACATTTGCTTAAACCGCATAATTCACGATTTTTGTTTAAGGCATGAAGATAATAGCCATTTTTTAACGCGACGCGTCGATGACCAAAGGAGAGAAAGAATCAACCGTCTTGACTATGGAAAGTGCAGCCCTGGGCGATTCCTCCCAGGCCAAGCCGCTCCGGGCCTTGAGATGCTCAAATTGCCAACTAAAACATATTCGCTGTGATGGGGCCCAGCCAGGTCAGCAAAACTTCTCTAGCGGTCGAGGTCCCTGTGGTCGAATGCTGACATGCAGTTTTATCTTCTTTTCTACGGGCGGCATATAGTTTGTAGTACATGTTTGCAGAAGGATCGCATATGTCAATATCCACAGTCGTCTCCAGCGGCTGCAAAACCCAATGTTCATCAGCTTGCCACTAAAAAACGAGCCTTCAGCGCTTGTCTTGTGTGTAGAGCTGCGAAAAGAAGATGCTCTGGGGAAGTACCAGGTAATTATACTTTTTATCCTCTATATCCCGTTAATTGCAGGCCATACTTACCTTTTTCCGGTTCCAAATTGTTATGTACTTCTCCAATATGTCTTCTATCATTGAAAAACGTACTCGGTACGAGAACTAATTCAATTAGTATGTGGGCCTTGCCAAAAGAGAGGTCTAGAAGCGAAATGCGAATATGATTCTGCTCCGCCCTTGCAACGGTAAGATTCATTTTGTAAACTCATCGAATGTTGAGAACTAAGAGAGATGAAATAGGAAACGTCTGGAGCCGCATCGTTCGTCTCTGCCGGAATCCCCCTCAGATGAACGCCCATCCAAACAGCCCCGAACATCTCTCCCAAGAGTTCTCAAAGACACTAATGGAAACCTAGACATTTCTGTCCCCAGCTCGCAAAATTCACAAGCGCACCGACGTCGTGCCAGCCCTAGCTTCCAGCTCGTTGGAGCAATCTCTGAGACTCCACCCGAATCGGACAAGTCTCATGAAGGCGATGATGAGGGATCGGTCATCCAAGATGATGAAAAGCTGGACAGTCCTAGCGATGTCCAGCTGTCTGCTCATCGCGATCAAAATTTTCCTTTCAGAATCCGCACACTTAGTAATTACGAAAGAAGGCGACAATCTCACCATATTCGACCACATACTCCGGAAGATCCGGATATTGCCCTAGAAGCTCAACAATCTAGTGACTCGGATGTATCTGAAGAAGAAGTTAATGACAAAGAAGAGTCACCAGAACCCTCTGAAGGCGATAATGAAACGAATGACGCCAACTTCTTTCTTTCACGGGTCCGACAAGCTGTGTTCCAGAGAACGGGTGTCTCAAAACCCGGAAGCACAGTTCAATCTGATCGAGAGCTAAAGCGATTAGATAAAATGGCAAATCGGAAGGGAAAATCATCAATATTATCTGCTGATTCAAGGGACCTTCGCCTTCCCCACCGCACTGTTTCCAACAAGTTGGTCTCTACTTATCTTATGCGGGAGTTTGTCAATCTACCGTTATTCCAGCGGGACACGTTCACTAACCGTTATGAGAAACTGTGGGGAAATGTGAAACTGTGGGACTCAGGAACAGAAGTTTTGGATGAAGATTGTTTATTTATTGGTTTTCTCTTCGGAGTGTTTGCCCTAGCTACCCTGCTACTCAACCCAGGTGACCTTAAAGATGCTGAACAGTACTTCGCACGTGCACAAAATCTTGTATTTCTGAATGGAATTGAAAAAGGAGGAATTTTACATATTCAGGTCTATCTTGTCCTAGCCCAATATCTGGTTGCGGATAATAATCTACCTGTTGCATGGAGGTTTGTCGGACTCGCTATACGTGCTGGCCAGTCTCTGCATTTGCATCTTGTATCTGGAAGCCACCATTTGACTTTGAGGGACAACCAGGAGCTAGCTAGACGAGTTTGGCATTGTTCATTGATGCTAGAACGGTATGGCACACATGACTCTAGCTCGTGCTTCACACCTTCCCTGAACTTAATTTTGCTAAAGCTTTTTCACACAGGATTATTGCCATGAAAATGGGCATTACAACCTTAACAAAACATTCTTTTGAAACCCCTCTTCCTATTCCCGGTGATCGGGACTACATCGACCGCCTCTCGTTCAATGACTCAGCGGACCGAAACGCGACAGTTGATCGTCCCTCAATCATAGAATTCTTTAACAACTCGACGCGCCTCTACAATCGATACAATGACATCATTCTGATCCAAGAAGAACTCCGATCAACTAGTAACTCCGGCGCACGCAAGAAGATTGATGCCTTCGATCCCCAACTACTCATAACTGTCGATCAATCCCTCGCCAACTGGCAAGCTGGATTGCCGCCTTTTCTACACCCAGACACCAACGTCAACTCATTGAACTACCTCCTAGCGAAGCGACAACACAACATCCTCCGTATCCGCTATCTACACATGCGTCTCCTCCTCTGGCGCCCGCTATTGGCCATAGTTGCGGCCACTTCACCGGACATTGACGCGCGCTCACAAATGCAAAAGCCCACCTCCCAACCATCACGGCGAGGGTTAGCTATAGATAAAATAGAGATACCGCTGACTCACATAATCGCTCATGAAAGCGCGGTAAAATGCATTCTCGCCGCAGCGGAGATAATCAATATTATCGACGAAGTCGAGAGTCGTGGTACAGATGTCATAAATGGGTATGACACCCTCTCCATACCAGCGGTTTGGGAGACTACAGGATATGTGTTTGCATGTGCGCAGGTTTTCATTGCTGCTCGCAGGTGCCCTAAGGGCGTAATTGACGACCTTGGAGGGATGCAAGTTATTAGCGAAGGAGCATGGAGGAGTATTGAGTTGATGAGGAAATATACCATTATTTGGCCTCGCGCGAAAGTTTGTTTGATGACGTTGGAGAAGTTGGATTCCCTGTTTCCCCCTGGGAGGGATGAATATACTGATGGACCACGCGATAATGCGATGAATGATTTGTCGTGGTTGGAATGCCTGCCGATTGATCTGCAAGGTTAACGACTAACACAAGGTTGGATAGAGATGGTGGTTTGGTAATTGGATCGTTGGCTGGCTGGTGTAGACCGAAGAGCTCCTCGCCAGCAGCCGAGTCAATTGACTAGATATTTGTGGCCTGACTGACAAAGATTGAAGCCCCTGTGATGGTGTAGGTTTTGCAAAAGTTTGTGCTTTGATTTTGCGAACACGGCACGCACATTTGTCTCGTGTTCTCCCTTTTGAGGCTTGGACACTTGTTGGCCGATTTTTGATTTAGTTTATGTAGTCTTCAAGATGTTAAGAGTCAGTGTATGTTTTCAGTAATGTAATTTCAACCTCTCCGTCGATGAATCCCTCATCCTACTGCTCTTTATTGTCTTCAAATTTTGCCGGCCCTTTTTATTTTTTTTTCTCGCACCCTCTTTCTGCCATCCCAGGGTCTGCTTTTAGTAACGCTTTTTTAACTTCGATCCTCATTATGGTCTATTTTGTGCCCTAAAAGCCCTTTCGGCAAATTTCCCTTTTTCAAAAGCAGATATTGACATCATTTCTCATGCGATCAACAGGAGCATCTTTCAATTAAGAAAGAAATTTATCTGGAAACAATCGAAAGCACATGACTTTTCTCATTCATCCGCCGTAAATTTGTACCTAGGTATACAGATTCATACAACAGAATCGTTTAGTTATATCAGTGAAAGATAACGGCGCGGGTGCAAGTGAGGATTGTTCTTTCCTTAGAAGGAGAGAAGTAGAGGTTTAAATATCAAGGTGGAGAAAAAACAAGAAAACCGATTCGACAGAAGTGATATTCGGGCTTCAGAGCCTTTCGGAGATCCTGATATTCCCATTCAATAATCCCCATTGCACGATGGGCAATTTCCAATGATCCGCCACATCCTGAAGATTTCCAAGTTGAATGAAGATATAAGAGTATAATTCAGCGTAACAAATACAATTAGAATGACTTAAGAAGAAAGAAAACAAAGGAAGAAAGGTTAAATACTAACGTACGAGTCTTATGCGCGAGAATAGCGATGCCGGCGTATCATCCTAAATATACAAAAATGTCGCTGCTGGTAAAAACAATACCAAAAATGGGGGAAAGAAATTACAAACACTGAAGGTAAAAATCGCAGACATTCATCATCACAATAGTGTGTGGATAAATCGTAACTTATAGAACACCATCTACGCCACTGGTGCAGACCAGACACACGTTTTCACTCTTACTCCTTCCTCTCAAGGTTAAATCCACAACACACTCACCACTATACAAACAACTATCCCCAGTAAACTACCCCGTATCTCCTTTTCACACGACGAGATTCTACTCCGCGTCGCACAGATGGGGTACGAAGAGGATGGAGAAGAAGTTGCAGATGACGATGATGATGATGATGATGACGAGGGGAGGGAAGACGAGATTTGGGAGCCCGAGGAATTATCCACAGTTGAACTCAGGTGGTAAGTATGTTTGAGGTGAGGTGTTTGTCGTTCTGCCCCTCTAACAAGAAATGTGAGAAGGTTAAGTCGAGTGATATCTTTCTGTATCAGAAGGCGGGAAGGTATGGCATTGGGACTCGTCGGATAAATTGATGAGGAAATGCCGTCATTCGATTTGTTAAGGGACGGTTGCTCTCGTTGCTGTTGCCAGTATGATGCATAAATAGGATGATGGATATGTCCGATTTCTGGTGGAAAGTGAAGGGTGGTCACTCCATGCGATTCAGGTAAATCTTTATTTAGTTTCTCATTATCATTGTCGTTGGCGTTATGGGGGTATCGTGGTAGGCTTGTAAGGCCGTCTTCGAGAGGATGTTGTTTTCGCTTTTGTTCTTTGTGCTGGATTTGCTGGCTTTGCTGATGGACATTAGGATATACTCCCGGTACTCCCCGCACTCTAGAAAAGGAGATTGAACGGAAGACATCTATGTTGAATGGATCAAGTTTCCATAGCCCTTGAGGTGTCGACAGTGTTTCTTCCCACGGCTCATCACCAAAGGTGTGGTGTTGACATAACGCTGACCAGACGAGGCAGATTTCTAAAGATATCGAATCACATGTGAGCAACAGAACTAAGACAGAAACTAACATAAACGACATACCGTCAATATCATTTACAAGGAAGTTGAGGGCGGCGGCATCCTCCATGTAGAACGTATCTCTCCTATAGTTGCTAGACAAGGGCGGGAGGAGATGAAAATGGTACCAAAGAAACGAAACAATCAACACAGAGACGCTTGCTCCAACAAACTTCTGTTGCATATTTGAAGCTACCTCAACGCCATTCTCCTATGGAGGAAAGAATGTGACTTAGACAAGGATGACTGATAATGGTTTCGTGATAATAAAAAGAGCAGATAGAGGTCTTTCAACTCATCCACATCCATCAATGGAAGAGCTGTAGGAGAGATAGCACAGCGGGATGTCGACCATCCACACGATATATTGAGTTCAGCTCGCAGTAACTTCACCGCGTAGTTACGGCCTTTCTCCCGGACTTTAATTCGTAGCCTTTTTGTCAACAACGGATGGATTCTATGCAATGGCCACATGGGAAGTATATAACATCCCAGCAACCCCATATTACCCTCATCAATCATCAGCATTTTTCTTGTATCCTTCTCTTAGATACCCCTCTTTCGCCAACAACTTTAAAAAAGATTCCATGATACCCAGATTTTTATTCTTTACTTCACCAGCACGAAACTGGAGTGGCGGCTTCACTCCCAATCAGGGAGCAGAGAACCCAGCGAAACGTTCAGCTAGCTTAACCAAGTGGAGGACACCAGGCATGAACCCAGCTCTCTTGGATGTTCAGCCTTGTGTCAGCGAGCAGGCCATCATCACAGAGCCTGCTGGGTTGGTGAGAGCAACCGAACCCGGTTTTTCATACAGAATATCTCTCCTGTGATTCAACAGGTAAAGAAACACCTCCTCGAAAAGCTAACTATCTCCACTGCTCCGTACCTGCGATCCCTCGTTGACTTTCTTGGAGCTTTCTTAGTCTCTTCCGTTGCTTTATGTTGTCTTATTATCCCTGCTCATTTTGGAGCTGAACCTACTACGTAACCTTTAGTTACTAAATTAAAACCGGCTTGGGGGCCAAAGGTCAGTCGTCCTATCAGTGGATATTTTCTATAAAATAATATTACAATAATATACATTTTATGATATATATATATATATATATATATAGCATCTCATATGCTAACTAATTCTCAAATTTGCAAATAAATATGGAAAAATGAGGTAAAGTTGAGTGTGTCTTCATCCCTTAGACTTCCTTCTGCGGACTAGCGTACTTAGATGCCACCGCCGCCAAGCATGCTAATGCAATTACACTTTATGCCACTGACATCATTCTTTCCTTTGCGAAACTTCTTCCGTGTCTGTAGTGTAATCGGTCCCTTCCTTCTATCTCATCCATTTGTTATATCGGTAATATGTCCGACTCGGAAATATTTCGTTACATTGAGAAGTCATCTGCTGTTCGCTCTGCCGAGATTCTCGAGGCTGCCGGTCTGAGATGTTTCGTTGGAGAGCTAGTAGTTGCGCGACACTACCCACTGTTTCCTGCGATTATTTCGTGGCAGTTGCAGACGAGCAGCCTAGCTTCACATGAGTTTCCGGAGCTCCCTCAGGCACACATTCGATTCTTCTATAGACACACGACTGAAGAAAGCACGGGAGGCTAGCCAGGTTATCGTTCTCGCGTAAAGATTCTGGCGAATCAGTCTACAGCACGACCATTATGCCCACAACATTCTGGCATCTGGACCTAAACTCAAACCGGTGGAAGGTAAACAGGAGCTATAGACATTAAAACTCTATGCAGCAGTAATCGGTATTCTCTCTGGTATTCTCTCTGAGCACTACGTGGATGGGCAGCTGAACGAAACGATTACCGGATACTTTGAGGTCCAATATGCGTACCTGCTTAGGTGTTTTCAAGGACCTCATTGCTTGCTTGAGCTTCGACTAAAGCTCACGCCCGGTGACATAGTATTTCGTAAATATTGGCGGATGAAAACTCATGCTACACTGGGAGAAAAATACCCCTGACCAACAGCAACACTTTCATTGCTTTGCGGAACTGGGGGCGGATCCGTTGACCGTCGAATTGGACGAACAGCAGGAGGGATGAGCAGTAGAGAAAGTGTGACCCTGAATAAAGCCAGCAGAAATGCCTCTAGCATCATACATATCGGGCATACACTTTGATTTTTAAATCTCGGCCGGAAAAACTTCAGCGTGGGTCTCAACATTCCACCCACAGCACACCATTGCGCATATTAATATAATTCAATATTAATATAATTCAACTGAAAATCAATGTGGAAGAGTGTGATGTGGGTGTGTTTTAGATGGGGTGATTGAAGTTGAGTGTGGTTCAAGAGCTGGGCCGACTTTTTGTTCAAAGTGTATCCCTCACCGTATGCATATATCTCACAGATAAATTAAGCCAAATCCTGTCAAATATCAAAACACCCCAGCTGCTTAGCAGTCCGCGACCCCTCCCCATAAATCTCACCTTCATCCCATGCTTATTCCCTTCAGAAGACAAACACCTTCATTTTCTCAGCAATTCAAGGTGACTTCTGCCTCCAGTTCTTTTCATATGCAATTAGTTCTTCTCCATTCTCACACCTGTTTTGTACTACGTCTACGGCAGTGTTAGAACAAATGTAACGTCATTCCTGCATGGCTATATTGAAGCCAATATTCGATCCTGAGATCGGCGTAAATTTGATGTCATCCAGTTGGTTGCTCAGAAGGGTTGGCGAACTTACAAAGCAACAGTTGCTCGCAAACAACTTCTAAAGTAATCAGAACCTTCATTTATTTTAGTTTCTTTTTCCTTGGAAGCAGAATCGCTATTCTCGTCAATTGAAAGCTATAGTTATCTGTCCGAGAGATCTTAGATAATTAAGGAAAATAATGCATGAAATTAGATAACTGATCAAAAGGCCAAATGGGGAATATCGAGACACTTTTGCAAATAATATATGTATGATTGTCGAAAAACTATTCTAGGGTATACAATAATGAAAGGAAAAGAAATTAAATAAATAAATAAATAAAAAAGGCCACACATCCTGGTGAAAACTGTTGCAGCTGTTTCCAAGGGTATTATCGCCGGATTGCATGCCGGCTTTTCCAGGTAGGAATCCAAATGCAACTTGGAGAATAACGCCGACACATTACCAATAAATGCTCTGTTGTGAAAAATGGCTCCTGCGGGGAGTATTCCTCGTGGAAAAAAGTGAAAAGAAGAGAATGATCTTTTAGGATGATATCGGATGACGGCTCCTGAAACCAAAACAACAAATATTTTCGCTGGGGGATGGAAACAATTTTGTGTATGCCAAGCGAGTAGGTGAATGTATGTACAGTATTATATGTATGGTGTTGGTGCCAGGGTAGCTAGTTCCAAAATGTGTCTAAGGTGAATTAAGACTATGGCGTTATAAAACTCAGCAATACAATGATTAGACCAGTAGAATATTTGAACATAGGCCGTTAGATCGGATTCGTCATGGTGGGAGGGGGTACTGCGGGAGAATGTGCTGTCAAAGTAAGGACCTTAGTAGGAGTTCCTCGTGTAGTCGGAGTCCGCGGTTGATTTTGTTGTTGGTTGTGGTGGCGTTGTCGAGCAGTCCCACTGCCGTCTTGCTGAGTACCTGGGGTACTTCCGCCGCCCGGTGTGCTACTTCCTCCGGCACTACTAGTTTTGCCTCCTCGTTTGACCATTTTGCCTAAGATGCCTACTAACTCCGCAGCGTCTTCAAAACTCTCGTCGTCCATGCCTTCCTGCGCATTGTAGACATCCGCAATGGCTTGTTTGGCCAGGCGTCTACATCCGTCAGAGTCATGAAGGCAGTCGAATAAATATGCCGCATATTCAAGTTTAACTGAAAGCCTAACTGGGTGGGAACCTGGGAGGAGGCTGTCTGCAAGTTGTGCTACGTCATTGAAACAAGACGAGGCTATCGGCGTATAATCTAAAGTTGGGAGGATGAAGGAAGCTGCAATTTTTGTAGGTCTAACGGCTGGTAGACCCGGTGGATACAGGTGTGTGCCGCCAACGGGACCTCCCTCAGGTATCATGGGCGGTGGGGAAGCAGTGATGGAATCCCGATTTGCGTTTGGGGAGCCTTTTCCAACTCCATTACCATTCTCCACACCAGAGGGCACGTTTGGGAGATGTAGTTGAGAGCCTGAGTGGGGAAGACTTCGAATGCCTGACTGATGGATGCTTGGCTGATTATGGAAAAGGACGAAAATGTGGTAAAAAGAAGCTCTAAGTTTGTGGGCTAGCACTTTGAGCTCGACATATGCCTCGACCATGGGAAGAACATATTGCTCTGTGATCACTAATCCTTCGCGGGAGAGCCATAATATGTGGTGGTAGAGTTGCAGCGATTTGGTTTCTCTCGTGGGGTCAAGACGGCGGAGCTTGCGAGCGCGGATGAGCTTTTTGGAAAGAATCACCGAAAGGCCAAGGAGCTTATATAGCATTCCAGAGAGGTAGGCATTTTCACGAGCAGTGCTAGCGGCGAAGAAGCCCAAAAATTTTTGGTCAACTTCAGAGGAGGCCATCCAAACAGCGAAGGGGAGAGTACTGTCTGGGTGATCCCACTGGCATGATATGGTAATCAGTACTTTTGCTATTTCGCAATCTTGAAGTGAATGAAAACCGTTTTCAATGGGGATATAATCCCTGGTTCCTTGATTCATTTTGCGGACGACGTGTAACAGCAAAAAAAAAAAAAAAAAAAAAAAAAAAAAACGATATTGAAATAAAATATTAAGAATTGAGAATTGAAGCAAAGGTCAAATGAAGCGAAAAATAGGAGTATTAAATAGTACAACCGAACATCTCAAATCCCAAACATAGAATATAATAGATCACCATGGTAGAATAAAGAGTTTGGAGTCCTTGGCTTAAAATAGCTCGGCGGCAAGGGGGGAGATGTTTGATATGACATGCGCAAGATAAAACGGGCGCGCTTACCTGGCAACAGGTATTGATCCAACTCCAGCGCTTAAGTTCAGTCTCGATAATCCAAAATATTGTTTTGTTGGTTCCGGATGTTTGCCGCCTGGAATCCTTGATAGTGTGCAGGGGAACGGTAAAAGAAGAGCGCTTAGGATTCGACCCTGTTATAATCATCAAACAACCAATCTGAGGGATGGTCTGGGCTAATAATAATTCCCCTTTTTAGTCGACTCGCAGAAACAAGTTAATTGCTGGAATATCCCTCGTCAAAGTGCGTAATCTGGACGTATCGACAGAAGAATTGAATGTCGTAAAAGTTGGTCCTAAGAAACGTGGACTTCGTTGGCTTTAAAACCGCCGGCAGGACTCGTGAGTAGAATCGTAAGGAACGCGTTCTTCTTAAGAAGACTTGTATTTATCGTTACAGATGATATCGAAACGTGTTGCAATAGGTGTGTCGGCCGTGAGGTACCAAAAGATCGTGTGAGGTGGGTTGGATTAACAGTACAAGGCAGAGGAGAAAGCCGAAGAGAGGGAATAATATACAGATGCCGGAACAAAGAGAGAGATGGCTGGAAGCTCTGAGCCATCTGTCAGCTTCCAGGCTCCATCACCATAACTATATAGGCCAGTGACTGTCAACGTCTTTAGGAATGACAGCCCAATGACATACCTCTCCAACGTGGACTGTTCTGTACACTGGCTACAAACCGCCGATTCGTCAGAAGAATTAAAAGCTCAACCAATGGTAAGATTGCAATCCAATGATGCCCGGAGGGAGCAAGAAAGAAGAACAAGAGTTTGTGGCTGTACTGCAGAAGGAATTCGATTCATTGTTTTGCAATTGGGCGCAAAGGAGAGCGAACACAGACCAACAGGGCACTGAATGAGAGTACAAGGGTTGAGATGACTTACAAAACTAGTTGCATCAGAACGAGGCAAAATAAATACAGGAAGAGACCATGGCGATTGAAGGAGGAAACAGGAAGGGAATCTGGGCAGAGACAGAGCCCCCAATGGCCACTGGGCAAGAGTCTGTCGACCTGTCAATGTGTAAGTGTTTCTCTCGCGCAGATGTTCGCATGAGAAGCAAATTGAGGTCTAAGAAGGGCAAGACGACGGCACTAGCCCCGATGTGGCGGCAAGCAGCACGAGAATTTTTGATCGCTTAACGGGCACCTCCCAACGGACTGGACACCTCTGTTGCAGGTCTGGAGGGCAGTTAATTATTCGTGTCTGGCTTTTTGGTCGCTATCTTTGCATTCCCCTCAGTTCTCACGGCTCCATCCAGCCATCCCTGTCAAAAATTAACGATTCAGTGTGGAGATTTGGCCGTCGACTTTTTATCGTTATCATACCCTCCTGAGTGCAGGGCTCCCTGAGAATAACGGCAGGGGCAGCGACAGCAGTGGTAGTTATGCAACTGCGATCCAGCCTCGTCTCACCCGAGAAAAGGCCTGGCTACAACTCTGGCACGACTGTTGAGCTGGTGCAGGTGGCATGCACGCCAAAGCGAACTAGAGCCGTCGCAAGTTACGTGTCAATGCCAGAGCTCTTCATTTTAATCCAGGACCCTCTTAACCCTGGCTGGCTTTGGCTATGTAAGCCTTTGCCCTAACCAGGTCCAGCGCTAATCGAGAACTGGGAGAAATCGCCAACCGATGTGAGGCTCATCAAAGCGTCATTATTCTTCTCGAATAATGGAAATTGACCCCGTACGAGGCAAACAAGAAAAGGAACGAACTAGAATAGTAGAAACCTGCCAAACTTTGAAGTGCAAGGGTGTTAGTTCGGGTGTCAGGCGCCTGCTAGCTCTTTTCGGTGCCATGACAATTCGAACACTTCTCCCCAGTATCGGGCAGCTAAACTAATCGACGACTACCCCAAAGCTCAACAGCGGCTCGAGAGCGACAATTCCCCTGTCGTGCTCACTGCCAGCGTGGCACGTGCAAGGAACGACAGATGAAGCAATCATGGTGAAGTTCCCGCGACACAAAATTTCTCGTCTGTGCTCCCACCCAGACAATTTGAAATTTATATATTTTCCAGTTATGTGGCACTCTAGGAGCTGCTTCCCCAGATGTGTGCAAGCCTGGCGAACCGGGAATATCTGTGGTACAGATGTCATAGTAATCTTGGTTCTTTAAAAACAAGCACAAATCCCGGAAAGCTCAGCCACCCAGCCTCGGGGTGCCAACACACGAAAAAGTCAATCAACATCAATTCGATCCAGCCACCGACGACTTCGACTGCGGAATCCAAGCTGGAATTTACTATTTTCGATTCTCTCCTGTGATCATATACAGCTTTATCGAACAAAAAATCATGTTCCGCCTGCCAATCTCACACATTCTCGTCAAGAGCACCCCAGATTACAATGCGTTTATTGCAAAAGTTTGAGCAACCCGTAGAGCATAAAGCATGCCGTTCGAAAACGAATGGCTGCTGGAGTGCCATCGCCTTAAAAAAGGCGGTGAAAGCACCACTCCATATCCTACAACAACATTTACTAACAAGCAACTTAAATCCTGAGGTTCTCAGGGCGTGAAGCCACTCCACAGACTTATTTGGCACCGCCAGGTTCCACCGTTCTGGAAACAACACACAGACCAGCCGGAGAATAAAACCCAGCTTGATGACTTTATGATGGAGGTAAAAGGTCGGTTCGCTGTACCTAGAATACTAGTATGGTCTATTCAACCTTCTGATGTCTGTCTTTCGTGACAAGATGAAAGGCCGTATTTCTGGCTTCAAGGAGTCCATGTTGCAAGCAAAGGTTAGCTAAAATACTAGCAAACCTTTAGTTCTCACTACGATCCCATCAGTTTTTTGACAGGTTCACAAATTTTCCACCAGAGTGGCTAATAATAGAGGGCAATGTCAGGGCTTAAGCTGCGTTCATGAGACATGGATACTAATCTTCTTCACTCTTCTCCGTTTATTTCACTTTTAAACCAAAACACCTCCGATATCCGGCGACTTCTATCCATCATGCAAGGCCCATGAAATCCAGACAATATCGATATATGGTAAATCCCAGAAGAAAACTATTGATACCCAAATCTAGTGTCTGACCCGAGGTAGAGTAAAATGCGCCTCTCTCAATCTATCACTATCATCTTGTTTTCTATACCTCACAAGGTATACATAGTTTCCCTACCAACGAAATGATTCATACACCTAACCATCCAGCGTCTTCTGCAACGCCTCACGGATATCTGTTCACTGTTGTTCTCAGCATTCACGAGACTGCGTACGCTGCCTTG